GCTAAGGAAAAGTAGCGGGTTCGGTAGTGTGGCCGGCTCGCTAATAGATTACGTTAGTACTATAGAGAACTTAATAAAATTATATAAAGATACCTACATAGTAAATAATTTAGTACTTAACTAAACTATACCTAAACTAGAAAATAAGGCTATAAGACTAGGAAAAAGCTCTTAGGTTTAATATAATATTACTTTATAAGTTAGGTAAAACGCTTTAAAAAGAAATTTAAAATATAAAATTCCTAAATATTACTAAGAGAAACAAATCTCTTAAGTTAATTAATATTTATATTAAAAAAACCTAGTATTAAGATAGATTATTCAATTAGAAACTAATATATACTAATAAAAGCTTACTAGAATAAATAACTCTTCTATAAAATAACCTTAATTTATATTATATAAGTAGAACCTATATACTACTTCCTACTTTAAGTAACTAATTATTTAATTCTAAAACTAACTATATTAAAACAGCTTATATATAGGGAATATACTAAGTATAGAGACTTTTATAATTTAAGTATAGATACTATTAGTATATTAGACCTTATATCTACTAAGGAATAATAGAATAAAGAATTCTAAATTAGTAAATAATAGAAGAGATAGATTTAATAACCTTTATATTCCATTTTTTATAGACTAACTTTTAAAGAATAACTTATAACTAATAAAATAAAATCTCTTTTATAATAATAAATAAAATAAGACTCTATTTTAATACTCTTTTTAGAATAAATTATATACTATCCTTAGATAAATCCTTATAGAAAGTATACTATAAAGGTAATTAATATAACTAAACTTAGAAGAATTAATAAACTAAATATAATTATAGACAACTTAAATACAATTATATAAAAAATAGTATTAAATGTAATCCTTTTAGAATAAATCTTAAATAAGTATATATTTTAATAGTATAGAGACTTAATAACACTATAGAAAAATTAAAGGAATAGCTATTAATTAAAATAATAGCTAAAAAGTAAGAGAATAAGTAAATACTATAATTATAGAAATTTCATTTTTGTAGAAATTAGGGCTAGAGCATAAGAGGTACTAAATATTATTTATAAAGAGAAATAAATTAAAGACAATTTACTAAGCTAGCTCCTTTATTAAAAATAATACTAGAGGATAAATACTAAGATTAGGATCTCTTTTATAAAACTCTAAGAAATTCTAAAGATATTTTAAGAGGATTTATAATATAGTGCCCTCTAAATATAGAATAAAAGGTCGACCTTATTACTACTAGCTATACTTCCTTATAACTACGACTACCTACGTTACATTAGAGAGTTATAGTTTCTATAGCCGGTAGAGTTAGAACCCTATATACTAAGTCGAAAGATATATACCTATATTACGATCCTGTATAGCCCGGAGTAGTACTATAGTTGGAATAGCTACTCTAACTTAGCTAATAGCTAGCTTAAGGGGGCCGGGTATTAAATAACTAGCTAACCCTAAGGAGTAGGACTAGAGAGTAGAGATCTACTCCTAATCCTTACTTCTAGATTAGTACGATAGAGTAGTTAGGAACTCTATTACCTCGATCTATATATTTCCTTTATACCTAGTTTATATATATAGGTAGGACGAGTAGGCCTTATATCGGCTTATATTAAACTTATATTACTAACCTTCTATTTAAAATTAGACAATTCCTTTAAAACACCTTATATATTTATTATCTAGAATAATCCCCTCGAGTAAATTTCTCTTATAGGAAGTTAACCCGTAATAACCTAGTTAATAAATTAACCCTTTTATTAAGTACGTCTTTACTATATAATAATTTAGCCTAGATAGAAGAGAAAATTATATATACTTTATATAATAACTTGTAAAGTAGATATAGTATTTCAGATAATACTAGTTCTACTACTATTAATAATATAACCTCCTACCTAGAATAATAATACTTTTAGAATAACTAACGATCTAAGTATTATATATTCCTTAAAGTCTTCTGAAATTATCTAGTTTTTTAAATAAGGATAGCTTTATAAAATTTAAGTCTTAAGCGTACTATAGTTTTAAATCCCCTATATCTTATCTTATAACTACTTTACTTAAAACTACCTACTTAACTTCAAAAGAATTAAATCTAAATCTTATACTTTAAGAGTTTAAGAAATTCTTGACTTCTTAAAGATATATCTCTTTCCCTTAAATTATCTCTTTATTTACCTTAGGGAGACCTAGAGATTAGAGAGAAGATTAATACCTAGAGATAAAATTAAGTATTTAGGAAAAGTATTAAGTTCTATTAAGAATCAAATTCTAGAAACTGCTTTGAACCCCCTAAGGATTCTAAATCGATAATTTTAGTACGTTTTCCTAAAGAAAGGTCTCTTTACTTACTATAAAGAGCCCCTAATAGTCTAGAGAATTTTAAGTTCTATAGAAAGAAAAGGATATAGCTTACTTTATAAAAGAAAAGAAAAGGATATTTAGAAAAGAGAAGGAGAGCTACTAAAGTATGTTTTATTAAGAGTTTACCTCGAAGGGGCTAAATAATTTATATAGAATAAGACCCTATAAGAAAATAATAATAGTATAAATATATATATTAATAAATAAGTAATATAAGTAAAAATATTTAAGAATTCAAAAAGTATTAAAGAACACTTTAAAGACGTAAAACCAAGAAGCGATTATAACATTATTTTCGACCTCAAAGAGGTCTTTTTGTTAACCTTAGAGAAGCCTCTATAGTATTAGAAAACCTTATAGATTATAGAAGAGAAATTTCAAACGACTTACATAAAGCTAAATAAAGAATATAATATTATAAGGGAAAAGAACTAGAACTAGTAGAGTATGTGTTTACTAGAAATCTAGTCCTAATAGGCTAGACTTTCTATATATTCTTATACTTATATTTAGACGAAAACAGTATAAATGAATAAGTACTTATATCCTATATTTAGTTAGTAGACCGTGTTAAGTATTCTTCCTTATTAATTGTAGTTTAATTTATTTATTAAGTAAGTAGTATTTAATACTTATAGGTATAGGAAGGTTTACTTAATTAAGGATAATCTAAAGAAGTAAAGGATAATATATTCTACGAGACTAGCTTACTTCTATATTATATTATATGTATTAAGAAGTAAGAACTAGAATATTAAAAATTATAAAATTAAGTAAGTAGTTACTCCGTGTATATAGTATCTAATTAGAGGATAAGAAGCTATCTTAAAACTAGTTCTTAGTCCTCTTATTAGCTAGGCTTTACGAGCCCTTTTGAAATACTATAATACATAGGTTGCTTTTTTCTAACTAGCTAATTTTCTACTTACTTAATATGTTACTTTCTTGTCTTATTTAGTAGGTCCTTTGCTTCTAAGGGTTTTTATAGCTTTCTTACTTAAGATTGTATTTTATACTCTCTAGACTTTGCGAGGTTTCTATAATATTATAATATTATAAAGATTTTCCTTAAAAATAGAGAGGTAGTATTATTATACTTAGATTTCCTAGACAAACACTGAAAAGAATATACATATTGTTTCTTAATATTTTTACCTTTATAGAGGACTCTTTACTACCTTAGAGAAGCCTTCTAAAGTATAGAGAGCCTTAGTAGTATATTTATTAGAAACCAAAACGAGGTAAAAGGTTTTAAGAGAAAGATATAGGAGAACTAGTCGAAGAAGCACTTGAAGAAACACTCGCCGAGGAAGGTAAAGAGATAGCATATAAAAAAGGGAAAAATAGGTAAAAAGCGAATCACCGCAGCTGTTCGACAAAGGACATATGGATAGTGCGATTGCCATGTTCTTTACCTCCGATGGAATTGTCATTGCGCATGCACTACGATATTACGATACGGACCTGGCGCAATATAGAAACAGGAAACGAGCTGCTACCTTTCAAGACACTAAAGGCGAGGGAACAGTCACTAGCTTTCTCACCAGACGGTGCATCTACGTCACACGACAGTCCTCTACTGCTGTCTGGTGTGGAAGCGGCTGCATACCACATTAACTCACAATTAAAGAGACAAACGTGAGCTCCTTGGCATCTTCGCCCAATTACAAATCCGTCCTGTCGGAGCAACGTGAGCACGAGGTTCAACTTTCGAATGCGACATCCGGCACAGTGATGCAACGTTTCGAATGCGAAGCAAAAGATGTTGTCGCCATCGATATTAATTGCGATGAAGTGATTGAGACCCCGTCAAGTCGAGGATAGCGTAAACGGCTGTGGGACGGCGAGGCGACTCATCACAGGGAACTTCCACTGATGACAATGACCCAGCCCCTGGATAGCTGAGCCTTACAGCAGACGGATAATTCGTACGAACTGTTACGAGAAACTTCGATCTTGCTAAAGTGCCTTCAACAGCAGCACCGGAGCTTCCCTTCAACCAGCCCAATTGCGTCTGAAACAAAGCCAGACACTGGATACAGTGGAACGGTGAGGATGCGCTGCTGCTGCCATACGAGTATCGCACCTGCGTCAGTGCAATGTTCATCTGGTATGGACAGACCCTCGCCATTCCGACTACTTTGAAAGGCTTGCTGTTCTTCCGTCCGGAATCTCGAACTCCATCGCCATAGCCATAGGCCTTTCTCTATGACCACCTGCATGTGGCTGGTTTGCCTTTCTCCAGGCCGAGAACAGAGTCGGCCAGTCAGAGGTGTAGGTCGAGCAAGACAATAGACCAGTATCTTCTGTAGCACTACGTACTAATCGTGGAGGTATACGAACAGGCGTCGTCAGCGGGGAATAGGGGCTTGCTTTCTGAGGCATGAACGAGACACGATGCTTCCCTCGGTGGAATTTCCATATTGCGGCAGGTTGGGCTGGATCCAGGAGACAGATCATATCATCACTGCACGAGCGAAGAAATCACATCAAGATCTACTTTATCATACGTGGACAGCATAGCACGGCAGGAAACTTTGAAATGAAGTCGAACTTTTTGATTCGAAATTAGTCATTAATTACAAGTCATACAAGGCATGAAAGGTATCCACCTAGGACGACGCTGTCGCATTCAGCTGAGTGAGAATAACATCAGCAGCCTTCTCGCCGACGAGGTAAGTCGACGCGGCGGTGAAGGTACCCGGAATCCTGGGGTAGACGGACGCATCGACGACACGAAGTCCCTGGACCTTGCGGACGCGGAAGCTGGAGTCAAGGACAGCGTATGGGTCGCTGTCGACACCGATGGGGCAAGTGCTGGAACAGTGGTGGCCCCAGGCGGTGTTCTTAACGTACTCCTTGATTTGAGCGGTGGTCTGGACGTTGCCACCGGGAAGGATCTCGTTGAACTTGGTGGGCTGGTTGTTCAGTGCGTTACGGCTGGTCCTGATAGCCTCGGTGATCTGCTGGAGGTCCTTGTCATAGTCTCCGCTGCCAGTGTCAAAGTAGTTGAACAGAATGTCCGGGGTGTCAAGAGGGTCAGCAGACCTCAGCTTGACGCTACCAGCACGGTTGCGAGGGTGCGACTTGAGAATAGCCCACGACCACCAGTTGTGGTACTGAGTGGCGTTGTATGAGTAACCAGGGAAGTAACCGCGGAAGTTGACGGGACCACCGAAGGAGAGCAGGCCATAGTCAGGGCTAGGGTCTGCACTGGTCTTGATGAACATGCCAGCCGCGAAACCACTGCTGGCGTAGGTTCCGCGGTCTCCGTTGGGACCTGCTGCAAGCCATTTATTGTAGCAAGGGTCATCGGTAGCGGGAATAGGCTTGCCATCGTCAGCGAAGGCAAAGTTGCAACCGTCAAGGGTAGAGAAGTTCTTTCCGCTGGCAGTCGAACCCTGGACAACAACCTCGTAGTGATCTTGCAAGTTGGTTCCGACACCAGGGAGATCAGCGATAACCTCAATTCCGAATTGCTGAAGCTCATCGGCGGGACCGATTCCGGAAAGCTTCAAGATCTGAGGGCTGTTGTAGGAGCCACCAGCGACGATGACCTCGCGGCTGGCAGAGGCGCTGCCAGGGGTACCAGGAGCCGCGTCCTTGGAGCGCGAGTCAGCACGGTAGAGCGCTTTGCCGTCGAGGAACTCAACACCAGTGGCACGAGGAGGCGACACGCTCTTGTCGAAGGTGACCTTGGTAACCAAGCAGTTGAGGCGGACATCGAGCGGGTACTTCTTCGAGCCGTCGGCGTTGACAGCATTGAGGACTTGGACGATGATGTCGCGAGATCCACTGCGAGCGCCCTTCTTGGAAGTGATTGGAATCTGGTAAAGCGCTTGGGTTGTGTCACGAATGGTGCTGTCTGAGTTGGCGTCGTTTACCAGGACGTTGAGGAAATTGGCCAGGATGGATGTGCCGTTACCGAGCGCCGCAGCGGCCCCAGCAACCATGCCGAACAACATAGAGTCTTTGAGCGCAATGCTCAGAGGCGCCACAGCCGTGCCGAGCCATCCATTGTAGCCGTGGCCTGGAACAATTGGCGGAAGGTAGGTGTTGTCCTCCATCTTCACAAGGTACTTGCGCATATTGTCTGGACCCCATGACTTGTCTCCGGTCAGGTCAGCGATGTATTGGAAGTCGCTGCGGTCGGGGTAGACGAAGACGAGAGCGTTATGTGCCGTGCAGCCTCCGAGAGTGGCGGTACGCGGGTAGAGGACACCCTTGATGGTGGCGCCAGCAGGGGGGTTGAGGCCGGTGTACTCGCCCCCATCGGGGAGGTTGTAGGTGAGCTTGAAGTCCTTTGCCTGACGAGCATCGTCGGAGTAGTGGCGGACGAAGAAGTCCCACGAGAGGAGCGGGTCTTCGGTTGACTTGGCCTGATAGGCTGGGACAGTGTAGTTGACGTTGGCACCTTGGTCATCACCAGCCTCAATCAACAGAGTCTTGTGTCCAGCCAAGGCGAGGCGGGCGGCCAATGGACCACCACCTGCACCAGAGCCGACAACGACATATTCGTAGTCGAGTTGCGTTTGGGAGAAGACACCGGCGGCCAGAGTGGCCAGTAGGCCAAAGGTCTTGAGGGAGACCATTTCGCAAGCTGTGCAACGAACGCAAAGGGTGCAGGATTGGGGGATCGAGAAACAAGAGACACGGGCGAATGGTTATATAGATGCCTTGAAAGCGGCAACCCGTATGGCACAGCGCTGTTCCATGAAATTCGCGAGCATCATCGTTGACATCATGCTGAATCAAACCAATTCGCGTCGGCCAAGCCGTTGGTGCCGATCGCGCATAACGCCGGACTCGAGTAGTCCGAGTGACTTCTCCATCACGCAACGGTGTGTAGTCATGCTTATTAGTCTTGTGCTCCACGTACACAGTGACGAGTGAACAGCACGAGCTTTGGATGGAGGAGTGATCCAATCGTGTTTCGTCGGCGTTGGAGGGGGGGGGTTCGCCTCTGGCGCGTCTGGCGGTCCGACGCTTGGGCTAATGGCGTACGCTAGGCCACCATGAAGCACTTCTACACACGGCGAAGGATCGAGGAGAAGGGCAAGGATTTTCGCCGCTAGGCACAACCACGCTGGACAATTGTGCATCATCGCCAGCGTCATCGGTGAGCTCGATCACAGATCGGTCGCAGAACTCCCCAACCGTCCGGCTACTCTTGATCAATTGGGTAAGTTCGATGGGAGGCACAAACGGAATCTCGTTGCAACTTGTGGGGAAGTGAATGAAATGCTAGGACCAATTGAACTGTGTCGTGCATGTGCATTTACAATCCGACGGCATTTCGGTTGTCCTTTGTCTCTGTTGACCAGTCTGGTATGGCGATACAACGGCGAAATTCAGAGTCGGAATACGGATCATGTCTTGCGGAGGACATGGCCTGGTGGTAAACGAGAGACAATCATTCTTGTAAATGGTTGAAGCTGGGTGGTGTCATCGAAGATGATGAGGATGAGAAGAGGCATGAAATGACATTGTGCCTACTGTCAACATCCAAATTCCGGGGTTGACACCACCTGGGCATGATCGAGGCCACCACTACTACTATTGTAACCGACGTCTGCGACGGGTCAGGTGTTGTCCAGTGTGCTGCATGTCCAGTGTTGTGTTTGGCGATGACAATTGTCTGTCTCGTACACGTCTCGTGAGTCTCGTATATGATGCACGCGGCTTGAACGTGGGTCGTGAACATTGTCTGTTCACACGGCAGCTGCACAACTTTGGAAAGGCATAGAGTTCGACTATTGACGACCGGGGTGTTTGGCAAAACCTTGTTGCAAGGGCTTGTCGAACGGGCCGTCTCGCCCCACATTGATGGGTGAGATTGCAGCTGCAGGACAATGCGCACGCCCAGCATTGCGAGGCTTCACAGCTCCGACTCGGGGAAAATGTGAAATCCTTCGACGTTTGTGGCTGGCTCTGCGGCGTACGCAAGTCAGAGCTCGCCCAGGTTTTGCATCATTGTTGCAGTCGCTGGGCGAGGAATGCCCTCGAGTGTGCAGCGCATTGCGCGGACTGACTGAACTGTGAAGTGGCAACAAGTGCGTTTCGGCGACTTTGCAAGACAAGTTCCATGTCGCAGTCAACTCCTGAACACGAGTTGCGGCCAGAGCGTGCGGACAAAGCACTCCGATACTGTACATCAACTTCAGCGTCACTCACCTGCAGAATTAGATATGGTGGATGTACGTAGCAGCTGCTGAACACACCGTTGGGATCATGCCCGACGCAATTATTGTCCATGGTCCTAGTCGTGCCTTGCACACACCACCGAAATGTCGGAGTGCCACATCCGTCTGACTGACGGCTTCTGCTTGAGTTTGGCCGTGTCTCAACACCTTCTCAGTCGGCTCATTTGTCAATTTTGGTAGATTTGACGTCTCAATCTGTCCTCAGGTATCGCCACATCGCACTGTAGGCCTCGCTCGCAGGATGCACGACGGTCGACGCCTCTGACGATGCGCCATTTACTAAGTGGCGTGATGACACCCCACAAGGAAGCTCCATGATGGCAACAGTCGGACAAGGAACAAACTACATTATATAAAAATAATTGCCGGAAACCACCACATACAGTAAAATCCCTGGGACGATCTCCTCATCCATGAACATGATCGCTCGAGTACTGCACTCAAGTACACCTCCCTCATCATCATCCTCATCGTCGGCGGCGCATGGAAGCGAGCTTCACATTGTCTGAAAGCTGGATACACCACCTGGAAAGGGTCATAAATGCATCACTCAATCTGATGGCAAAGCTGCGTAGAACCGGTCGATCTCGCATTCGTTTTCTGGTCCCATTTCACATTTCACATTGCTCCTGGTGCGTTTGCTGGTGCGCGTGATGATTGGGCCTGGTAGCTGGAGGTGTCGATAGCTTCGACTTCACGTGTGCGTTGACCGGCAAAGCTAGCACGCTACTCACTACATGTGATGCACCCGAAGAACGCTGCAGGTGCTCTCCAAAATTGATTCGACGATCGTCGCTTAGGAAACTTATGCCGAGGCCGATTTGTGCAGCTCTTGTTATAGTACATGGTCATGGTGGTCGTTAGGACATCCAGACTCCGCTGTCGATGTGCATAGCCATTACGCTGGTTATTGGTCCGAGAAGAACGTCATCCTTGCGCATCATGTCCCATTTGCATCCGTGATGAACTGGGTATAATCGCTGACGGCCAGTCAGTAGATGCGAAGATTCTACGTCGCTACTGAGCAGTTGGAGCTTCGCGATCGGTATGTGACCGCCTATGATTGATCCCACGTCGGCGTGCACCCAATTGGAAAGCTTCCCAGAACTAGGCGGCGAAACTTCATTACTACAGCAGAAAGCGCGGATGCTGAGCAAATTAGAGGATTGCTTTGATGATCGCGCAGCATCGCGCCATAATCATAGAGCATTTCGATGGGCAAAAAGTCAAACATGATGCCCCATCGTGATCCCGCAAGTGGACTATTGGAAGCAACATATACGAGAGACTTTGTACGATCTCACCCTGGAGCTCGATGTCCACTTTCCACCTGAACAACGGTATACTTGACCTACTCATCAGGAACTACTCATAACATGCATAATACATAATAAGGCAGCAGTCGGACTCAGCTCCTTTCCCCAGTCGTCCATCGACCGAGGGAGTGTGCAAGAGAAAACAGTCAAGTTGGATGAGAAATGATCGTGCCTGACGTCATATTCGCGCGGAGAAATTCCTCGCACGGTCTCCACTCTCGTGAAACACCATCGAGATTCCCCCTGGCGATCGAACCCGTTTAATGTTGTACCTACAGCTACATCCTAAGATCCGGTAGAAAAAAAACCAACCTCCTGTTCTGTTGCGCCGCTATCACTGCAGCGCGTGGACGCTAGCGGATGATGAGGCCTGTGTGTACTGTTCCCAAAACGTAGCACGTTGCGACCATTTTGACAAGCATTTCGACATTGCTTTTTCGCTGCCGGTTTGGCGTGCATTCTGCTACCCGAGATGCCCAGCCGCGTGCAATATCCCGGATTGGTGGTCACTTTCGTGATGCGCTCGCGGCGTGCACGCCAAAGCGTATGTGGCTCTGACTAACAAGTGACCTCAATCGCACTGGGTATTGAAATACACGAATAGGTTACGGTTGAGCCGTGAATTACATCTTGGCTGGAAATCATCCGGCTGCATTGAACAGCGCAATTGCGAAAAGAGGATGTAGCGACGCATCATGACACAATCATCACGACAACCTTGGAAGACAAGGGAGCGAAATCCTGGGCGGGTACGACGCTTCTGTGATTCACTGAGATCCTCAGTGAATGGTATTAGCGCTTCTTCATCGATTCGCTTCGATACCTATTCTACACTGTCATCGAAGGGCGTGATGACCACAGAGAGATGGCTTGTGGACTGAACATTGAACTCACAAAGATTCACTCGCTGGTCTGCAATGTCGTAAGCCGTAGAATGTTCGAATTGTTGCAAACGAATGCGAGCTTCTTGCAAACGATGGCTGATAATGATGCATCGTATGTTTCACCAACCCATACGAATGCAACTTATTAGGCAGTATTGAGCGCGCAGACCTTCTTATCTTTATGCGAGAAACCTCTATCGAGTTCAGCTATACATTATGGTACTCCTTCGCCGCACAACGTCGTAGGCGGTAGGACTGCCATTGTCGTCTCCAGAAAACGGCCTCGTACGAGTTCAGGCTTTCAGGCTCGATCGGTTTATTCGTCGAGGATTGCCTGAAGCTCTTCCATAACATCGGCACATATGCGGATATCAAGGGCCATTGTCTGCGTGGACACTTGTCGAGGTAGGCTTACTCCCTCAAGGTGGCACCTCATGCGCTACGGGCATCGATGTTTGTTCATTCCCCAAACCTGGGTCAACGCCGTCAGTTTTCGCCTTCTTCGAATCGGCATGCCCATCAGTTTGTGGTAAATTCGTCACATCTGTCATCGCAGGTCGTTTCAATGCTGTGGGTGGCCGGTATCCTCCGCGGCTCTGAATGCCTCCTCCGCCCCCTCCTGGCGGTGGCATACCGACCCGCCGGCTCGTATCGGGTACAAGATTGACGTGGTAGGCGCCTGGGGATTTTGTTGAGTTTCCCTGCATAGCAGATGCTCCGCCAACCAATCCTGCCGACGGGTTCGGGGGCATTGCCGGAGCAGAGCCAGCTCCGTTCTGAATCTGGTGACGACTGATGGGCACTGACTTTCCAGGATTGATACCTTGCGTTCGTCGTATTGACGGGCTTTCAGCGTGCGGGTTGAAAGCTATCGACTCGATCGGAGCACGGACAGCAGATGGATTGTTGAGCAGATCTGCCTGCTTCGCCGCGACGAAACCACCAGGGTTACCTCGAGGCACGGGTTGCTCTTGCACTTCAGAAAGGGCGATATTCGTGACATGAAACGAAGCACTGCCATCAACACCCTTCCTCGCCGCCGCAGCATGGTGCGAAGGCGAATCGATTGCGTTTCCGGACGATTGATTCGATCTTGTCCCGTCAACATCCATTTGTGCCACTGCATGGCCTGCCATTTGCTGTCGACCTGGCTGACCTGGCGTTTGTGGCGGTTGTCCTCGTCCACCAGATTGTAGCGTGCCTAGTGACGGTCTTGTGGCATTTGACGGCCGTGTTTGAGCAGCCATCTGTGGAACAGCATTTTGTCGAGGAATCTCCGCTGGTCGTACATGAGGCACAGCGCGCGTTGCAACAGTCGGCTCCACCGTAGGAGCTTCATCTAGTCGTACCTCATCGGGATGAGTATATTCAGTCCCGTCATCAAAAACATTTTCGCCAAATTCGTCCTCGATCTCCGATGGGAGCGAATTGTTAGATTGGACGCTCACGTTCCTGTGCGCCGCGACTGCCCGCGCCTGCGCGGAACGTCCGTCCACAATTGCTTCGGGTTTCACGGGCGCATAGTCTGGATGGCGATGCAGGTTACTTGCGTCCCATCTTGACGGCGCGACCTTGACCTTTGTAATCTTTTGCAGATAATCCTTGTCATAAAGACAATTTCCGAGCACATTCCCGAAATTCCGTAAAGCGCGCTTCATGGCATCCGTTGCGGCTTCCTTCTTTGCTTTTTCAAAGGCTGCAGCCTTGCCCTTAGTGTTCTCGCAATGTCCATAACCGATATCTTCGTGATAAGTGCCATCGCGTAAGGTCACGCGCACGATCGTCGACAAGCCAAGGTTGACTCTTCCCGTGGTTGTGTTCTCGTCCACAAAATCAATCTGCACATTTTGTATCGCAGAGCTCCATCCGTTGAATCCAAACACCTCATTCGCCAGGTTGATGACTTTTTCGGCGGCAAGATAGTGTACCTTTCCTCCTCCGTTTCCAGGACGAGTGGAAATGAACTCTGGCCCTAGCTGTCTGTCGAGTCGACATTGCAATGTGGCGATCTCCTGGGCGGTGTATTCTGATATGCGTGTCTGTTGGTCGGCAAATGGATTGACGGTGGCGTGATTGTCACGATATTGATCTCCTGGTCTGTGTGGGACGTTAGGATGATTAGACCGAGAGAGAGGTTTGCATACAGGATACGTACGCAGGCATATTTGATTTAGCTGAGCGACTTTATCACGCGACTTCTCATGAGCTGACAGGTGCTGTGACCATGACTGCGCAAAGATTCAGAGGAGCAAGCATTCAGCGCACTTCTCTTCGCACTCCAAAAAGTCGCGTGCACAGGATGTCAACTCCGGGAAGAGTTGGTGATTGCGGCAGATGACAACCTTGGATGTATCCAGAGCTTTTTGTCGTAAAGTGGCGCGAAGTTCTTTCCAGGCAGAATTACGAATGGGTCGAGACCAACATCAGCGGGCAAGGCAAGTGTGTTGGATACTGAATGGATGACGCGACGCGTTTGCCCACTTCCCCAGCTTGACACGAAACTGAAGGAGCAGGCTGACGCATGAGCACGTGACGAGGCACGCGCAGTACGGTCGCCGAAGCCCAGGAAATACTGATAACTAGCCCTGAAGCCCTGGAGCGGAGATGTAGACAAATAGTCCATACAGTGCAGCTCGGTGGCTTGTAGGGGTCAACTGAGGGATTGCGCGGCCGAAAGTCAAGATTCGTAAAGCCACATTCCCAACCTTCAACAATCATAATACCTAATATCAGAACACACCCTTCGCAGCGCACGTCGCCATCATCCACCAGTGCCATAGAGCATCGCATTTTGACATCAACCCACCCGAGTGGAGCGTTCAATTCATTGTTTCGTCCGAGCGATGCATCGCTGCTAGTCTGCGCATCCCTCGTCTCATTGTGATCTCGTGCAGCTGCCCTTCGCGATATCATCCGGCACGCGCCTCTCTAAAACCTGAACGATGACGAGGATATTCCGGCGGTCGCTATGGCTGCTATTTCTCACCATAGCGAGCTCACTCATCAGCCTGACTGGAGCACAAGAAGAATCACGAGCCAGTGCGAAATCCGCTGCAGATTACTACATACACTCTCTTCCCGGCGCTCCTGAGCCATTACTTCGCATGTACTCTGGCCACATCGAGATCTCGGCCGAGCACCATGGCAACATGTTCTTCTGGTTATTCAGGAACAGGCACATTGCTGATCGGCAGCGGACGGTCGTGTGGTTCAATGGCGGACCTGGATGTAGTAGCTTGGACGGCGCAATCATGGAGGCGGGTCCATATAGAGTAAATGCGGACGGCACACTTCGACTTGTAGACGGTAGCTGGGATGAATTCGCAAATATTGTCTTCGTGGATCAACCAGTCGGGACGGGCTTCAGCTATGTGGACACGGATTCATACGTCCACGAGCTGGATCAAATGTCCAGCCAGGTGGTCACATTCCTGAAGAAGTTCTTCGACATCTTTCCCGAACTCGCTCACGACGATGTGAGACTCTTCCATCTACTCGCGTTATGAGCTTCAGCATGCTAACTTTTCTTAGCTCTACCTAGCAGGCGAATCGTTCGCTGGCCAATACATTCCCTATATCGCCTCCGCTATCTTAGACCACAACCAACAGACTCGTGGTGACCAATGGAATCTTTCTGGTCTACTCATCGGCAACGGCTGGATCTCTGGGCCGGATCAATACCTTGCGACCATACCCTTTGCTTATGATGCAGGCCTGATCACCTCCGGATCGGAAGCTGAAAGAGTGGCGCTGGCTCAGCAGGAAATATGCATCAAAAACTTAAATGATGACAAGAGCGACTCGGTCGACATGAGGTCGTGCGAAGCCATTATGCAAGATATTTTGCGACTAGCACAACGCAATGGCAAATGCGTGAACATGTATGATGTCCGGCTTGACGATTCATACCCCTCCTGCGGTATGAATTGGCCTCCAGATTTGGCCCATGTAACGCCTTATTTGCGTCGAGAAGATGTCACAAGGGCATTGCATATTAACCCGGATAAGAAGACCGGATGGAACGAGTGCAACTCTCAAGTTTCTGCAGCATTCACCAACCGCCACTCGAAGGCGAGTAAGGTCCTGCTTCCCAAGCTGCTTGAACACATGCCAATCATCCTGTTCTCGGGAGACCAAGATTTCATCTGTAATCACCGTGGAACGGAGAATATTATCAACAACATGCAATGGAATGGCGGCAAGGGCATGGAACTTTCCTCGGGCATGACGGCACCGAAACAGGACTGGACCTTTGAAGGCGAGCCCGCAGGACAATATCAAACAGCGCGCAATTTGACGTACATCAAATTTTACAATGCATCCCACATGGTTCCATTCGACTTTCCTCGACGCACACGAGACATGCTGGATCGATTCATGGGTGTCGACATTGCCAGCATCGGAGGCACGCCCACTGACAGTCGCATCGATGGTGAAAAGGGCGTCGAGGTCAGCGTGGGTGGTCACACGAACAGCACAATTGCCAAAGAAGAAGAGAGCCTGAAAATCCAGGCTGCCAAGTGGGCGGCATATCGCCGTTCTGGGGAAGTCGCTCTTGTCTTTGTCATCGTCGGTGCGCTTGCATTCGGATTCTTCGTGTGGCGCGACCGCCGGCGACGACTCGGATACGCTGGAGTGCTTGGAACCGATCCATACGATCGACGGTCGTCCATAGGCGGTGGTCTCGGCCTGAACACTACCCGTCCCAATGGCAAGAGGCGTCAGACAGACCAGGACGTTGAAGCTGCCCGAGATTTTGACGAGGCAGAGTTAGATGACATGGAGCCACGTGCTCGCAGGGAGGATCTTTCCAGCGAGGGCCAACATTTTGGCCTTGATGATGATGAGGATTCGGATCAGGATATTGCCGGCCATGGTGCGGCCAGGAATGGGAGGTTGTAAACTAAATCTTATTCCGAAATTTGACACTTGGTAAGTGTTATGCAGCGGATTTTCTGAAGATCTGTCTGGAGATTGGGTGTTCTGCAGAACTTGAACTTTGGCGAATTGCAAACTGTAGTATTTGGTCGGTTATGGCAAGCATTTCATTTGACAGTCGCAGGGAGTCCGTCGCCAGCTATAAGCATGTTTAAGTGGCCGCGACTCCGTACCCTCTGCTCAGCTTCGACTGTGCAGACGTGCTTTTGGCCTCTCACTCTTGACTTGCAGTAAGTACCACCGTAGTCCTTGAAGGCCCTCGTCTCGAGTCGGCAACATGTTGGAAGAACATCGCATCTGCGGGAATCCCCGGCGAGAACCGGAAGATCACCCTCTAATGTATGATACCAGGTACATAAGCATCGGACCACCCGAAAGCTGCTCACGCCACCAATTTGACCAGCAGACGCGTCGCCGCTTTCACTGTGACAGGCATCGACTGATATACAACGAATGGCCGCACACACTTGCATTGTAGGCGACATTGCATGCTCGGTCTTTGATATGCGAATTTCCTACATGTGAAATAGTTCACTGAAAGACGATACCATCAACGACTCAACTCAACGCACAGGAGGACATACTACAACCTGATCTCCAACATGGATGCTCTGAGGTCGCTCTTCAATCTACGATGGTCTTCTGTGCCCAAGCTTCAGCCGCTCCCGACGCATATCAAGCGCGAGTATGTGCGGACTCCACGAGGTGAACTTGAGATTCTTGTTTGCGGCCCTAAAACCAGCAATGCCACAACTGAGACTCCGATAACGTTTTTCGTTCATGGTGGTTTTGGTAATGCTGGCGTGTGGATTGAGTGGATGACCCAATTGTATAACAAGAATCACCCGGGTTGGCTTGTTGCATACAGCGGACGCGGGCATGGCGCAAGCTATGCATTGTCGTACTTCGACATGGTATTCAAGACAACGATTGATGATTTCGTGGAAGATTTGGTGGCGGCTGAAAAATATGCTCGAGATCGCGTTCCCTCCACATCGTTTCGGCAGGAGATGATCTTCGCCGGTCACTCCTCAGGTGGAGGACTCGTTCAATACGCGTTGTCCAAGGCGGCGATTCGAGCTCAAGCGATATGCCTCGTGAACGCCATGCCGCACTTTGGGATGCTCGATGCGTACTGGAACTGGTTCAAGCATGACCCTTTGTTTCCTCTGCGGATTTGTTTGCATCTCGGACATCCGGTATCGCCTTTGAGTTCATTGCGACTAGTGCAATTGGCATTCTTTGGACCTAAAATCGGCGCTTCTCGAGTCGCAGAATTCATGAGGTGGATGGCGCCATACGAGAGCTTGAGCTGGCCAATTTCACAATCCGGAAGTTTCTGGCTGTGGCTGTTGGGTCGTAATGAATGGTTGAACGTGGATGATATTATCGGAAGTCTCAAGACTTCCGAGGAAGCTAATTCGGAACAGGTCTTGATCCTCGTCGGCGACGAAGACATGATGTTCCACGAAATGATGTACCGCAGACAAGCTGCAGAATATCGGCACGGCTTTGAAAAGCTGGTAAGGATGAAGAGGGTCGATGAATCGAGCGACCCCTTGACGACCGAGCCAGAGCACTCAGACCTCTTGAAGATATCGGAGAGCGGAAGCGGTGCCGCATTGAAGGTCTTGCTGCATGCTGGTCACCATCTGCAGAACGATGTGCAAAGTGCAGTGGGTGCGGAAATTATCAGGAATTTCATCACCCAGGTTTAGTCACATGTGCAAATCCATTTGTCGGTTTTGGAGCTCTTCCTCTGTTATCTTCAGCCTGCAACCAATGTTGTAGCAGGGTGTAGTCGGCTTCCGCGAATCGCAGGTAGGGGTGAGGACTACGTTTGCAGCAGTGAGAGTTTTTCGTCCGACACCTCTCACTGTCTACCATACCAACCTTTGGCCGAGCATCGCTAAAATTCTTCAGGTTCTGATCTCCAGGACCCTGCGGTAGACATCAATACGCGATCGTCGATCGTGTTGATAAAATCTCTGTATGGTGCGCATATCTATGGGTCGCAGAGGAGGACAAAGGTAAATTACAATATTGGGGGCCCCTCGAAAGAAGTAGTCCAATGGAGCAGAGCACATAAGTTCAGACAGTGAGAATCCCGTGGCAGTACCGGATTCAGTACAAGGGTCCTATCTTTACATTCGCATGAATCCATACGATGCGTGCCTGGAAATTTTGATTTCAGTCCATGGGCTGGATCTTTCGAAAGCGACGACCATGTGTGGTTCGGGGCATTTCGGGATAACGAGACCCTCTGAACTCCACCCTCTCCGACCTATGCATATTGTCCACACCCGTGAAGGATCCACATCCACCGTCTGCGACCCGCTGTGGTCGACGAGAAGAGTGGACCTGAGCTCGAAAGCAGCCTGGATCTGTGGAAGTGGGAAGGAGGCATGTCGAACGCTGGTTGACATAATATCTGGATCCGCGAGTGGCTGCCGGTCACTCGTCTCCGAGATTTTTGAACCACCGGGTAAGGATACGAGCATTCTTGCAAAGCGAGTGCGAGGTATGCAGGGCCAAATGTCAAGCTGCTTTGTGGTTGAGCAGGCCCAGCCGAGCTCGCCGCCGTGCGAAAGGGACTGGCAAGGCTCAGCCAACAACTTGCACGAACACCCGATAGTCTGAGACAGGCCGCAATTTGCTGGAAGTCTTTCGCCGTCGGCCATAGACGCACCTGTAAACGAACACAATCATGATAATATATGTGATCCTCGCGATATCGTGTTCCATATGTGACCAGAAACACAAGAAGAATATAATGATAGTGTCCTGAATTCAGTCCCCTGTCGATCCATTGGAGAAGTGGAGGGACCACCTGCATCACCCACGTGGTAGCCGGGAATAGAGACTACGAATCCGCGCTGCTGGTGCTGCTGGCTGCAGTGGTGGTGTTGGTGGTGATGGTGGCGTTTCGGCCCATGCAGCCTCGTCCTCGCTTCGTCCCGGACGCGCGGTGCTGTTGAGCGAACTGATCGTCCGTCCGCCACGATCATCGAGTGCGCTCGCTTGGTGAAGTGGACAACAATAACGCCACAACCCAGAGAGAGTCGAAGCGAATCTCCTCTGGCAAGACGATACTCGATTCTCAATGGGGGCACACAGATTTTGATAGTCTCCACGTCAGGAAGGACCATGGACAAGACGAAAGGGGACGTGAAATCGATGCATCTCGTCCCAGCCAGCGTGTTCGTGCCATGGCCCAATGTCTTGTCGCTGGTGTTCCATCGCTGACACATGCATTTTCCTGCATTGCCAACCACTCGGCGGACGTTCCCCTGCATACAACCAATTCGCATACAGTAAAATTACATGCAGACTCATTCACCTGACACCATGTCTGACGTTAGCAATCATGCGTTGTACATAGTAATGATTGTGAGGACGACGACGACGGTGCAAGTCGACCAGTGCGCATGCTGGGTGGTGGTGGTGCTGTCCGGGCGCTGATCATGTCGTTTCACCACCCACTAACGGCCACTCACACTCCTGACAGGCACAGCTACAGTTCTCTCACCACCATCGATTCCATCGCCGCCGCCGCCGCCGCAAAAAGCCCAGCAGATCGCTCAACTCCGCCCAGTAGTCATTCATTAGACCATGTTCAGACTGGATGAAGCCATCGTGGCCACGCCACCACGGTCCAAGCGTAAACGCCTTTTGCGGCGACACCGGAATTTTATTTCCTAGCCTTTTCCTCGAACATGTGTGGTACAGGTTCACTCATGCTGAATGTCTTTCGTCGTACATTGTTTGTACATTTCGGTATGGCCCTGTTCTCGAAGTCTAATTGCCTACCCAAGCGCGTGTCCCATGTCTGTGTGTCACCACAGTCCAGCCCTCGCTTCATGTTTTGGTTGGGCGACAGCGATGCGTGCGCCCTTGTGGCCTGGGCGGCAGCCACGAGCGTCGTGTTCGGTCGACGTTGGGCGTATAGATGGCTCGGAAGAGCCTAGACGAACTTTTCATATCGTGCTGTCGTGGTCGTCGGACCTGATTGGCCTCAATTATTCGTAGTTATCTTACATCGTGTATCATATTTGGACTTATCTCGAATCTATATATTGATCCATACATCCACGCCTTATCCTCCTCTCACTCAGGAAAGATCCACATTCCCAACGATACAACGATACCCATCAGTATATCAGCAAGCCTACCTAGCTACTGCCATCAGAGGTACTTCACTAGCAACACTCCCGAGGACAAATACAATACACATCACAATGGATCACCTCTGTCCGAGGATCTCGTTCCCGCTTGCGCCTTGCCTTTCCTGCTTATCTCAGACTCAGCCGAGCTTCTCGAGCAGAATGCAAACACAACCCAAACCAGTCGTCGCCAAGGTTAATTGCTCATGGCCAACCACCCCGAGAAGTTCAAGTCCAGTAGACAGCGCATACTCCTCCGAAAGCAACTCAAACTCATCCGATGAGAACGAGTCAGACGCGGACGCTTTGGGCAAATCATTCAAGGGCGGCAACCCTCTGCCTCACAGCCCTTCAACGAGATCTCGCTGGCCACGGAAACTTCTTCCACGACTACCGCATCATCGCAAAGACTCCGAGACTCTCCCACTAAGCTTATGGCGGGCACAATCGCCAATGGATATTCGAGATTGATCTCGAACACCCAAGATCAACCTGAACTCAGCATCCTGGTTAAGCATCACTCCAAAGCCGATACCAGCTCACGCCGCAGTCGATATCACTGAGGTGCATCGTGCGCCCAAGACCACTTCCATTTGCATGCCGATCTGTCACCACGATCTTTATGAGGTCTCTCGATTGAGCTAATATCCTCTGATCATCATCAACACAGCGGAACGATGATGCAGCAGCTCTTCTCTTCTCTTGTAAGTGACAATCCCATTTGGATGTCCTAAGATCAATTCATTAATTTATAAATCAGGTACATTGAACATTTAGACTTCGGCTTGTCCTGAACGACGCCATGGATGGCAGACACGCTTCCCTTGCTTCTTATATCATGTTTTCTGCTTTTAATCTTGCATTTAGCTACGGTGTCACGAAGAACATGTACCCATATTAGTTTGGCCATCGAGTCATTGCGTCGCTACTGCGTGCAGCATTTCCGGTGTCATCACAATGGGTGGATATCCATCAATGCTTCAATCAAAAGTCATCTTTCACGATCTCGCCGTGCAGAAAATAGAACAAGTCTTACATATCATGATGATCATGACCAGAAGCCAACGATCTTTCCTCAAAGCGCGTTGTTAGGAAAGATAGCAGAGGAGATCAGGTTCTTACCGGCTTCGACAGTCCTCAATCTGGCTCATCATCCGCAAATCTTCGTGCGTGCTTCGGGTTTGATGACGACAAATTGTCCCTTCGAGAGAATTGAGATAATCGCGGTCTCTTCAAATGACAAATGGATATTCATGTTCCAGCATCCCCTGCTTTGTCCCAAAACAGGTCTATTTGTCATTGACTATGGAAGGACGATCCCAGTATGTTCCAGAACACTACGATGTCCATGAATCCATTGGTGATCCGCTGATCGACAGGGTATTATCATGGCTTCTTCTTTGCCCGCAAAACGAAGGGACGACCACCAAGCGCAGGCATCTTACATCCATGACCGGTCGGCCTGCCCACAACTCATTTGAGCAATCGCATGACGCAACACTCCCAGCCGGAAATCTCGCATCGAATTTTCCGAGATCCAATCTATTTCCAGCGTCACCCTCGAAATGCAGATAACACTTTCGATGTCAAATTGTATCCACATGGAGGATTTCTGTTGAGCTGCACAAGAACAACGTTTCGGCTTTTCATGTTCTCATTTTGCCGATCACTAAATATTACAGGACTCCCAAAGAAAGCCCGGTGCCGATCCTTTCCCCCCTGAAATGCAAAACGAAATGCTTGTAAATCTCCTCCTCCCAAAAAAATGCAAATGCAGCGAGGTCCTCTTCCTCTCCTGGAAATATGTGTATAGAAGGAAAGGTTTGGTACAAAACGCATCAAGACAAGGAAAAGTCGTGTAACAACATCAAGTCATTTTCTCGGCCTGGATCCGCGTGCTCATGATGTGTACCGGCAATGTCATCAAAGGGCATTGCTATGAAATATGGAAAGCGCAGTCGTGTGAGCTACGGCAGTAAAGCATCTTTTGGTCCGCATGTTGGACTTTAATAGAATGTCGAAAAATGCCACCTGCCAACCAGAGGCATCCTCAAGGCTTCGGAGCGACTCGATCCGGAGTATGTGCTCAGTCGGTCTCGTAATTTGCTAGGTCCCAATGGCGTTTCATTGGAATACGGGGAATTGTTGGGTGCCGCACTGCCAGCATGGGCGCTGCTCGGTGCGTTGCTCGACACGTCCGAGTCGTTGATCGATGTCCTCGATGCGGTCCACTAGTCGGCGAAGCTCTTTATTATGGGATTGCATCAATTCGAGCAAGTCGTGCATAGCATTGTCCTTTCTGATGGAGTCATTGTCAGTAACTCGTTACTTCCTCAATAGAGTTCTACATCGTCGCAGCTTACTTGGAGGGGGGGATCTCTCTGTACTTGCAGGGCACATTTGCCTCTTGACAACCCTGGCAAGGTTGTCCGCCATCACACTTTGATTTTTTATTTCGGCAATTTTCGCAAGCCTGTTCCGGGCGATATGAGCAAATGAGTCTGTTACGTCGCTTGGAGCTTTCTCCACTCACACATTGTGTCCGCTTGTTGGTCTTTGACTGTTTGTCTTCGCTCCTCAAATGATGTGAGATTGGGATTCCCTGGATCCCTTGTGGCAGGATTATCGGTGCGCCAAGTTGAGGTACAACTTGCTGTTGGTAGAGAAATGGCTCTGAGTTTGAGCGGGAAGCAATGTGGGATTCTGAGAAGCTAAAGTCGGAGTGATCGGTCTGAGGAGTTGTCTGATGTGAAGCGTAGTTGTTGCTGCTCAGGATCGACTGTTGTGGTGAAGGGGTGTTGATGTAGTAATAGCCTTCTCCGCCAGGGTAGTAAGCGTTCTGAGCCATGTCTGCCATATGGTAGCGGCGATCGTGATGTCTTGTGATAGTCTGGTGCTCAACGGAGGAAGCTCGCTAGTATGGGTCGGCCGAGATCGTACGGCGAATATTTCGATTTTGAGGGCCAACGGTGTGCACGTGTAGATCGAAGTAATATGGGACTGTGAATCGACGATGAGGTAGCGGATAGTGTAAGCGATCAAAGGTATGTGATTGAAGGAAGAGATTGATCAACGTTCAGGGACACAGAGCAATCTATATGTTCGCGAAGATAGAGGCGCTGGAGAAGCAAAGCATTGCATCGACCCGAACAGTTCATTCACACATTGCACCACACAGCTCACCGGATCACGCGCCATCCCTGCTGAGGGACTTTCAAATCGACGACCGAAACCCCTGGTATGACGAGTATCATCATGCTCGTCATGGATGAATGCCGGTAAGAATGGCGCTCTGAATTCTTCGGACTGCAGCTGCTTGTGTAAGACATGCGTAGGTCCGATATTCAGTTGCTGACGGCAAAGGCGGCGTGGAAAGCCATTGGCTACCATCATGCGAGAGCTCTGTCAGGAATAGGGTTCCGCTTTGATTGCCGCAAACATCTGATGGTTCGTCCAATGCATGGTCAATGGCCCCAGAATATGGCGGCAACCCATTCTGGCGACATGCATGAGCATGGCCCAGCCGGTGGTTTGCCGAAGTACGCATGCAATGTCAACCTTGAAACTTGCCAGCCAGCAGACTGTGAGCTGCGACACCACAGCGGAGATGCCATCATCGATACCTTCTCCAACAAGTAGGAGATTCGTACCACATGGGGCCGAAAGAAGAGTATGTAGAGCGAGTCTCGAGCAATCGAACAGCCTCGAGTAGCATTCATCGCATTCGGCACTCAACAGCCATTAGCCATGGGAGTCGAGGTTCGTTACACATGATACGTGCACAAAGCGATCAAGGGCCCTGAGATTGGTCCAAAGAGACGCCAGGAAGGGAGAGGCTCACGGGGGCTGGACTTCCGCGCAAGCGTTGATCCAAACTTTATATATTGAGAGACCCGATCGTTCTTGGCCGGCTGCTCTCGTTGTCCGTAGAGTTGTCGAGTTCGGATCTTGCTCCGTGCGTCGAATTGGTCACCCTGCATGACACCAGGAAGTCTAGCCGGCGGCCTGCCGATCGGTTCTCACGGTTTCGATAATCCATGTATTTCAAAGTACATACCTCACACCGGACGGGCCTAGACGTACGCTCAAAACTCGATTTGTTCAATGGTTAAATTGGTGGAATGCCGACGGCGCAAGCTGGGACACAAAGGGTGGTCGATCGGCCGGTGAATGGTTCTGTATGATCGGCGATGGTGATGATAATGGTCTCCACTGTACTGCCGTGGTACTATTCCCGGGCCACAGAACAAAGAAGGTCAAGGCCTGGCCAGCTGGCTGGCAGGTGGCTGTTGGCTGCTTGAGGAAGCGTTCCTCGTCAAGCAGACAAATCTGTAATGCAATGCGGGCCGCTACTGGTTGGCTGGCTGGCTGCTGGCAGGCGCTGTTCCGCCCGTCAACATTCTGCCGGCCCAGCCAGACATGCACAGTTTCATCCTTTCAGCCATCAAATCTTGTGAACAGCCCTGTGTAAAGATAATTATAAACCCCCTGGTCAATATTTCCTGCACAACTCTGTAGCACTTGTGGTCATCCTTTTCCCGAATGCATCTTTTCTCCATCAAAATTCTTAAGAATTTTATCGTATGTGGAGAATGTTGCAGCGGAACCACAATCCTAAGTCGACAGGACCTGCGATCGATTTACCCTCAACACATGATCCACACGTCCTCCTCGATGCACGAGCAGCAGCAGCAGTGAGTACAACGCACATCCAAACCCCTCATCTATCCTCACGAAGTGACCATACTGCTGCTTAATGTTGTTTCAGAGCTAGCCGCAGCCACCGCCTGTTCCTGTCATGCGATCAGACGGTGGCCGAGGTGAATCGGCAGGAATGCTTGTCTTAGAAGATGCACAACAATATGAGCGAGGGCACTGCACGAGTGCCGCAGTCTTCCTCAATCTTTGGTTGATTGATTGAGTTTGTAAGAGATGCCAGCCTTGCCTCGGGCACCTCCATTTCGTAGTGGGACTGCAGGCAAACCGGCTAGGCTATCTCAATGCCGAGCTGTGGCTGTGTGTGTAATCCTATTTGTAGGAGACCTGCATATCGAAGCTCCCGTCCCTCCCAAGGTTCACTCATCTCACAGCGACTGCTCCGGAGAAAAAACAGCGTTTCAAAATTGGTCCATGAGAACCCTGAGTAGAAGCAAAGAGTCTCTTGCAGCGAATGATCCACGGGTCTCACTCTTATCGTGCTGCCTTTCCGATTCTGATGGCTTCATATTCCTCCTATCTGCAATGCCCGACACAACGGGCATTCAGCGTATCTCGGCCATACGCGAAGCCTGTAGTGCGTCCCTGATCTTCCCCAGCGCCACATCTTGACGAAAGGAAATCGGCCAGCAGCCGTGTGGTGGCGATTACCGGACAAAGTCACTCTCAAAAGGGTACTGTGCAGAGCAGATGGCAGGATATGCCAATTTCCACGATATGCATGATTTCGTTCGGCTCGTATCACGAGCTTGAAATTTAAGGGGTTTCCTGCTGGTCATGCTCGTCGAGGTCTCAACGCTTGCGTCCCTTGAAGGTTGGGAAGTCTAAGCGGTCGCGGTTGTGATCTGTCAACGCTTCTCAGGTCGTTGAACAAGTCCATGATGTGCCGTTCTTGACCATGGACATGTGAAAATGGGATACTTGGGCTCGAATGCTTCGATCTTGGCTCTTGCTCCACGATGTCCGCGTCGTCTTATTGCACTCCACAGGCTCTTTGTGAGCTTGTACTGTGCAGTCGCACTCTGTTCTCTGAGAGCGCAAGATCCTAGGTATCGCTCGATTTTGCATGGACTTGAGCATTGTAGTGCTCTGGCGATGATGTACTCGCATCGATCGAGGGTAGCTTGAAAATGACAGTGCGTCATTGGGACATGCAGCAGGTCGGTCCGGTGAGGCTTTCCCGTCGTTGACGCAGACTTGAGCCATCTTGGCGCGAGAGAACACTTTTGACGAGTTGCATCACCAGCATGTAGTGCCTGAGCGGCGACGACGTCAGAATCAACTTCGCCAGACTCCCTCCCTCTATATTGATGACGTTGCCCAGTTATCGCTCCACTGCGCATGACCCCTTACAGCAGGCTCAGCGAGGGTAATAATGTCAAGCGATGAGAAACATTCCCTGAGACACCCGTACAGCCATTGCAGTTTTCGTCACATGCGTCAATGGAGGAAACTACAAGTGCATTGGTGGTTTGAAATCAGCAGGTCTTGTTTCGAAGCGATGGACCACTTGTGACGAGTGTCGAGACAGTGCTATATCTCTCTCTCGCGACAGGGACTTCGTCTTGTTATCGTCACTACCCAAAATGAATAGGGCTTGCAGAGGATGATTTGCTGGGTGGAGAAGAGGGAAATTTAATGATTCATGACGGTCATGGCATTTCATCAAATACAGCACATACAAAATAACATCACTGACCGATGAGGTCGTGTTCTAGGTATCCCTTCGTCATCTCCTGGCCCACAGCTTTTGAAAGAAAGATGGAGCTTAGTCCGACTTCCACCAGTCACCCTGGTCCTTCATCGCAGCGGCGACCTTGCTGAAACCAGCAATGTTGGCACCAGCGACGAGCGATGGCAGCTCGCCCTCCTTCGGCGGCACAAACTCTTGGGCGGTCTTCAAGCAGTTGTTGAAGCAGTCCTCCATGATACCCTTGAGCTTCTGGTCGACCTCCTCGGCGGTCCACTTCAGGCGTGCGCTGTTCTGGGCCATTTCGAGACCGGAGACGGCCACGCCACCAGCGTTGGCAGCCTTGCCTGTGAAGAGACACCCGTCAGTTGCACTGGACTTCGTACAGGAATGGAAATATGTGATGCATTTGACTTACCAGGTCCGTACCACAACGCATCAGAGCCCTTCTCGCGACGAGTCTTCTCGAAAACATCAATGGCCTCCTGGGTGGAACCCATGTTTGAACCCTCAGCGACGAATTTGGCACCAGCCTTGACGAGAGCCTCGGCCTCCTCTCCTGAGATTTCGTTCTGGGTTGCGGAAGGCAGGACAACGTCGACGTTTCCGACGTGGGTCCAGGGTCGGGCACCCTCGACGTACTTAAACTTGTCCTTGTACTCTGAGGCGTTGGCCAACTCCGAAAGCTGCTTGCGCTCGACCTTGAGCTGAGCAATGGTGCTGACGAGCTCGGGAGTGATTCCCTTGTCATCGGTGGCGATCAGTGCACCCTTGCTGTCGGAGAGGGAGACGATGGTGGCGCCGAGCTCAATGGCCTTAAGGGCGGCGTATTGAGCGACGTTTCCGGAACCGGAGATGGCCACACGCTTGCCCTGGAAGGATTCCTGGCCCTTTGAGGCGTGCTTGATCATGTGCTCGACGTCTGCCAAACATGTCAGAATCGTGCCTTGACCTCTGCGCGGAAGAGATCGTCTCAATATACTCACAGTAGACCAGACCGTAACCAGTAGCCTCCGGGCGGATCAAGCTACCACCCCAGCTACCGCCCTTTCCGGTGAGGACACCCTCCCACTTGCCTTTACGCATGCGGTAGGTACCGAACATCCATCCGATCTCGCGAGGCGAGACACCGATGTCACCAGCGGGCACGTCAGTGTCGGCACCGATGTGCTTCTGCAGCTCGTTCATGAAGGCGACGGAGAACTTTCGGATCTCGTTGTCTGATTTGCCCTTGGGGTCAAAGTCGGCACCACCCTTACCACCACCCATCGACACTAAGCAACTGTATCAGCAATAGCTCTTTTCGTATCCGTGTCCTGGGCAGACTGTGGTGTGTAAAGGAGACTCACGCCCAGTAAGAGCATTCTTGAAGATCTGCTCGAAACCCAAGAACTTCAGGATGGAGAGGTTGACGGAAGGGTGGAATCGTAGGCCACCTTTGTAAGGACCGAGGGCGGAGTTGAACTGGACACGGTAACCGCGGTTGACCTGGCATTGGCCCTTGTCATCCTCCCAGACGACACGGAATTGGATGACGCGCTCGGGGATGGCGGCGACCTCGAGAGCCTTCTTGTACTCGGGGTTCTTCTCGAATAGGGTGCTGTTCTCGAGGGTGGAGACCAGCTCTAGAGGGTCGTTGTGGTCAGTCTCGCTCACGCAAGGTTCGACGATTGGATCATGATATTGACAGTAGTGAGTCACGAGTGTGACAAAGGCATCGACATACCCTTGTAGGCCTGCTCGAACTCAGGCTCGGAAACGTTGGGAGAAGTCATGTTGGTAGTGTATAGTATGAATGATATGTAAGATATGTGAGGGAAGGAGAGAGAGTTGATTAAGGAGGGAAGAAATCTTTCTAGGTATAGCAGAGGATCTGATGAATCGAAGAAGCAAAAAAAAAAGAATCGAGGATAGTGATGATAAACAAGGCCCCATCGGCCTAGGAGTCGGAGACTCTACCACACCTACAGTACAATGCGGCGCTACTACCTGGACGAGGCCCGCTCTAGCACGGCTGTCACTGAGACATGGCAATCCCATAGCCGACACTACGCGTGCACGATGGGCAAATAGATTGCTAGGCGCCATGAATACTGCGGCGCATATCGGAGGAGACGTGAGAAGACAAAGTGGTGTGGGATTTGCCCCGATGGCAGAGGAATATAGCACTGTCCAGACCTGTCTGGCTCATCCACAGGCGTGCTGCGAGGAGTGCGCAAGGAGGCGCTTTCGACACTCGGCGCATTATCTTATATTTGCACGTCATCACGACGCGCGAACGTTCCCCCAACCCTATTAGCGACGACCCTCGCTCTCGGGCGTAATGAGCCACCCTTGATGAGTGATGCAGCGATGCGTGCTGATCATGCAAGCATTGGAGGCGCGACAAAGAGACGAACGTGCGGTATGACGATGATGTTGTCTGTGACGTGACGAAATGTTATGTTTAATCCCCACCTGTGTCCTGCAAATTGGAGGGGCCACCGCGCTGATTCTTATCGGCGGCCGGTCGAGGCGTATCGTTAGAGCTTGATTGGCCAGGACGAATAAAAACATGTCAAGGGTCTCTCCCACTACAGCAATCCAATGCCGGGGAGAGGACAACATGTGTATACATCGCATCGCTCAGAAACTCGACAACCTTCTTCTGGAGCCGCCAACACACCGTCGTTGCACATTGCAGCTTAGCATGGTACGTGACTACGCGTACTACATGCAATGGCTTCAGGATCATCATCTTTTGCGAGAAAGGATATTGGCCGAGATCGGACTGGTGGGGGTGAATTGCATCCTTGGCCTATATCGCAGTCTTGTTCTCGACCTTGGCTCGCCAGGAATATACGATCAAGGATGACATGTTTCTATTGGTACATGAAACCGTGGGCATGCTCCTAGGGATCGAAATGCTACCGATCCCCAAATCGTGGCAATTGGATCTCATTGTTCTCGGTGTTCTTCTCGGGCAGATGAACCTTGCCTACAGTCGCATTGGCCTTGCGATATCGGACTCACGCTAGATGGCTACGTCTTTCAGGTGGATGTTGTTACAGCATATCCTTCACTTCGTCCATCCGCACTGTAGTACCTGCAGACTTGCATTACTATTCATCAAGCACGTTGCCTGTCGGCATTGTGTCTCCACTCACGAGTCCCCAGGCAAGTGGAGGAAGGATTGTATGTAGGGCCAAACGGCCAGTTCTATGCTCGCGTGTCGCAGGCAGCTCCATATTTACTTTGCCCTTGCTGTCATCGGACATAATGGACGGTACATCATTATGCTGATCACTCCTGGCGGGCAGATTTACAGTAGATCTTCTCGTAGATGGCTAGAGCTTCTGCCGAATGACTGTGGCCACACACGCATTTGATGATGCAGATTCCTCGGCTCTGCGAATATCAGTGTCGTCAGTGAAGCACCGAGATCGTGGTCCGTCTGCGATATTGTGCAGGGCTGGTGAATTTGGCCGGGAATGTGTGGAGAAATCAGCTGAAGGATTCGGGCGGCGTCCCGCTAGTGGCATGCGCGGCGACGAGAGGCAAGATCGAAATCATTCCAACACACGGGCAACTCTATAAATCCCATGAAGTGTTGTAATAATCGGAATTCTGGCCTTGTGAATCCCCCACTTGCATCAGAACGTCAGGGCACAGCAAAGGTACAGGTGGAGCGGCATCGGCAAGAATTTGACTCAAACGTCGAGTTCACCATCAGTGATACTTGTATGGATTAAGGTCTAGAGCTCAAACACACGTCCAAATGCTGCTGGGACCAGATGGTGGTGTACAGTTCGTACGACAGAACGCGTGTCATTTTTGTAGAGTGGCACTGCTCGGAATCCAATGCATACCTACCTAGGTACTTAGGTAGCAACCATCGAAGGGCCCCGAGTCAATGGTCATGGGCAGGTGTTTCAGCTAGGGTTGCTGTCAGGGTTTGGGTTGGCTTATCTCTCTCTGTGTGCTTTGTTCACTCTTGACCTCTTCCACGCACAATATTCCCGGGAGATTGGCACGATGCCTCAAGATGCAAGGCCACCACATGCGCTCACTTGACGACGCTCTGATTCCGCGATTCTCGAAGCATCGCATGATCATTGAGTCCGATGGAAGTTCCGACAGGAGGATGGGGTTTCAAGCCGAATCATCCAATCCGATCGAGAACCAAGTCAGGGGGATAGCTTCCAAATTTGCGTAGGGCTTCGACAATTCAAGTTCCCTGCACGATGTGTTGGTACTTCAGCACCAGTTAGTCATTGTAGCCATACGTGAAGGCATCATACACTGAACAGTGCGCGATTACTGCCTACTGGACGAAGAAAAATGTAAGCGAGGTGGCCGCTGGAAGACCTTCGTCAATGTCATCAAGCGAGGCAAATTCCAAGGGTTGAAAGGTTCACCATCCGGTCACTTGCGCCTGCCTGTACAACACTGAAATATGACGGCGGTGTGATGATGAACGCAAGTACCTAGGTAGATACAGTCTAACCTGGGAGTCAAAAGTGAATTGGTCAGCGACGGACGTTCTTTCCCTCCATCGCCCATCACAAGCAGCCGTGGAGTTCACTGTTTCTTCGTTCAGAAAGCCATTTCCCGCGGAAGCTTGTGACACTGGAAGGTGCAGTAGAGACCGCCCAAGCCTGCCAACATGTGATGGTAAATCTCATTGACACAGTCTTTGGAACCAAAACACTTTTCAAGTGACACACTCGCCCTTCACATCATCTTCACGACACGTGTCCCACATATCTTCTTCATTCTCCTCAACCAAAAGTGCTTACGACCTTGAACCTTCTTACAATCGTATCGAATGTTGAGAATCGATGGTCGGCCTGCTCATCTCATCAAACAACTCACTTTCACTTCCCCTCGTTGAACAAGCGAATACAAGCCGAGTACTGAGTTTGAACCATCGACAACTACACTTTTCCCATCTGCCTCTGGCTCTTCTCATTCATCGCCTTCATTCGAATTGCCCCGTGACACGCCACACAGTCGTCGGCGTCATTTTAATTATGCAGGTGAATATCGAAGAGATGATGCGTCAGATGGTGGAGGATTTGGGAGAAGAGCGTCGTTACCAAGTTGCGAATCAACGTAAGACCACTTCGACCGAGCATGCTTGCTCGCAAGTCTAAATGTATTTGATGCAGGCGTTGACACCCATAACGATTATAGTTGCCGGAGAGGAGAAGGCGATACGAATCCCAGAAGATCAACTTGACGGTCAGTCACACCGAAGAAATAAGACGCCGACCGCTCAAGTCGTTGCTGCGCCATTCTCGCACCACCGTGGCAATGACAACATTTATCAAGGCCTGCAGAGAGTTGGACACCCTCAAAGGCCTGCTGGGGAACGTGCAGGATCACCTTCGAGACATGGTAAGGTCAAGTGGGTTCGCGACCAACTCGTAAATTCATCCCAGAGTACATTGCCACAGAGCCCACAAGGTGTGACTATGAGCAATGCCGCTCCTACTCCGCGTCCAAAAGACCGGTCTATCCAACGGCCTGCCGCAAACATGACCGCCTTCGAGTCTGATTCCAATCGCGGCCGTTTGGTAGATCAACAGCGGTCTCCAATGTCAGTGCCAACTTCACAGGTCATACAGCGGCAAGGCTCATCGATTTGTTCACGAAGCGGATCAACATTTGACTCGATCCGAGCTAGCCTTGGTCTATCCTCGAGTACCGGGCCCGATTTACCTATAGATAACCACGGCCTGCGTGCCAGGGAGATCCTTCAGAAAGCTCGAGATCTCTCGCCGGAACAACAGGCTGACCTCAGAGAGAAAAATGACAAGCAGTCGACATCCCTGCGAATGGCTTCAAAGGCACTAAAATCTGCAAAGTCGCCGACGCCCTTTACTGTTCTCTACTATCGAACGGCGTCTGATCTTGAGAAGAAGCTGTTCGCCGCTGCGAAGGAGATGCTCGCCGAGAATGTCGAGCCAATCGCAACGCACACCACGACAGCTTTGAAGGATACTCAAAACATTTCTAATCAGCGAAGAGACAGTGCTTACGATGAAGAGAAGTTGAATGCAAGCAATTATCACGCGGCAAGTTTGAAGGATGCTCCGAACAGTCCCGATCAAAACGGTGCTCACGACGAACACAGTTCGACTGCGGGCAATGATTACATAACATCCTCGACTATTACTCGATCTGGACCAGCCTCTGGTACGGAGTCTGTGGAGATGACACCGCAAGGATCGACAGGGATTTTCAAGCAAACAACACAAGGCTCGCTTACTGCAATCATCTCCTCGGTCGGCGCGGTCTGTAAGGCTTGGCACTGGCAAATATCTCTGCCTGTAAACATCGATGTCAAGATGACGGCACTCGAGCCAGGATACGACACTTATGATCTGCTCCAGAAAGTTCATCAGACATTGGAGGAGATGACGGCCATTACAGATCGCTCTGATCTCGCTTCTGATGGTCTGATCGATTCGACTGCCGTCCATGTCGCTCGTAGAGACGAGTCCTCCCCTAGGAGAATGCCCGGCAACTTGGGCAGCGGTTCCTGCGGAGAGCAAGCTGCGAAACCACTGGCGAGCGAGTCAGACGGTGAAGTTATGTCCACTGCACAAGACGTTGCCGATTGGCTGCGTGAAGGCATTTTCTGATCTGATTTGCATGAAAGTTATGAGGACACATGTGACGCGTCATGCAAATGCTCACATTTGGAAGCGTTCAGGGAGAGGCCTGGATCAGAGGGCAAATGCCACTCACTCAGATGAGTAGAGAGATCAAGGCTGACATGTCTGTGAAGCGTGAAGTCTGAAATGCTCATCATTTGGTAAGCCGAGAGCACTGTAATGGTGACTCGAAGGAGGGTAATGCTGAGATTCGCAAAGTGTAAGCTCATCAACCATGAACAAACATCACACTCATATGGCTTGTCTATTGATCATTACTCATTGTCTTCATCGTATCCGTTTTCATACCCTTCGCCTTCCTCGCCATCATCTTCCCCGCTGTCCTCTCCCTCGCCATCACTCTCTCCTCCAGATGCCTCATAGTCTTCTTCCAATTCATCCTCTTCATCCTGAAGCTCTTGCTCCGTCTTCTGCCGTGCCGCATCATCTTCCACACCGCCCTCATCCTCCTCTTCGCCTTCCACCAACGCCAAACCCCCGCCGTTCGCATCCGTTGAAGTCAAGACCTTCTTATTGTCCTTGTTCACGTTATACGCCTTAGCTCTCCTCTGCGCCGCCATTGACGCATCATTCAAACCATGCTTCTTGATGTACGCATCGATGCCCGCAAAATCCGCCTGATCCAACATACTGAATTCCGTCTCTTTCACCTCTCCTGTCCCAGCTGCACCCACAGCACCCGGTTCCGTCGCCGCAACGACCAGATTAAACGTCCTCTGCAACACAGATGTATAGCTCACACTCTCAATCACGCCAAAGGGGAAGAATACCAGCGGTTTCTTGAAACCAAAGACTACCCCGTGCGGCAGGAAGAAGAGATAGCCCTCTTTACTGCCCCGATGGGCTTTGACGTGGTATGCCGTCTCGCCTTTCCGGTGAGATTGGGGAACACTGGATGCGAATTCCGCGTCGCTGGGCCGTGTGACGGCGCGGTTGTAGGGCGCAAGGAGACCGTTGAGTTGCGTTTCCGTGTTGAGCACGTCGTCGATTTCCGCGCCAGCCTTGGGCTCGTTCATTGTGAAAACGAGCTGGTCGAGGGGAGCGCCGTCGATGCTAAGGGCGTTGGGTCGCGGAAATATGCAGAAGTTCCATTGCCGCGCTTGTTTTTCGGGAACGGGGAGGCAGAAGGCTTGGTCGATGGAGGCGGTGGGGAGGGTGTATTCGATAGAGCTGTCTGCTGGGTTTAGGAGGCGGATTTCGCCTCGCTGGATGGAAGCGGCGTCGGTGGAGAATTGGAGTTTGAGTTTTTTGCGGGTGGGGACTGAGATGGAGACGCCGTCGCTTTCGAAGGTCGTAATGCGGTTTTGGATGTTTGCGCTGCTGGATGAGACGGAGGCTGGGTTGGGATTTCCTAAGGGTAGAGAACCTTCGCCGTCGAGTTTTCGTTTCTTAGTCGCGGCGGTTGCTGCTGCCTGCTGCACATTGTTGTTGACAGTTTGTTGTTGTGAACGGATGTATTGCGCGATGTCGTTGAACAGAGGCAGCAATGAATGGTTCGAGTCTACCGATGCTTGCAATATCCTGTTGGCAAGATTCTGGTCCTGGACGAAAGCTTCTTGGATATCACTCGTCCAACCGGCCTGCGCCATGGCTGTTGAAAATCTATGTGTATGCACGTGTGAAGTGGGTAATAGTGAGACTTTCTAGAATTGAAGTGCAGACCTTAAATTATCATGACGGGCGACATCTAGGCGCGTGGCCCGGTCTCGCGCAGGAACGCGTCCACTATTTTGCGACAAATTGATTAGGGCTAATTATAATGACCACCGAGAAGTTGCGTCATGCCAAAACCCATGTTTACCGTTTGCAATGATCACGAGATGCTTCACCGAGCGTTTGCAACATGCTTTGAAGAATTGCATTTTATACATGAATCCTGCCCGTGAGGTTGCTCCACTGAAGTAGGAGATTTTCCTATGCTCCGAGTAGAACCGCAGAAGGTGAATGGGATTTAGTGAGAAGTTCTCTACGCAAAGACCAAAGCGCATCGAGAACGGCAAAGAAGGTTGGCATGAACATCTCAAGAAGCCGTGGGATCCTTCAAGTTCAGGGATGAATTGCATGGCAACCATATCTCATTTAGATCCTGGAAAGAATAACGAACTGCGCTGACAAGAATATACACCAGCGGTAATGCTACTCATCGCTTCGAGTACCACATGCTAGACAGCGCCCAATGCCGCGACCGCCACGAGTCCAGCCCAAGCTGGATCGAAAAGGATAGCGCGGGCGGTCATTGTTGCCGCGGCAGCTGTCGATGTCGTCGTGGAAGTTTGACGAAGCGCTGCTTCCCTGGCTGCCACGAGCTTCTCAACGCCAGCAGTCACAGTGACACCGACGTATTGGATCTGTGTGCCTGAAAGGGCAGTCGTACTGCCGAGATATCCGAGTCCAGGAATGGGGACATTGCCTGTACATAATGCTGCCGATGCCGTTACTACCGGTGTGCGCATGAGGTCGGCTCCCACTATGACGCAGGCTATGGTTGTGGCAGCTTCGGGCTGAATAAGTGGACTTGCTGCATGTTAGTCGGCTTTTAATGGCATGGCAAGTTAGAGTGCAACCTACTTCGTGAATTCGTCCTGGATTGGGTCCGTAGCAGTGAAGACCAATGTGCTCGGTCCTTGAGTTAGTGTGATTGGAGTCTTGAATCCACATTTAGCATCGGTGGTGGTCGCCGTTGAAGGACCATTGCAGCCGAGAACGTAGACTGTTTGTGAAGGGTCCTGTTGATGTATAACAAAACCGAGGGTCAGTGATATGAGCTGCATACACGGAATGTAAAGGAATAGTCTTACGGCTGCAACGATCGAGGCCTGAACAGTACTTGGAGCGCCACTTGGAAGGACAATAGTGACTGTAGAAGTGCTGCTGGTTGTGGTTGACGGCACTGTGACACCAGTAGTGAGGGCTTGTCCCGCTACCTGTCCGATGAAGTCTGCTGCGAACAAAGCCACGCTGCAGAGAACAAATTTATGCATATTGTTCTCCTCATCAAGAGCGTTGTCTGTGAGTCGAAGCTCCAGGATGACAATTCAATCGTCAACCGTCCGACCTGATCGCGACGGTCAGAGATGCAGTACGAGCCACTAGCTCAGTGGTTGCGCGCGAATCTCAGCCAGCCATGCGCTGACGGTGAGAATGGCGGAATGGCGAAGTGTACACCGGCAGTAGTGGTGGCAGAGTAATGCGCGCGCAGCATGATTCCAGTATGTAATAACAAACTTCCAAGGTTCCGACCCAAAACACTAGCTCATGGCGGTTCTTGGTCGGCAGGGACGATCCTCTCCCTTCTTAAGGTGCTTCTGACGCCGAGGTGGTGTCAGTCGTGCCAAGGGCATGGCGTTTACTGCCAAGTCGAACGTATGTTCGCAACTTCGCATCCGACCAAGTGTGTGATGAGTGGGTGAACCTATTGTCGCAGATGGTCCTGCTTACTGGACGTCGATATGTTAATCCAGCTGCCCGCCAACCCTTCAATTCTTCAAGCGTGGAGCGAATCCTCGACTGCTCCCGGACAATGTCCAACGGCAATTGGCATTCGAAACGGGTGGAGCACAAATGCCGGGCCGGCACTGAGAGAAGCACTTAAAACACCATAGACACAAAGGCCTTTCCAATTCATCCTCAGGAGATCGAATTTGATTTCTCTACCATGGGAAGTGAAGACTGGACTGATGATTGTTTTTAACCTGATAGATACTAGCACGAAGCTACGGTTTGCGGTTATGATTTCTCCCTATTATCACCAGCTCAAGCAACTCGGTTGAAATTCTACCCAGTCCACGATAAATCCCATGGTCATCCATTACCCATGCGATATGGCAGCGCGTAATCATTCCTCGTTAAAACCCTCGACTTTGAAGCTCCCCAAGTGCCTCGCGACACACCTAGCGCTTGGAAACGATTTTCGCAAGTCGATTCAAGCCGGTCTGCGATTTGAGAACGAAATCGGTAATGAAGCGTGGGAACAAGAAACTTAGGTAACCAATGGTCGCCGTGCCACCGCGCCAGACTTGAGAGGGTGGTGAGGACTTGACTAGATCCGAGACCACGCCCCTTGCCCATGTGTGTCGGTCGGCCATGTGAGGCTCGAAATCGGCTCCGTTAAGCGTCTTCTCCACGGTTTCCTTGATCGGCTCGTACAGTGATCCCTCAGGGAGTCGCGGACGGCCGTCATCTCCGGCGGAGGTGTTGTTTGCGAAAAAGTTGGTCTTGACAGCGCCGGTTTTGAGATCGACGACGCGGACGCCATAGGGTGCTAGCTCGAGGCGCTGCGCGTCGGCGAAGCTCGCCATGGCGGCCTTGGATGCATGGTATGTGCCTTGGAAGGGCACTGCAATGACTGATGCGATCGAGGTGTTGTGGACGACAACTCCCTTGGATTTGAGCAGTAGTGGAAGGAAGGCTTGGGTGACCGCTAGGTATGACCATACGTTGAGATCAAACAGCTTTTTGGCCTCGAGAATCGAGATGTCCGAGATGGGCAAGCTGTAGCCAGCGCCTGCATTATTGACCAGGATGTCCAAAGTAGGCACCTTGCTGACAGCCTCCTTGATGGATTCGTCGGACAGGACGTCTAAAGTGAGAGTTTCAATGCCCAGCGCTTTGAGTTGCTCCATCTTGGCCGGGTTTCGCGCGGTAGCAATGACGTGAAGGCCGGCGCGGTGGAATGCTTCAGCTAATGCTGCGCCGAGGCCTCCGTCGGAACACCCAGTGATCAAAACCGTTTTCTTGAGACCGGACATTATGCGCGTCGACGATACGGCTGACTGTGATGATTGAGAAAGAGTCCTTCCACGTGTGGAATGATGCGCTCTCTTGCGCGATGGACGTCGGACTATATATACAACACGCGCGCGTATTCTATGATCCTATAAAGGTTGATTGCTTTTTTGCGGCACAAGAAGTCGCAACTATTGGTCGGCAACGCGCCACGACGAGGCTGGCAGCCTTTGCGACCGAGTTGTGTTGCACTATTGCATTGCGACGGCAATGACGCCGCCCGTGAACTCTCTAGCCCGTCCGGAGAGATTTGTTAGCCCGAGCGTCTCATAGCTACCTGGCAGTTGTGCCGTGTAAACGAAACCGAGCCGTGACTAAGCGAAATGCTTTCAAATCCACCCATGGATCGAAGGCTTTCGACAAGTGCAGAACCTATTCATCACCTTTTCGCGTCACTTCACATCAATGTGTATTTGGCATCACAATCCGATCATGGCGATGAAGTCCAACAGGTGTCATGGTCAGACGACAGTGTTCCTGTTGCTACGCAATCCGAAGAGGAGCGGCAGTGGACGAGTTTGCGTGCTGTCCCTCATCTGTGGAACCATTCCTTTTCGTTAATCATAGCTACCTAAGTCGGCACACCTAGTACACTTCTTAAAGTGCAGCCAAAATCGCCTCGCCAATGGGACCAGCGCTGGCTGGGTTTTGTCCAGTGATCAGCTTTCCGTTTTTGCCGCTAGCAACGACCTTCGCCTGCCAGGCATCCGCCTTAACAATCTTCGCACCGTTAGCTGCGAGTTGTGTCTCGAGCATGAATGGAACGGCGCTCGAGAGGCCAACCTGGTCCTCCTCGGCGTCGGTGAAGGCGGTGACTTCTTGGCCGCTGACCAAGTGGGTGCCGTCGGAGAGCTTGACGTTGACCAGTGCTGCAGGGCCATGGCAGACTGCAGAGACGACCTTTCCGCTCTCGTAAAACTCTTTGATGAGTTGTTGCGACTCGGCATCGGTGGCGAGATCGTACATGGCTGCGCAGTGACTGTTAGAGCTTGCCGTGTCTCTTCTCTTTCGTTTCAGATTCGTCATGACTTACGACCGTGTCCACCGACATAGAAGATGGCGTCGAACTGGTCAGCCTTACCGATGAAGCTCGAAAGCTTCTCGGTGTTCTTCCATAATGACCCCTTCTCCTTCAGGAATTTGGTCGACTCGGCATCCTCTTTGAAAGCCTCAACCGAGCTGGGGTCCAATGGAGCCTCGCCACCCTTGGGCGAAGCGACTGTGATGTCTGTCTTGCCCTCAAGCTTGTAGTATGGGTGAGCAAACTCGGGCAGGTACCTGGATCAGTATTCCTTTAGAGACGATGTCATGATGCGGGAGAACGCGTGAGCTCTTGGGTCTGCCCCGCCGACTTGCTACATACCATCCAGTGGTCTTGCCAGTGTTTCCCAGCTCCTTGTGCGAGCTCAAGACAAAAAGAACCTTTGGTGCCATATCGTATGTCGTGAATGATGATTATTGAATGTGTGAAGAGGGATGTGGGATTGACGGCAGAGAATACTGTTCCTCGGGACAGGCTACTGAACATTAATAAGTATTCTCGACCCCAGCAAGGTCATCGAGAGCTCCTGGACTTTCGCCGTCTTGGGAAGCTCTAACGTTACGTCACAAATATCCACGGGTTGAAGCAAATCCCAGGGACATGGGCAGACGCCGGGAGAACGTCGATCTGGACCCGCAATATTGCCGCCACTGCTTCCTCCCGTAATACTGTACTGGAGAAATTGCCCAACCTTTCACCTTTCTACCCAGGGATGGATCAGAAAAGTAGTGGAAGTGAATTTATTTTCGGCCCTGCCCAGGTGGTCTGGACGTTCAATTTGCTGGCTACATCGGCGTGAATTCAAGATGGTCTCCTCTCAACCCGCAATCACCGAAATCAGATGCATCACAGTTGGAGCAAATCAAATAGACAATCATGGCAGACTAGACCGAGGCCAATTGCTTCTTCTATAAAAATTGTTATCTCCCAATGCCCGACGGCACCTCAAAGACGAGCAATTCGGAGGCACGTGAAGCACGTTCGACCTTGGACATCTCCATTCGGTACCCTAAAGACGAGACGATCCATGGATCCATGGATTCCCAGATGTGGGGAACTGACTCGGAATTTTGCGATTGGCTGTGACGTCCATGGAATCTCACGATTGATTGGCACAAACGCTCCAGTATGCAAATTCATCACCATGCATAGATGCAGAACCCACACTCAATAGCAAGCAGGGGTGTGAGCATCGGGCGTAACACAAGTCGTCTGATCTGAATTGCCCGACCTCGCTGGCGTCGATGACCCTCCGGCGTCTCATCCACCCGCGACACGAGCGAAGTCCGGCGCTCAGAGGCAGCTGACATCGCGCTTGTTTGACGGCATGAGCGCACAGAAGGCTTCAGGTGGCTTGCAGGCTGCTTGTGTTAGGTGCCGCCAGGGCAAGATCAAATGCATCCGACCGTCCAATTCCGACGCTTGCAAACGCTGCGCTCGAGATGGGACCGCGTGCGTTGTGCCAGAATTGCGCATGGGAAGGCAGAAGGGCGCACGGAATAAGCATCATGGTCTGGCACGCTCCTACCATCAGATCTCTGGCGCAATCTCACAGCTCCAGAAAGGGACTCTCGACCCGGAGTCGACGCAAACGTTGCGAGACTTGAAGACTTTACTGCAAGGAGTCGAAGTGCCCACGACGGAACAGCTCCTGCCTGTGCCAGTAGCGAAGATTTCCATATCTCCATCGCGATCATCCTCGGAAGACTCCTATGTGGAATCGGCATTGGAAGATGTCGAGAACCCTCTCGAACTGTTGGCACAGGCGTCTCGTCTATACAGTCGTATCAGCACATCTCAGCAGACGACCGTACGGCCGGTGCCTGAGCAGAACTTTGCGCCGCCACCTTGGACCATATCCTCATTGACTTCTAGTCTGGACGTCGGTCGATATCTGGATCCCATCGATCTTGGTATATTGAGCGAATCGGAAGCTGTGATCTTGCTTGACTACTTTTACACTCATCTGTCGCATGCGAGATGGGGGTTGGATCCATCACTATTTACAGTACCATACCTCAGGCGACGTTCGGCCTTCTTGCTCACATCTTTGCTAGCATCATCCGCCAAATTTCTGCCTGGAAACGCGCCTTTGTCCGATAGGCTCTCATCGCACGTGCAACTACTGACGAAACACGTTGTCAATGAAAACTTACGATCAGTGGAAATTGTAATTGCATTGCTGGTAAATGTACCATGGACATCAATCGTGAGCGGGGTCGCATCGGAAGATGTCGCTTGCTTCAATGTTGCACTCGCACTGAAGATTGCCCTTGATTTGAACCTCAACAAACCCGTGACTTTGCAAACGCAGGACCAACGGATGGACAGGGGAGGAATAAATGCCGCCAAAGCGCTTCTGATCGATGGCCACGCAGATCTTGACCCGGAGTCCCACCACGCTCGTGTTTTGCTCCGCCAACGAGAGAGGACCTGGATCGCACTCTTTGTTCTGGAACGTGGTGTCTGCTTAGCTCGAGGCCGAGACTTCACCGTTCCAATCTCACCTTTAGTGCGAGAATGCGAAAGCTGGTCGCGAGCAGAAGATGCTTGTCGATGGGATGTGTCTATGTGCTCGATCGCTGCCCTGCGACGAGACCTGGAAAACTTGTTGAACGAGCTCCGAGATATTTGCAACACAGCTTCTGGCGCAAGTCGAGAAGATGGACGACGAGCTGCATATCAAATCAGTGAGCTTATCGATCTCTTCTTTCGGGAGTGGCGTGTGCAGTGGTCGGACCTCCTGTACACGGAAGGTGGAAAGGCTATTCCACCATATGTCAACATTTTGGTAACGCACACGCGACTATCGACATATGGTAGTGTCATCAACCATCGTACAGCACCTGCGGAAGTGAAGGGATTGTTTCGCAACGATGGAATGCAGGCCGCAGTGGAGGTGATGCGTACTGCAGTCAGAGCAGAGGAGGGTCTGACCGCCATGCCCAACAATACAGCCATCATGGTTGCATATGCTGCCTGCGTGGCATTGAGTCTCAGCAAGGCCATCACGGAGCGGGATCCCGCCTTTGCCATTGGCATCTGGAACATGGTCGAAGAGACTGCAGGCGTGCTCGAACGTATCGCCCGAGTAACGCCACAGCGACGAGGCTTCTCATGGATGTACGGCCAATGTCTGCGAAAGATTCTCGATAACGTCAGAGGAGCCATGTATCCGGGACGTAGCTCGGGAGCACACTCCATAACCAATGCGCAAATCGCCATGTCCAACAGCGGTCCGGACTATACGACAGATGGCCGTGGCCCGCTCGAGTACTTTGCACAAGCTGACGACGAGCTGAACAATCTTATCAACGATGTCATGACGGGCAATGCAGATGTCCTGGCGCAACAGCCATTCGATGACTTTTCGGATATCAATTGGTTCCAGCCTGACTTCAACTCCACCATGCAGTTTGCGTATATGCAGTGAGCATGAACAGGGTATGGGGGATCTTGCGAAGCATTGGTGGTGAGGGATCGCTGCGGTCTTGGATGGCGTACAGCACAAAAGCCCGCTAGCTACGAAATCCAGTGCTACACATTTGTTTCTGGTACGATCCGACAAGGACAGACATGGCTTGGGGCCATTAAAATGACACCATAATTGTAGTTCCTCATGATGAGACGGACAACTTGCTATATACTGCTACACAATTCCGTTCTGATGATGACATAAATATTGTACTGTGGACATCCGGAGTGTGTATGCGGGTGGGTGTGCATTGTCCTTCAATTAAGCTCCACCTTCGGCACAGATACAGGACAGCGGGCGCTTCCAATTCACACCTGCAGGGCAAAAAGACCCTCTTCGGTAGCGGACGTTTTGCCCCGCCTCGTCAATAAATAAATCGGCCCATTCACTCAAGCTGGTTTGGGGTGGTAATCGGCCCAGAATTATTATTGTTATTTTCCTTTGCGTCCGGATTGACACTGTTCCTGTTGTCATATGATACGCAAGAACGGCCTGCACTTCAATTCGACACGCAAGAGACGAGTGTACCACAGTACATTTGAGGAAGAGCTTTGAACTTTGAACACACAAACTTGCTGTCAATCGCAACTGCAGCCATGGCCGACAGTCAAGTGCACCGTGCCAGCACCTTCGCACCTGTGAACATTGCCGTGATCAAGTAAGTGATCGCCTCATTACCATTGTCTGACAGCAACCACAGTGCTAAGTACAAGCTGTCATTCATCAGGTACTGGGGCAAACGAGATGCCAAGCTCAACCTCCCTACCAATTCTTCCCTCTCAGTCACACTATCGCAAGACGACCTCCGAACACACACCACCGCCTCGTGTAGCTCCACCTTTGACCGCGACTCCTTGACCCTCAATGGCTCTGACCAAGACATCTCGGGTGCGCGGACACAAGCATGCCTTCAGGAGCTGCGTCAACTCCGTCAGGAAGTGGAACAGAAGGACGGCTCGCTTCCGAAATTGAGCGAATTCCGGCTCAAGATCGTGAGCGAGAACAACTTTCCCACCGCCGCCGGTTTGGCCTCTTCCGCAGCAGGCTTTGCCGCCCTCGTTCGTGCCATTGCCAACCTTTACGAGCTCCCGGCCACGCCGACCGAGCTTTCGCGCATCGCCCGTCAGGGCTCTGGTAGCGCCTGCCGCAGTCTGATGGGTGGCTATGTTGCCTGGGAGAAGGGCGAGCGGGCCGACGGTCTCGACAGCGTGGCGTACGAAGTCAGCCCGGCATCCCATTGGCCCAATATGCAGGCTTTGATCCTGGTGGCATCGGCGGAGAAGAAAGACGTGAGCAGCACTTCCGGCATGCAGCAGACAGTGGCATCATCAGCGCTGTTCGCACACCGCGCGGACGAGGTCGTGCCGAAGAGGATGAAAGCCATGGAGAAGGCGGTACACGAACAGGACTTCGAGGCCTTCGCCGTCCTGACGATGAAGGACTCGAACAACTTCCACGCGGTCTGTCTAGACACCCAGCCGCCGATCTTCTACATGAACGACACTTCGCGGGCGGCGGTCAGAGTGTGCGAGTCACTGAATGCCGCGTCGCCAGACGGCAAGCCGTTGTGTGCGTACACGTTCGATGCGGGCCCGAACGCTGTTATCTACTATTTGGCCGAGAATGAAGAGCAAGTCGCGGGAACGTTCAAGAACATCCTGGGAGACAAGACGGGCTGGGAAGGCGCAAGAGGTCAGAAGGTTAACAAAGCGGGTGCGCTGCCGCAGGGCACTGAGGTGGCCGCTGAGGTCTTACAAAAGGGCATCAGCCGCGTGATCCTCACTGCGGTGGGAGACGGACCGAAGAAGACCGACGAGCACTTGTGCTGAGGTAGGCCGTGGCATGAATTATGAATTGCATATGGATCACGTCAGAAAGCGAAAACAATCGCAAGAGCACAAATTAGAGATTCGGACAGCCCAGTAAATCTTTCATAAATCGCATCGACAGTGGCCACGTCTCTCTTTCTTACTTGAAGCCGTTTGTCATCGGTGAGGCATATGGATGCGGCTTTGCATGGCTTGCAGCACCTAGGAAGCGATATTCTAGCATCTCAACGACAGTCTTCGGACCGCGACTTTGTCCAGTCCCGCGCAACTCATTATTGTTCGGGTACAGATCATCTTTCTCGCCACGTACGACTTCGTAACACGCTCTCATCAAGCATCAGGAGTTGTGTGACGCAAGAAGAAATATGGCAAGTTGAGCAGGAAAGCAAGATTTTTATTTCCAGTGGTAACACATACAGCGAGTCCTTGCAGGATATTGAGTAAGGCCCTCTAGAACGAGACTGGTTTCGATATAGAGAACTAGACATGGAAGACTTTCAATTTGTTTCGTTTGGCTCATAAGGTTACATATCCAAAATCTGACAGTGAAAACAAAAAACGAACGCCCTGAGCGAGCGTGGAGAAGTCATTCTGGGTGGGAAATGGAACAATAATAGAAGAGAAGAAGGCGAAAGGGAGAAAATGGAAATAGACACATGTTGGAAGTCGAGTGGTGGCAGAAAGAAAAGGTCAAAGGGAAGGCTCCCTTCTCGCAAATGCCAATAATCCCTCCTTGGAAAAAAAGCACCCCATCCTGCGGAGTGAAACCTCATCATATACGCCATTTTATGTCTTCTTGAGTATCAATGGACCAAGGAAAGAGTTTGGCTTTTCAGAATCGACCCATGGAATACTCGCTCGATGCGACGGAGGGATGGCGCATATGTGACACCCTCGCCATGAACTCGGGAGAACGCTCGCAACTGCGCACGCGATTCCAACTCCACGAGCCCAAATCCTGCTCGTCGTCTCTCTCATCGGAATCGTCATCATCATCATCATCATCATCATCATATTGACGCCGGGAGGCGAGTGCAGGAGTCATCTCGAGGCCCTCAAGATGCGATGTTGTGACCGGCAGTGCCATCTCCCTTCGACGTTGGCGCTCTTTGTGGCGGAGACCCTTTCTTCCTGTTGTTGCGAAAGGATATTGGACATCGTCATCGTCTGAGGTAGGAGAGGAGGAACGATGATGATAGCGGTCGTCGCGTTGATTGTGCCCATTGCCGAAACCATGGCCTCCGAGCACGATTTCCTTGTACTGCGAGGACAAGCCCTGTTGGAGTCGTTCCGGAAGGCGAGGCAGAGCTGTCAGACTGGTCTCGGATGGGTCCCAGTACATTGGTTCTGCGAGAGGATGAGGATGATGTTTTGCTGGCTGGTATGGATATTCGCCCCGAGCATCATAGAAATCCGTGGGGCCATCGTCGTCGGTGGGAAAACCAAGCTGCGGAGTCTCTTTGAAATGCGTGTCGGAGGAGATGCTCTGACGGAGTGCGATCTGTAGAGATTGGTCTCGGTAGTGATAGGTGCGTGAATGGCTGTGATCTCCTGGAGCGGGAGAGGTAGCGGATTCTGGAGTAAAGGGACCTTCGCTGTTGCTGATGCTGCCGCTGTTTGAAAAGATAAAAGTCGGTTCCTTGCTAGATGTGGCAGAAGGTGAACGGTGATCTTCGTAGCATTCTCTACTGTTGTCTGTATGATTGACAGATGAATATTGTGGAAAGTTGAAAACGAATGGAGGAGGACTTGGTGGACGTCGGCGGACCTGTGCGAAGGGTAGCGGTGTGTCTTTTGTTTTGCTCGTGCGAAAAAGCTTTGGTGTGGCTACCGTCAACAGGTTCTTGGACTGCGTCTTCCACTTTGTCAAACTCGAGGTTTTCGAGGGCGTCGGCGATGGTGGTAAGCCAAATTTGTGTTCAAATTGATCGCTTTTGATGAGGCGAAATCTGCTGCCTCTTACTTTCTGGATTTTTTCACGGACTGCCCCGATGGTGTTCTTCCATGTGACTTTGGCGTTCTGAGGGATGTCCAAGATGGAACGTGAAGCAGCTTTGTTCGCTGCTATTCTCGGCGGATATGGCGGATCACGCATGAATGTTGGGTGTACCTCGGTGTCTTCGCATCGGTTCATGGGACTGAAGGTTCGATCAAACGGCGAGTCACCCCGTGGGCCTCGCGCAGACCTGGATCGAGATGGCGTCGTCGAGATGACAAAGTGATATCGACTCCTCGGCCGGACCCTCGTTCGACCACGGGTATCGTCATCACCCTGATAGTAGACGACTAGGTCCTCATAGACGGGAGGGTTGGTGGGCTGATATGAGTCCCTCTCCTGAGGCCAGAGGTCCAGGGTTGTGCGTGGAGAAATGCCGTCTATTTCCTCGCCATCCTCCTGTTGCGGGCAAGGACCTGTATGAGGCAAGTCAGCGAGATGGCCCATCTGACCTTCACGCCACTATATCTCCCTGACCTAAGGTGCCTTGGCAGTGGTGACTGCAGCAGCAGGTCGGACGGAGATTTTGGCAGCGCATGGCTGGCACACCTTGAACCTGCATCGCCGACATTCGAAAATGTACCAGTGAGGACCTGAGTAGCACTGATTGCAGGTCCAATAGATCATCTCCGTAGGAGTCTTGGTCACGGTGAAAGCGTGTTGGCAACGGACGGGTCTCGCCATCTATAGCATGTCAACAAAGGGGACCCCGAATATGGTGTGAAAGAGGGAGAGAGGGAGCAGCGGAGTCAGGTGGCCCACGTACCTTGAAGTATTTGATTGTTTGGTTATAAATGCTGACAAGTGTTCAGGAAGGGAAAGGCAGCCGGGGAAAGTGACTCGGAGGATCTGACGGTATGCCTCGAAGATTGTGGATGGAGCTGCTTCAGGAGAGGGATGAGCGATGCGGAGGAAGGGAAATGGAAAGCGAGGTTTCATGGTATGATTTATATCCTTGGGACGACCATGTAGTACAAACCAAATTATGCTCTTTGAGGATTGCGGCAGCAGATACGCAGCGAATTCAGGTCTCTGCAGCAAGGTTACGAGCAGCCACCGGATGTGTGTACCAAGGGAATATAGCACCAACAATCGTGGGTAGGACGATGGGGAAGCGCTTGCATCACGGTTGCTAGGCATTTGGGAAGGAAACGGGAGATCGGTGCAGGACCGGAACAGGCGCGGCTGGAAGTGCTCAGATGGAACCGTCTGACGGATCGAGAGGAGCCAGCAGGCCTGGCTGACCAGCCCGGACGGATGAGGTGATCAATAGCCCACCTTGTTCTCTACCTCATCATACATTTCAGATGCATGCAATAGCTCGGGCAGCGATGTGGCAGAGGAGGGAAAGCATGGCATGCGGCATTCACCGAACATGCCGAGTGACATGGGTACTTCTCTCGGTCGAAATATCGCGCTATGCTGCGCGATGGATCCGAGATGAGAACTTGTGGTCAGCCGGGAAGCATACAAGGGAATCGAGAACAATGCGCATGTCGATTTTCCAAACGAAGTATGCATTCATGTTTGTATACAAGTATGTTTTCGTCCACGGCGACAAGCGGCACGATGATCTGGCAGATCTGATCGCAGTTGAGATGGACCAGAGGAGGCGGTTATGAGGGTGAGGTGGACAGACGACCCTGATGGAAGTACCACAGAGACGTGCGGCGGCGTTGTTGACAGCGGTGGTATATGCAGCAGACGTGCATGCCTGATGCATCTCGGTAGCTGATCTTAGTTGGGTCGAATTCGTTTCCTCTTTGGTAACTGCCATGCTTGTGCTGTCCGTGGGGGGAAAGACCAGACGTTCTCCATCCCCATCTCGTCACACCACGGATCTGTAAGACGAGACCGAAACAGAAAAGACGAGGCGAACGGAGACGGAGCCATAATCCATGCCGACCGGACGAAAGAAATTTTCCAGGGGATTATTCCCTGGTCTGTGATCCTATCTTCGACGCTCCGATGTGATTGTCTGCATCCGCGGCCGCGTACTTGCTGCCATGCCATGCCACGTCCAGCGTAGATGTACATGCTGCCAACGCCAACGCCAGCGCTACTACTGCATGGATGCTGGATTCTCTGCAGAATACTGGATCATTACCGTATCGATGGGTGTAAGCTAGACTGGATTGGTGAGGCCTACATGTGCACTTCGCGGGAGGATTCTTCGGCGGGCAGGCGGGCCAATTCCTTGGGTCTGCTGGTGCTTCAGTCGGGGGGACTTGGGCGCGGTGCCGCAAATGCCGGGCTTCTCCTTCTGTGCAGTGCATTCTCAGCAGATGCAGCTGCAGCAGTCTCGGTGCAGTGCGTGGTCGCGGGCTGAAAGTCTCGTCACGATTGATGACGTCCAGATGATTGGCACTCAGTGGAGATGATGTTTCGTTCAAGCTGACCTGACACATCAGCATTGGATGAAACGAAGCGCATGCGCAGGTAGTTGACATCAGTGATAACCTGCACGCATGTCCCATGGGCGTTGTACATGCAGGAATTCTGCCCATCATCATCCAGTACTGTAGCATGTGCTGGTTTCGACCAAGCTGAGAGAAAATAGAATTTTGTCCAATGCAGTCATGCTTGCAGCCCGCCAACCACTACATTTCATTTTTTTAACGGCACCACTGGGTGAATGTCCATCAGGATAGTGTGGTGCTCACCATTGTACCATCCATCACGATCGATTGGCGCCATGTGTGGTACGCTTCCGCGTCCACCGAGTCCGTCGGAAGTTCACCCAGCCCGCGATGGCCACCGTCGCACGTCGTTCACCAACCTGGTCCGTCAACGTCGTTGGAAATGGCGCGCGTTTGCGGAACTTTTGTGACCGTTTGCGGTTCGCCCAACATCAATCCCAACACCTTCCTTGGAACGGCTTCTCTTTCGAGTCTTCCCATCGAGTGGAGGCGAGTCTTTTCAGGGACAGAGACATGTAACAAAGCCATATTGGAGCACACATCATGCTTCGTTACGACGAACCACAGCGCGATATCCTCGTCTCTCCGCGGAGGGAGACACATCGATGGCGGCTTCTACGTACCTAGACATCTGTTTGTCAGCGACAGGAGCATAACATTTTGATCATGACCAGATCGATATAATGGATGTACAGATCTTGTTACATGTACCTGTATGAACACGGCGTGAGGTCAATATACAAAACACCCCCCCCCCCCCCCCAATAAATGCCCTGCATCTCAGCGTGTGGAATGTACGTGTGTACGCACAGTAGATGATAATGACTGAGAATGTCCTGTAGAAGGTATACAGTAAATACGATACATGCTGTGCGACACGGCCCGATACTCGAAGCTCACAACAGACCACCACCATACTGGACGTACACATACATCTCACATTGTTTTTCACCATACTGAAAAGACTCATAATGTGTTCGCCTTTAAAAGGTCCGAAATAACGACGTTCTGTGTAACAACAAACGGAGCCAAGACCGCAGCCCGGAAGATGGTGACAGGTTCCCCTACCCACTCCATTCATCCGTCCGCAGGGAAAATAGCCCTATGGAGAGCGACAAGCATTGGATTGTCCGGCTGATCAGATTGACCGCGCCTCGTCATGCAGCTCGCGCAATATGGGTCTTGCATTCTCGCCCCGGTAGTTCTGAATTCGGCGGAGACCGTGTTAATGGAATGGTGACAAGTAAGTTCCGCCTGCTGCACGTGTCTGCCGAAAAGGGACCACATATAATAACTGCGGCTTTATCTCGTCGTCATCCCCAAGACGTCGCCATGTAAATCCCTGCTTCACTACACGATCTTTCAAAGCTGTGCATGGATGAGACATCCACATCCACGTACAAATTTAACAATTCCAGTCCTTCCCATACGCAGTACATCTCATCCGCCTCCTCACTATACATTATGCACAATCAACATATCTGTACGGTATTTGGGGTGATCATCACAACGGCGGTGAGGAGATTTGCCTTCAGCTGCTGCTGTGTAACCTCACCCGAGCGGAGAAGTTCACCCGAAGTCTCTCCTCTTTCCATCACCTCTCCATGGGTATACCCATATTCACTTTGCTTTTTCCACGTGCCGTACCTATACTGATGATCCTTCGCCCTGCAACAGTCCTGTGGCGCACGAGCACGAGTACATGCGGTCCAAGTCGGACTACCAACAGCAGATCAATGACGTGGCAAAAGGTGGAGATCTACCAACCATGATGATGATGAGACAAGAGATAGACAGATACAGCCCAAGCTGATGAGATCCTCTCTCAGGCCCAGGGCAGCATCGTATTACCTGTCTATATTGCACCCGCTTCCCTCTAAGCGAGGGAGGTGAAAATATGCACCATCGGAGCACTCTCCGAAAGGGCCCCGCAAGGTGTGACTATCATGTCGTGCATGTGTACACCGCCCGAAGGCAGTGGACACACACGCACGCACGCCAAGGCAGCTACAAGGATAAAGGTAGGTACAGTTCCAAGGTGCCCAAGAATGGTGTCGGCTAGAACTGATTGAATGCCACCGATGTCGGAAGTACAATCCCGATAGTTGGCGCTGCTATCCAATCGGACGCTCTCCGTTTTTGGGGGTTTGGGAACAAGACATCGATGTTCCCTCGTTGAAAATACTTGCTGAGCCTTGAGGATCGGACTGTACGTCATGTATCATATGCAGACGAAGCGCGGAAGAAATGTAGAGAGGAGGAGGAGGAGGATGAGAAAGAGGATCAGGTGAGGGCCAATCCCGCATCCCACATAGATAGGGGAACATCCGACGATAGGCTTTATTGCCAGCGATCGAGAGCCATCCTCATCCTCATCTTCGCGACTCACAATAAGACCAATCATCAATCCTTCCGAACGTAGAACGATCATCTCCCACATGCATGTCACGCCATGCATTATACCAATACATGATACACACGTACATACATACGTATGCGTATACATATACAATCACCCACTCACTTACACGAAGACATATACACACATGTATACATGGAATGCACCCAAAATATACCTTGCTATACGTAGAAATGTAGTACAGTACCACGATCCTACGATTCCTTTCCCTCTCACCGCATACACCACATCCATCGCCTTAATCATCATCATCATCATCATCGCGTCATCAGCGGGCATGTCCAACCTGACCGGCCGCCGCTTATGAGGCCTCGATCGGCGAAAGCAGTCACGAATTCCTGGGCGCTGAGGGCTGGTGGAAGAAAGAGGAAATGCGGGAACCTTTCTTGCTTCTCCGAAGAAAAAAAAAGCACGCAGAAAGTGTTGAAGCAGATAGCACTGTTTGTGCAAGCAATGAAAATCACATCAGTCTGGAGATATAAGTTAATCCTTCTCAACGATCGCCCGTGGGCTTCTAATGTGAGGAAATCAAGAACATTTCAGGGCGGGAGGGTCTTTGTGGGACTCTGCGGAATCGCACAGGGTGTGTGCTGGCTGATGGCGGTTCATTGAGCGATGGATACTTGCGATCTAGGAGCTTGCTCGCTCGGCATTGGAGTCGGTGAAAACTTTACAACGGACGCTTGCCCGAAGGAGAGCTTGTTTCACGAGCCCTCCACCTCTCCACGTAACAGATAGCCATGGAGCGCTTTCTCCGTACCATCCCCAACCAATGCAAAAGAGGAAATCAAATCATGTCATCCATCTTTCTTCGTGATTCTTTTCTCGCCCACTACACTCTCCGATCATCAGCCTCACGTCCCGCTAGCCTCGCGATAAAACGCCAACGTTTTTCCCGCGCCCGCCGTGACAAAGACCTCATTCCGCGCCTGCGGAGCATGGTACAACCAGCGGACAGTCCAGAGGCACTTCTCACTCTCTGTCTGGGTAGCGACGCAATCCCGCCTTTCCACACTCCAGACTTTGACTTTGCCGTCGTATGCCGCGCTCAGCAAGAGCTCTCCCGACCAGTTCCAATCCAGCGCTGTCACCCAGCTGGCGTGTCCGGTGAAATTTGCGACTTGCTGACCCGAGGCGCAGTCGTAGAGCGCGATGATGCGTGCGTCGCCGGCGGCGGCGAGGTAGCGGTTCGCGGGGCTGAAGCGTACGCTGCGCACAGGTTGAATAAGACCGGTGAGGGCGTGCGCGAGGCGGCGGGTGCTGTTCGCGAAGATGTACACTGCTCCGCTCTGGTGGCCCGAGGCAGTCATGGCGCCGTCGGGAGAGATGTCGACACACATGCCAAAGGAACCCTTTGTCTCGTATTGTGTGAGCCGTTCGGTGGTGCTTGAGATCCCATTGTTACCTGTCGATATGCTGGCAGTCTCGTAAACGTCGACGCGCCCATGCAAAGTCGTCAGCGCGAGAAATTGCCCGTCGGAGCTCAAGGCAGGAGCCCAATATGTGCCAGTCTGCTTGGAGTCTGTGTTTGAGTCGTCAGTCCCATGCATGACATTTCATGAGGACGAAGAGCCGGGCAAACAATCAAAAATGAAATATTCCTGCGCACCTACAATGATCTCGCCCTTCTCCTCCCAGGTGCTGCCCTCCGCATGGCCGTCTTTTGCCTCATACTTCCACAGCAGCACTTCTCCTGCAAATCCCACACTTGCAGCGGCATTGCCCTCGGCAGCTGCGCAAATATGATGGCATCCCAGCTTGTGCACACCTTCCAGTGTCTGTGCTAACGGGTATGGGTTCTCATCTTCGGTGCTGTCTGCGTGAATTGTCCGCGAGGTTGTGCGATAGATTTTGATGCTTGATGATCCCGAGGCGGTGAGTAGATGTGTTGGCGTGGTCGCGACGGAGAAGATATCAGTGGGATGGGCGCCGGGAATGGTGAGCGTTTGGAGATATTGTTTCGACTGCGTGTGAGATGAAGTCAGTATATCAGGCGTGGTGGCTCATGTTGAGGTGAGATGGAGAATCTTACCATGGCCAGGCGACTCAGCGCGTGTGCGCAACTCCAATGCTATTTCGTGTGGACTTTCTTGACGGACACATCAATGAGTTCCGCGTGCGAAGCAATTAATGCATGCATGCGTGCCGTATATTAAATGGGAATATTAAGTGAGTGAGCAATCGTGACGCAGGGCACCCGTTCCTCATGAACTTTTGGCGGGGTGTGTTGTTGCCGCGAACGATGATGAAATGTTGCCTTCCGGCTCGCGATGTTCGCGCGCTTGCACGTGTGGATGCTCCATCTCAACCTCGGGTTGACTTTCGCTGCGACAATGATAAATGGAACTCATGATAAGTAGAATTCTCGGTGGCTTTACATTGATGATGATTAGAGATAATCATCTCCCTGGAATGGCTGTTGCTTCAAGAGCGCGTCGTGTCCGGCATCGATACATGTGTGAGTGTTGACCTGTGTTGTTTCACCTGGCCATCAACTGGTGCCAGGTTTCATAGCAATAACGTACTTTACTCTTCATCTCGCTCAAAAACCAATACAACTGGATTCAATGCTGATCCTTACAATCCATTGAAATCATCGACATCGCTGTCCTGCTTCTTGCCTTGCCAATAGTGCTGCGAGGAGAGCGACGACTGATTCTCTTGTTAGGGTCGCATAAGCCCAACATAGGCATATTTCCATAGGGTCGGCATGGTGTTGCGGGTGCCAAATAAAAAGGAGTAAAAGACGTTAAAGATCGGCAACGGCACTCCGTGCTGAAAGGAAAGGCACAGCGTGACGACTGCAGGTATATCACGGTTCTCGCAAGAGTCGAAATGATATATCCAATCAGGATGGTCTTGCAATTTTGTGTGAAGAATTCTATCTATTACTATTTACCAAGAAATAAAAGCACAACAATCTATACCCAATATCAAACAATCGCACTGCCCATTCCAGCAAACACACGACCGTATTTGGTCATCGTCGACGATGTATGCTGCGTATATGTCTATCGCCCTAGCTTCCCAGCAGCCAGCAAGAGTTAGCAACAGATGATGTGAATCAAGCAGTTGGTGAATTAATGGTAGAGACAGGCTTCATCATAAGCTATCATGCTCGAGACTTTCGAACCGTCCTCATATCTACAAGAGAAGGAGGCTGGCGGCCAATACGGCGAAGAGAGATCCGCCCATGGCCATGGTCATCTTCGCGGCGCTGCCCTTAGCAGGGATGGGTTGATAGGGGGTGATGGGAGCCGAAGGAGTGGTCGGGGCGGGCGCGGCGGGAGAGGTGGCCGGTGGTTTGACGGGAGCCTTGGGGGTGGTAGCTGGAGGGCTGACGGGAGCGGAGGGCATGTCGGCTGGCGGAGGGGGAGGAGGTGCAATGGCGGAAGTTGCAACAATCGGGGCTGACGCAGTGGTAGCGGGCTTGGTGCAACCGCCGGGGCATTGGGTGATGGTCAGAGTGGTCGGCTCGGTGACAGGGTAGGTTTGGCCATGTAGGGTGATAGTGGTCGGCTTGGGGCAGTAGGTGGTGTAGTAGGTGGTTGCCACGAGAGTGGTGGTGCCCGGGTGTGCTTCGATAACGGTGCGAGTCGCCTTCACCGTGCTGGTGGTCCAGTATGACTCGACGGGGTGGGTGGGAGGAGCTTGAGTGCTGCAGGAGGTCGTGGTGTAGACGCTGTGATGAGGCGGCTTGCTGTGAGTCTTGCTGGGTTTGCCTCCGTGGTACTGGCTGGGCTTGCTGTGAGTCTTGTACGGGGCAGGAGTAGTGTAAGTAGTAGGTTTGCAGGATGAGCAAGCGACGTGGGTAATGACGGTGTATCCGGCAGGCTTGCTGTGAGTCTTGTAACCTTCAGGGGTAGTGTGCTCAGCGGGAGTAGTGTATGGCTTAGGTGTGTAGTGAGGAGGCTTGCTGTGAGACTCAGGTCCAGCGTGAGTGGTGGTCGTGTGCTCAACAGGGGTGGTGTACGGCTTGGGAGCGGTGTACTTGGGAGGCTTGCTGTGCGGCGTGTAACCCTCGGGCGAAGTGTATGGAGAGGGAACAGTGTGCACAGCTGAAGTGGTGTATTCTACTGGAGTAGTGTGCTCTACTGGAGTAGTGTGCTCTACTGGAGCGGAATATTTAGGAGGCTTGCTGTGCGGCTTGTATGGTGCCGGTGCGGTGTACGTGATGGGGTTGGTGTGCACGGTGGGGGTCGTGTAAACAGTGGGAGTCGTGTAAACCGCCGGAGTCGAGTGTTCGACAGTCGAGGAAGTAGTCACTGCATATTGCTCATGAGTAGTCACTGAAGTCGAAGTCGTCGGCTGCTCGTATGCAGGCGGCGAGGAGGCCTCACTGCGGCTGCTCTTGACGGGGCGGTGGCCGTAGTATGGTGCCGGCGAAGTCTTGTATCCACCAGGAGTAGTCAAAGAGGAGGCGCCATTGTGGTAGCCTGGGGCGCCGTGGTATGCTGGCGCGGTGTTGTATCCTGGAGCACCGTGGTATGCTGGTGCAGTGTGCTCGACAGAAGTCGAAGTGTACGCAGCAGGAGTGGTCTCAGCAGTCTCAGCAGCCGAGGTGGGAGTGTATACGGGAGCAGTGGTCTCCTCAGATGAAGCTGAAGTGTGCTCAACAGCACCGCCCTTGGTACCATAGTAGGCAGGGGCGGCGTGGTAACCTGGAGCAGCATGGTAGCCTGGAGCAGCGTGGTAACCGGCGGGGGCAGCAGAGGTCGTCCCCTCAGAGTCAGTGCTGGAGCTGCTCTTTCCACCGTAGTGTCCCGGAGCTGAAGCATAACCAGCAGCAGTGGTAGTCACAGCACCACCGTAGGCCGGAGGGTTGGCCGCGGCGACCAGACCAATGGTGGTCAAGGAGATGATCGTGGACTTCATAGCGAATGTGTTGCGGAGTCAAGGCAAGGATGGAAAGAGAGAATGAATGAAATACGAGGCTGCCTGGTGAATGAAGTGATGAAGAGAAACACTTACCAGGAGGCTGAAGGGATTCTACATATATAGACGTGAACTTCTGAAGAGATTCTGCACGAGACAAGTGCACGTCAGGGCTCCACTGATGGATTAGGATACCAAGAGCTACCCAATGCGATACGGATACGGCATTGTGGAGAATGGACGAGCGATGGGGGGCAACTCGTCTCGGCCGGCCAAGAAACTCTATTCGCGCACAATATTCTCGTGTCCGCGGATGTCATAGCTTCCAAAAGTAGAAAGTCATGATGCGGCCAGTGACTCCACATCGGGGATGAGCCTACTTGCCTGACGAGACGGATCAATCATGTTGAGGAGGAAGAGTCGTTGGAAGAAGGAGCCAGCAGAAGTTTGGTCCGGGCGGGCCGCGAGCGAAACATGGGCCAACGGCGTGGGACGGGGTTTTCACGTGTAAAGATGCCGTATGCGGCCACCAAAAGCCATGCGATGACGGAAGAGTCGACTCGGTTGAGCCGGTTTCAGGAACGCTTCGTCGGTTTGATCGGAAGCAGAAACTCTGTTGCGCGCAAGAATTATGCTCGTGTGTCTCTAGGTCTGTATGCATCGATCCCGCTTCCATGGTGGAAGTCTTGGTTATGGCTTGCAGTAGAATATTTTATTGCGACTAATGGCTTCTTGCTCTGATCAATAGGCCCGACTGGAAGTCCTGCTGATTTGGTAATGTCATGCTCAGTGGACCCACATCATGCAATGTGCCTGAGCATTATGTTGTCATGATGAATCGGTCACCACGATATTCTCCCCCGATTGGGTGGGCGGTCGTGTACCTGAGCCGGGTGGAGACTGTGCGAAGAGGTTCTGCTTCTGATTGCAGACATTCATCGACCTCCTTCCCGCGCAGCAAAGTTCAAGACCTGAATCGTTTCTGTTTGTGTTGAGGCACTTGTCGGTATTTGATCGTTCAGTGCGTTGTCTCACATACCGTTGGGATGATGATTATGATGATGGAGAAAGAGAGACAAACGGTATTGGCGGAAAACGCGAGATGCAGAGAGTGCAGGTTGGTCTCCACAAAATCCGGGGGAAACTTTGGTTTGCGGCGCGCCGAACCGTTCAAGCCGCCGCCGCCGCCGCCCTAGCTTCTTTCTCGTATTTCCTTCCAATGTTCTTTTCCTTCGACGCAGTTCCAAGGTTTGTACACGCATCATGGAGTGGTCCAAGGATGAAAGATACGAACAACCAAAGAAGGAATAAAGTATGTGTCGTCACACACAATCCGCCACGGTCTTTTACATAAGAAGGACGACAGTAGAAACCCAACACAGAATCAACCAAGAGCATGAACACCCGCATCTTGGACATGCATGATGCGGGTTGAGATGCACAACGTCCCAGATTCACTCGCCAGCCTTGCACGTTCCATGCAGGTCCCTACCAAAACCAACCCGCGTGTGCGCCAGCGTCTGTTCCGTCGACACTCGCGATCTCAGTATTAAATATAGACTTATTCTCCTGCATCTGATGAGTTGAGCCGGGGGGAATCATCGGAGAGCCATCGTGACTCGTCTCATCAAGGTCGCCGCTGGTTCTGCTGGCTCTGCCGCCGCAATGCCATTCTTGCCACTAGGTACTTAGAAGCGATCGTGGAGTCTATCCTTGCGTTGCTGTCAGGCGAGGGAAGACTTTTCTTTCATCTGTTCTAGAGCAACGTCATGACTCTGCGAACTCTGTACCGCCAGTATGTAGATTTGCACATAGCGCATGTCATTCCGTATGTTGAGAGCTAGCAAGACCTGCCAAGTTTCGATCGTTATTGACAGATGCTTGGCCATTCCCGACTTTGTGATTCATGACCAGGGATCGACCGACAGAACCTTTATGTATTGTTCGATATGATCCTCTGCCAAGCAAAGACGTAGGGATTATATAGTGGACCTGTGCATCGCATGTTTGAGACATTTTCGATAAAGTCTATCTTCATACCGGATCGAATAGCCTGATGGAAAGCGTAGCTCGATCTTTCCACAGTAGGACTGTTGAGAAATTGGATTGCCAGGAATGACAGAAACAGCTTGAACAGAGTAAACGCAATGGCCAAACCGAACGGTGAAGCCGCGCATATTAATACATTGATATCATCGCCAACGTCATTATCTTATCGAGAAAGGAAGAAAAAGTGCCAGCATTCCCACACTGCACAAGCGAGTGACCAAGCGAGAGGAAGTGCTCGTCACCAACGATGAAGGGAACAGCGCCCAGCGCCCATTTCCCGCGTTCAAGAATCGAAGATTGCTCCATAAGCAGGAACTCCTCTCCGTGATAATCTCCCGACCAGTTCCTTCGTTGCTCGAGGATTGCTGATGATGACTACGGCCTCCGCATTGATTTCTTGATACAGCGCGAATGCCAACGCCGAAAGATCTGCTCGATATCCCGTCGAGGCTGCCATCCGGCGAGGATTGATGACAACGGCGCGAGGGTCCGCACGGAAGACGGAGCCCAGGACATCAGGACCATACGTCAGAGTGGGATCTCGCGCTGACCAGAGCACTCGTCCAGGCCAATTCGGATGAACTTGTAGGAACGAAAGGCATGGGCCGATGCCGGAGCCCGTGGCGACAATGACCACGGGCCGAAAGAGCAATGCGACACGTAGTACTCCTGCGGTGAATGCTCCTCGCGTCCAGATATATTTTGGAGGATTGGTGATGGTGTTACGGGTCCAGTCACCAGCATGGCTGACCAGGACAGAGAAACCTGGTTGGTCGTTTGGGTTAGGAATCGTAGCAAAGCCGTGATTTTCGCTCAGAGGATTGGTCGCTAGCCGTGTTCCAACGCACGTGGGTAAAGGCTTCTCCGAATCGAACCAAAGTCGAACTGCGTGACTTGACAATTTCTCAGCTCGGACTCGACGACGTCGTACCCGTAGCCATGGATAGATGAAAAGCAAGGTGACGACGAAGAGTAGCCAGAATGCTGGATTGGACGCCAAAACAGGCCCGAGAGGCTGCTCTGTCGCCCGAGCGGCCCGGATCATTAAGAGAATGGTCTGAGCCCAGATGATAGCTACTGCGGTCCAGCCGGCGAAGCGATGGGACCATTCCCATTGATTATGGTAGCGAGAACGTATGAAAGGAAGCGACATGACGATGATTGTGAGGAACAGAACGAGCATGATGGTGCTGGTGGCAAGCAATGCATGAGTTTCGATGCCAAGCGCCGCTGCCATGCTCTTGTCGCCAGCCTGTACGAGATCGCTTCTCGTCTCACGTACTAGAAAGACAGTGAAGACGATGTACCAGAGAAATGCGCTGACTCCGCATCCTGAGTGAACGCCACCGTAGCTGTACACCTTGGCAGCCCGCCTGCGAATGGCGAGTGGTGCATTGCGGAAGACTTGAGACGTGAAAATTCGAAAGAGAAGATTCACGCAGTGCTCGTGACGCATGAGAGTGGCTAGACAAATGTTTGAGGCAACAGCAATGGCCGCGGCGGCCGAAGTGAAACCCTTAAAACCGGAAGATGTGTGCTGAAGGGCGAGCAAGAAGAGAGTAAAATTGGCCAGAAGCACAATAGCGTAGAGTCGACGGTAGGTAGAGAACGCATCATGACGGAGCCAATTGAAGAATGTGTTGCTTCTCTGAGCTGGTAGGGGATGCGCGGCTGTCATATCTTCGAGTTGTTCTTGTGTAGCGAAGCGATGATCGAACATTCCCACGACAGGTTCCATCTTGGCCACTGGTTTCTGGGGCCCTGGTGGCTTCGGGAGCTCCTTTTTGTGCCTTGACAGGAGCAGCTTCTGAAGCAACAGCGCATTCTTCTCGTCTATCAATAGTTTTTCATCCTCATTCGAAGTTTGAGAAGGCTGTGCCTGAGTGTGTGTAGTGACGATACGATTATTGACGCCGCTGCCGACCCGAGCAATTTGAATATGAGTGACAAAGCCAGAAAGTCTCGGCTGTACATGGATCGATTGCCGAAGCATCACAGGAGGCGGAGCGGTGATGAGCTCCGGTTCGGGTATTGGAGTGTAGCCGTGATGTGATCGTCGTGCGATTCTGGAATGACGGCGAGAGCCATCACGATGTGACCGAGAAGTATCAGTTCGTGTCGTGTTCGAGGATGATTGTGAATACGGAGGAGGAGGCGGTGCCGGAAGAGATCTGTGCGAAGGCATTGTGGAAGTCCTGGTTGCACAGACCGATCCAGTTCGTGAGGATTGAAGTTTTATAATGATTGTAAGCAAGTATCAAGGTGAAGTGTTGGGACAGCATCCGCAAGAGGCGGACATGTTGGTTTTGTCTTGGTCAATATGGATGAAGCGGATTGAGCAAGGCCAAGAGACTCGCCGTGATCGAGTATCGAACCAACGAGAATGTGCTGTTTGTTGCACGATGCTACCAAAATGTGACTGTGAGGGCGAACGTAAAGCAGGTGAAACATCGAAGGTATGTCGAACGTTTGAAACGAAAAGTCTTAATTCACAGAATGAAATTGTCCGAATGAACGTGGTGAACGATTATGAAACTTGCATTGAAGTTGAAGTTGCGTGATGTGAATAGAGTGAATGGAGTGAATGCGTAAAGGAATGAAAAGTGTAGAGGCAGCTGGAAGGAATGACGAGTGACGATGGTCACTGAAACAGCCCTGGAGGTGAAGGGGTTCGAGCAACATCCGCTCGAGCTGCACGCCTGCATAACCTCTGCATACCTACCCAGGTACCCCCAGACGTCACCTCTAGATCCATCCATTTACAGTACTGTGCTCAGCCACCATTCACTTGCTACTGAGGTATCATCCCTTGCCAGATAGGTAGTATCATGAGTCGAGACCCTGGACATCGCAGATTATTAGCATTACGCCGGCCGCAGATCCTGGGAACGCACGAAGGCCGAGATTCACGAGGGTGGCGGCTGTAATCTACTCATCGATTGACCATCAATCTTGTCTTCGTTATTTCCCAACCGCTCAGTCCAGTCGAGCAATGTTCTTCTCTGGCAAGGGATGCGTACACAGCGGGAGGCGTTCGAGTAATTATACACAACGCTCGAGGCAGGGATTGATAAACAAACGACGGCGCGTCAAGGACGTTTTGCCTCTCAATCATTCAATATGTGATTCATATCCATGACATGAGTGATTGCCCTTGAGGAGCACTATGACTGTATGGTCATTCTCCATTGTCGCTGGAATTGCGTTCCATTCACATTGCGGTCGACAGCATTATGCACAGCCGTTCATCGTTCGAATGGCGATGGACACTCATCGCACACGTGATTCGACATAAGCAGACGGTGCTTAAGAAGTTGATGAACGTATCACATTTCATGCTCTTCCAGGGTGAATGGTAATCGTACTTGTCAATCGTATTACGGAGGAGGTGGTGGTGGCGGTGATCGGGCGAGGTGGGCATGAGAAACATTGAGTCCAGAACGGTGCAAGCGCGGGCGGCGGAGAGGATTTTAGAGTTTCACCTGGTGCAACAAGCGCGAGTCTCATTGTCAAACATATATATTTACCTAGGTACCCAGGTACGTATCGGGTTCAGCATGTTTGATATCACATTTCGACAGGGATTATTTGGGCATACACTATCGACCTCGAACCCGCGCTGCCATGCGCTTCAACACTCAGTGCCTGCATGCTCACGACCTGCAGGCACACTAAATAAACTGCGCACGACATCATGAATTCTCCTTGTGGAGCAGTCTCCAGCACACAGCCACGTGGGTTACCCGCGCGGTTGAGGCAGATCGCGATGCAATGATCTGATAGCTTGCAAAGCGGGCGTGTTCCATCCCAATCTCAATACTGGGGTGGGTCCTTTTTCGGCATGCTCTACCTTGAACCGGTCAGGGAGGGAGAGAGCGCAGCGCCGCCGTCTCGCAGAGTTCAATAGTGCAGATGGAGTAGATGAATTCCTCTCGCACGAGGCCAATGGCATTTAACCGTTACGCAAAGTATATCATCCGAGTTGCAAGTCAGGGCCTAGACTGTATGACTTTGCTTAACGGACAGAAAATCGTTGGTAGGAGGCGCAGTGCACTTCGTTCTGGCAATGTCCACCAGGCTCGGGTCGATTGCATCCCTTGCTACGCGAATCCCTGACGCGATCCATACAGGTGCTGCCATGGTCCAAATCAACAATGTTCGGTCATCACATAGCTGAAGGGTGGTCGAGATGTAGTGGCCAGCCTGTGTGGGAGTGTAGTTGGAATGCATGCGACAGTCAGCGAGTGAGGTTCTAGCAATGGCAGTGATGAAACAAAGCGAGCATCACATCCTTTCCTCCTGCTAGTGGGAAAAAACCTGAAACGCATACAATCCAGAACTGCGGAAAGGGCACGCATCATCACTCGGGCATTGACAAGCAGAATCTCCGACCAAGACCGCTTTTAAAAACACCTAGCAACTCGCACTTTCCATTTGAACCTTTCTCGTAACTCCTTCAACAATCTTGCATTAGCGCTTTCCGCTTGCGTTGCTTATTAGATTCTCATAATGCCGGCAACGATATCATCATACAGTACTGCCACCACGGTCCTTCCAGCTCAACACTTGACTCAACATATTTCTACCCGTAATGATCCTGCCATCCGTGGACAACAGATGGCGACCATCAAGCCTCAAAAACAACACTCCAACGTCGTCTCATTTGCTCTGTCCGGGCAATATGACGAACAGCGACCTGTGAGTTACAAATTCCAGGCCTCGATGTCGTGTTCCACATCATGATGTTGACTTGATCATGACTGTAGGTTTTGATTGACGCATACGATCCATTAAGGACCATCTCGAGGGAACAGGCGACCACCCTCGTGAGACGCCTGGCCGGAGCATTCGAAGCGAACAGCTCGGTCTGCCTCCACCTTCCAAACGATGTAAGTCACCAGTCACCTCTACCATCATCTCTCTCACCTTCGGGTGCGTCCTGTCCGACGACACATCGCTGATCTTGTCTTTCACAGATCACATACCCCGTCCTCACTTTGGCCATCTTGGCATCTCGCTGCCGCTGGACCGGCACAAACACTTCATACACAAAATTCGAATTGGAGCACATCTTCCGCACTGCCCAGGTCAGCTATGTCATCACGCGAATCGAACAGCTGGATAATGTCGAGGCTGCTGTTCAGGCTAGCGGCACAAATGCCGAGATAATCGTCTTTTCTGATATCCTGTGTGACCATCCGGAAGTCAAGGCTGGCACTCTTCATGAGCACACAGACTGTACATCGTTTGCTCGCGCTTCGATGGAAACGTCACAGAAGCGCACCCTGCACGACTTGCTTCAATCACACGAGCGCAGCCTTGCTGTCGCTTTGCACCAGATTGATCCAAAATCTATCGCCACTTTGACCTCAACATCAGGGACGACCGGTCGGCCCAAGATGGCAGCACGCTCGCATTCGGCCTTGATTCATGAGGCGCTGGCAATCGAGGATAACAATGCCGACAAACCATACCCCATTCGAAGGCTCATCAACACTCCCATCTTCCATGCCTTTTCTTGTCCTGAAATGACTATCAACAGCCTGCGACTTGGGTTTCCAGTATACTTCCTCCCTCGCTTCGATCGCGTGCGGTTCCCTCAGCTCGTGGCGAAGTATGGGATCACGGAGACCTTCGCTCCACCGCCCATGCTGTTGGCATTGCTGAACGATCCCCGATCACACCCGCTTCTGCAGTCACTACAAACAGTCTACACTGGTGGAGCTCCCCTTTCGTCAAGTCTCAGAGCTAGCTTCCGCGCCATCTTCACGGTTTCCGCGACGCGCGCACCATTGCGTATCGTCCAAGTGTGGGGTATGACCGAGGGTGGCTGGTACACCACTCAAAAGTACCCTCACGACACTGATAGCGACGTCCCGGGCTCGGTTGGGCAGGCCCTTCCTGGTGTGGAAGTCCGGATCGATTCAGACGTTGCCGGAACCTCTGTGGATCTCTCCTACAGCCACGATGATGACCGGCAGGATACAACTTCTCGCAAGTCTGCGGTTGGTGAACTCTTGATTCGAAGCCCGCAAATGATGTCCGAGTACTTTGGAGATCCCGACGCCACTGCCAGAGCCTTTACCCATGATGGTTTCCTTCGCACAGGCGATATTGGATACTTGCAAAGGCCGAGATCAGCTCTCGATCGGGTGCATGGCTGGCGTCGGCTTACATGCAAGTACAGTGTTCCTCGTGGCCGCAAGAATCATAAGCTCAGGAAGCTCCGAGACAAACGCCCTCCCAGCTCCGTCGTTCTGGTCGACCGCGCCAAGGACTTGATCAAGGTTAATGGCTTCCAAGTCGCGCCCGCCGAGCTAGAAGACGCCCTGCTCCTTCACCCTGCCGTCATGGATGTTGGAGTGGTTGGATTCTGTCCTTCTGCGTCAGATCTGCCCGAGCGGGCACCTGCAGCGACATCATCTTCGACTCTGCTCTGCACAGCCACGCCGCCATCGTCGCTGTCCTCGTCATCATCGAGCTCATCTTTCCTGGCGACACCCGTTCTCGACCAAGCTACAGCAAGCGTCAGCGAGCACCCGGTCGCGTTCGTCGTGCTACATGATAGACTGTCATCCTCGGTTGCTCTACCTGACGCAAACGAACTGCGGAGCTGGCTCACACAGCGTCTTGCGCGATACAAAGTCTCCCGCTGCGAGGTGCGTTTCGTCGTATCAATCCCAAAGAGCGCAGCAGGCAAAATCTTGAGGAACAACCTGCGCCGTGTCCTCGAGGAGGAGGAACGAGACGATCAAGCATGAGGTGACATCAGAAGTCAACACGGATGCAGTGGCACGCATTCCAGCACAATCAAAATAATATCATCTTCTGCCACACAGTCATCAAGAAACTTGTATTGACAATGAAGCCTTTCGTTCTCTCCTGCGTTCATTGCCACCTACCTTTTCCGCCACGCGTTCTTCTCGTTTGGTTAGATTCATCGAATACAATTTCATAGGCGGCTGGTTCGCCTCTTTACTATATCTCGTGATTCGTGACCCCACTCGCGAGATCGTTCAGACGCAGAATTGCTCAATCCATCCATCCTTGCGACCGTCTGATGAAGAGATCTTCTCAATACAACATCATTGCTGCAAAATATCTCATTCATGCACATGTGCCAGGTGACGAAACACATGAAAAGACAAGCGCGTATGACTAATCTCGCTGCACACGAAAATCACGCGCTTCTGAATCCCCAGCTACAAACATCTTACATCATCTGCATTCTTTTTGCCTGAGCATGGCAGACTTCTCTTCTAGCTTCTCCATCTACCTCTCCTGCTGAGACGCGAAATTCATCGTGAGCTACTTTATCCTCGAGCGTCTGATCATTGGTGGAAAGCGCGTCTACGCAAGACCGTTGATGCATTCGACCTCAGAAGCCTGTCGTGTGTATGACCCCAGCATGCGTGAAAAAGGTTCAGCGACACATTCATGATCAGGGATCACACCAGGAATGAAACGAAAAGATCCACGTCTCTCGTTCACAAAGCTGAACCATTTTGTATGAGAAGAAATAATAGCGTATTGATAGGGAAGAACTCGCTCAAAAGTAAATCAACGGATTTTGTAACTTGCTTCCCCCTGTCCAGCCCTGTCCGCCTGCAGAGTCTCTACGACAACGCCTCCTTTTCATCGACAAGTCCCCTGAACAGCGCCTCACTCCACGTAAACCCGTTTTCCAAAGCCGCGATGAATCAGATTGCAGACACCGTGATCGCCATACTCTCATTCGCTGTTTCCCAGACGGACTCCCTTTCCTGAACTCCTACAAAAGCAACTCCATCGTCTACGATGTTTGTAAAGCGACCTGCTTCACACCCTCCGTGACCTCCTCCACCGCACTGCCCGCCTTCGGATCACTCTGCACGCCATCCTTCTCCACCGACTCGACGCTCACAGCGCCTTTGTCCGCGGCCTTTTTAGCCGCCCTCTTTTTTTCCTTATCAGCCTTCTTAGCCGCCTTCTTTTTTGCCTCCTCCTCCTTTGCCTTCTTCAATTCGATTCCACCGAAAAGCTCCTTCCACTCCGCTTCCTTCTCCGGCTTTATAGTCTTGAAGAGATGTGCGGCTTTGCCGATCTTGTGGCCGCCTTTGATGCTGTCCGCTTGCCATTTTTCGTCGTCGCCGGGGATGATGAGCAATTCGGACGATAACTGGGCAAGGATACTGCGGGTCGTGGCGGGGAGGTAAGGTGCGATGACGGATGCGAGGAGGTGGACGTGGTTCAGCGCGAGGTTGACGAGGGCGTCGCAGCGGCTGCGCTCGTTGGCGAACAGCGCGTTGTCAATTCGTGTGTCTTGAAGCAGCTTGTTGCCCAAGCTGGAAATGTCCCGCGCCAGGATAATGCCTTGTTTCAGGTGCACGGCATCCATTTCGGTGCGGTATTGTGCTAGTTTGGCATTGGTCTCGGCGATATGGGCTTTGAATCCTTCGGTGACGGAGGAGTCGAGATTCTCGGGCCAGGCTGGAACGACCGAGTCGTACGTGGCGGCGTTGTTCACGAATTTGACGATACGGTTGACAAAGTTGCCGAAGTTGTTGACGAGCTCGCTGTTGTTGGCCGTGATGAATCCGCCCCATTCGAATTCAGTATCGCTAGTCTCGGGACGACGCAAGAGGAGGAAATAGCGCCAGACATCCGCTGCGATACCAATCTCCTTGGCACTGGTTCCAAAGACACCAATACCTCGACTTTTTGAGAACTTGCCGTGCTCATAGTTGAGATATTCGGTAGTTGAGAGAGTGTTAAGCATGGTCCACTTCTGACCAGTACCGAGTTGCGAGCAAGGGAAGACAACTGTGTGAAAGGGAACGTTGTCCTTGCCCATGAATTGGTAAAGCTCGACATTATCTGGGTTCTTCCACCATTTCTCCCATTGTGATGTGTAATTGGCGGTGATTGAGACGTATCCGATGCAGGCATCGAACCACACATACAGTACCTTGTCCTCATAACCTGGCAGCGGAACGGCTGTTCCCCATTTCAGATCGCGCGTGATACCTCGAGGTTTCAACCCTTCCTTCAACCATCCATTGGTGATATTGATACCATTCTCACTCCACTTGCCCTTCTCATCACTCTCTTTCGACCATTTGCTGACCTGATCTTGAAGTTTATCTAGCAGTAGGAAGACATGCTTCGTCTCGCGTGGTTCGGGGGTCGCGCCGTCGAGTTTACATCGTGGGTTGATCAGGTCGAGCGGATCTAACAAATGCCCACATTTATCGCATTGGTCTCCACGTGCATCGTTGTATCCACACAGCGGGCATTCTCCCTCGACAAAGCGATCTGCGAGAAAGCCATTGTGCTTTGAACAGTATGGCTGTACGGTTGTCCGCTCCTCCAGATAGCCATTCTGATGCAACTTGGTGAAGATGTCTTGAGCAATATCCGTCTGTTGCTGAGTCGGCGTCCTGCCGAAATGATCAAAGTCGATCTCGAACCAATCGTACACCTCTTTATGGATCTTGTTGTACTTGTCGCAGAGCTGCTGTGGTGTAACTCCCTCTTCAATGGCCTTTGTCTCTGTCGCGGTGCCGTACTCGTCGGTTCCACAGATGAATAGGGTCGGATGTCCTCGAGCCTTGCTGTATCTTGAGAAGACGTCGGCGCTCAGTACACTACCAATGACATTGCCCAAATGAGGAACATTGTTGACGTAGGGGAGCGCGGAAGTGATGAGGACATTCTTCTTGCCCTCAATCGGCAAGATCTCCTCCTTTTTTGCGCTCATCTCGTTGGCCCTTTCGAATATGCTGGTGGTGTAATATGAAGGGGTTGAAGTCGAGTGTCGTGATAGCGTTCTAGTGTTGATGCGATAAGACAACCGTGCGGCAGGGAATGAAAAAGCAATTGCGAAGACTGTCCGGTCAAGAAGCAGGACTATGTTAGATCCTGGTGTATCTTCATTCCAAGCCGTCGCTGATCTCCGACAATACACGAGTTAACACCGAATTTTGATCGCCGGAATCTCGAACACTGGTGCCCCGCATGACTCACATGTCCACAATCGAGTGCCAAAATACTCCGCGATAAGGGTTCATCTCTTGGCTAGCTGCCGTTGGTTTCAGCCGCAATTTGGGTCTTGCCAGCCCGCGGCTCCCATCAATATGTCGTCAATTTGCCCCGCCTGTTCGGTGCGCTCTAACACAGAATTGCACCAGGCCAAATTTTTCTTCATCGGAAACCGACTCCACCATGTCACCTGAACGCCGTTTGGTATCGTTGTGCATTATCTGCAAATATGGCGGAGGAGACATCGTCGGGTGACATTTTCGATTCCATTCTCGATCTCGAAGAACAATTCTACAGCGAAGGCTATAATCTGGGTGTGGCAGATGGCGCTCGGACTGGGCGCATCGAGGGGCGTATCTTTGGTCTTGAAAAAGGGTTTGAGAAATTCCTCGAAGCTGGAAGACTTCATGGACGCGCTATAATCTGGCAGGATGAGGCTCGAACAAATGGCAACGAAAGATTCATCAAGCACGTGGAGCGCATGGCCACGTTGGTGAATCCTGAAGACTACATTACAGCGAATACCGAGGAAGCGGTCAACGATGTAGAGGAGCGAATCAAGGATGCCAAAGGCAAAGAGCGTATTATCAAAAGAATTTTGGGAGAGAATGACGAACCCTCCAGTGCGAGTATTTCGAGTGATTCTCAGCAACAAACGAGTCCTGCTCTACGAGTAAAGCGAAACGGGCCACCTGCGAGATCAGGTCAACAGAGCGGAAAACGTGCGCCGACTGGCGAGATGGAAGACTTTGTCGGACTACCAGGCATCCAGAGGAGCGGATAATTTTGTTTTCCTGGACCAGACATCAGATCACAATTCTGGAGACCAGCCGTGAGAGGAGAAATGGTAAATTTCAATTGTGATGGGGTCTTGCAAATCTTCTGCGGCCTTCATCAGAACCATTCCCGTCAGAGGAAATGCGGCAACTTTTTAGTCAGAACCGATTGGTCGGCCACATGCGCGTTTCATGGTACCCGTCGATGATATCTTCATCACAGCACCAATTCTTCCGAGACTTCGCTGATCGTATTGTCCGCGACGAGAGCCTCGCCTCAGCTGATTGAGCTCATCCCGCTGAAGATGACACTGCATTGACTTTCCGACATCAATATGGAACAACAATTACGATGTCTACACAGAAGCAAGTCCGTATGTGAGCGCCAGTCGTACAACATGAATCCCTCTCGCGAATGAACGAGCACAGGAAGCGATCAAATCGGACGGAGCAATCCAAGATCATGAATGAACGACTAGCCCAGATGGTTACCCATTCTTCGAGAAGCAGTCAACCTTCCCTTTAGTCATCAGGAGTAGCGAACATCGAATTAGTCTTCGGAGTACGCCGTTTAAATCGATCGATGGCCATACCTCGTCATCATCTTCACGCAGCAATCACATATCGTCATGCCGAACAAAACATGTGTGACGAGGAAACTCCTGCGCAAGCCAAAACCACACCATGACCTCACCAATCCAAGCGTCGGGCCGTGCACTCCGTGACGGCATTCCGGCACCCCGCCGACATTCGCGATCGGCCTGTGCCGTGATTGTAGGATCATCGAGGTTGGACAGTGCTTGGGCTTCTTCATTCGATGAGGTCACCACGCAACAGGGTCAACACACGCATCATCATGGTGCCCTGAGAGACGGTTCGAGGAAGTTGAACGATCACCGAACATTCAGACAATCACCGAATATCAATTACCATGGAGCGAGCATGTGTGCAAAGAATGTGAATTTCCCATAGAAACCTGGTATAAATCTAAATATATCTCCCAAAAATTGTGGGTTATTTTTCCGTTCGAGGAAGGGTATGAATGGTTTTTCCTTTTCGTAAAGCTGATATTAAGGATAGACAAAAGCCGAAGGTGGGCGAACAATCGCGGGAAGTTGTGATCAAAAATATTTTCAAAATGAGGTGCAATCTCTCTCTCCAGAATTTCATGGTCTTCCATCTTTCCGTCGATCGATCGGTAGCTGCGTGCTTTCATGGGACGTCATGGTCTCATTCAAGAAATCACATGGCGAACACCGCAAGGACGACGGCGATCGCGGCGAAGATGACGCCGAAGGAGGCCTCGACGCCGCGGACTGCCGCGCTGCCCTGAGTCTTGGTGTAGACCGCGGGGCCGGAGGAGGTGGAGTTGGAGTTTGTCGCGCGGGCGGGGACGGTGCCGTTGCCGGTGGTCGCGGGCGTGGTCGGCTTGGGTGAGCTAGTCGCGGCACTGCCGAGCAGGGTGCAGCCGGAGGCGCCGCAGCTGTAGATTCCTGGACCGCTGGGGAGCGTGTTGGCCGGAGCGCTGCATGCGGTCGAGGTGCCGAAGGGGTTGGTGGCGGGAGAGGAGCCTGGGGAGGCGGTTGCGCCGAGGGTCGGGACGGTGATGACGACGGCGGTGCCGGCGATTTGGGTGGTGAAGAGGCTGGTCGTGGGCTGGATGAATGTCACTGGGGTGCCGCCGAGAACGGTGGTGAGAGTCACAGGGGTGGTCGGGACGCTCTCGATGGGCACGCTGACGGTGACGGGAGTTCCGGCGAGGGTGGTCGTGAAGATGTTGGTCGAGGTGGGCTGGACAAATGTCACCGAGGTACCGCCGATTGTGGTGATGATGGTGTTGGTGGGTGCAGAAATCGGCGTGCCGTTTGATACCGTGGCCGGGATTACTGGAGGGTTCTCGGTGGTCACGGTAGTGATTGGCGCCGGAACAATCGGGATCGTTGTTGGAGCACCATCAGTGCCGGTGATGACGAGAGGCGAATTGGTGGTCACGGCCGTGGCCGGGGCGGCAGTTGTCGGAGCAGCGGTTGTCGGAGCGGCTGTGGTTGGAGCGGCGGCATCGCTGGTCGTAGGAGCGGTAGTCGGAGCTTCAGTGGGAGCTGTGGTGGGAGCCGTGGTGGGAGCCGTGGTTGGGGCAGTGGTCGGGACTTCGGTAGGAGTGGTGGTAGGAGCGGCGGTCGGGGCTTCGGTGGCAACCGTGGTGGGCGCCGTGGTTGGGGCAGTGGTCGGAACCGTGGTCGGGACCGAGTCAGTTGACGCTGTGGTAGGCGCCGTGGTTGGCGCCGTTGTGGGTGCCGTAGTCGGTGCGGTTGTTGGTGCAGTGGTTGGCGCAGTGGAAGGCTCGCTTGAGGTCACAGGAGCCGCGGTGGTCGTGGGCGCCGCGTTAGTAGTGGGAGCCGGGCTGGTGGTCGCAGCCGTGTTCGGGGGAAGGATGCCAGTCAACACATCGCTGAGAGCCGGGACGCTGGCGCTGAAACTCAACGTGGGAATGATGTCAGGAGCGCCGGACCAGATGATTGTCTTGGAGGCACCCATGACGTCGTCACGCTTGCCCATGCGGTGGTACTCTGCGGTGGGGTAGCTCCACAAGAGGCCATCATCCCTGGCAGCGACCGGAGCTGCGGTCTCCTGAGCAGGGGAGTAGAGCTGCTCCGAGCGCGCCTTGATGAAAGCCCCGGGGGTCTCGAGGGTAGCGTGCGTACAGCTGGCGAAGGGGTTACCAGGAGGGAAGTACTTGGGCAGATCAGGGAGAATGTAATCCGTAATCGCAGCTCCGGCAGCGTTGGTGGTCTCGGTGGAGGAGACGGCTCCGGTGTAGACAATCTCACCCATGAAGGTGGAGCTTGCAGCAGAGAGACAACCGGCAACACCACAGCTGTTGACGGTGGCGACGTTGACAGCCAAGGCAGTTGGGCCGAGAATGAGGTTGTTGCCACCGTTGCCCTTCTGAACGATGGAGGTCGCACGTCCATTTGGCAAGTTGATGCCCTTGATGACAATGTTGCAGTCACAGTCCAAGGCGTTGTAGGCGCAAGGAGGGTTGGCACAGCTGGTCACACTTTGGTAGTACGATTTGCTGAAGAGGGCTGTGTTACAAATGGTGGTGATGCAAGTCGCTCGGGCAGCCGGGTTGACGAAGTAGACTTCGGTCTTGAGTGGAGGGCTGTCCGGGTACTCTGACCAGGTGGCGTAAGCACCAAACTCGAATCCGAGGGTACAAGCCTGGTTCGAGCAGACTGACGGACCAGGAGTGATCAACGCAGCCGCAGCGGTATCGCAAGCGCTTGTGGTGGGAGCAGCTGTGGTAGGCTGTACCGTGACGGTCTTCTCAATGTACTGAGTTGTGATGGACTCGGAGATGTAAGTGATGCCATTGCGCTCAGTGGTGACAGTGGATGTCACTGTGCTGGGCGAGATCGTGACATAAATCGGCTGAGTGGTAGTTGTCGGCTGAGTAATGGTTGCGAGAGAGATGATGGTCGTGGGAATTCCAGGGTTTGTAATGGTGGTCAGCTGGCCGTAAATTGAAGTGGTCACAGTCGATCCTGGCAATGTGGAAACGATGGTCGTAGGCACAACCAAAGTGCTGGTCGCGGTGCGGGTGGCAATTGTAAGAGAAACTGTGGTCGCTGTGGTGGTGATGACAGTCGGTGTGGTAACGGTGTAGGTCAATGTCACTGGAATACCGGCTTGAGTGGTAGTCCGGGTGAGGACATCGGTGACGAGAGACGTAGCCACAGATGTCACTGTACGAGTCACCGGGCTCGGGGTGAAGGTGGCGGTCGTCGTCAAGGTGGACAGCGCGGTCGTGGTGATCAAGGTAGGTGTTGTAACAGTGCGGTATGAAGTGACCGGCACGCCCGCGACAGTGGTCGTGATAGGGATCGTGGCTGTCACGAGATCCGTCGATGTGACCAATGTGGAATAAGTCGACAAAATGACGCTGGTAGTGAACACTTCTGACGTGACCGTCTTGACGGCGGTCGAAGTCTCAGTGGTCTTGTACTCATTTGTTTCGGTGGTGATTGAAGTCACAGGGATGGTCGAAGTGACATCCGAGGTGATGATTGTGGTCTCAGGAATGATGGTGGTTGAAGGAACGACAGTTGTGAGAGTCTTGGTAGTTCCCAAGGTTGTGGTCACGGTGGCATCATAGATGCTAGTCTGGTAGATGGTCGAGGTCAAGGAGTCTACAAAGGTGGATGTGGTGAGGTAGGTGGTGCTGTACTTGAGGGTCTCTGTCGTGTCATACACGAGAGTTGTCTGGTAGGTCTCGTACACCTTGGCTGTCGTGGTATCGGTCTCGGTGACGGGAACGGTAGTTGTGGTAGTTGTGCATGTGGTCGAGGTCGCCGTGTCCGTCTCCGTGGTGCGATCTGTCTCAGTGGTGTACAAGGTAGCTGTTTTCTGGACTGTTGAGACGGCCGTGGTGTGGTCGGTCTCCGTCTCTGTCACAGTGAGGGTTGTGTACTGTGGCGGAGGTGCATAGGTTGCAGGAGGCACATAAGGTGCAGGCGACGATGTCTTCGTCGTGTATGCTACCGGTTCTGGAGAGGTGGATGTGTATCCCGCTGGCGAGTTTGTGTAGCCAGCCGGCGCATCTGTGTAACCTGCCGGCGGCGAGGTGTAACCTGTCGGGTCCGCTCTGACCTCGATAGGCTCAGCAGCGGCCAGGACGAAGCCCGCCGCAGCTACAACTGCGAGAAACGACTTCATCTTGTCGAGCTGTGTGATGTGATATCGCAAGTCCACCAGGAGGTATGGGAGCTGAGCTGATCAGAGACAGCTTAGGCAAAGCTTCTTTCCAAACCGTGTGCAAACCGGTCTTCTGGATTTGTGCCCTGGTAACACTTCTGTGCCTCAGACAAGGTATGAATCAGAAGGAAGAAAGGGAACTGAAGAGCAAAGGACTAGTACGCGACTGAGCAAAGAAAAAGAGGTTTAGAATGAGATCGTCAGAGGCACAGTCATGGGTGTGAGCGAAAAGGGTAATGTTCCATACATGTAATATTGCATCGACCTACATGGCAGGGTGGGCATCATCACTGATTCCCTTCGCCATCGTATGGTGCTCACGGGCGCTCACCACAATGGATACCCGCGATGGGCAGAAAGTCTATCGAGATGACCACATTGACCGAGGAGGGAGTGCATGGCTCGACGCCGCAAAATCGCCGCGCCCTCCATGGCGATGCCCAGAACCACGAGCGAAAACAGCAAGAGGCTTGCATGCGGCGCAGAATCTGCTTGCCGGAAATGGGAGATCCTTGCGTGCTTTCGCCGAGTGCTGTGATGAGATGTGGGCAAACCGAGGACGACGAGAGCGGAAAAGGCTGACGTTTGGAATCGGGGGTGTGCGTGCTCGAGGACCCTGGGATGGATGGGCGGCCTGAATGGAATCGCTCGCATTTTTGCGATGGGATGGCGGCTTCGAGGTGCAGAAGTGGCAGGGCGAACGCATCGAATCTTCACTAGACCGGCCAACGCGCATGAAGCTACGAGGCCCGTTGTATGGCAAAAATGTGACGAGAAATTCTAAAAGCGTCTGTGAGGCGTGTCGTCGCAAAGAGACGTTGGAGCGGACCGATGCTCCTTTGGCACTTATGCCTCAAGCCTAAAGCTTGGATGTGGATCCTGCCGGTGTGAGGCGCAGATTGTTCGTTTTTGGTGATGCATGTCACAGCTGGGGGGTCCTCCGTTTGTAATACTTTTTGTACAGCCACGCTGACTAGATTCAATGAATGAAGACGGTTTAGGGAGATCAAATCGCAAGACTATCCTTTCTAGTTGCCCTCGTCGTCATTGATCAGGCAGCGCTCGGGCTCTCTGATAATGATGATAGCGAGACCGTATATGGATACGCAGGACGGAGATGTTCCTCCTCTGGGTAGAGAAGGCTCAGAGAAAGAGCTCACCGTCTCCTCACTCTGCTGTGCTGTGCATGGGGGCCAAAAACGAAGGGCACAGTAACATCTGGTGTAGCTAGGGCTGACCAGATTCAGGCCCACGTGCAAGCGATACAGCTCAATCCTCCGATGCCTACCAAACTACCTATGAGTACCATAGATGGATGTACAGACAGGCGTTGATAGGAGCAGGAAAGGCGTTATGTTACATATTTGTCGCACCGGAGTATTGATAAGTTCAGGCACCTTCCCCGCCCGTAGAAGGACAGGAACCTTGTACTGCACCTACTGCATCGACGATACTGGTGGTATACACGTATACATACATAATCCTCATCATCATCATCATCATCATCATGGCTGATCGAGACTCAAGCCTCTGCTGTGGATAGGAAGGATGTTGTTGTCACGTTCACAATTGGTCCTTATGGGCTGAGGAGTACATGCACTTCTCCGTATGTGCCTAGGTACTCTTGTTGTATCCAGTCTGGAGGTCTGACTCGAGCCGAAGCGATATACTCACCGGTGGGTGGTGGACCTCGAGCCTGCACCCCGCCAACTCAGTCTCGGTGTATCCATTGCTATGTCAGCAAAGAGCAACACAAAATACTGCCCAGGTGTAGTAAAGATAGCAAGGCCATGGCATGAAGCATCTGTGCTCGTGGTCGTGGTCCTCTGGAGTACCTAGGTATGTATGATGATGATTCCCGCTGTAGAAATATGAAGTGGTGAAATATTTTCTTCACATGCAAGACCAGAAACGCGAAGGAAGGTGATGTCCTCCAGCATGCTTTTCGACGGGAGGGCGGCCCTTGCTATCGGGCTGTGCCTGGCCCGCGACGGTTTGGAGATGGGAATTGTCCTAGGGGCGCGTCACTGCAGAGATGAGACGATAGTAGCACAGGGCTAGTTGAATAGCGTCGTCTAGCACGAGACCAGCGCTGCTTATGACTGTCGAGATCGGTAGAAGCAGCCGCAGTGGTGAAGAAGCGGCGTGTGACAGCTCGTCGATTGTTGTTGTTTTTTTGGTTTGTTTCCCCTCGGATGTCCTTCTCCGTCGGCTGCTACTTCTGCGACTTCTCATGTCCGCCCATCCATGATTCCATGCACAGGAGAGGGAAAAGAGAGTTCGGTCGTTGCACCTGTCATCTCTCTCCCTCGACGCACACGCACATCCCACCTCGGAGTCAACCTGGAAGAAATTACTCGTGTCGCACTTTCTGCCGCCGTTGATGATCACACACTGGTCGTCTCGTCATCTCTAGTACTGTACTGTGCGGTGCTGTGCTGCGCTGCACAAACGTCGGGAGGCGCAAGATCCGCAAACCTCGTTCATCCTCGCTTTTCCGTCGGGTTTCCTTGAGCCTGCCCTTCCGTCAGGGAAAAGCATCTCTTCGACGCACCAGACGCCTGGCCGATGTTGTTCCTGATCAACATCTCACTGTACAAAAGACACGCAGAGAGCACGCCATTCAACTCGAGCGGGCAAAGCTGGGTGCATGCATGAGGTGGCGGAGTTGGGCGCCCGATGGATCTCTGATGACCCCAACGAGCTACCGTAGCCCAGTTAGTCAGAATTTCCACTTCTCTATTTTTGTCCTTTCCAAGCTTGTCACCAACAAGCCGACTCGCTCCCGAGTTGGTTATTTCATTATTTCCCGCCATCTATATAGCCACCACCATTGCAACAGCAACAACAACAACAAGGCGATGACAACGCATAATTTCCATCGCCAAACGTCCGTCGGATAAAAGAGCAGAAAATATGCTGAAACGCTGCGCCGCACGCAAAAGTTTCCAGGTCCATGCGCTGCAGTCGTCCCACTCCATCTCACCCACGATCACTTGACGCATCGCATCGCATCGCATCACAGCTCATCTCATCCCATCACCAGCGTGCCAGCGCATCTCGTCGCATTCTCAGTGATCAGCGCCCACTCCGCCTGCTGCTGAACTGTTGGGCTGCCCCCATCACGCCTGTAAGCGTTGCGGGCGTTTCTTCTGCTCATTTTAGGCGCAATTCCCATAGCCTCACCGGTCGAGCTTCGACGCAAACCTTAAGGTCCGCTTTTTTCTTCCTAACCCATGCAGGTGCTGTGCCTCATGCAGCTTATCTGCATCAAGGATGAGTGTGGGTGACAGGAACCCTTTCGAATCTCGAGCGGACGATGCCACCGACATGCGCTCCCGTCCTCTGAACCTCGTCCGCCTCGATTTGCCTAGGTCGAGGAGGATTCCACCCTCGCGTCCTGTTTCCTCGAGTGTTCCCTGCCTTTCTGAAGTTGAAACCGTGATTCGTGAACAGCCTGCGCTCATCCGAGGGCATCTGGCCACTTGCACACCTTTTTGGGGTTTAATCCTGCTCCCGCTGTTAGCTGCTTATTGTACTTCTCGCGGCACTCTCAAACATCGGTCCTTTGCTCTGGCTGGTACTGCTTGCTGGGCTCTCTAGCTTCCAGAATCACTCCGATTCACCAATCAGTGGTGGCTGACTACGCCTATTCGCCACTCTCTTCCCAATCGTGTACTGTACCCATCTCGAAGTCCTTCTTCGCCCAAGGATTGACCGACCGAGCTTTGTCTGCAAGGCTCATCAGACCACGACTGCGTTCGCTCCGCGTTCTGGTCGCTCTCTGGCTGTTTGATATCCTTGCTTGTCGTCCTTCGTCCCGCTTTTGCTCGATCTATCGTGTTCTCGCGTTTCTCGAATCTCTCGGCGGGACATGTTCTAATCGCTTGGACATTTTGATATCGTGACATTCAGGGAATCGCAAGTTGCTCTCGCGCGCCTTCACCATGCCCAACGCCATCAGCATCGCTCCGTCACAGGAGTTTGAAGGCAACGATGGCAACTGGTCAACATTCAGCATCGTGGTCGGTACGGGACCGAAACAACAGCGCATCCTTCCAGCGACATCATCCGAATATGTCGCACTCGTGTCACCGCTCGGCTGTGTCAATACCTTCAACGCTGGCCCAAGTACCGCTTGTGAGTTTTCACGAGGCGGTACACCCTCTCTTTTCAACACCTCCAACAGTCTTACCTGGACCAAGTTGACGGCTGCCGATGGCTCAAAGAATTTCTACCTACCTTTCGACTCTGAGCAAAAACTTGGTAACGCAGGACCAGGGCAGGTCCCCGCTTCAGTCGGACTTGACACTGTCGCGTTCGATCTGCTTCCCTCGTCAAGAACTCCAAACCTCACATCACAGGTCGTTGCAGTTTACAATGCTGTTAATCCATGGATAGGCATGCTGGGTGTGCGCGGCATTCCGAATCATCTTCCGCTTGCCGACTCCACCAGCCAGACGAGTGTTTTGCAAGCCTTGAAGGCTGCAGGCACGGTACCAAGTGTGTACTTTGGCTACACCGCAGGGAAGTATTACAAGAGTCCCCAAGTTTTTGGAAGTCTCACGCTCGGAGGCTATGACGGGAGCCGTGTCGATATGTCGACGGCACTGTCTGTTCCAATCTCGGGGTCGACCACATCCGACCTCAGCGTCTACATCAAGAGCATTACCCTCAGCGCGTCGGGCAACAGGAACAATATCCCCGTTGGCCAATTTGCATTGATCGATTCGGTAGTACCGGAGATTTGGCTCCCGGACACCATCTGCGACCAAGTTGAGTTGGCGCTGGGTTTGGTCTACGACAAAGCGACGCAATTGTATCTCGTCAATGACACTTTACGCACAAATCTCCAGAATGCCGCCCCGAGCTTCACCTTCAATCTTGCAGCCTCGGGAAACTCGTCAAACAGTATCCCCATCACGTTGCCATATGGAGCTTTCGATCAAACTGCAAGGTTTCCGTTTGCGGGAGTCAATCCGTCAAATCCGACGAGACAGCAGCGTTATTTCCCTCTGCGACGCTCCAATACTACAACAGGCTTCTTCCTCGGCCGGACCTTCCTACAAGAAGCGTAAGTCTATGGCCATGCTTATCTAGCCACCATGATTTGCGCGCTAACGTTCTCTCAACTAGTTACCTCACAGCCGACTACGAGGCCAAGGTTCTGACCATTGGTGTAGCTCAAGACGTCTCTGGGACTTCCACCTCTGGTGTCGTCACAATTGGCAGCTCTAGCAGCAACAGCAGCCCCACCCCGACTGCTGCTGCCGCGCCTCTAGGCGCCGGTGCCATTGCCGGAATTGCGATCGGTGCCCTTGCCGGTGTTGCGCTCATCGGAGCTCTTATCTTCGTCTTCTGGCGACGTCGTCGCCAAGCCTTCCTCAACAACAACACCAACAAGAAGAAGCGACCGCGCTACCACCAAACCCCCTCCAGCGTGGGCGACACCACCCTCGCTGCAGACTCCGAATTCGGCAATGTCGACGAACAGCGTCGCCACGTCATGGGCGAGTACTTTAAGCCGGGCAACGAATTCGGCCCACCACCCGTCGTCGGCTCACCGCCAGGTGACGACCCAGCCTTCTTCAAATCCGAACTCGACGCCACGCAAACCGTCTCCGCCTTCCACGCGCAACGCCAAGCCCAACTCAACCGCGTCCCGCAACCCGCCCCGGTGCCAGAAATGCACGAACTGGACGGCGGCTCCACCCGCCCCGTGAACCACCGCTCTCCCATTTCCTGGGGCAGCGCCGTCAGCGCCATCTCGCCGATGAACCACGACGAGCAGCAACACTTCCAGACGCTCAGCCAGCTCCGCGAAGCCCCGAGCCCCGACCCCAACGCGGCCGGCAGTCCCGGAACGAGCCCGGCAGCGCTGGTCAGCCCGAACGACCGACACATCTCGAGCGACTCGGTGCCGCCGTTGCGCATCCCGCATGAGAGACAGCTTTCGAGCGATTCTGTGCCGCGGCCGTTGAGACCGAGACACATGAGCCAGGACAGCGTGCCGGGACTGCACGAGATGCAATAAGTCGGTTTTCGCTTCTTGCCCATCTCTCCCTGCATCTTTGGCTCGGGTCTTTTCTCTGACTGGAATCGGCTCTTTTGTCTTCTCGATCTGTGGTTACTATCTATTTATCTATCTATCGAGGCATTTTTGTTTCTCTTCAGATTTGACGAATTTTCTTGGTCCGAATTTTGCTGCGACAACATACCAGAATGGCTTTCCATCTCTCCGACATCTTTGCAGCGGCGAAATTGGCGTTCGGGGGTTCAGGGAGAAGACGGTCGCTTTTCCTCGAACAGTGAGGGTTGATTGTAGCGAACGTGTGAGGGTTTGCCACTCACGCAGATACACACTAGATGTGAGATTTGGCATTGAATGTCCGAGCGGGATTTTGGGTGAATAAATATTATCTTCACGAAAATATTGGTATTTCCTGCCTTTCTACCTTGGATGCTCGGTTTGGTCTACATAGCACATAACCAAATTGCAGACACCTACACTTTGCTGATTGAAACATCCATTTCTCCATTGCGACACCAAATTCATGGCGCACTGACTAAAATGATATGCGATTGTCCTTCATCGTTCAGCTCATAAACATCATCACAACATGACCAGTCACTATCTACATCACACAACTTTCAAATCTACCATTGACCTAATCCTTGCCGCCGACCCACGGCTTGGACGAGAATCTCTCATCAATAACAATCAACTCTCCAGTCGGCAACCCGCTCTTGGCGAAATGCACAAAAGTGTCCTTGACATGCGGCGCCAGCCTCTCCACAATCGCCTGGGAGCCAGGCCCCTGGGCAAGCGGAGCCCGCGACCAAACGCTCCAATCAGCAAACAGGAACACCAGATCGATGCAATGGCACGCCCGCAGCGCACTTCCTGCCGGAAACCAGTCGAAGCGGAAAGCGGTCGATTTCCCGCCGTGTTTCTGCCACTGTGCATGGAATTCCAGCGTGGGCTGCTTGAAGACGAAGTTGGTGACGTATTTGCTGATCGTGTTGAGCGCGTAGCCGCCGATGAGGGGGATGCTAGCGACCCGTGAGGGAAGGCCGCCCGAGAGTTGGATGAAGGGGAGACTGTCGTCAGCGGTCCAGCCGAGGAAGAGGTCTTTCTTGGGCGCGAGCTCGGCGATGCGTGAGGGGATCTGCGATGGTTCGGGGAGCGGGTGCTTGCCCCAGCTTGCCCAGAAGCCGAGGCCGCCGCCGCGGGCGCGCTGCTCGTCGATGAGGGTTTCTAGGATCTCGGTCATTTCGGCCGTGGTCTTGGATGCGGCGGATTCGGACGTTCCGCCGAGGAGTTCGCGGGCCCGTTCGGCGTTGATTTTGGCGTCTTTGCCTGAGCGGCTGATAATGCCCAGGGGGGCACTCTGCAGGATGGCTCGCTGGTAGAGATGCTCAGTGCCTTCGGCCATGATGATGTTGTAGACAGCACAGCCGCCAGCGGACTGGCCCATAATTGTCACGAGCTCGGGGTCACCGCCAAAATTGCTGATGTTGTCGTGGACCCATTGCAACGCTTGAATTTGATCTAGCACGTGGAGATTCGGCGGGATCAGACCGTCGACCTCGAGACAGCCGAAGATGCTCAGTCGGTATTGTACGTTGACCAAGACTGCGCCTCGCCGCGCGAGATCGCTGGTGTCGAGGATGTCAATGTCCGCACCGCCGGCAATGTTAGCACCACCATGGTACCAGACAATCACCGGGAGTTTCGATTGCTGTGTGCTATCGGTGGGAGTGATGACGGTCAAGGAAAGGCAGTCCTCGCTGAATTCCCGATCAGATGCACGCTCTCCTAAAACAAATTCCAATCGGAACTTGATCTGGGGCGAGACGGGTCCGAGTTTGGTACAGTCTCGGGGTTCGGTCCAGGGCGTGGGCTTCCCAGGTTTGGCGAATCGTTTGGCTTGTCCAAAAGGTATCGCTCTGGCTCGAGTCAAATCGGATTGCACGTCTGCAATGACCGGACCACTTTGGGTCTCGAAGGTACGAGTCTTGGTGTTGCTGCTTGCCATAATGTTGGACGGATGAAATTCTGCCACTACTTCAAGTGTGGGAGGCTCGCAAGGCTTGTGCGACACTTCAGCAGAGTAATAGACACGAGGAAGAGATGGAAACAAGTACTACTGTGACTGAGGATATTCTATGCGTATACGCACGTCTATTTCACCGCAAATGGCGTATTGTATGCATGTAAGCAAACGTCAAGTACCTAATAACCCCTAATAACCTAGTGATGCGGCCCAGGTGATCATGATATGATAGCTGACGTCCAGTGCCTCGGTGGCGCGATCTCAGCACGTGTGTATACAGATATATACGAGGGTTAGGGTTCGGAGATAAGAGAGCTCTTGCCCGCCAATGCAAATAATGTGCAGGTCCACACAAAACACACGGGCCAAACCAATGACATTCGGGAGCTGGTGTTCACCACTATACCGCTCAAGAACGGTTCATCCTTCGCTTGTGCTAATCAACCTCAGTGTCGGAATGATACATGCCCAGGTGCTCATTACGAGACGGAGGTCGGAACAAGATTGAGCCGGTTCCGACTTTCACCAATGACTAGCGTTTCTCGACCAGCCTCGAAATCACCACTACCCCAGCCGTCCTCCGGTGTCAATCGAGCATTGGACCATGTCGCTAGTACTTCAGTATAGTGTTCGCGCTTGTCGAATCAGCACGATTGTTGCGACCGCGTGTGCAGGCTCTGTGAGCACGAAGAGGGGTTTCGCATCTATTGTGAAGAACGAGAATCTGCTGAAAAGGTCAAGTACATTAATTTCACCTCGCATCCTCACTCCCGTTTCAATTTCCGATCGATTGTCACTCAACTACACCAGACCTTTAGCAACAATGGCTGCGAAAGAGACTGTTCTCGTCACCGGAGGCTCCGGCTTCATTGGCTCTCACTGCATTCTCAAAGCTTTGGAGCAGGGCTACAATGTGCGCACCACACTGCGCTCGCTGAAGCGCACCGATGAGGTCAAACAGATGCTGCGCCAAGGAGGCGCCACCGAAGAGCAGGCCAACAGCGTCACCTTCGTCGCCGTGGACCTCCTCAAGGACGATGGCTGGACAGAGGCCGCCACAGGCTGTGCCTATGTCTTGCACGTTGCCAGTCCCTTTCCTCCCGGTGCTCCCAAGCACGAGGATGACCTGATCATCCCAGCAAGAGAAGGCACATTGCGGGCTTTGAGAGCAGCAAAAGCTGCAGGTACCGTCAAGCGTGTGGTCGTCACAAGCTCCTTCGCATCAATTGGATACGGCCAAGTCCCTACCGACAAGCCATACGACGAGGAGAATTGGACAAACCTCGAGAACCCGGCTAAGCCTGTGTCACCCTACGCGAAGAGCAAGACGATCGCAGAGCGCGCTGCGTGGGAATATATCAAGACCGAGGGTGGAGATTTGGAGCTTGCCGTGGTCAACCCGGTTGGCGTGTTCGGCCCTGTGCTGTCCAAAGACTTCGCGACCAGTGTCGAGCTCGTCTCACGCCTGGTCAAGGGTCAAATCCCTGGCTGTCCCAAGCTCGTGCTCGGTGTCGTCGATGTTCGCGACATTGCAGCTCTGCACTTGTTGGCCATGACCCACCCAGACGCCGCAGGACAGCGCTTCCTCGGAACCGCCGACGGCGACTTTCTGAGCGTGCTGCAGATCGCAAACCTGCTCAAGGACAGCGATCTGCCACCTCACATCATCAAGAAGCTTCCCTCGCGCGAGCTTCCCAACATTCTCCTGCAGGTTGCTGGATTCTTCGACAAAACTATCGGCATGGTGTCGTCGGAGCTGGGTAAGCCTAAGAATGGAACCAATACGAAGGCGAAGCGTGTGTTAGGATGGGCCCCTCGCAGTGCACAGGAGGCCGTGGTCTCAAGTGCGAAGAGCCTCCTGGAGGTTGGTGTTGCGAAGTGAAAGTGCCTCCCCGCATGATCCATTTCTCGTACAGTTATATACCCCCATTCAAATTTTGATTGCAAGAGCATACTGTCAAAGCGCTGTTCAATCCTCCAGCCCCCGCCCGTCAAGAGCGGTACCGTCGTATTCTCTGTGTCCATTGTCTTCAACCACGTGCGTCCCATCTCTTGCTCGTCGTTGTTATACATGACAAGGCCGACCACTGATCGAAATCACTAAGGCCTGTCGTGATGCGAAGGGCAAAGAGCCTAATTTCTTTCTGGCGCGATCCTGATGAAGGTTCCAAAGTCGCTTGCAGATGAATTTGTCTAGGCTGACGCGATCGTGACGAAGAGCACGAGGAACCAGCACAATCTTGCTGTATGGGCAGGAAAGTGAACAACAAACCAAATCAGAGGCGGCTAGAGATCAATATCACGTCGCGATCCAGGCTGGACACGTGAAAAACTTTCAGGCAGCTGTCGCTTGTGCACGGAGAGTGAAAGTGAGCATCGGACACTTTCCAGAAGTCCGCGATTTTCCATCTACCATCATTGACACCAACACTTGTACACACAAAGACACAAGTCGCACCGCCATGGCTTCAACTTCATACCACAATTGGTTGCCATTTCCTTACTTCACTCGCTATCGCGAGAAGATCATCGCAGCAGTCAATTATGATGTGGTTAACAAATGCTCTCCACCAGAGCTCGCAGTGTACGCAGCTTCGCAGCCGCAGTCATACACTCATGAGGACGACCTGTAACATTTAGCTGAGCGAAGAACATCTCATGTCTTTTCATTCGTATCAAGAACAAGGCCAATCTAGCGCCACGTGTCACATTTTATCGCATCGATTCAAGTATTGTTAGTTGGTGTTGCAATTATCGTAGCATCTGATGCATCAGTAACGACGATTGCCAGCATGGTGCATTTACGTCCTTTCCGAGTGAGTTGCCATGTCTGAAACAACCTTGGAACTAGTGAAACGACAGAACTGTACGAAGGATGAGTGTGGACTCGGGAATTTGATTTCCTTCATTGGTGCCCTGTTCTTGCCTTCACTCTCTCCTATGTTGGCATTCCAAGGTTCGTCCTGACCAGAGTCGCTCCGCCGCTATCATACTCTACCACACTGAGTCGACAAGATGCAAAGACCTTTATCGATAGCTCGAAAGTCCTACGGCTTACACGGTCCGAAGTTGATGCAACGAAGGACGACCGAAGACCTCCTCTGGCTGGCATCCCTCGAGCGTCGAAAATATGACCCTCTGTTTGCACTTTCCATGCGTGGTAGAGCTAAGCTAGTCGATATGAAGGCATCACCAATGCCTCAAACTTCGGCCTTGGGCAGGCTCCACGTGCTCCCTCCAGAGATCCTTCCTATCACTCACACCCCCTTGGACTTGTGATCGCTGCAGCGCTTCTCGGGGACCAGCAAGAAGTCACGTGGTGTTGTACAGTCGCTGCGAGGGCTTTTTGCATTCAAATATCATGTTTCTGAGAATTTGCAAAGGCTCCGAAAAATCGGTGTAATCGAACGGCACTCCGTCAACATCCTCTTGAGGGCCTTTCGCTCCTCAGACTGTACAAAATGCAGCGCTTGGGTTCCAGTCCTTCACCTACCAACTTGTCAACGGTACTGTCGCAATTGCTTCCAAGACCTGCCTGAATATTGCATCTTGCCCACAGATATCTTCAAGTCGTTTCCACACATTGCCCTGAGTCAGCGGGAGGAAGCAGTGCTCCATGCTCGCGTTTATACCCGCGCTGGGCCCCGACATAATGAAACTTACAGTGCAATATACGTCGACCAAAATCAGGCGGCGATCGCTGAGCAGCTCCAGCATTCTGGTCGGGTCTGGTTTCAAATGATGGGACAGGGTATTCGTGCCGTTCAATGTACTCTGAAGATCTCGACTTGTGGGTTCGCCATACATGACCAAAACCATGGATATTTTGGCAAAAGACTGGAAAGCAATCGAGCCGCCGCTCGAATCAACGATCAAATCGCTTTGGGATACCGATGATCGGACTCGTCAACTGTTCGTGAAATTACCTCAACTCGGGACTTCCAGTCGAATCGAGCGATATGTTTTTTGTCGGGTATATTACAAGCGATCAGGCCCGATATCTTTGGGCCAGATCGGCGGCGCGTCAAGATACGAACCGAAAATGGAACTGAGAAGACAATGTATAAGGCACCGAGAGAGGACTTCTTCAGGCAGATAAGGGAGCCCGTTTATACCGACACTAGATAGTGCGTCTCCTCCGTCGACCGAGGATTCGCAAGATTCCGTAGACACCGACGCTATAGACAACCGGAGTGGCCGGTAAAAGTTCGTGAGACCCGTGAAATGATATCGCATGCGGATGTCATCATGCGCGAGGCACTTTATGGCTGTATGTAATGCGAATGAAATTGGTGGACAGTGAGGATTGGTTGAACTCCAAAGTAGCCTTTCGAGCATCGGCAGACAAATGCCTGGTATTTAACATCTGATTGCGCTGCAGAATCGTATGTTGCACCTGTAAGCGGTATTCAGCACTGAGAACGTGCAGGGTCGCTTCCAAACCAGGGCATCCTCACGTACTGGCGTATTCCATGATCATTGCATTAACACAGTCCTCCATTACCATATTTTCGCCATGGGCGGCCATCCGACAGGAACATGAGGTCTCCAGATACACCTCTTCCTGCCATCATAGCACACACGAATTCATCATTATCTTGGCAGGCAACCGTGGAAATATTGGATCGGTCAATTGGCCGCATCAAGATTTAAATTCATCGTAATTTCTTGACCAATAAAGGGAGAAAATCCAGTTCAACACAAAAGCTTTGTGCTATGTGAGGAAGGCTTTGTGCCGTATGACCAATGCTTACAGCAGCTAGCATCGCATTTAAATACAAGCTGAAGCCGTCCTCCCGCTGAAGTGATGGACGAGAGTTGACCAGTGTGCTGAGAATCCCACGCCCGCCTTTGCACTCATCTTGGGTGGACATGTGTGCGCTCGCGCTGGTTGATCAGCATGATTGAAATAAGTTGGTCCCAAGCAGCCTGAGGCGTTCGAATGTCCACAGACGTTCGACAAAAAAGGCCGGCGCTCCACGTGAATTTGACGCGTCCCCGGGCGGGCCGCGTGCGGACCAGCACAAACACGGACGGCACATCACAACAACAGCCTTTGCAGTGAAGGCGTGTGATGTATATTGCCGCAATTGAATACGATGGTCATAGTGGTGACGACATCGATGAACGCCTCACTTGTGACTCACATTGCAGATGCAATTCAGCCCTTGGGCATGCGTTCCCTCGGAGACCTCACGATCATCACAGGGTAGCACGAAGTAGCAGAATGAGCTGCGCCTTGTTGACAGATCAAGGATCAGCTAACATGTCAATGAGCGAAAGGACGTGGGAACAAGACTGACGCATAGCTAGGTACAATAACACCACAACGCGATGAATGTGGAAAGGAGCCCGGAGTGCCGTACTGGAAAGAGGGGTGGCCTCCCAAACCTGGTTAATGGTTATCGCCTACGTGGACCAATGAAGATACCTGTCGATTTCCTGCATATACCAAAAGGCCCGCAACCAGCCGCATCTTTACTCTTATCGAAATCGGTCCTTGCATTTCGGCCAGAATCCACATCCTGTACCCTCACACGACCGGCCATTTGCGTATGCTGCACCAAAGGCGGAGTCGTACACTGCCCATCGGTACAGTGGTGCTTCGATTTGGTCCAGATGGATGGCTGCGCACAAGGGGTATGGTTCCCTTGTAAAACCAGTATACGCACAATTGATGTGTTCGCGCCGTGACGACATCACGATCGACGAGGCGCAGTCTTAATTTCCACCAAACCTGTAGATGCGCGAATAGTGGCGTAGCCAACACAAGCCGGCCGTGGTATTCGACAGCAGCTATGGACAACATCTCCTGCGGAGCTCTGTATATGGATAGGTCATGGTGATCGTTGTCGCTAATCATGCGAGGTCAGGAACATTAATTGGTCTATTGGAAACCAAACTGTACGTGCCTGACCAGGGGTCGTATTGGCTTCGCCACCATCTCCATCGAGCTTTGACTCTTATGGAACACTTTTGGTCAACTCTGCATATCCAAGTCGCTGCGATGGAAACCGAACATGCCGCAGATTCTTGACAGGCTTACTCAACATAACGAACACACCATGACAGGCGCCGCGAGGGTGGCCTCCCCTCCTGGAGAACGCTTCGCATGCTGGAGAGTGTAGCTGCGGTCACTCTCACCGCAATAGTTTGAACCCTTCACGGGCTGATCTATCCTGCCGAGTATATAACTTTGTGAAAACATCTACTTTCCCATTTCGCACATTGTCCGGCGCTGACCATCTCAGATAGAGAGCTGGCGATGTTCAGATGACTTCCCTCTCATGTTGATGACCGATCTTTTGGGGTTGTAATGGTGCCCGCCTTTCGACGGTATTATAACCTGCATGCAAAAGCCGACAACACTGTTAACATCTCCGTACAGAAGTTGATGACTCCCAATCAATCGCGCGACATATACAATTTCATACTGGACTGACTGATCATCTAGCGATATTGTTGTGCACTCCTCGAAGATGACCGACGCTCAGAATTCTGGAATCAATCGGTCCGATGCGCAGGATACCGCTACGCCTCGAACACGGTCACCGCGTGGGACGATGCCGTCCTATCCGCTCTCGGGTCGAATTGACTTTGCTGTTGACGTCGATTCCTGCAATGTGGCCGACTCTGGATCAGTGTATAACACATTTCGAATCGATGCTGGCAATGACTCCGAAGAACCAGCCGTTGTCGGTGGCTTTTATCGCGACGCCTCACCGCTGGAGCGAATAACGGAATCGGTCGCGCGTCAGAGAGTGCCTCGCTCCCCCCAGGACTCCACAACACTTCAGCCGAGCACAAGCAGCTCATTCTCAGATGATCGGCATGGACGTCATAGAGCATCGTATGTTGTGGAAGGAACGACGGCAAAACCAGCTCGCGTCGAAGTTGCAGGATTCAGAGCATCACGATCTCAACATGAGGCAAAATTGGTTCAGCGCAATACAGCAGCTGCGCCGACACCGTTCATGCCGTATTTGCAGCCTGCGCGCGAGCCACCAACGACACCAAATTCGTATCAAGATCCGATCATTAGAGAGTCGTCATCCGATGGTGCTCGTGGCGACGCAGACTGTATACCGATAGGCTACGAGGTTCCAGGCCCCCAAAATTCACATTTTCGATGGTCTCCCCCCAAGGCGTTGACAGGATCTTCGACTGCCCAAGCTGCTCGCAATACTACTGTCCCAGCAATCAGGCTTAGTGTGGTGAACACTCCTGGAACTACAGAAAATCTCCTCACCCGCACCTCATCAGACACATCATCTGCGGACGTGTGTATCGTCTGCGAAGAGCTCGGCGATGGTCGCTACTACTGCAATGTTTGCCAAGATCTGTTCTGCGACCCTTGTTGGAATACACAAATTACCCACAGGCGCCAAAGTAAGACTATAATGCCCGGAACGCTCCCACACGAAAAGACTAAGCGCAGCATCGCCGAGAAAGTGAAAAAGGTTCTCACGCCTGCTCTCACTAAGGAGGATCGAGAGAGACTTCATCTAGAGGACATCGACACGACCTGGTTCGGGGTTTCTCGAAGCAAGAATCAACCCCCGCTATTCCGCGATTATGGACGATACGCGAATCTCATAGCTACGCTGAAGACCGAGCGTTACAATCAGTATTATGATGATCACCCTTCATCGCCAGTCAGCAAAGACCAGATTGGAACTCTTTTTCCAAGTCTTGTGTCTTTCGTTGGAGTTACTGGTGCTGGCAAAAGTACCCTGATCAAATTTCTCATTGACCTGAAGTCCAACAATGACACCGCATTCTTCCCTACGCCGGTCGTTGGAGCTCCTGATGCCAGTCTTCCAACATCCGGAGACGTTCATCTCTACCTTGATCCCGTCTCATCCATGAGTCTCACATCACAGTCTCCATTGCTCTATGCTGACTGCGAGGGACTAGATGGAGGTGAGAGGAATCCCTTCGCCGCGGCGACTAAGCAGAAGTTCGAGGGGCAAGGAGAAGAATCGCCTTCCTCAACAACGGATCAATATCGGCCGAAACGACTCAATCACATTTCAGAAAGAGAACTGATGTGGGCCAACAATGCACAAAGAGGACGGCGCGATTATACTGTCGAGTATCTTTATCCAAGGCTTCTTTACACGTTCTCAGACGTCATCGTCTTCGTCGCCAAAGACGCCAGGTAGGATCGAGGATGTCTGAACACAGCACTGCCCGGTACTCACAGATATTTAGGCTCATCGAGAAAGTTGTCGAGCGACTTATCAATTGGGCGCATGCCGCGCTCGAGAAGTCGTCTAATCAGCCGGTCCTGCCCCATGCCATCATTGTTCTCAATGCTTCGAACAACGACATCCCAGAAAAGTTGTGGGATGTCAAGTGTGCGACAAAAACAGTCATGGACAAACTCGACGAAGCTTTACTGAAAAATCCCTCGTACCAACATCTCGTCAACTTTTGGAAGGAGAGGCGACGGCCTGTCCGTACCGTCACCGGCTTGGTTCGCATGTACTACTCCTCGCTCAACATAGTGCGCGTTCCGACGACAGGCAGGCCAAATTTGATTACCGATCAGATCACGAAACTTTCTGATGTGATCCGAACTGGTAGTGAGGCTGCCCGAGAGAGCAAGGCCAGGTTGCGCATGCTCTTGAACGCGGATGAGTTTCAGCTATATTTACAGTCAGCTTTCGACCATTTTGCTGAGAACCTCAGTAAGCCCTTCGACTTTGTGCAGGCGTCTTTTGCAAATAGTCCTATACCAAACAACTTCGGTGGCAATATCCTGAAGCTCGCAATTCAAATGATGACAACCTGGAATGAGATCCGCAACCCATGGCACATTCTTCAAGAGCTCAGCTTCATCGTTGGTTCGTGCATCATGCTCGATACGACTCGCCAGAAAATAAGAGGCGTCCCGCAGGACATGTTCCCCAAATATCTACCACATCTCGACCAAGCTCTTATGGACTTTTGCGACAAGCACTGGCGTTGCGAGTATCAACATGGGGCGGAGCGATGCGTCAATGTACGGAGCGGACACTCCGCCAAAGGTCATCAGATGCAATCTGGAAGGCTGGCCGGTGTCGGCCACTACAAGTCAACAATACAATGCGACGAGCCCACCAAACGCAAGTTCCAAGAACTTGTCTACGAGAAGCTGGTGATCTCTTACGTGATGACGCGGCGGCGAACCTCATCAAGTAAAGCGGAGGATCGCGCTGCAGCCGAGATTCATTGCGAATACGTCTTACCGCACTTCTTCGCCCATGTCACGAAGCACGATCCCGGGACCTTTGTCAGCCATACAGTATGCTTGTCATGTCTCTTCGAGCCACCAGAGCATGCACTGCCTTGTGGACATATCATATGTACTCCCTGCTTACGGAGCTTCGGCGACTGTCCGGAACCCAGTCGCGTCGCCATCCCGCACTGCCCTCTTGAGCCGAAGACGAATCGCTTCATATTTCCCTGGGAAGTTTACCTCAAACCTCCAGGCTGTGGGATCCGGATACTGACATTAGATGGGTGAGTAAAATTCTCTTTCTGCATTGAGTCTTCACTAAACCTCAGACAAGTGGCGGAATTCGAGGCGTCGTTGAGTTGGAAATTCTCAAGCTCCTCGCAGCAGAGTTCGATAATGACATCAACATTCAAAGCTTTTTTGACCTGATTGTTGGTACGAGGTATGCTCTGCACATCCTTCCAGTGCTTCTGGTCTATCGCTTATGTTAATGCTATAGCACTGGTGGCATAATTGCTCTTGGTATGGTGGAACGTAAATGGACGATACAACAATGCTCTGAGAAGTTCGAGAAGCTTTGTGTTAAAGCTTTTGTGCCGCGCAAAGGCGTCAATATTCCAGTGATTGGACGAATCGTTGCAGCTCACAAGCAGTCTAAGTACGAGACGAAACCTCTCGAGGAGGTAAATTCTTCAGCAGAAACGCGCCGATGCGGCGGCTACCGTGGAGTTTACGAAAGCTGACCAAGACAGGCATTGCAAACGGCATTCACTGAGCATGAGCACCTTTTTGGAGGCAAACGCGCTCGAGCAACAGAAATTGGCGTCAAAGTCGCCATCACGGCAACCTCTGCGACACTGGGTGAAGTCGTGTTTGCGAATTACAGCCGGACATGTGGCGAGCAACGTGAGTCCACCGACCCAACAATGGCAGCCATATGCTGACGACAATAGTATCCTATGCTTTTCAGCGACCTGAAACCCTCCAAGGAGAAGTCAAAACTTGGGAAGCGTAAGATCTTCCTCTTCAAAGGTCCAAGAATCAATTCCTGGCCTATACTGACATGAACAGAGCGAGAGCAACGTCAGCCGCGCCCAGATACTTCAAAAATTACTATCACAAGGCCACAAAGCAGCTTTATTCTGACGGAGGTATTTACCACAACAACCCGATAAATGTGGCCGACAGCGAGCGTAAACTCCTTTGGCCAGAGCTCAAGGACAACGAACCAGATATCGTGATATCTATCGGCACCGGGTCGTGCGTGATCGCAAAGGAGAAAGCATTGGTCTCTAGTCCGTCGAACAAGGGCATTGTTGCTGGCATACGGAACATGAACAATCTTGCGTCGCATCATATCCATTCGTCACTGGATGCTCGAAGAACTTGGCGAGAGTTCATCCGAGTGCGGAACCCCAAAGGCGACAACAAGCAGCGCTACGTTCGCCTCGATCCCGAGTTCGAAGAACCACTCCCCAAGCTCGATCACATCAGAGCGCTGTTGGAGCTCAAAGCGTCGACTGTATCAAGCATGAAGAGAAGTGAGCAGATCAAAGCCGTTGCCCAACGCATAGCTGCCACTCTTTTCTACTTCGAAGTTGCCAGCGGCGTGAATGACTCCATCGCTCCGACCTCGGAGATGGTTTCTGTAGTTGGTGAGTAGGTCTAGAAAGCGATTGGTGAGCAGGACTCTGACAGATTTACAGGTAATTTTCACTGCCGATTGCAAAAGCACGAGATACCTGCACTCAGCAATTTTATAAAGAAACACAAGGTGCCAGGATACACACCTCGCTTTATCATCATGAGGTCGGACAGCGATACGGACATACCACAGCTTGTTTACCTGAATGATCAAGTGCTGGATAGAATGTCCACCAAGAAATCGCTGAACATTTATCCGCCAACCACAGTGACTTGGTCTTCGAAGCAAGCGCGAACCGAAATCTTCCTTTGTCTCGACAAGAGCACAAGGTATCCAATCAGTGGTTTTCCACGCAAGCTCCATGAGGGCAAAACTCCGATCACAGGTGTGTGCAACTAGTTCAAGTATGCTAATCTAGGCCACGACGTTGACTATCAATCAGGGAGTCGCCAGATACTAACATCGGTTGAGACGGGCCCTTGGATCGGACATTCTGCGAGCGCTCACGCCCGGGACCATGCTTGGGACCCACCACTACACTTGAGCAAATTGCAGAAAACAGACATCATCGAAAGATTCGCCGATGCTTCACATTTGCTCGGTAGCGCAACCAAAGATGATCTCAACCCCAATACTCCCCCAGAACCTCCATTCGAGTCGGAAGAGGCCTACAGCCAATCGACACAACCGCAACATAATTTCGCAAGCACCGGCTTCACCACTCTCCCGCCAAGTTCAGGCTATCGCAGCGCCGCGTGGGACTCGTTCGAGCTGGCTCACAGCAGGAGCACCAACAGCGCCGGCTACGTGGGTTCGTTGTCTTCTCAAGCCTCAGCCCCAGTACATCAAGCATGGAATGGATATCCGCCATCAGTGCATAGCTCCTCGTCGGGCAGGGCTCCATCTGAGCTAGATGGCTCCTCAATGCCTCGGATGTTCGAACATTATGGGAGCGCGGAAAGATCTCAGGAATCCCCTGTGATCGCCGTGGCTGCGAACAGCAACGAATCATACAGACATACTGGGAGCGCAGCTTATCCAGCCGGCGTACATGAGTTACCGTGATCTCGTCAGCATGATACTGGACCCATTCTCGTTCTGTCGTTCTGCTACCTTCCGAAAGAACGAATTTCGCGCAAAGCGGAGAAATCTCCCCGGACCAACATTTTTCGGCCGGCTGTGAATTTCTAGTCATCATTGAATCATCATTTACTGATGTTTTGCTGTCTAGAGCTTCGTCATCACCGTCTGACTCAGAACCCATGCATCGGAGGATGAGTGCTCAAAGCCAACGGGAGGAGATTGTTATCCAAAGTCATTTACGATCAATTCGGGCCCCAGGGTTAATAATGTCTACCCCCTTCCACACACGTTCAGATTGCCAAAGTGCATTTCATCACGCATGAGCATCAAAAAGGTTACATTCCGTGTACGATTTAGTGTATAATTCCATGATAGAATCACAGAAAGCTAAATTGTCTCGCAACGAGATACTTCCGATACGCTTCGTCCGGATGCTGCATCCGCCGACGATTCCAGCGCGGCCAGAGTCGACAAATGCACACGACCAGAGTGATGAAGGGCACCGTAACGCCAATGTAGAAGCCAAACAATTGCGGTCCCTCTAGAAATTGAAACCGATCAACACCGAGCAGAGACTGGGATGCATTCGGTCAGCTGGCATGTCGATCATCGTCTCGTAATACTGGAGGATACTGCTCACCGATACAAGACCAGCAGGCAGGAATATAGAGCCAAGCACTGCGATAAACTTCATATCCTCATTGTCCATCTGGGCTGCTTTTGCCAATCTGGTTTGAACTTGGCTCTCTTGCTGTTGAATGAGCAGGTAGAGCTACCGGCAACAATCAGCAAATGTTACCATGAGGTCACCGTAAACAAAGTCGCAGGGAATGTGCATCATGGGCAACATACCGTCTCAGCAACAAGATTGACCCGGTTGACGTGATCCTTGTCGCGGGCCTGAAGGCTCTGGAATCGCTCCCATGTCAAGGTCGACCATTGACGAAGCTTCATGTGTGCCGAGATAAATTCGGGGCTTTGCTTCAATTCGTCGCAGTGTCCCAAACCTTTCTCTAGTGCGGCATGGTAGCTCTCCCAAAAGTGATAGCGTCCTTCCCGGCTAGACTGCTGTCGTCGGCAGCTCTGCAATTGAAGCAGAAGCACACTGACGTCGTCCAAGCCATCATCCAAATCCGCCTCCTGGTTCAGCGTTTTGATGTGAGACACTCGTGCGATCTTCTTGCTGACGTCTTGTAGTGCGACCTCCATGGATTGCAATTTTGATTTGAGTGAGCTCCGTCGCCGGATCGACCGCTCGAGTAATTTGGCATACATAATGCAGGGAATCAGCATCGGATGCACGGCCATGTTACGGAACAGCTTCATTGAATCAACTAGGTGCTGTGGATCGCTGCCTTGCTCAACACTCCAGAAAACTGATACGTCTCTCTCATGAGCAGAGTAAGACAAGGCCAGAGACCAGTCGCCATGTTTACTAACGCAATATGAGATAAATTCCATGCGTTTCATGCACCGGTCTTGGTCGTATTCAACTCGACACGAAGTTGTCGCAACAGAACCATCCGCTATTTGAAGGTATGACATGGGCAGATCGAGTCGGGAGAAGCATTCTCGGAAAGATTGCACATTTTTGAAAGGCAAAAGGTCAGGCTGTGTGCTGATGTGATCCGGTCGCGTTCGTTGCAGCACACATCTCAATCGTGCCATGGGACTCGCCAAATCATTTTCAGGAGCATTCACGTTACTGCCGCAAAGGCGTTCAGGCACGCGAAGGTCGTCTGCTGCATCGTATGTTTGATCCTTGAACTCTTCGTGAGTGGATGTCCCATCTTGCTGATGATTTGATTAGCAAAAGCCGAGTCATCGAACGCATGAAGATGAATGGTATACGGTGATAATCAAGTGATACTCCGACCGCTGTGCGCTGAATCGAACATGCTCCCCAAGCTGCCTCTCGCTTAGCAGCTCCATTGATCTGGTCGGTCGGGGTGTGGCACCATCTCACGAAGGTGCGGCGCTGAAGACTTCTGGGTCCCGTATGTGATGGATTGCTTTATCATTATGTACCTATTACACAGCCTCAGCTGCTCTGCAGAGGCTCTCGCTTGACGATACATCGGCGCAGAAGAAACTGCACGTCAAGTTGTGGGTCATCACCATGCGGGAAACCTTTGCTGCGCCTCAAAACCCCGGCGCTTTCCTTGCTGGCACGTCAAATGTACAATCGGGGCAAGGTACGCATGTATGTGGCTCGAAGCGGAGCAGCGACCGCAGTTTTGGTTTGATACGGCCTCTTGGGCTGTTGTACTGAAACTGGCGGCTTCGAAAGCCAGAGCGTCCCCATCGGACAGTACTTTAGTTCCCACGCCGACGCTCGTCCTTCGCTTCAAACGCAGCAGACAAGACTCGTAGCGCGTTGTCACACTGGGCACTCGGTTCATGGATCCTCGTCGATGACACTGTGGCCCCATGTATGACTTCAGATTGTTTCTGGCAAGTCACAGCGGACTCAGAGCGTGACGATGATATGGCAAACGTGGGTGGTGTATCAACATCACAGTAGGTTCCATTGCATGCTGTAAAGATCAATTCATTATCCTAGATAAGTTTGAAGAAGCAACCCAGCCTATCGATGATAAATACACAATAAACATGTGAAGTTCAATCGTGCCCGTCTTAGCTTCCCGAGCTATGCAATATCACAGCGAGGTACTAGACTCCCACACCAACGTTGAGGTGCGAGCACATTGTGAGAGCGATTTGTTGTCGAGGTTGACTCCCCGCCTCTCCCCACAAGAGGATTCACAACCAGGCCTCGCGATACGGCATGTGTGAGTTTTCCGAGACCCCGCACGGTTCGTCACACAATCAGCCTCATACCGATCCTGGTGGAGGAAACATGACTAAGGCAAGTGCGTCCCGATCGATTGCTCGTTCACAGCAGGGACACTCCCTGGGAAGTCCGCACAACCTCCGGCGGCGCATTGCTCTCTCACTCAAGCCAAAAAGAAAACCTGCTTCCAAAGCAGTTATGTTGCTTCACCATGCAGGGGCCGTCGCCGTGGCCAGAGGACTCGCCGTACCATCAGGGCGTGAACGCCCGACCAAATGCTTCACCATGGCTCGATCGTATCGTCACTACCGGAGAATCTTTCTCCTGCCATAGCTAGATCGCATCGCAGCTCAGAGGGTCTGCCACACGTTTCTTGGACATCTTGTCCGAATTCACGCGCTACCGTCAAGCACTGAACAATGGCTACAACCATCTGCCGAGCTGCTCAGAGGGCTGGCTGCGCTCCAACTGCGCCACCGGCGACATCGCGATGGTGAACTTCTCCAGCTCCAACCAGCGGATCTGTGGACTCTTCGCATAACATTTGCGGCTCCGTTGCTATCGTGGTGAATCTGGACAAGGATCTCTCATCGACTTGTCCACTCCACCCATCGACCTCGGGACTCTCCACACTTTGGTCTCTGTCGACCAGCCAGATGCGTCACCAGAAGGCCTCACGTTGGCTTGCAAGTCATACTTGCAGTCTACACAACGAGGAACTTCCATTGGTTCTTCGCACATCAGGACTTTACGCCCTGGAACAAGTTTCTGCTTCGCAGCCCAGGCATGCCGACCATCATCGCATGACAACAACAGACAAGTCGAGGCTTGCTGAAGCGAACAAAATCGTGGAGTCCACACGATCACATCGAGGTCAGCAATGAAGATTATCCAGCAAGGGCGAGTCGGGCACATCCTCTTGCCAGGTGCTGGTCGCAGATTTGGCAACGATCGAAACACTGGCAGTGGAGAAAATTGCTCACGACTCTTCCTCGAGCTGAATAAACTTCAAGGCCTCCAGTCTCGAAAGTTTTCACTGGTGACAACACTGATCCAAAGTATGCCAAATAGCTGCCGCGCTTTTCGCACGGCAAGTTCTTTGGAACGAACAGCTCACAACAATACAACCAACGTGATACCGAAATGTCGAGCCAGTACTCGCAGGAACTGCACAAGGCAGATTGCGAGAAAGCCATTCCGAATGCTTGTGTCGGACTCTCACAGCTTTCACGTCACCGATAGTCATTGTATGGCTCTTCCACGTCCGAGCTGGTTTTAACCACTATCGTTGACCTGGGCAGAAGCTAGGCAGAAGAGAATGGTGTTTCCCCAGTGCGGAGAACATTCACCACATCCCCTGCACGAAGCAGGAAGAATGGGCCAGAGCATCAACGATGAGACTTGCTCCTGAAGCTGCGAAGCAGCAAGGTTAAACGCACATCACGATGCCAACAATATCAATGTCTTCTCTTTCGTCAACATCATCCAAATTCCATCAGCGTGCATATAGCAGTAGGTGACTGATCAAGATAGATGCGCAGAAAAATGGACACTGGAGACCACCCGTCATCTGGCTGAACCAGTCCTCACTATCCCTTCCGCGCCGAGTCAGATCTCGACGCGAGGATAGAGGGTGCGATGCTGAAATACCCACACCGTCAAGCTGAAAGGCAGAGGGGGGCATGCCAAGAGCAGGAACGTAGTGGTCGGAAAGCACCGTGACGATGGTCTGAGGAAAGAAGAAGAAGGAGGAGAGAAGAACTGCGGACATGTCAAGGACTTTAAAGGGCCGCGCAGGATGACTGGGCCAGCAAGCCGTTATCTGTCCACTTTCTGACGTGGCCCCAGACGCGTCGCGGGGTGTGAGACACGTGTGACTGGGACGACGAATGTGGCTAGGCTGAATTTCCACGCGCCTGCGGCCTGAGGTATGCAATCAGTCCTGTGTACACCACATCTGTGAAATTGGGGTACTCGGGTTGCATCGCGACTTCATAGGGTTGTTGAAAAATCATGGCAAAGACAGCACCATTGGTAAATCGGCCGGGATACTACAACTACCTATGCACTGAATAGAACCGAGATTTTCCATGACTCTGCCTTTGAACTCGGCTAATGTGCTGGCAAAACAAAAACATTCGTCATCGATTGAGCAGCCATCTGATTAGTCATGAGAATGCTCCGTCCGGTTTGACCGACTGATGGATTCCTGGAGGTGAGGACTTCGGTTTGTGGTGTCAAGGTGCTGTCCCCTTGACTGCTAACATGATCGCCGAACCCCTGTCCATCATCTGAATGTGGATGAGAACGAAAGCGTCCGCCGTCTGGTCGATGCTCATGCCAATGTCCACGAGAAGCGTTAGCTGGTTGACAACGACGTCGACTTGGTGTCAGCGTACGGCCATCATCTGAGCAGCCTTCGAGGGCTTTGATTTGGTCTAGCTAGGAAAAGATCGTATCTAGGTACACATGCAACGCAGTGAACTGACGTGCTCAGAAATCGATTGGAGACGACGACGCAGCTACCTGCGAGAGTCTAGTCCAGCCGCGTGCTTCGATTTCACAACTGCTACAATAACGAATTCGGAGTGGCGACCGACAGCAATGCGTGATGCATACCGGCAAACCTCCAGACTCAACACATTGATATCCATTTCGACATTTCAGTGGTATGTATCCCCGCGAAGTGCAGAATGTCCTTCAGAAGCGATGAAGATCCTCATGAGACGTTTTGTTTACATCATTTTCGAATGGCGTTTTTGCCGACGTGGCTTCACTGTGGATAGTTCGCACGCAATCTGCAAGTCTTGAATAATCTCAATGATCGTCGCCGCAGACGAAGTTGGTGAAAGCTGTGACGTGGGTTTGCTTGCTCTTTGCTGGCCTCACCTGGCATGCAGCCTCGATCTGTAATGCCAGAGTCGCATGCCCGTATCCTCTGTTTCATTCCTTCAGTCAAAGGACCACGAATTTACCTGAGCAGGTGCCATTGAATACTGTAGTAACGTCCACTGTTGGAAAAAAGGACAGGATGGCTGACACAGGACCCTTGACATGATTTCACGAAAGCCGAAATTGATTTGTCCCACTCCCCGCATTGCAGGTCCACAGGCCACAGGCCTCTCCCAGAAGCCGTCGCATGGCCTCGCAGGTGTGGATATTCTTACGATTTTGGATGGTAAAGTGCGCTGCCGACTTGTAGAGGATACTATGAGATAAGCATATGATAGCAATGGATATGCGAGTTCTTTCCTTCGATGTAGCGGCATCAAAATTATCCACTTGTTACCTAGGTAATGTGAAGAAAGACGGAAGTGTAGGTTCCGAGGAAGCATCGATAGTGGGCCAGATTTTCTTTATCGCGGGATCGACATCGGCGGTGGTGCCATCTTCGTCTGCAACCAATGGTCCGCGTGGCAATTACTACCACCGTACCATTCGGCGAACACAAAATCATCGTGCCATCCCGCTGTCATCCTTTTCTCAAGGCCTGAAGCACCCTCGCACCTGCTCTCCACAGTAATACCACGCCACCATGTCGTTCTCAAATCTCGTCAACGATCTCAGTTACCGGAATCGCGGTGACTCGAACAACACCGACCGAACCGTCGACACCCGCCAGACACGATCACAATACTCTCGAGCACAATCTTACGTCTCCACAGCCGCCACGAGCGTCAGCATCAGCGGTGATATCTCAAGTCAACTCCATGGCGGATACTCACACCCACTGGCAAGAGCATGGCAGGCAGAACGGCAGTTGACCAAGAGCATGCTCATCTATCCCGTTTTCATCACGGACAACCCAGACGAGGAGACCAGCATCCCTAGTCTTCCCAATCAAAAGCGCATAGGCTTGAACCGCCTCGTTCCCTTCTTGACGCCGCTTGTCGCCAAAGGTCTCAAAAGTGTTATGTTGTTTGGTGTGCCGCTACACCCTTCGGCAAAGGACACCCTCGGCACCGCAGCAGATGACCCACAAGGACCTGTCATTTCTGGTATCCGATTGCTACGACGGGCGTTTCCACAGCTCTTCATCACCTGCGACGTCTGTCTCTGCGAGTACACATCACACGGTCACTGTGGTATCCTGCATGAGGATGGCTCGCTCAACAACAGCCTTTCGGTAGATCGGGTCTCCGATGTCGCCATTGCCTACGCGCAAGCTGGAGCGCACTGTGTAGCACCCTCAGACATGAACGATGGACGCATTCGTGCGATCAAACTGAAGCTCATCGAGGCCGGCATCGCGCATCGTATTGTCCTCATGTCATACTCGGCCAAATTCAGCGGATGTCTATACGGCCCATTCCGTGATGCGGCAGGCTCGATTCCCAGCTTCGGTGATCGCAAGTGCTATCAGCTACCACCGGGAGGTCGAGGACTCGCACGTCGCGCCATCGTCAGAGACATTGCGGAAGGTGCCGACATCATCATGGTCAAGCCTGCGACACAATACCTAGACATCATTTCTGACGCAAAGGAAATCGGCAAGGATCTGCCCATCGCAGCCTACCATGTGAGTGGAGAGTATGCCATGATCCACGCTGCCGCGCAGGCCGGTGTGTTTGATTTGAAAACGATGGCATTCGAGGCGACGGAGGGAGTACTACGTGCAGGAGCCAGCATCGTCGTGAGCTACTTCACGCCCGAATTTTTGGATTGGCTAGAAACCTAAGGATTTCTGGCGTCGCGTTTGCCTAATTTGTCACGACCGTTTGATGTTTTCACGTTCAAAAAAGAGCAATGCTCAAATTCGATCACCCTTTTTTCCAATTAATCGCGCGGACTCCCGCTAATGAAATATAAGTCGCTTCACGTGGGCGTTGTGAGGTAGCCAAGGGCAAGCGACACGAACGATTTCGGCGTGGCAGACTAACTAACCCCAATCGAAAGCCGTGAAACAATGAAGGAGCACAAACGCCCAGGGTCGCCCCCGCATGGTCACCGCATCCGTCAAAGCCACAATCCTGTGATAAACAAACAAGCCAATTTGTTATGAACCTGTCCGAGTAGTCTTGGAATGGTCGTTTCACCTTGACAATCACATTGACAAACCTCTGGTCCCATAAGAAGCAATCATGCCCCGAATGACCCGCGCAAGAGCGGCTGAAGTCGCAGAGCAACTCCACATCGACCCCGACGTGTCGCTTGAGGCTCGCAACGACGATTACATTTCGATCGACGAGAACACTGCAGAAACACGCCCTCCGCTTGGTGAAATTACAGGAAATAGTCTTTCCATCGCCAATCAGAACGACGCAGTTGAGAATAAATCGATTGGAAAGTCGCAAAGGCGCGTCAGAAAGAGCCCTAACGCAAGCACGACGCAAGCCGAGACGACCAGCGATCAAGTCGACGAGCATTCGGGTAAACCATATAAGATTATGTCTGAATCATCGAGCGCACCAAAGACGTCAACGCGCAAGCGTTCGATGGACGATTTGACTAAACATTACAACGATTGTAAGTATGCTTCTGCATACATGGGAAGCGGCTCCTCGAAGTCACATGACGCTAATGCAGGGGATGCATCAACAGTGCAAATCACGCATATGTCTCATTTGCCGACCACAGATGATATAGAGTCGAAGAGCCCGACGTTGGACATTGGAAATTCAGCAGAGAAATTATCGAAATCCGTCTCGTTGTCCAATGGTGTTGCTGCAAAAGAGGAATTTTTGGACAACGTTGAAAGCGACGTTGTAAAGTCGAATATGCCAATCGCAATGCAAACGGTCCGGAGTCCCTCGCCGGTGAGGCTCTCAACGCCGCAATCGCAGAAATCATTCAACACTGTCGATTCTGGATATTCTGCCAGCAAATATGACGACCTGGAGGCTGCGGCATGCCAAGTGACGACACCCCGATCTCTGAGTACCGTGCGGTACACACTTGAGGATTCTGTCCGGGCCAACACACTGGTGGAACATGACGCAGATGTGCAAGTCACGCCGCCAGGATCGGTCAAATCGCTAGACTACACTTTTGAGGAATCTCTTCGCGAGATTGAGATTCTCGAACAAGTCGTCAATGCCATTTCTCCACGCGCTTCGAACACCCCGACGTTCCCCGAGAAGCCCGAGTCCCTCGAGAAGCCCGAATTTAAGAAGTCAAATCCTGTTGTCCGTGCTACCAAGGCGAGCCAAGCACGTATCTCTTTAGCTCATGGACCAAAGGACGCACCTCGACCGCCGGCTCTTGGACGACCTCGACAGTCTATCGGACCCCAGGACCAATCACGTACGGTATCGGGATCCAGCGCTGACTCTGGAAGCCTCACTCCCAAGAAGGAGGTCATCATCCCTCACAGCAAGCCACGTCCCATGTCGATGGCGTTCCCGGCACCAGCGCCATTGCTAAAGTCGACCAAAGCCCCAACTCAAAGCACCTTCCAGCTCCCAGGAGAGGTCGTCGCCGCGAAGCTCAAGGCCGCCAAAGAAGCTCGCTTGGCCAAAGAAGCCGAAGAGTCCAAGAAGAAGCCCTTCAAAGCGCGTCCCGTGCCTGCCAGTCTCAGCAAGGCGCCCGCGGTGCGTCAAACGAACAGTAGCATCGCTCGCGAGCAACGCATCTCAGGGAAGCCCATCGAATTGGTCAACGGGATCCACCGCCCCATGAGCGTCGCCGACTCCCATCACTCCCGCAGCGCCTCAGTCAGCCGGCCCTTCCCTCCCAAATCCGCCGTGAACGCCCCATCCCAGCTCCGATCCAGCACGGCCATGGCCTTCAACCTGGATTCCTCCAGCAACAGCCGTCCTCCCAGCGTCGCACAATCGAACCGTAGCGGCGCCGGCGGCAGCAGTGGCAACGCCATCATCTCCAAGGGCAAGGAAGTCTACAACCGTCCCGCCCAACTCCTCGCGGCGGCCGAGCAGGAACGCCGCGAGAAGGAAGAGGCCACGAAGAAAGCCCGTGCCGAAGCCGCGGCTAGGAGCCGTGCTCTTTCCCGCGAGTGGGCAGAGAAGCAAAAGGCGAAGAAAGTCGCCCTTCCTGCTGCTTAGATTGCCTGGCTACGACACAGGCGCCGACGACTTCACGAAAGTAAACAGCGAGATGCTCCACTCGCACACGTCTTCCTTTCTTTTCTCTCCCCCAAACCTTTTCTTCCTGCAGTCTGCGCATTCATGAATGATATCGAAACAAATGCGCCCTCAGCGCGTGCCCGCCATCCAACAAAAATCCACAAAAACAGAGCGCACACACGCTCTTTCTTTCTCCATGATAACGATCTCCAAGACCATGACCTGCCCCTGTTTTACCCTCCAGAAGAATTTCGCGAGGAGAGCAGTATACATTAATGTACTCACACACATTCATGACCCAACGATGGCAGAATCACAACACAGCCCCTTCCCTTGACATAACAGCCATGAAGAATCAACGCGCAACAGCAACAGCAAACAACAGCAAACAACAGCAAACAACAGCCACGACGGGCACCTTCTTTTTCGTTTTTCCTCTTTACCTTTCCTTTCACGGTTGGACAGTACTCGGGCGGCGGCATTTTAGCATTTTTTTCATTGGCTTTCCTTTTCCATCTGTAATTCGTCTAGGAAAAATTTCCCTTTCTTGCGATCCATCTCGGCGGCCTTTTAATCGTTTCCAACTGTTTTTTCTTTTCTCTTTCCCCTCTATGATTTTTCGTAAATTTCAAATTCAATGGCCGAAAGACCGGTCGTCTCAACCAAAACTTCCTAGAAACTCGTCCTTCTTCTCCGTTCAAAATGTCCACGTTTTCTTCATGTCATGTCTTGATTTTCCCGTCTCGGAGACAGGCGCCTGTGGGTATCTGGGGGGAATACAGCACCTACCTGCCTGCACTTGGTGATTGATGAATTGGAAGACGTTTTTCGATGAGGGAAATCCACTATTCCTTTCGTTGCATCGTTACGAGGGAAAACTCACTCACGACGGGGAAGACATAGATGGGCTACAGAAACGAGGAACATGATCGAGAGATAGAGGTCAAAAAAAGAAATTATCGAGTTTAGTAGTAGTGGTAGTAAGAGTAGTAGTAGGAGTAGTAGTAGTGGTACAATTTCTTTCTGACTGACGAGACCGTGACATTCATTGGGAAGCTTCTTTCGCTTAATTCTAAAACAGGTTTTGTTTTCTTCTTGCCGTATGGGGAAGAGAAGCGGCAGAAGAGGTAAAAAAGGAGAGATGAAAGAGAGAGGGAGAGACAAGTGAGAGAATAGGAAGAAGAACCTATTGGAAGCCCACTGCTGCTGCTACTGCTGGACAGGATAGGAAAAGCTAGTAGCCGGAAGGAAAAAAAAGAGAGATCGCAGATCAAAGCAGATGTCCAGGCTTGTGGCGGAAAACAGGCTTTGTGCCTTGGTCTTCCTGAGAGGTACGAAAATGGTTGTGATATCCCCGAATGAAGGGGCTGTGGTGTTGCGTGCTTGAGTGATGCACGCTGGGAAAAGTCGCTGGAAATGCTTGCAAGAACGATTCAAAGGAGGCGAGTGGTCGGGCCGCCCGTGACCTCGGATGATAATGACAAAATGGAAAAGTTCGCCGCGCTATGCTGATGTTGATTCGAGAAGTTGGAGGTTTTATCGTTGGGTTTCGTAAAATTGTTTGTGGTGATGGATTGTTGGGGAGTGGTAGAATATGTTTGTTGTTGTTGTTATTGTGAGTGTGATGGTGTGGGAGTGTCGTATCGCGAAACGGGGTTTTCGCTTTTAGAAATTGCTGGCGGTGTTGACCTTCCCGTTGGGATTCGTATATGTCGAGGCCGCGCCGGGACTCATACCTCCGTAACTCGAGCTCAGTGGGCTGATCCTCTTTTCCGCGCCAAAGCTGTTTCCTCGCGAGTAGTCCGAACGACCTTGGTTCAGGTAGTCCTCTTGTGTGAGAGACTCCCGTTGGCTCTTCTTCTTGCCCCACAACCTCCATGCCACGATGGCCAGGCCGCCCAGCAGGATGGCTCCTCCGATACCTCCGACCACACCTCCGATTACGCTCCTGCTCATGGGCGACAGGCTACCGTTGCCGTCACCGTCGCCGCTATTTTGGAGTGCAGGCAGGATGGTGGCAGTCGCGAACCCAGTAGTACTGCTGAGAACTCGGCTGGTGGTGAGGACAGCGCTCGTTGATTTTCCATCGCTGCCCACGTAGAATGAGGTGTAAACCGATGCGACGGTGGCTGAGCCGACAAGAGGCGAGGTGATGGTGGTCGCGGAAGACAAGGTCGAACGATTGATAGTGGAACTACCGCCAACAATGACGAGATTGCTGGACGTGCCTGTCAAGGAGGAGACGAACGAGTCGGCGCCGGTAGCAGTCGTATGAGCTGAGGTCGTGCCGGTTGTGCCGTCCCTGGTGGTGGTCGCTAGGGTGTTTGGCGGTTGTGTAGTATTCGGCTCGGTGGTTTGTTGTGTCCGTGTCGCAGTATTATCGGTCGGCGAAGGTGCAGGCGTCGCAGTGGTCGGCGCAACTACTGTTGGAGTGGTATCGCTAGGCGGTGGAGCGGTCGTGGGAGTGGCCGTGGGAGTGGTCTGAGAAGTAATTGCGTTGACGCCGCTGGTGACGCCTCCGGCAGCATTGGTGATGGCAGTCAGGTCGGTGGTGGGCAGGCTGGTGCCAACACTGAGGCCGGTCGCGACCTGGCGTTTGAACATAATGCCGTCTGGTAGTATATCTGATGGTATCTGAGCAAATCCGAAGAAGTCGGACAGCATGGTCGAGGACGAAGAGGACGTCGACGGCGCCAGGGCTAGTCGAGTAAAGTAGTGTTGGATGTGCAGAGAGGCGCCCGGTAGAATACGACGAGGGAGATTGCAGTGACGAACGATCAGCGACGCGCGCGCAGCCGAACGACTGATGGACCGTGAAGCTAGTGTGTAGCGTGAGTGTGTGGATCGGCGACACGCGACCGTTGCGTGGGCGGACGGATACACGGGGCGAACGTTGTCGAGACAGGTGTGGACCGTACCTCTCCCTCTTCTCCTCTCTTCTGCCTCTCTCGCCCGGAGATAAGGGTTCCTTTTGACAATGACCGTTGTCAGGGAGTGCGCGCCGACAGACACGAGTTGAAACGCGAACGCTCAGTCGTCGAATCGTTCAACGCTGTACTGTAGCCAAGTGTTGTAACCTGCGACGGACGAGCGAAAAATAACAACACACAAACGTGGACAAAGGGAGAAGCTGACTGTGCCCTGTCCGTGTAAATTGGTGCGTGCGTGGGAGAAATTGTCTGTGTGTGAGAACAAGGATTGCAATGGCAACAAGAACACAAAGCGGGTGTGACTCTGCTCTCCTTCGCACTCTCTTCCTGCTGTAGCGGGAGAAAGGACGATGCGTCAACGAGATGAAGAATAAGCAACTGCAAATCCCTTGCTTGCTTAACGGACCGCGTGGTGGTGAACGAACTCTCGTTTGTTTTTTTCGCCAACCGTGCCGTAGGCGAGAACGATCGATGGGACGGGAGACGGGGAACGGTCAGAACGGCGCAGTTGGGAACAGTCAGATCCGAAATGCAATCCGTGTGTTGGACTGATATTCGTGACAAGCAGGACAGCAAAGCAGAGATGATGATAACAGCAAGTAAGAGAAGAATAAAATTCTCTTCATGCACACGACGATGGTTGATTTCCTGGTCAAGACTGAATCATCGCATCACATCGCCAGGGAAAAAGCCTTGGAATAGATGATGGACGCCGTGCAGCAGAGGTGAAACTTGATCCCCACCACCACCACCATCACCACCAGTCCAGCCAGCAGGCCAGCCAACATCACCATCCTGTGCATCACCGTGTATATATTTGTGGAGTTTCTATGACAGGATCCTATCCCAGATGTGCGTGGATAATCGGTTATGCTCGTAACACTGCATGAATCGGTCTCGTACTGTACCGCTTTCCCCATCGATCGGGTGTGGACTGCCGATGATTCCTGCAGGGCAAAGACTTTTTGGTTGAGGAACGAGAAGACGAAACAATGGAAGGTGTGCTCGTGATGATGATTGATGACCAGGTCCTCCACCATCAATCATCATGATCAATTCCAACCAGCCTCATCCGTGCTTCCTGTGAGGGTAATATGATATACCTAGGTAGCCTTCGTTGGAGATCGTGTCTGGAGGATAGAGAGGCAAAATTTCACATTCAATCAATATCCACAGAGGAGTATTGTAGTAGACAACGGCACAGGACGACAATGTCCGATTCGCCTAATCATCGTCAAAACGTTCGGCGGAGAGCGAGGCAAACATAGTGCTGTACCACTGAAGATAGCAATGGTTCCGCCTGGAATTGGTGAAACAGGCGGCCGACGCAGGTTTCCCCCGAATCTTCTAGCGGGAGTGGTCAGCTACATCTCACCAACCTGGAGCCCTCCACCACACACAATGCGGCGGCTGACGACGACGACGACGTTGAGCTTCTCCGTTGCTGCAAAGCAAGACGGCCGCGTCACAGATCTTTGGGGATTCTCGCCCACATACGTATAGTCTCAAATTGAACCTGGTCTCGGAGGAGGCGGAGTGGGAAACACAGTCGATCTTTGCGCGTTGGGATCCAATCAACAAACCGATGCGGACTGCGGGATCCTCCATCAATAATAATCATGATAAGAACAGGGACAAGTTCCGTGCTTCTTGATCATCTTTCTCTCTTCTCTGGGTCGGAATACGAGAGGTGGTAGAGCTGGTGTTTCGAATATACTGGATGGATGGATGGATGGATGGATGGATGGATGGATGGGTGTGTGCAGGTGTGTATCCACCTGCACCGCATTGTGGTCCCAACGTGATACACAGCCCGCGGTGTGCCTGCCTGCCTGTCTGCCTACCATTATTATAGGCGTCTCCCTGGCACGGTTCATTCTCTGTACTGCCCAGGTGGATATAGACAGGCCTCCTGGCTGCCACAGTACCTGCTGGAATAGGTAGGTAGCCACGGTAGCCAAGCCAATGGGGGATCCATTCATCATCGTCGATACCATGATCATCACCTAAACCTTCCCATCACATCTCCTCTCCAAAAAAGAAGGGAAATAATAATGTGCGTTTCCACCTTGATCGGATCATCGAAATAAACAAAACAATAAAAGGACAGTACAGTAGTAGTAGTAGTTGAGACGCAGAGAGGAAAAGGTGATTCGGTCCTTCTAGACCCTTCCCTTCAACCATCGTCACTCATCATCAACCCGTCCATGGGAACCTTTCTCTCTCTCACCTCCATGACTTCCCCATCTCAAACCGTCGTCCCGTTCCCGTTCGACACTCATCATCATGACGTTCTAGAACTCTCCCCGGGCAGAAGTCATCAATAATTCCACCCAACAATCGTGAAATCTAGATGGGACTCCCCCCGTTGATGAACCAAGATCGACTCTCCAAAGACGTTTCTGATGCTCCGGAGATGATGAACTTGTGGAGCCAACCAAACCGATTGATGACTCGTCTGCACGCGTGTGTGTATCATCAAAGAGCAAGTATGTTTTAGAACACAATGAGATGTTTGGGGAACTTTGCGTCTCTCATTTTCGTTACGCCACACGCGATGTGATGAGAGAAACGGCGCTGGTTGAATATCGTCACCCGCGATCCGTTCAACGAGCAGGGCTTCTCCTTCTCCTTCTGATGTTGGGTTCACGAAATATCTACTCGTTATCGTCACCGCCAAAACTACAATGCCGTGGGTAGTGCGATTCATATCGTAGTAGAGAAACGACGTGCAGTACTTTTCACTATCGATTGAGAATTTAATATTTTACTTCATCATCAAACAGAGAAGTGGAGAAAATAGTCAACTAAAAATTCTGACTTGGGAAAGAAAAAGAGGCTTCGTGATCTTCGCCACCTGCGCAGCTCGATTCGATGTAGCTAGCAGAAGAATAATCATCATCATAACAAACAATAAGGATCAAATCATCATACTCCTCCTCCTCGCCGCCACCCTCTCCGCTCTCCCAACAACTCCATGCCCCACTATCGCCGCCATCCCGTCATCGCCACTCTTCGCAGTGTTCATGACCTCCCCACTCAATGACCCAGCACCTCCACCACCACTAGCATAATGACTCGGAGGAGCAGTAGCAGCAGCGACGGAGGAGTTCAGATCCTTCGGCACAGAAGAGTGCCGGCGCTGTTTCGTCATCGTCCGTGCCGCTAGTGCCGCTAGTGCCGCCGTCGAAGAGGAAGAAGAAGAAGAGCGTTGGGATTGATAAGAGCTATGATCGCCATCGCCACTGTGGCTGACTTTGCTCCCTGCTAGCGAACTCGATTCGGCAGGGGAAGAGTAGGAGGCTGATGACGTTTCTTTGAAATCGTAGAGGTCGATTTCTTCGGCGCGTTTGTGGGCTGCTGCGGCTTCTTCTGCGTTGGAGAGCGAGGCCGTTGTTGTTGAGGAGGAGGTGGGCTTCGTGCTGTTGCGGCTCCCTGATGATGATGATGATGATGGGATTTTGACCGTTCGTAAGCGGGGTTGTTGGTGCAGGGAAATGACCTCCTCGATCTCGTCTTCGTCGTCGTCGGTGAACGTGGCAGCGGCGGGTTTCACCCCGGCTTGCGTTGAGTCGCGCCGTCGACGTCCTGTTGAGGTAGCACTGCTCGTCTTCTTCGATGCAGGTGCCTCAGAACTTCGTGTCTCTGACAGTGACGGTGGCGCAAAAGTCGATGCGCTCTTTGAGTTGAGCGGGCTGCCGGGATTGTAGATATCACGGCCGTCTTCTTCGACAGGCTCCGTCTTAATGACGACTGTCCTCCTTGACGCCCCTGCCATCGAAGTCGATGCTGAGGCTGAAGTGACATTGGCCGCGGGCGTCCCGGAAGCACTCGTCGAGCTCATCACTGTCCCACCAACGCTCTTTCGTCCTTCACCAGACGCTGAGCTCATAACACAGCGTGGATCTTGGAGACCGCTGATGGCGTCGACCATCTCCTTGCCTGGTCTTCGCATCTTGGCTACGAGACTGGGCTCTGCGTAATTGACCGCCACATTTCGGGCACGACGAGAGGGACGGGATGCAGCATTGGCGGCAGCATCATCGGTCGCACGGCTTGTTCCTGCTTCGGCGGGTGGCGGCGTGTCTCGTGATGCTCGCGATCCAGTGTTGGGATATGATAGTGATTGAGAAGAGGGCGGAGAGAAGACATCGAGATTGGGAGCTGCGGGGGTCTTGGGTGGAAGAGAAGTCGCTATGTCGTTCAGTTCCACGTCATCAAGAATGATGTCGTGGACTGATGGCGGCACGATGTCCTCTGCAGGCGGGGATGGTAGAGCAGGCTTCGAGTGGACTCGAGGTGGGCTTGACTGTTGAGAAGTCGTAGACCCACGGCTTCTGCGAGTTGAGGCAGCATTCTCTCCTCGGCCTTTCTTCGCCTCTGGTGCCTCTGATAAACGGTCCTTCGTTGGCTTATCGGACCTCACTACTGCATTCTTGCGTGGAGAGATGTTGACGCTTTTGTCGCTCAAGGCTCTCCTGGCAGGTCTGGGAGGAGAAGCAGCCATCGATTCCGGCCATGATGTGTTCACGGCGGCAGCTTCATCTGTTGGAACGTCTTCGAGTGGTGATCGACGGGAGAAAGTGAAGTCGTCCTGGCCGAGTGACGGCGCGGGTTTCTCTGCTTCACGATCGGCAAGCTTTCGTTTTGCGCCTGTACGAAGCATTGTATTTGAAGCGTCTGGCTCATTTTTTGCAGGTGACAAGGCCAAGATGGAAGACCGTCGCATTTCCAATTTTGATGGGCCATCTTTCCTCTTTCGTCTCGTCTCCACGCTCGCCAGAAGCAGCTCATCGTCGGACTTCTTAAGTGCTTCATTCGTCTCCGAAGTCGATGGTCCGCGTTCTGCACTGTAAGTGATAGGCTCCAATCCATCGAAATGTGCTACGGGTGGAGGTCCTAGGTCAGGGCTTCCGTTACTGCTATGCTCCGATAGTCTCAGCGCATAAGCATCTTCGGCATTCAGTGTCCTCCTAGGAAACGACTTGTGCTCCGCGATGGTCGGCATCTGTGTCTCTTGCATGAGTTCCGCCAAAGGTTGTCGTTCGCGGAATTGCCTTGGAGTCGGGCTCATTATGACCTGGCTTGAAAGTAGCTCTCCATCCTCCTCTTGCGCATACAAGCTTGCCATGAGTCCATTCAATTCCGCTATCTTCGTCCTCACGCTCGAAGCTTGCGCTCGTGAAGTTCCAAGCTCGCCCTGTAGGCGCAAAACCAATTCCTTCAGATCCTGATTCTGTGCTACCAACTTTTCCACTTCATGTTTGAGATTTTGGATGTGTAATGCTTGTGTTGAATTGGCTCGAGCGAGGTCGCGGTTCTGTCTGGTGAAGCGGCGTTTTACTTCCTCAAAGTCAGCAGGTGGTTTCTCCTTCGCCGCCTTCGATTTCGTGCGCATCTCGTGTAGAGCACTCGATTTCTGTTGTTCGAGAAATTTCAAACGATTTTAAGTGAAACTCACAAGCATCAACGCTCTCTGCTCCAATCGTCGCTGCCAGAAGCGGGTTTGGAGCAGGTGCGATAGGCGGCTCATTTAAGCGCGCCATACATGAATGTGTTCAATTCGAATTCCGTGATTTGATTGACGTTGTAGTATTGCCGTTGTAGATATGTCCGGCTTGTGAGGTGCAATGATAGCTTGTCTGCCTCGTTGTGATAGCGATAGTGTTCTGGTATCAGATCATTGCACACCTCGGACAATTTTGCGCCAAACATGTCATTGTTTATTTGGAGCTTGTTCGGCCGGGGCAACGCTCTCACGGGACTATCCGCGTCGTTCGGGCTTCTAAGCCGAAACTCTCGAGGCGCAGATGCCTAGCGTGTTCGCAAAGTGGTTCGCGGGGTCGTGCGGAAAGTCAACCACCTGCGGTCATGAAGAACGTATACACGCGACCATTCGAGAGTCATTGACAAAGGAATAATACACAGAGATGTCTTACGCGCCGCGCCCGACGGGCTTCACGTCTCATGTGCGGGCATCATCGGCATTCGGCGGGAACATCCCCACGCAACAGACCTCGAATCTTCAGGCACGCATCAATGAGAAGAAGATGGAGTTGGAATCGTTGAAGCAATTGCGCGATCTGTCGGCAGGTCTTGCAGGACAGATGCAGCAGCTTGAGGAGAAATTGGCAACATTGAGCAATGGTACTGAGGCTGTTGCCGCTGTCATGGGAAATTGGGCAACGGTACTTCGGGCGATTCACATGGCCAGCGGTGAGTTGTTGATTTTGGTCAGTTCGTCCCATTGAACCGGGCTGATTGCGTCATATAGCGAGTATACCGAGACCAAAAGAGAATGACCAAGAGGACAGCGCGACAGCTCCAGAGGAACAAACACTACCCCAAACCTTGGTGCGAATTCCAATACAACAGGCCGAGGCAGCACAACGAGAGGAGCAAAAGCGAGCGGCGCCAGGCCACACATGAATGTCGCGGAGACAAAGAATCTTTATTCTTACATATGCTGTGTCAACTCGGCTTCCAACCTTCGACTGGCTAGCTCAAGCGATTTCTGCTGAGAAGCAAACAAGATGAGTCGAAGCGCATTCCGACGCGTCACATCATCGTACAGCGTCTGGTATATATCGGACACGGCGTCAAATTGGTCGAGCGAAAAAGCCGATTCCCCAGATTCACGACGCAGTGAGCTGGCCGGCACGCCAAAGACAAGATGGGTTTTGCGCTCGGCCATAGAAAGATCAAGCGAGTATCGAGGTGGCCTTCGGATGCGGGGCCTGCTGGGCCGCATATTAGCCATATCTTTTCGATAAAATGCCTGGTTCGGCGGGAGTATGTTGCAACAGCGGAGAGCTGTGAAGTGTGTTGTACAGTACGAATTGTATGCAGTTCAAGGAAGTTCGAGGCGCGCGTTTTGCGGTGTCATCAGTTGGAATAGGTCATAAGTTGAAATACTGTCGCACGTGTTCATCGAGGCTATGCGCATCAACCATCACTCTTGCTCTTGTTCTTTGGTTGCCGCTCGTATGCGTTTGGACTGGGCTTGCGCTCCTTGTCCTTCCCCTCGCCACTTCTCTTGCCACGCCCTCGGCCTCCAGCTCTTTGTGCACGGCTCAAGTCCGGTTCGCTGTCGCTATCACTATCCGAACTGGAACTGGAATCGGATTCACTGTCGCCCGGCTCGGTGGTTTTGTGGTAGATGCAGCAAACTTTGGATGATTTCTTGCCCATGCCTTCATTGTCAATCACATCCTCCGCCCATTGTATGTGACGCGACTCTCCTGGCTCCACACGCAGACGTAGTGTCCCAGAAGGCGCATTCTGTCTTTCTTGTGTTTGTAGTACCGTCTGACTGCCGTGACTGGCGGGCGCCGTGGCTGCTGTGGGTAAGCGGTGAGCAGCAGGCGGCGCAGCGGACATGATTGCTCAATTGAAGTCGCGCAGTTCCTGGGGGATCGAGATGCAATAGACAGAGAGTGCAGGTGAAGGCTTTATGTCTATCGGCGGTGTATGCACTGTCAAGGTTCGGAGATGATGCGAGACATGCAGTACGTCAAGGATACAAGGGTGAGATGTCCGGATCATCACAATGACGATGATTCGGTGGGCTGGTACTGCACACAGGCACACTGGAGGATTTCATTACAGTACACGCATGCGGGGTCTGGCAGGCAAGACACCTGCAGATTTGGGCTGGCGGCTATCTTCGGAATGAGTGAGGAGAGGCAGCCCTTTCATGGGGAATGTTTTGAAATAGAACTCGATATTTGCCAGACTCCCGAGGTCTTCTACGATCACGCCAATGTACATATATCACCAGATGGCGATGCTTAAATGCAGTACTACTAAACGGGTCGCCTCTATCTTTCAAAGAGCTCTTGACACATCAATGAGCATCCGACTAATATATGCGCCTACTGATAAAAGGGAGCCAATGGAGACAATACTGCACAGTAGCAACAACCGTGCTGCAGGTAAAAGCCTTCACTCCCAGCCTCATCAATTTCGCTGCGAGGATGGGCATGCAGGACGTACCAGTGAAACAACCCAACAGGGCAATTCCCCTCCTCTCCTCCAGGGCTGGCTTGTGAGAATTTCTTCGTACAGGCGCAGCATTCTTGATCGATCTTCAATTCGTGTCTCTCAGTCTCGGCTCGCACCATGGTCCTGTAGATATCTTTACCAGCCATATATTACAAATGTACATGAGGCGGAAAGCGATTCTTGTAGCGACATATGAATGATCGAAACTTCCGCCAACCGTCGGTCACGTTTCTACGCGCTTCGTGCTGACGCCACGCCAGCAGCCTGTCTCCAAAGGAAAACCTCCGCTCCACTACCTGCGCCCCGCCATTTATCGCTGTCACCGTCACTTGGGCTGTTGAGGTGTACAGCATTTGCATCCATTCTTCTCCCAGGCCACCACTACCACCAGCACCACCATTCTAGTGATTGACCACCGTCGCTAAACAACACAATTCCCAAGCTCAAGCTTTGTCTTGGCTACGATTTTGATCCTATTTGCTTGTCAGCGACGCGACCTTTGCTATTCCCTCGCAAACGACAATCACCTGTACTTTGCCGACTGCAGCATCTCAAGCGGCGCATACACTGCGGTCGGCGCGCACTTCACCCAATTGCAGCGAACCGATCTCTCTCACCTTCCAGCAGACATTCCTTCCTTTGAAATCAAACTCCGCCTCCGCCTTGCAGCTTCACGATCAACCTCAACCTCGGCGCAATCATGTCGGTCTCGATAGAAGAACTCGATGCGACGGTGCGAGCTTTCTACGAAGGCCGTGGCGAGCAGCAGAAAAATGCACAGGCGGCACTCAACCAGTTTCGAGAAAATCCCGACGCATGGCACATGGTTGATAAGCTTCTTGACTCGGCTCAATATCCGCAGACGAAGTTCTTGGGCCTGCAAGTTCTGGACAATGTTATCATGACCCGCTGGAAGGTACTGCCGCGCGAGCAGTGCCTGGGCATCCGAAACTTTGTCGTCAACTACATCATCCAGCAAAGCTCGACCGAGGAGAGCTTGCGTAAAGAGAGGGCTCTGTTGAACAAACTCAATCTTGTGCTCGTCAATATTCTCAAGCAAGAGTGGCCTGCAAATTGGCCGACATTCATCAACGAGATAATATCGAGTTGTCGAAGCAGTCTGCCCATTTGCGAAAACAACATGGCAATTCTGCGACTACTCTCCGAAGAGGTCTTTGACTTTTCCGCTGACCAGATGACCAGTACCAAGACTAAGCAATTAAAACAAAGCATGTGCGACGAATTCACCAGCATCTATAACTTATGCTCGGAAATTTTGCGGACAGCCGATCAGCCCAGCTTGATCAAGTCAACATTAGAGACGCTTCTACGTTTTCTCAACTGGATCCCCTTGGGCTACATCTTCGAAACACCACCATCAGGCGCTTCACTCATCGAGACCCTTCGGAGCAGGTTTCTGGAGATCCCCGAGTATCGAAACATCACATTGAAGTGCTTGACAGAGATTGCAGGCCTGCAAACGGAGCACAACTGGAACGATAAGCTCGTGCAGATGTTCACCGAAACCCTCACCCAAATCTCGAGCATCATCCCCTTGTCGCTGGATCTCAAGACCATGTACGCAAATGCTAATGGCAGAGATCAGGAGTTTGTTCAGAACCTGGCGCTCTTCCTCTGCAATTTTTTCAGCAACCACCTTCAGATTATTGAGAAGATCCCAAACTCGGATTTCCTCATTCACGGTCACTTCTACCTCATTCGGATCAGTCAGATTGATGATCGTGAAATCTTCAAGATCTGCTTGGAATACTGGACTAAGCTGGTCTGCGAGTTGTACGATGAAATGCAGCAAATTCCGATCACCGATATGAATCCTCTGCTCAACATGAACATGGGCATGGGTGGTCTGAACGGCGGTGGGCTAGACCGGTCATCTCTTGCTGGTCTCCCACTTCGGAAAAACAAATACAGCGAGGTTCTTTCCAACTTACGGCAGGTCATGATTGAAAAGATGGTCCGACCGGAGGAAGTTCTGATTGTCGAAAACGATGAAGGAGAGATTGTGCGCGAGTTCGTCAAGGAATCAGACACCATTCAGCTTTACAAGACAACACGCGAATGTTTGGTCTTCTTGACACATCTGGACGTCATGGACACTGAGCAGATCATGTCTGAAAAATTGGCTCGGCAGGTCGATGGAACGGAATGGAGCTGGGCTAACTGCAACACGCTTTGTTGGGCCATTGGATCCATTTCCGGTGCCATGAACGAAGAGACCGAAAAGAGATTCCTCGTCACCGTTATCAAGGACCTGCTGGGCCTGACCGAGATGAAGCGAGGAAAAGACAACAAGGCCGTCGTGGCCTCAAACATCATGTACATTGTCGGGCAATACCCTCGATTCCTCAAGGCCCACTGGAAATTCCTCAAGACCGTTGTCAACAAGCTGTTTGAGTTCATGCACGAAACGCACGAGGGTGTCCAGGACATGGCTTGTGATACCTTCATCAAAATTGCGAACAAGTGCAAGCGCCATTTCGTCATCGAACAGCACGGCGAGAGTGAACCATTCATCGACGAGATCGTGAAGAATATGCGGAAAATCACCATCGACCTGTCTGCACAGCAAGTTCACACATTTTACGAAGCATGCGGTTACATGATCAGTGCTCAAGGTCACAAGGGTACTCAGGAGAGACTGATCGCCGAGCTCATGCAGTATCCTAATGCTGCTTGGGATCAAATCATCCAGAATGCTCACGCCGATCCAAACATCCTTCAGGATGCCGATACCATCAAAGTCATTGGCAACATCATGAAAACAAACGTTGCAGCCTGTACCAGCATTGGCTCTTACTATTACCCTCAAATTGGCCGCATTTACATCGACATGCTGACCATGTACCGAGCATCGTCCACACTCATCGATGAAGCTGTGAAGCAGCAGGGTAACATTGCCACAAAGATGCCCAAAGTTCGTGGATTGAGGACAATCAAGAAGGAGATTCTCAAACTCATCACAACTTACGTCGACAAGGCAGAGGATCTGCACATGGTTCAGAATCAGCTAGTACCTCAACTTCTCGAGGCCATTTTGGTTGACTACAAGAGTAATGTGCCGGATGCGCGTGAGGCTGAAGTTTTAGCCGTGCTTACGGGACTTATCTCGAAGCTGCAGGTACGTAGTACTCCTCACACTAGCAAATACTCAAATGTGAGCTTGCCGCAAGCGACAAATGAAACAACCTGGGTGCAGTTCAAGATCTCGTTGGATTCGAATGCTGACAATGAACCGCAGGCTTTGATGACCGAGCAAGTGCCCGCCATCTTGGACAACGTCTTCGAATGCACTTTGGACATGATCAACAAGGATTTCTCCGAGTACCCAGAGCATCGCGTCGAGTTCTTCAAACTTCTACGAGCGATCAACCAGCGCTGCTTCCCCGCCCTGCTCAAACTTGACCAGGCTCATTTCAAGCTAGTCATTGACTCATGCATGTGGGCTTCCAAACACGACAACCGTGCGGTTGAGGGCGAAGGGCTCAACATGTGTAACGAGCTAGTCGAGAACATGGCCAACCAAACCGACCAAAGCACAAGCAACGCCTTCTTCTCGAACTTCTACACGACCATCCTCCAGGACGTTTTCTTCGTCCTTACTGATTCGGACCACAAAGCTGGATTCAAGTACCAAGCAATGCTGCTCGCTCGCCTGTTCTGGTTGGTTGGGAACAACAAGATCCAGGGTCCCATCTACACGACAGGCCAAGCACAATCAGGCACCTCGAACGAGGCATTCCTCCAGACTTTTGTGGCGAATCTTTTGACCAATGCCTTCCCCAACCTCCAACCGCAGCAGATTGCCAACTTCATCAAGAGCTTGTTCGCAAGCACTGAAGACCTCACGCGCTTCAAGGTGATCCTTCGCGACTTCCTTATCTCCCTCAAGGAATTCAACGGCGATAACACCGATCTCTTCAGCGAGGATCGCGAACAAGCGGCGCAGGACGCCAAAGAGCAGGAGCGTCAGCGAGCAATGAAGGTCGGAGGTCTTCTCAAGCCCGCTGATCTCGATGACGATGATCTCTGACTGGATATTGATGTTGAGTTGGCACGCGGGAGCACTATGACTACATTTACGGCCGACGACGCTGAGGCGCTCGGGCTTGCGTGATTTCGAGACCATGATGACCGAGGGACCATAGAGAAATGGAACATGGGAGATGAGTGACCTTGCAGGATGGTCCGCAGGACCGGACGATGGACTCCTTGCAGGAGCGATTTTGCGTCCATTGACTGAGACGACAGATGAATTTTCATCAACACGTGATGCCATGATCGTGAGATCGTGGCAGATCTGTCGTCCTCGGACCGAGTTAATTGTGGACAGGGCTGTATTCATATGGTACTGCAGCTGCTCCTGCGCATGCCGCACTGTCATCAGCAGAGCCCGACTTCTACGAATGATGCGCTGCCTGTAAAGAACGAATCCGTGAATTATGTCTCTACAAAAAGTATTAGTGGATATAGAAAACAAACGAAGTGAATTTTTGAGAAAGCATCTTGTAATACATCTCGATCATCATCAAAGTCAACGGCAATCGCTACTGCTTGTGAGGAAACCGTGTAGTAATTCGATGGTGACAACCAGCGATTTAATAGCGCATGGTTTTGCAGCCATCTTGTGGCCAACAATGTTTGTGCCCGAGTGTAAGAAAGGCGACATTCAAGCAGGACGGGCACGGGCGTGGACGAAGTCCTATTCGAATAACGGTGTGGCATCCTTGCCTTTCGCCTCTGGGAGGGTCGGCGTTTTCGTGGGTAGGTAGCCTGATTGTTTGCAATCTCGAAATCGTCTTACAGGCGTCAACATCATGTATTTATACCTCCAACGCTGCCAACTCGCAACTCGCAGTTCGCAAAGAGGAAGAAGCTTAAACCACCCTGTCATAAAGTGGTGGGAAAGTGATGTTGGGGCTATCTCGACAAAGGCAACCCTAAACTTACCCTGAGCGGCGCTGTCAAACCACATGTCATTATGTGCAAAAGTTAAGGTCGACATCTTCGTGCAACAGACATCCACGAGCGCATGCTAGCCAGGGATTGGTAATGCCCATGTGAGTAGTAATAACCAAGTAAAATCGCTTGGCCATGAGATCATCATCAAACCCTGCTTATGAATCTGTGTCAGCGACGCTTTGTTGTCGCGCCCTTGAATGGATAAAACGTGATGAGCCCGCATGGTGGTTCTTGGGAGCCTGACAAATGCAGCTGAATAACTCAGACGACATGCTTGGTCATCATGCGCGGAGGGGAAGTAAGACCACAGAGGCTTTCAACAAAATGGCCACGATAAGAGTTATGTTGGGTCTCGGAATGAATTTTCGATTCGTGCAGCGACAATCTCACTTCATCATCTACCAGAACTGAAAAGATCCACGGCCTCGGAACATCGAACGACATGTCCAATCAAGCAGCATGGCTCGATGGAATTGGCAAGTCTCTGCGCATCGGCGAAGCGCCCATGCCAGAGCCCAAGGACGATGAGATCCTGATCAGAATCCGCGCCACTGCTATCAATCCCGTCGACGACAAGCAGGCGAGGGATGGATGGGAGGTCAAGACATGGCCTTATATTCTAGGACAAGACGTTGCTGGCGACATCGCAGCAGTGGGCTCCGAAGTCAAGGACTTCAACATCGGCGACCGCGTCATCGCTCACCTTTGGGCCATCACCACGGGCGAGACTGGCGAAGGAGGGTTCGCCTTGTATGCCAAGGTGCTCGCACGCAATGCCGCCCGTCTGCCAGACGACGTGGATTACACAGACGGCGCGGTCCTTCCACTCGCCCTCGACACTGCCATCTCAGGCCTGTACGCGCCACAGGGATTTCTGAATCTGCCCTTGCCAACGTTCAGGCCCAAGCCGAATGCTGGTGTGCTCTTGATCTACGGCGGCTCATCGAGTGTTGGTCTGAGCACGACACAGCTCGCAGTCGCCAGCGGCATGCGTGTGATCGCGACAGCCAGCCCACGTAATCACGCAATCAGCAAGAGTGCTGGCGCCCACACAACCCTCGACTACCGCGACCCCGACCTCGTAGAGAAAGTCATCCGGGCAGTCGGCGACAACGAATTCGTCGGCATCTACGACGCCATCTCCGTGCAAAGCACGTTTGCCCACGATCTGGCGATTCTGAAACACTTCGGCGGAGGCAAGCTTGTGACGGTGCTTGAACCGCCCGAGGATCTTCCGGATAATGTGCAGATACAGTATGTCTTCGGTCAAGGCAAGGACTTGCTGCACGTGTGGGATTCCTACATCAAGGAGGCAGTCGGTAGCAAGAAGTTGAAGTTCCTGCCCGAACCGCTCGTCGTTGGCAAAGGTCTCGAGAGCTTCCAAAAGGGATTGGAACGTTTCGCGGAAGGCGTCAGTGCGCAGAAGGTGGTGGTTGAATTGTGAGATGTAGGAGAGATATTGGTCGTCGGAGCGACACATCCACGTAGCTGCAGTAGTTCAATCCATTCGGATCTTTGATACAAACCTCTCTCATCCTGGCGGTTCTTGATGACACCACTGCGGAGAAGAATGTCATTCCAATGGAGATTGCGTGGTCAAGCAAGGATTTACGCCCATCAGCGTAAGTCCATGACAATCAACGACAGGGGGATCCGATTCGGATTATGCATGAAGCAATAACAATCTCGCAATGCATATGGCACTATTACGTGCGCTCTTCATCACGTGGCCCACTAGACTCAACGCGATGACGAGCAATGCCGCAAGATAGTCCGGTCCGAACCATCACCTCCGCAACGTCGTTCCGCATCACATCACGCAAGAACGCCGCCCTCCCAAGAAACGCCCAGGAGAAGAGACGCCTAGTCTGCGTGGGCCAAGCGACGGGAAGGAAGGCACACATTTTCTCTCGTCAATGACCTAAGCTCAGCCCTACATGAGCGGGTTCGACGCGAACAGGGGCGTGCTGTAGTCATCGCCCGCCCGCCCGCTGCCGAGAAATGCGAGCGGCCTATGTCCGGCACCATTATGATTAATCCATGCTTGCTTTGGCACAGACAGGCTCGAAACCATGCCATTCTCTTGGCTTGGAACATAGTCAGAAAGCAACAGGCGAAACTGCGGAGGGAGAATGCCCTCGAGGGATGACGGCAGGTTCCGACGCTATGTTGCAATTGAGCAAGATTTCTCCGTGTGTGTGAGTTGGCAGTTCGGCTTGCACGGCACGCCCCGAATGATCAGGACACGTCAGACGGACTGCTAGAATCTTTCGGGTGCGGGAACGTTGGAGGAAATTGTCACGATGCAAGATACGACATCATCGCGGAGCGACGCACGTCACTGTTGAGCAAAGGCCGTGGAGATTCTGATCATTGATGACGACGACCAGGACGTTTTGCGCGACGTGGACACCCGGGTGCACGATGTTGTGTGCCGGCCGCGAGCAATAACACACAGGACCTCCTCACATTCAAGGAGTACAGCATGCACAGTACATGTAAGGCGAATGCAATAACGCGGCTGGACATCGCGATAGTCCCGAGCACTGTGCAGTCCTGCCCAGGTGTGCTGGCGATGGTTATGTCCTGGTCATGGTTCAGACGGATGTGTGGGCCATACTATTTCCCCACACGGGAACGAGGAGTAGTGCATAGTGCACGGTGCGTAGTCTTGCGCAAACATCGCACGGATCACCACCACGGGAAGAGCGGAAGTGCATCATCGTTTCGATCGAATGATTCCCAGGAGGTCGTGGGCAGGAGAGGAGAAAATGAAATTACACGATGCCAATGCAATGCAAGACAGGGAAAGAAGATTTCTTTCCCCCTTCTTGCTCGATCCTTCCATGGGCTTCCATGGAAACTGTGGAGCCTGAGACGCAGGATCCGTGGAATTGTCTGTCTTGTCTGTCTCGCACGACGACCGGGTCTCGCTGAAACAATGCCACGCGTTCCCAAAGAGAGGGAAAAAAATCCAGGCAAAGGACCGGATGTTGATTCACAGGGACCAGGGCGAGACGAGTACATCGAGACAAGGAAAGACACGACGAGGGAACAGGCCAACACCCGATTCCGAGTGACGATGCGTGATGCTTAGACATTGTACCGGCGGTTGGCAGGCGGGAAGGGGAAAAACGAGCGCACCCAATTAGGCCAAACGAGAAACGGGCGACCAAGGGAAAAAACGTGTCCCGTGATGGCATGGATTGTCTGGTCGTCCGTGCCCGCCTTCCACGTGGTCTCCGACTGGTTCGCGTCTTGGCTCGGCGGCGGGGCTTGGCTTATTGTCTGTGTAGGCGCTGTACCATGACGATTGGTCGCTTTTCACTCGCCTCCAACACTACTGACCCGGCGATGGGTCTGGAACTACGCGTGTCAAAGAGAGAAGAAGATTGCTTGTAAATCTCGAGTGGCGATCCTTCCGGTCGGGCTTGTCGGGACGGGACATGACGATGTCATCGATATTCCCCTCGCGGAAAGCATTCGAACCGGCAGTACAGTAGAGCATTGCCTTGTAGAAATGTGGACTGCTAGCTTTCCGATCAGATGGAGCTACGGTGATGGTGATGCATGATGTACTGGTAAAGACCCCGGATCGGAAATGTACGTAAGAGTGTTGTGGGAAGGCATCCGAATTTCCAACCAAAGTCAGTCTTGTCTGAAGGCGACGACAATCCCAGAAGCGGCCCGCACGGAGAAAAGGGTGTGGCACATGTGGACACGCGAAACAGATCCTCTCGTCTTGAATATGGCAGAGGTGATAAGCAGTCAACGTGATCATCTCCACACACGAAGGCGTCACGGCAATGTCCCAAGCCGCGAGCCAATGTAGATGGATACGTGATCGAAGTATGAACGAAGGCCGTGATCACAGCCCCAAGGGAGCGGTACCGTCCTGTACATTTGCCTTCTTGCTCGTCACTCACCAGTCAGATACAGAGCACTTGTGCAGAACAGGTCTGGACTGGTGTACCATGAGAATGTCTCTGGCACTATTCATGCATTCGACAATCGCATCGCAGGAAGGAGGCGATAGCGGATTGTGGGGTAATAGAACGTCGCTAAACAAGAGCGATCGCCATCCGATGCCCTCTTTCAGCCCTTGGCGCCACCCATTAGATTAGGTCGGGGCGCGCGACCTTTCGACGATGCATAGAACTCCAATAAAGATTGGGCGGAGTGCACGACGGACAAGGGAGGAGGATAAGGTCATATGCGCAATGACATGGCAACGAGAAGCTTTCTACCCAAGTCCGCCCACGAACCGCTCAGCCTAAGGGCGTTCGTTTGTGTTGGTGTGTAATTTTGGGGCGTCTCTGGATGTGGCGTGGAACAGGCTGGCTACGGAGAAGGAGGAGGCTTGCAAGAATCGCGATATGGGACGATCGGCAGACACAATTTGTGTTTCATTGTCGTCAAGTGGAGGACCGGCCCTTTGTGGTGACGGTTGGGATCATCATTGTCGAGATGTGCAGAGATGTCCGTCGGAAGATTTCGGGGTTGATACGTGCTCTTTGATGCATCTTTCTGAACTATTGATGGACAATCTGAATGATAGAGTCGATTTTTGGCTCTACAAGCGCCAGATACCGTGTTGATAAGGGTACAGGGATTATGTGACGATAGTAACAATAAAGAACTGTAGAGATAAGTACAGTACCGCAGTACTTCGGCTGCAGCTCTTAGCGTGGGGGTAGTACTTCGAATCAGAGAGAGACCAGGACCTAAATGGTAGCCGCTTGTCCAGTTTTCACCTTAGTTCGTCGTCGCATTCGTGGTGATCGAACGGTTCACAAACGGTCGTCGTCGTCGTCTTCGTCGTCGAAAAGTGCAGGACTCACATCATTGTCACATCATTGTTTACAGACTTCCCCGAAGGATAGTCTTTACAACCATGGTGGTCATGCATTGATATGTTGCTCCTCAATAGTACCGAGTGGCAGAACCTGAACTGCTGACTCCATCCTGGTAAGAAGTTGTGCCCCTTGCATCTATTGCGTCAGAGGGAAAGAAAGTTTGTGTGTGGTGGTGGGCTTGCGCATTGTTGCCTCTGTCCATGTATATCACGACCATTGAGTCCTCGACCATTGCCAGGCGAACGTAGAAGTGTTGCACCTTAGTGCTTATGCAACGACCAGTCGAAATTGGCACAGCAGCAGCAGCAGTCTGGCCTGTGGGTCCTATAGATATGAAACCGAAATGCCTCATGATAAGGATGGCCCACGTTTCTCGGAGTGTGACTGGACGCGCTTTGATGAGCTCGAAACACGACAGGTCGCAATTCGGGAGCGAAATTTTGGCGCGATGAGTTCCATCAATCTGCGCTGAGAGATTTCCGTCCGAGTAGGCAGGGACCTTTGCGTGCCTGGAAATAAAGTCACTCATCACACACGCAATATCCACCGCATGCAGCAACTCATCCCTGCAAATGGCTCACGGCAAGCTTGCGTGTTGGGTTTGGCGGATTCTTGGAACACATGGCATAGAGCACCTTTCCTTATCAGCTGCTCTGATTCGTCGCCGTTCTGCGACAAAACCGCTCGCTAGGAAACCTTGTCTCGATATGCTTTACGTGTAGAGGCGCAGGCTGCGAGCCATCGCAGTCCTCATTCATTTTACGTATACTATTTCTAACTCGTGTGTGGCAAAGATCAGCAGTCATTGATTTCGTTGAATGTGATGAACCCAAACTCTGTGCGCGATGGAGCCGCCCGCAAGAAATCATGGTTCGCGTCGATCGCACGACGAGTTCTGCGGTTGAGCGCCCTCAGCGCCTCATTGAGCGTCTAAAAGGTGTGAGCCGTGCAAGTCCCACACAGCAACGGAACGAAAGAGCATTTCGAGGCGTGGCCAGTCTTTCCTTTTTTCCTTCTCTGACACATAAAACGCCACGGAGCCAGAACCACGAGGCTTGGGCCCGATGTCTGTTCCAGATGAACCAGATCTACCCTTCTCCCTTTTGTGAGGTGACTCAGGCGTGGTGGTGTCAGGGCAAGGCGAAGAAAAAATACTATGCCGTCGGCCTCGCCGCCGCCATCCGTGCTGAGCAGGCGATTTCGCTTGATTAGAATGATGGGGTAAAAATCCTATGTACAGTACTGTACCTCCAAGCGCAACTATGTACAAAGGAACAACAATGCGCCTAGATTGTTGCTCGCTTCCAGTGACCCTGGCCGGAGTCCGCCCAGCGCCCTTTGTTTCCTCCCTTCTTTGCGGCACAGCAAGCAGCGCAATCTAAAGACAAAAAACGCCATCATCGAGTCAACACGCGGCAGCACGATCTCGTTGGCAAACGTAGGCCGGCATTTAAGAGCTACGGACGCGATGGAGAAGCAGGGATTTAAGTTGTTGAGCATGCACGCAAGCCATTCGCAGAACTTAATATTGCGGGTGTGGTGTGAGCAGAAGACCCCTTCCCAGCGCGAGCTGGCTGAGGGATGCAGCTCTCATGATGATGAGAAGGTATTGGCATGCACAGATGATGAGCGAGTATTCCGTGTATCTGAAGTTTAACGCATGGGTGGTGGAGGGAATTTGCATGACCCATTGCGGTCTTGGACTCGAATTGGGACGAGCCACGACTCCTGGGAGGCGTTTTCTCTCCTGGTCTGCGCTGCAAGGACTGTACGTATTGTATGTACCCGTCTCGAACCCTCTGTGCGTTTTCCTGCAGTACGATGACAAGTCTGCGTCTGTAGCAACGTCGAATGCAGTGTAATATGAGCAGACGGCAAATGCGGCAGCAGCAAGGCATTGCGTGCCATGGTTTGTTTAATGATCAAATTCGTCATCATATGCGACGAATGAGGCGTGCAAGGCGCTCATTCGGATAGTCACGTTGTCAGACTTTCCAACGCTAGCCGCCCACTCCAGAAATAAAGTAATTCTTGTGTGGGAGCCTTGGCCTATGCCATAATCAAATCATGATGGGCACAGCACTGTCCAGCCTAAAGGTGGCCGAAGTACGTACATCATCACTGATTGATTCATCACCGGGCGTAGTGTAGGCAGCCGGGCCCCAGTCAAGCCCTCTTCGCGGGTTTTTTTCATGTTTCTCCCTGCTCGCTTGGCCTGGTGATGGACCACCCAACAGGCAGAATCAGTCTACCACAGATGGTGATTGGAACGAGCACGCTTTGTCCAATTCCCATCCACACCTGCGCCCTTTCGCCCATACACACGCACCCGCGCACGCACGACGCACCGTTTCGCACTGTGTGCTCCACTGTAGATTTTTCCACGGACACACAGAAGTTTCTTGCCCGGAGCAGGAGGAAATGCGCCCTCTCCACACACACACACCCTTTGGCTCCCTCTGTCCAGTACACGCACGCACCCACCGTCGTACCTCGAGTATGGAGACGGCACAGTTTTTTTTGTGCTGGTGGGCGGGTTGGAAATACTGTAGAGTAGTGAATGGGTGGAGAGTACTTATACTGTATTACTTCAAAAGCCTGCTCATGGTTCTTCTTTCTCCATTGTCATCACTGCCTCAACTGCATCGACATTTCGACATTGGGTCATCTCATCATCGATAAACGAGATCATATCATTGTCCATCCTAGTCATTCTACAAAATTCCGATTTCAAAGCGGTCATTGATCATCACACCACCATTGCTCATCCAGTCATCACGATCACGCTATTTTTGTCTAGCACGCAAACCGTCTGTGCACGCTCTTCGGGCAAGCACATGGATGGCTGCTGTGGGTGTGTGTGTGTCATATCTCTCTCAATCCATATAATGCTTTGATTTGCCCACTCTCTCTCGACAACACATCTCTTCAACAATCACCACATCCAACACAACACTCGAACTCGACTCGAAACAACTCGTCGACCACCATCACACCACATCACAGCACACACTCACTACTATATATCCACCTCGACACCTCTCATCATGCATTGCTTCCAAGACTGCTGCCTCTTCTGTGACCGGGACTCGCCCGATGGAGCCTACTGCTCTCAGCAATGCAAACTCGCTGATCACGAACGCTCAAACGCCTCCAACCCAAGCACACCCTCAAACACATCATCAGGGCAGTGGACTTCATACCACGCCGACAGCAAACGCCAATCACAACACTTTGGCTCAGTATCATCAACATCATCGGCATCATCATACTACCCATATCAGAGCGCCGCTGAGCGTCATTATCTCAGTGCATCATCATCACAAAGCTCGTTGTCCTCAACAATGAGCTCATCACCTGGTGGCACTTCAGGCATGTCCGCTCAGGCGAGACAGGACTTGCAAGGCTTCTTCAGCTCGTTCGACCAAGCCCGAGCTGCCAAAAGACGATCCACGACCCGGTGATTGGCCATTCACCACCACATCCATTCAGCAGCATCACCATAATCAGCGTTCTCATCATTTCCACTCAACCATCGTCGCCAGTTGGCACGACAATCATCTTACGCACGGAGTTTCTCTGTACCTCTAAAAGCATTTGATTTATTCGAGTTTATTTGTCTCACTACGATTCATGTATCAAAAAAATCCAGCCCAGCTCTGGCAGTGTCAGAGGCTGCGTAGCTGGCGGGCGCCAAATCCTGGTTCGGAGTTTTCAAGGCATTGCATTTTCACCACCCAACTGAACGAATATTTGTCATTCGAGGACCTACTTGGACCTCCATTTTGCTCACTCAGAAGGAAATCGCCTGTCGATATTGGGAGGACTGTCCTGCTTCGCCAAAGGGCAGCAGTTGACTGCAGGAGAGATCGAAGGCAGGAATTGTTTTATCAGGAAAGGATTGGACGTCCACGCACGCGGGTCTTACGAGGCACCTCAACTGGTTGGGACCTCTCCAGACTCCTCAGAGGGACGTTCAGGCGATGCTTCGCGTAGCAGCAGGTAGAATCAAAATCCAAGCGCTTCCCGATAACCCTCAAGCTTCAATCACACATTTGTCCTCGCCTCCCTTGTGACAATGTGACCAGATCTTCACCATTCATTTCCAATTGGCGGTGGCGGTGATAGTCTACGTATACAGCGTGTCGATCTGTCTCATGTTCGGAACTTGCGATCCAGAAGGAAAATCGCACGCGAACGCCCGCCTAACCCCATGATTTCGGACGATCAGTTGAGGCACGCCAACCACCCCCTCCATGGCGTTTCGGACGGAAGGCATGTGGAGTGTCGAAGCAGCACACGCACGCAGGTACTGTACCTCCAGGGTCGGCGAGTCGCGTGTCCCGACCCGTGTCTCTTATCTCGCTTCTCTACTATACAATACCCACCCACCCACACACATACCTCCGACAATCAATCCGGTGTCCACATACACATACTCACGCAGCATACCCAGCCCCAGTACGCGCTCACCAATTCCTTGGCGTTAATCCTGATAAGACAAACCAGCTTACATAGCCAGTGCCATGCATGCACGTATGGGGAGTTCTCGCGTGAGATTGCGTTATGCACCCTGTCTCTCGGAGGGAGGGTGGTAGTGGTGGTGGTGGAGCGGGCTCTTCCTTCCCTTCTTCACGGCAGGCGTGATGCATGCATATCCCGTCGTTGTTGAGATATATGGTGTAAGAGATGCTATGGCAACAGCGACATGATGTGAAAAGTACAACCGCGTCGCCCGGGTTCCCTTGTCTCCTTCCCCACATCTTTCCAGTTTCGTTCACTGATCGGGTGACGCTTGGTGGCGTCGTCTGGCTACTGATCACACTCTCGACGATGAACCATTCTAGCTTTACACTTGCCTGATCACATTCTGCATCATGCGACGAGAGGACACGACCGTATCCTGACAACGCTGTTGATGATTACAAACCTCTTAGTTGAACTACAGGCTTGGTACTGTTGCCCCTTCGTAAATCTTGCTCCTTATCAGTGCTCTCCACTCATCAAACACACACAAAGCCCGATAACCCCGACCAGACGATCGCGGTTCGACTATCAGAGCCAGAGAGATTGATCAATGGCACTAGTCCCCCACGACGAAGGCGTCGAATAATGAGCATCTTTCTCCCCACATCCAGAACGAACCGGTTTGATATGCATCTGCAGCAGTAATATATTGTGCTGTACGATACATGCGATACTGTATCTATGTACACCTCACTAGATTGTGCACCGTCTCTCCTCCAATGAGGGGCTGGGGCAACAGGAGATAGGGCTCGTCGTGCGCGCGCGACGACGGGCCTGGTTGCCGGAAGAACTGCGCGGGCTTGCTTGGATGGGATACCAGAACATGCATGGCTTTCACACATTCATGCACAAGACGACGAGTCCCGCTCCAGATTCGTCGGCTGCCCAGCCATCCTATCCTTCAACAGGATAGATACCCGACTACATGCTGTGCTATTGCAACAAGGCTACAGTTGGACGTAGATATACATCTGACATGATGATATGGATTCGTTCGTGGGCCCTTGTTCACGGCTGGCGGGTGACAACACTGTGCAAGGGTCACTTCTCCTGGACCTGCATACGAAGCCGGCAAACACGGAACAGAAGGGAGTTGGAGCGTTGTGGTAGTGCTATCTTGCTAATTCGTCGGACTGCACCTGACGTTCGTTCTCACCAGCAGCTTGCCTCTACCTCTCTCGTACCTCGTGAACGGCGAGTGGAGAAGGACACGTCGTTATCTCGACGATCAAGCAATCTGAAGACGGTCGCCGTTTTGCTAGCGAATACCATATCCTGTAAGCTCTGGACACGGTCCAGGTCTCCGTCTCTTGTGCCCAAACCTCCGCCTTCGTACATCGCGCAAACCATCGCCAAACAACTACAGCACACATGTACCTCGTACATGGCAAACCCTAAACAATGAAGTGGTAGAATTCCAAGCCGCGCGTCGTTTAAGATAAAACTGTCTCAGACGATCTCTCAGGCACGGCCAGGGCAAACCCCCGGCCTCCATATCAACTCGCCGCGAATGAATGCGATCAGGGCGCAAGACAGGGAAATTGCGCCTTTGACAAGGATGGACTGACGAAGATTCCGAATTCCGAGACACTCACTGCGCGTGGAAACCCAAAAACTGCGAGGAGAAACAAAAACCCTGCCTCACGGCACACTGTCCAGCAATGTCTCATGGTCACCGTTCATGCCACGATCTACAATTTCACGTACGGCGCCGTCGTCATCACCACACATCCCGGACGGAAGAGAAATGACATTGGAACGCCGTGGAAGCCATCTCGTCCCGAGACCTTTCCAAACCAACGTTTTCTTGGGGCTTGATCTATCCGCACTCTTCGAATTCCGCCTACCACGTCATGGCGAACTGTGCGCGCTATCCGAAACCCTTTTTCCCACCTCTCGCCGCCCATCATCACGATCTCGTTTGCAATTTTTTTTTTTTGGAAATTTGGCCCGCTCGGACGGACTTCCGCTTCTTCCAAGATCCGAGTGGAAAATTGCCGCGGATCCGCAGTCGCAACCCTGTTGCAGCAAATGCACAGGCCACGGGGTGAGATTCTTCCTCTAGGCCCGATCTTCATGACTGGGCCGCTTATCTCCTTTTTCGTGTATGTGCGCACAAAACGGCTTCATTGGAAAATATGATGCTATTCTAGGATGTTCTGGGTAAAATGGACTTGAAAGATCCTTCCCTGACTCATCGTCGCTGGTTATCGTTACCGTTGATAGGGAGTGCTTGCTACCATCGTGAATTGTCGTCCGCCCGTGTGGTTGATTCGAAAGAATCCTTAATTCTCAGGCACATATGTCTTCGATGGGGTATCTCTATAATTATACTAACTTCGAAGGGTTAACAGATTGTCTGTCCTTGTCTGTGAAATTTGTCTTGCTGGTGCGAACAATGATTCCAATTTTTTCGTCGCGGTGTGAGTGGCGCACCATGGACTCCTCATTCGTGTCTCGTCCCATGGTCGGCGGGTCGCCATCCACAGGAATGAATTTCGCTGCACGTGTGCTGCAAGCGCGCGATATTCGATGCTCGTAACTGTGGGATGTTTGTCGATCCCAATCCAATGCGGAGTCGATGTCGTTCACGATCGCCGATCTGGAGAAAAATTGCACGGACATCGGCGGGCTTATGTCCGAACACCATGGATTCTTACGCTGGTGCCGATCTTTTCGAGATTTGTCCTTCAAGCGCAAGCATCGGCTTCTGCAATGCATCGGGAGGCTCCGATTATGTGCAGCATGTCGTGATATTGCACATATCACGCCCATGAACAGGAAATTTTGCGTCTCGCAGTTTCCCAATGCGTTGTGTCATAACAACATGGCCGCGTTTGTTGCCCGCATCCTCGGACATCAATGACCTTGTCATGTCCACAATGGTCGCTCCCTAGACCATGTTGTCCGCGCTCTTGCCACCGGCTGATGACTGACGGCGCCTCTGCTCTTCGGCTTCCCATGTGGACGACATGATTGGAATGCCATCTAAGCCGAAGAGAGCGCCATCGATAGGAACGGGCTTCGTGTCGCCGGTCAAGTACTGTAGAAAAGGCTAGGTCAGCAAGAACCTCGGCAGATCGACCTGCTTTAAAAACGCTTACCAGGTACCAATATGCTGCGCCAACGAAGAACCCGCCGCCGATGATGTTACCAATGAGCGTAGGAATCATAGACTTCCAGATGTAGAAACCGATCGAGATCGACGGGTCGCCCACGAAGATGGCAATGGGAATGAAGAACATGTTAGCCACGACGTGATCGAGGCCGAGGCACACGAATGCTAGGACTTGCGTCAGCCACATCACCTCTCCGTCGTTGTCAAATATCATCTCCACACTCACCGAATGTCGGCCACCATACTGCCGCGACCTTGCTGAAGAACTCGCGAGCCATGAAGGCCAGAAAGCATGCTAGACACACAAGCCAGTTGGCGCCGATACCGCGGAGGAAGATCTGATGCCACATAGGTGTGACCTTTCATGAAGTGTCAGCAGGTGTGGATGGGAACATCTCAGGTTTCAGCAAGTAACCTACAACTTTCTTGTTTGCGAAGTTGATGGCTTGCGTTTTGAAGGGATCGCTGTCGAACACACCTCCCTCTCCCATCAAGAGGCAGGCGATGAACAGAGAGCTTTGTCCGACTGTCAGTCCGACTCGTGCGTACTCGCGAGCATATTCCCAGCTTACCCAGCAAGATTCCCGACAAATGTGACAGCCCAGTGACGGAGCATCTTCCACACAGAAAGTCTCCCGTGGAGTACCGAAATGGTAGTGAACTGTATAGGGAGGACTGGTCAGAAGTACGCCCCAATCGCTCTGTCGCGCACTGCAACTCACCATGAAGCTACCAGTACATAAATCCGCCCCCGTCACAACAATCATCGTGAGACCAAACGGGAAAATGATAGCGCCAATCATTCTGATCAGACCCGGAGCATTCTCCTGGTACCAAGGCGCAGTCTGCGTGCTCAGCGACGCCGCGCATGCAAAGGCCAAGAGCATTCCGGCGAGAACGGAGCTGATGAACATCTTGTCGAGGCGCATGTTGGCCTTCGCGACACCGGACCGCGAGCAGAGCTCGACGGTCTCCTGCGCCGTGTAGCAGTTGACCACAACATTCTGGTGGGTCAGAGGGGCGGCCATGTTCGCGTCGCAGGTTTCAGGCCTGTTGGCAGAAGGGAGTATTGTTCGATGAAGCGGTGACTAAAGCATCGCACCGCATGGTCGGCGGTAAGAACCCTTTATGTTCTCATCCCCCGGAAGTTTATGACGCCGACTTCTGAATTACGTCGTTGATCTAAGCGTCAGCCCCGTCTCAATGATCACAGGCTTTGTTCGGGTCCGTCATGATGACCGGCGCCGACTATATTCGATTGGTCCTCAGCATCCTGACCCCAAGGTCTTTATCTACAGCGCGATAAGAAATCTAGACATTCGGCCGAGAAGAGTAATGAATGATGTCGATCAATCTGCGAAGCGGTTGGTAGCCAGGGTGGTGGTATTTCGCAAACTGTGCTACGCATTGGTCTGCAGGTCCGAAAATGCACGTCTGAAGCCATTGACAATTACTTTCGAGTCTTGTATGCGAACGATTGGGGGAGATGTGTATTCATCTCGTCGTTATGAAGCTTAGGGATTGGTTGAAGATAAGGTGGCTTGCAGATAAGCTTCTTAGTCGTTGTGCCGAATGCCGCCATGATCTCCAAAGGAGTCGCTAGCTTCTTTTTTCTTTGCATGCCATGTTCATTTGGGGGACGTGCTGGACAGCAACATCGTCGCGGACAGATACGAAATAGATAATCTTGGCCAGCCTCAACAATTACGATTGGAGGAAGAAGATCGTCGGCGAGAAATGATAGGGTACAGATATCGCGCTCCGATGACTAATCCGACGCACCCTCACTCTGTTGACCAATCTTCTCCATCTCTTCGTCGTGTAGGTGCTCTGTAGGTGATTTCAAATATACATCTATCTTTTGAAGACAAGCTCTGTCTTTAGAGAAGGCGCAGGATCACGGTGGTATGATTAGAATCATATCAAGCAGATGAGCTAGAGTTGAACATCAGCTCGTTTTATTAAGCTGCCCCGTCCGACCTGACCGATCCCCATCCCAAAATTCATGCCCAGCTCGGGCTGTCCGACACTGTATTCAAACATTTGGTCCTTCGAGCGCTATTTGTCGCGGTCTATGCCCTGGCGCTCTTCGTCTGCGCGTTATTCGGACTGGATTGAGCCGTGTCGGAGGAGGGTGGGCTTTCACAGAACATGATATCGCCAGGCGTAGGCTCCGTGACAAATTCGATGAGTTTCTTCTTCTTTGCTGGCGGCTCCTCATCCTGCTCAGCTATCTGTCGTGGAATCTTGACGCTTGTGCTTTCGGCGAATCGCGATAGGTCTTGGCTATAGTAAGTAAGAAGAGAGCTGTAGGGATATGATGAAGATGACTTACTCTGGTACTCAGGAGGAATCGAGTTAGCAGCTCGATTGTTTAGCAAGAAGATATCGATCGGGATATTGAATGATCCATTCTCGTTCGTGAGATATTTGATAGCATCATCCAGTGTGTTTTGAAGCCGAATCTTCCATGGCATACCACCTCTGAAGTAGAACGGCCACAGAGTTGGGAATTCCTCCGCAAGGTCTGTTCTCAATTGCTGGATTGATACCCAGACCTCATTCGAGTCAGCCACACACCGCTCGACATCGACCCAAATGACGCTTTGTGACGAATTGAGTGTACCAACAGGACACCAGATGTGCGCCACGACCTTCGTATATGGACTCGGCGTTCCTCTCATCTCGATATCGTTGGCGAACATAAAAGTTATGCGAATACCGTCGCTGTAAAAGATGAGCGAAGTGCTAGCCAGCAGAACCAAAAATTGAATAAGTACCTAGGTAGGCAAGAGCGCGACAGAGAAGAGATGGGCCGCCAATCAAAACACCTCCAAGTGACATCTGGGGAACCTGGAATGAAAGAAATGAAATCTCACTGGATTCACATGTGATCAGGCGGCATGGGCGTGCTTGAAGCTGTTACCTGACGCGGCTGCCTCTTTCGTGTTGTATTCCGCTTTGGCGAAAAGTAGTGATTGCAAATGCTTTCACTTTCTGGAGAATTACTTTCACCACCTAGGTGTCTCGGCCATCAACGACGCACTTGTTGATTTTACTTGTTCATTGACCCTCGAACCACGCCGACATGATTGATCAACCGTTGAGACGATCAAAACGTGCTCGCAAGAGTGTCGACTCATATGCTGAAGAGCAGATGATCTCCAACGATACCTGTCGTGTAGCCAACGACAAAGAAGGTGTCGACTCGTTTAATCAATCCGAAATTCCTCACGAGGCAATCGTGATTAAGAGTGAGCACGATGAGGTCAGCTGCTGTCTTGTCAAGACAGAGGAGTCGGTGGTCACTGTGAAGAGCGAACCTCCTGTCGAAGACGATATCGGCACCATTGAGGCCGAGCTTCCAGTCAAACACCAGGCCCACGATAGCGACCTCAACGACGCAGAACAGCCGTCGAAGAAAAAGCGACGTGCTAAGAAAGAGGTTGACCCTACCGTACAACTCTACGGCTACCCACCTGCAGGCACATGGATTCCTTGGGGCGTAACACGGATGCGAAAGCAGCCCAAGATATATCCTGTTGCTGAGAAGAAGTATGTCGACATGTCACATGTCGTCGCCGCAGAGCAGCGCATCATCCGCACGAAGGCGAAGATCCCTCGCTTGAAGCTTGGTGAAGAGGAAACTCGCCTTAGAGAGTATGTTGCGATTGCCACAAGTTTGACGAATTGACGATCTTATCACTGACATTCAGCAGTTACAACGGTGAGCCCCCCGAATGGTACGATGAGTTCCTTGAGCGAGCCAGTACCCAGAAGATGTTCGTCCTCGATCGTCGTCGCGGATATGAGCAAGACTGCCACGCAAACCATCTCGACTGTCCCGAGGAAGTCATCCTCTTGGCCGGATCCAAGGGCAATGTGTATACCGTCACCATCTCTCACCTGACCTCATGTACTTGTCCCGTGACAATCTACAGCAAGACAGGGGAGGAAAAGCAATGCAAGCATGTTCTATACGTGCTGCATCACGTTCTGAAGGCGCCCGAGCATCTCCGCTACCAGGCAGCTTTCCTCACGTCTGAACTGAAGGAGATCTTCGCCCACGCACCTCTACCCTCGACCGTGTCTGCCCAGGGAGATGCAGACGCCGGCAAGCGCCGGCCGATCGAAGGCGACTGTCCGATCTGCTTTACCGAACTCGGAGGAGATGACGCGTCGGTCGTCTGGTGCAGGAGCTCCTGCGGGAACAACATCCACAAAGTGTGCTTCGAGGCCTGGGAGCGATCCAAGCCACCGGGGCAGACAACTTGTCCATTCTGCCGTGCTTTCTGGCACCCAAGTACTGCTGTCCATCAGCCACAGTATGAGTTCGACAGGGCGACCGAGGTGGGCAGAGGCGGCTATCTCAATGTGCTTAAGCAGCTCGACTACGACTGATGTGGCGGACGCGAAAGATGCATGGGAATGATGATTGGGATGCACGAGTCATTGCGTATTTTCGTTTGACAAGGCTGGACGAATGATTATGATATCGTTCTGTCCTGGCTTGAAAACAGTCCGAAAGCCCATGAACGCGAGTTTCCTTTCTGAGGATGGACGGGATTAATTTGGTGTTGCAATATATAAGTTACATGACAACGATGAATCGACCACTTCCTATGGTAGAGTGACAACAATCTTTCAAAACGATCTTCAATAAAGATTTTCCGTTCTTAAGCATTTATGATGAAATCAAAAAGCCTCGCTTGGTTGATCAAGACGCAAAAATGAATTACAATGAACACACTAATAACATAGCAAAAAACCAGAAAGACACGATTTCTGTCCTTCAATATCTCCTTCCAAAAAAGTACATGACCGTCCTCGCTCGCTCGCAGGGCGCAAAATCAAGGCCAGTCCTCTGCTCTCCTGATCTCGCCGGACGCGATCTTATCTCCTGCATGGCGAGACGACAAGAGATCTTCGGCCGTGGTTCATACAGACTTCTCCCACCGATGCCATGATGGCCACCTCTTGTCCATGCTTACTTCCTGACTTCCCAGCTCTCTCACCACGAATCTTTTTCTATATCTATTTTTTTCTCTCTCGAAGTGTTACACACGGATTGATGCAAAAGAGGAAGGTCTGACACCTCTCAGCCCGGGTTGGGGAGAAGAGCGGTGTCGAAACAGGTAGAGGGGGGATGGGATGGAAACAAGACGGAGATGGACTGGGGGTGGATTTCAACGCCGTCGTTCATCATACGTCGTTATCCCATCTACAACTTGCCCTTGACCTGGTTGGCCTCGTTGCTCTTGAAGATGGTGGCGTTGTGGGGGTAGGGGTCGACGGTGATGCGGTTGAGCGGGTTGAGCTCGGCGGCGCGGTAGAACATGTCCTCGTAGACGTTGCCGTCGAAGCGGCCGAGCGAGCTGTCGAGCTGGTAGTCCGGGAAGTCCCAGCTGTCGACCAGGCGGATGGCGTGCGGGCGCACCTCCTCGAGCAGCTTCATGACGGCCGTGGTGCGCGCCAGCTGGATCTGGCGCACCGTGCAGGCGGCCGAGGTGAAGAACTCGCTGGCCTCGCTCTCGAGCGTGTGCAGGGCGTACAGGCGGAAGAGCTTGTACAGCACGCCCTGGGTCTCCGGGTCGAGCTCGGCGGTCTGCTGTTGGTGTTGGAGGGTCTCGTAGAAGTTCTTGACCACGATGTATTGCGAGTGGGCGCGCGACAGGCGGTAGAAGGCCACGAGCAGGCTGTTCCAGGACTTCTTCTGCTCGTCGCGGTGGCGGAGAGCCTCGAAGGTGAGGTAGGCCGACCGCCAGGCGAAGGCGGCGACGAGGTCCTCGTCGCGGCCGATGATGTCGAAGGCGGCGCCGACGTCGGCACGCTTGTGGTAGTAGGTGAGGATGTTGGTGGTGTCGTTGGTGGGCTCGACGCCGCGGAGGACGGAGCGCGCGGACTTGAGCATGTATCGGGCGACTTGTTGGGTCAACATGTAGTTGTCGCCCTCCCAGGTCGCGGTGGGCAGGTAGTCGGCGTACCACTGACCGATTCCGGCGAAGGAGCTGTAGCCGTGGCCACCGCACGCACGTCGGCAGACTTCGAGACCTTCGGCGGCGGTGTGGGAGGAGAGCGATTTGAGACCGCAAGAGGTGGCGTGCAAGTCGGCGAGGAGGTCGGAACCGGGGACGGTCTCCTCGGGACCAGAGTGGCGCTTGGCCTGGTCGGGAGTCCGGCTCTGGGACATCTTCTTCTGGTTGGCCTCGTACAGCTGCATCATACCCTTGCCGGTGAAGTGCAGGGCGAAGCAGGTGGCCAGGAGGGGCAGGAGACGGATCTGCACCATGGTGTAGTTGATGACGGGGTTCTCGCCACGGACGTGAGGAGGCGCATCACGGTCCTGGAACTGTCGGCGGACGGCGGCGTAACGAGTGGCGATGGTGACGCCACGGGCGAGGACGCTGCCGGACTGCATGACGATGGTGCTGCGGACCCATGTGAGAGTGCCGTAGACGAGCGTGGGAGAGGCAGGGCGGACGTATTGGTTAGTCTTGAGGTCGACCGAGGAGTATCTGGCCAACATGGCAATGTGAGGGATCTTGACGTGGTTGAAGAGAAGGAAACCATTGTCCATGGTGTTGTAACCGAACTTGGGACCAATGTCACCGGCGTAAATGTTGGGCAGAAGCTCGTGGGTCTTGAGGTCACGAATCTGGACGATGAACGGGTGAGGGCCGTACGGCTTGCCGCCGATGATGAGCTGGGCCATGACGGCGGCGTGGTTGGCAGTGCGGCCGAGGGTACCAATCCACCATTTGGCTGAAGTGAGATGCGGCGAGTGGAGGGTGAAGGTCTTGTCCTCGGGGTTCCATACGGCGGTGGTCTCCAAACCTCGCACGTTGCTTCCGTGTCCGAGCTCAGTCTGGGCGTAGCAACCGATGTTGGCGTACGACTCAGCTGGCTTCAAGTACTTCTCTTGCTGCTCTGGTGTGGTTTGGTTGCGGAGTGTGACGAGGTACATGCTCTCGTGGAGAGCGTAGGGAAGCGGCTCGCTGATGACTAGAGGAAAAGAACCATGTCAGCGGTGGATTCCCTTGCTGCGCTGCGCTCCGCGCTTCTTTCTCCGAAGTCACTTACGGTCATTGGCGAATCTCCGGTCGACATCATCCCAGTTCTGCTCCTGGAAGATCTGTGCCAACCGCTTGGCGCGGCCGAGGGCGACCTCGAACTTGTCGATTCTGCCATTGAAGCAGTCCTGGCTACGGTCGAAGATCTTCTCTGATTGCAAGATGGCGAGGATCTTGCGCTTTCGCTCAAGGACCTCCTTGGTGAAGAGGACTTTGCTGAGCTGAGCGACATCGATCTTGGACGAGTTACGCTCGGAGGCGAGCAACTCTGAGCCTTGAGGGCCCGAAGGCTTGAGGCTGCGCACCCAGTGTGGTATTTGAGACATGGTCGAGTGGGATGTGGTGGATGGTTGTGAGGGAGAGGAGGAGGAGGGTCAGAGGCGAGGAGAGGAAGGTAGATGAAGCAACAGGAATCGGAAGGTCACCACAAATATAGGCACGAGTAGCACGATCCGTCAGTCTTACACGACTTTATTATGACTAGACGGGCGTGTATGGTTATCGAGGGATGCCGTGTGATGATGCTGTATTACCTTGGGCCGAAAGTCAGGTCGTCAGAGATGAAAATCATAGCCGAGGTACCCGTCAGATGTACCGTTTTGGGGTTGACGCCGGTGTTATTTAATGTAATTGGTCACCGGACGAGACGGGTAGAATACTGCTTCATTTAAAACGAGATTGTCCTACCGGACGGCTGTCTTATCAGATCATCAGGTCACGCACTACTCAAGAGCCGGACAAAAGACGTTTTTGGGCAGGCCGGTAGTCAGGACGATCACGAGCCAGATCGCGCGCGACATGGGTGGAAAAGTTAATCTGCCATTAGAGCGACACCGGAGGAGTCCTTGTCGTCGTCGGAGTGCTTTCTTCGAGTTTGGCGCCGGTCGGTCTGCGACGACGTCTGACCCACTCCGCCTGTTGTCACAAGCCAGATCTCCCGTGGAAAGACGTCGTTGTATGCCCTGTACTGTATGGATTCCAGGTGGTGGCACATATGCCCAATTTCAGTCCCATCTGCTCACCACGCCTGAAGAATTGCGTGGTCTCAGTCCGATGGGATGGCTGCTGTGTGTTCTGTCTGACGCCGGGATCTCCTGCATTTGCGCCCGTCATACGCTCACCTCCACGCTTGATTTGGCCCCTTCGTGTGGGAGTCAAGAACAACGCATTCTGTAGGAGAAAAGGCAAATCAAGAGAGACTTTCCCCTCCCTTTCTCTGCCTATGGAGCGGCGTGGGTCAAATCTGGGGTGACGGTAATCACCACATCGCTGAGAGGGCCATTTGAGCATGACCCGAGGAGTCTGACCATGTGCTTCCCCAATCCAGGGACTCTTACCTATCGTCGTGTCGTCAGTCGTCCTGCTTGCCATCAGTCGTGATACAGGAGAATGGCGCCTTTCGTTCACACAACCGCAGTCCTATACAGTATCACGTACAATATTCACAGCGCAGCAGAGAGACGTGTGATAGCCACTGACGTAGTGGAGACACACACACACACACACACACCATGATAACCCCGGTCAATATGCACGTGTCAGCGTCAGGACTTCTCTGTCCCGTTCGAAGTGACAGCTGCTTGTTACGGGCGCATGCGGCGTGGGAGGATCCTTCGTCGGCCACTTCCGGGCCCAGACCACAACCCACCGTTCGACCCGTCTCTTCTGTGAACTTCCCATCTCGACATAGTCCATGTATGGTACACAGAGATCATCACGAAGGAAAATACATTGCTGGGCATTGTACCTGTTGAAGTTCATCTCGATTTCGCAGTTGGGGAAAACGACTGCGCGCCACCCACCAGAGATATTAAGTCATTCCTGCTCGCAATGATGCGTTCTTCCAAGTAGGAGGAGCCCACTGAACGATGCGCCCGAGCTGCCGGGGTGAAGATCACGTACCCAGGTACCTCCGATGTACTGTGTACATCGATATCGGCGCTGTCATCCATGTCTGCTCATAGATGGCTTCTAAGCGACTTCATGTGCTCTGCGCTCAGAATACGACCTGTTCGTCGTCGCGATGGCGAGGAACGGCGACTCTGGGCCACTGCTGAGGCGGAATCAAATCAGCCACCTGGGTCATCAGGTCGTGGAGATAGACCGGCCATGGGAGTATTGCACGGCACCCCTTGCTCCAACCCCATCATCCACAATGCAGATTCCAGCTACGTTTGTGAATGATGATTCATGATAATCTGCTAGACACATTCGCGCAACAGCAATCGTGGCGAGTGGCGATGGAACAACCAGTAGTAGGGATTGGGTTCATTTCCCGAGTCGGAGCACTTCTCTCGGCCGTTATCATTCCCCGATCTGATTCGACCCCGGGACTTTTCATCGTCACGCGGGCAGAAGGTCATCATGCCTTTCCTTCATGTCTGCTGATGAGATTGTTTCTGCTGGTGCTGCTCCTACTGTGTTCACTACTGCCCGCTAGTGCTGCTGGCAATGCCGAATTGCTTGTATTGTAGCTTGACTGGTGCCGGGCCAAAACAGCCAAAACAGCCGCGGCTATTCCTCCCTCTCCAGTACTGCAACCGAAGAATTGCTCGCATTCCTCGTTTGATACATGGTGGTACTGTAGAATTGATTTCTCGCCGCCATACTGGCCTTCGCTTGGTCGTTCCGCTCGTACTGCGCCTCAAGTAGTCTTATTTGGTCATCTGGCACAGAGTCTCGTAATAGAAGATCGGACCTCGGAGGCGCGTTTCGACAATCCACCTCCAATCCAACCTCCAGGCATGGCCATGACCGATTCTCCACTCTGCTGTAATACTTGTCCGAGGATGCCTAGGTGCACAAAATGACACGCTCCCCGGTCCAATCCCGCATACAGGACCAGTGTCTGTGATGGCCGCCGCTGTCGATCCCCCTGGTCGTTTGGCATTCCACGATCTCTACGGTTGCAAGTGGCCCTCTGGCTCCGATCCAAGGGTCCGAACTACATTACACACCTACACACCTACCTAGTACTGTCTACAGAACTTCGGAGATGCCTGAGGTTTGTTTCCATGAGCAACAATGCAGATACACTATTTTGCATTCCAAGTTGTGCAACAGGTTCTCACACATCTACAAGCAATCATTTATATTATCAGCGTTCCGTTGCGACTGATGCCATCCATGGATTTGTTTCTTACGTTCTCCAAATATTACGGTCGTTTGGTTCAGACTGAGCGAAATGAGTGGATCTGCATCTGCGCCCATATTGTTGAGTCCTGTGAGTGCACATGCACCTGCCCGTGGGGCACTGACTCATGATACAGTGGCGTGTGTCCGCGAGAGCCCCCACCATTCCAGGGTTCCCACCCACTGCCACAGTTTCGTCATTCACGTCGATCTGGTGGACAATTTGATGCTGCCCAGTGGGTGGGTTCTGTAATTCACAGAGCTGCATTTTGGCTGGAAACAAGATGAAGCATCTCACAGAGCACCGCAGAGTTCTGGAAAATCCCGCACACGCGTTCTTGTTCTTCAATGCCATTCTGTGTGCCCGCCAATCGCGCCCACCATCGTCGCATGGTCCGCACTGTGTAGACGAGCACCAAGCGAGGACTTCGTTTGTTATCCCTTCGGCGGTATTCTGTAGGTGCCCAGGTGTTATTTGATCCAGCTTGTCCTGTAGCGACGCCTCACCCTTCCGTTTGACCGAACCTTTCGCCGAAGGTTACTCAACAGCGCGCATTTTCTTTTCTCAGCCGCCTTTGACATCACACCACCACTCTAGCTGGGACATCCCTCTCACCTTCGACGACAGCTCTCTTCCGACGAACAATGTCACGTTCAACATGGAGACTGCGAAGAATACCTCTGATCATATCGAGGACGCCGGCCACGAGGCCGCGCTGACTGGCGTCGTCGCGCTTGCCAGCTTGTTCAGCTTGTGTGTGGAGACTTTCGGACTGATTCATCCTTCCCACAAATGGGACAAAGAGGAACAACGACAAATCGCGAGACTCGGTCTGCAGCAGACTCGCCTCTTGGTATGGGGATATGTACTTGGAATCGCCTCCCCTCCTACCACTGTGACGGATCGTGCGGTACCTCGAAATCCAAGTCTCGTATACCCAGAACCGAGCGAACCGACATTCTTTGGTGCGCGCGATCCCCGTCTCGACGAGCCTGGCAACCGCACCGTCATTGAAGATGCTCTCAGCGCAATTGTTGATCGCACGAGCGGTACTACGCGGGAAGAGATGATGGCCAAGTATGGACTGAAACCTCCAAGGAAAATCTCCATACACCTCGAGCGTCCGCTCGACCCTGCTCGACTGGAGGCCTTTCGCGAGCGGCATGAACTCTTGCATGAGGTTGCACAGAAATACGCACACTTGGACACGACGCGCCGCGCTGGCAGTCTGATCCGCTCTTCCTGGCAGATTGCCGACTGCACCAAATTCGCGGCCTTCATCTCAGCGACGCAAGAGCGTATCGACATGCTCATTGACCTGCTGCAAGTCAAGACCGCGGTGGACCGAGCAGTCAGCATGGATATCCGTTCTTTCGGCTGGCACGTCATTCCCGATCGTGAGCGCGTGGGAATGGACCTGGCGAAACTGCGCCTCTTGCACGACATATGCCTCGCGGACTACCCACAGTACGTACCTGCGGTACAGCAGGCATTGGACCACATTGGACGGGAAGATCGAGAGTTCAGTGCTCCTAATGCGGAAAAGGCATTTGCAATGGCTGTGGCGGCTGTAGAGGGAGGTGGGAAGCCTGGTGCCACTAATGCGAACAGTCCTGCTGCCATGACCAAGAAGGCCGATCAGCTCCCTGCTCCTACGCAACAAGCACAGCAAGTTCGGAAACGACCCACACTGTTGAGTTTCTTCCGCTCCTCAATTGGGCGAGGCGGAGGACGACGGTCATCACTAGATAATAAAGCCATCGACTCCGCAGCTCGCTCGAAGTCCGATGCAGGGGTCTTCTATACCGGACACAGGGACGACGGACATACAGCCACCGACTCTAGCCAAACGGATGACGACACCTCCACGCATCTCACTCACGTCCGCTCCAAGTCCCTCGGCGAAGCCCTCCCCGCCATCGACGACGCCAGCAACGATAACAACAACAACCACTTCTCCTCCAGTACGGCGCAACAGCAGCAGAAGCAGCAGGATCCCCTCGCCGCAACTCCTCGCTCATTACTCGCAGAGACACAACAACAGCAGCAGCAGCAGCAGCCACAACCTCAAGTCAAACAGCGACTGGACATCACCTCCACCGCCATCGCGCCGAATCTCGTGATCCGTCATGATCAGTACCACGGCCTGGCGAGGACGGATACGCAGGATTTACACCAGGGGGATTACTGATGGGGGTTTCCTTTTCATGATGTTCTTACGTCGACGAGATATTTGCTCGGGATGAGATGGGCTGATGCGACACGGGCGTTTTTGGGTGGTTGGGGTTAATTAAGGATGATGCCGATTTGAAAAAAGAAAGAAAAAGAATGCATCGAACTCTTTTGTCATTACTCCGTTTTAATAAATTTAATGTCTCTTAGTTCGATTTGTTTTTGGTCAATCATGATTCATATTTATTTTTCGCAACCAGGAGCGTGGCCCTTGCTGGACTTCATAAAAAACAGGACTACGTGGCAGCTAGTGGACATTGACAGAGATACCGGACGAGAAGTTGGGTGGTCGAAGGGTGGTCAACGCAGAGTAGTCACATAGGTTCAATGTAGAGCAGTCTAGGTCGTAGAGTCGATGGATTCTGATTTCTCATGTGAGAACTTGATTGTTCAATCATATCATATTCTTCCCCCCCGATGATCGCGTTTTCAGCGTCTCGACTGGAAGCGGCAGCGGCTTGCCACTGGCCCTCAAGGGCGATATGACATCCGGAATGATCATCTCGTAATAAAAAGGAAGCCGTTTGCACCGGTATCAACGACAAGCAAATGTCTCCCAGAACACATGAACGCCCGCTTGAATGCCCTTTTTCTTTTTCCCAATTCGTCCTCAGACAACCACACGTTTATGCGGCATCCTCGACGACAGCGGTCTGGAGACCCTTGGGGTTCTTGACGTTGACGGCCTGGACGTAAGAGTACAGCTTCTCCTTGGCGCTCTCCTCGTCGTTACGCTTTCGTGAGATGCGGACGCGGAGACGGAATGGGACACCCTTGATACCAGACTCCCAGACCTTCTTGTTCAACTGAGGGTCGAGGCGGACGTCGGAGGTACCCTGTCGAACATGAAGTCAGTGAGTGTCGACAGGTATCAAAGGCAAAAGACACAGGGATGAGGAGCTGAAGTGTTCCAGTGAGGGAAAGGATGCAATTTGTACTCACCATGGCCTTCTCAGCAAAAGCGCGGATCTCCTTGATGGCACGAGGAGCTCGCTTCTTGAAGCTGACACCGTGAACCTATTGTTCCAGCGAAACCGCATTGGTTAGAATTATATGATTCTTTCTCAGTCTTCCGTCCGATGCCCGGTCTGGCCTCGATGCCCACGCTTCATCATCGTCACACGATCCACAAACACTGCCGAATGGCCATGTGTATAGGTATGTGTGCATCCATCCGGATGTATGAAGCATGAGACCTCGAGAGCCAAGACTCCAGCCATTCGTTGGACTTCATCAAACTGAACGTACTCTCTTGTGAAGGTGGATGGTGTATTCGCGGGCGACAACGTCCTCGATGGCGCTGCGCTTCTTGCCCTTGTCTCCGGCGGCTTTGGGACCCATTGTGACGGTTTGGGTTGGTGATGTTGTTTGGTGATGTGGGAAGTCTGGGAATTTCGCGACACGAAACAACCAACAGTGGTGGAATGCGCCTCCAGTGCAGTGTCAAATTGTGTGCGGGAAGTCTTGGCATGTGCCCTACAAGTGCGGGATTAGTCATTGTGGTGCGTGTGCCCAGTTGGGAAAGACGAAGTCTAGACGCCTGAGGCATGAGACATGAGGCCTCGGTAGCGTGACGTGCTGTGTGTGGTGAAACCGCATCATCGCTCGCTTGGAAGGGATAGGACAATCCATGGTACGGCACGATACATCCATCACTTGCGGATCACCTCGACGCGCGGGCTCCCATCTGTCGTCGTCGTCGTTGCTTCCTCATCTTCACCTCTCCGCCGTAATATATCATTTCAAACATCTCGGCGTTGCAATCGGACCATCATACACCACACATGTCGCCCAGTCTCACGTTCATATCGTGAGATCTGCCATTCCAGATGCGCCGTGCCGTCATTCAAAACTTGCGCACCTTTCGCCGGCCGAACCCTCGCAAGGCGCTCAAGAATCTTCGGATCAACGTTCCCCACAATGCAATCGTTCAACGCTCAATAGGCAGCAAGGCTCAGCAACCCCTACTCTCCTCGATGAGATTCTCGCGGCGCATCTCCGTTTCTGTGGGACTTGGAGTGGGAGCTGCAGCGATATACTACGGTTATCAGCAGCGAGCTCACCTCACCACTGCGCTGTATATGCCTTTGGCAGCGGCTCCAAGCCTCACGAGTAATCAGAGATCGCCCTACTCATCCTCTTCACAATCATATAACCCGACATCATCATCGTTAACGTCTTCGACCACCTCGGAGGCGTTATCAACGAACCTTGGTTCTCCAGCTGTCCCGGAAGCCGTGCGGAAAGCGTTGGTCGTGGAACAGGGCCAGATTTTCGCGACAGAAATACCGGCTGATGCCAAAATAAGCAAAGAGACGGATCGATCAGGTCGCAAAACCGTGGAGATGCTTACTCCCGAGGAAGCTACGGCCAAACTTCGAACCAACGAAGAGAGCTATCTAGTCGGCCGTGGAACAGGTGTAGTCAGATATGATGTCGTGCAAATACCCAGCAATGATCCGATAGAGGATGATCACGTCGAGAAGATTGTTGAAGTCCCGAGCACAACTGCGGCCGCAGCAAACGGCACCCACAGCTCCGATTGGATGTTTTGGGGGGTTTTCGATGGTCACGCTGGTTGGACAACTTCGGCAAAGCTCCGACAGACCCTCGTATCATACGTTGCCAGAGAATTAAACGCCACATACAAGGGTGCTCTCGCGGATCCACAATCGAACGTCCCAACGTCTGAGGCAATCGATGCAGCGATCAAACAGGGCTTTGTCAGGCTCGATCATGACATCGTTCACGAATCAGCCGCCAAGGTTCTGAAGGCCCAATCAAAGCGTGTCGCTGCTCAAATTCTCGCACCTGCTCTTTCAGGCTCTTGCGCACTTTTGAGCTTCTACGATAGCAGATCGAAGGAATTGAGGGTGGCATGTACTGGTGACAGTCGAGCTGTATTGGGTCGTCGGGGCAGCAACGGAAAGTGGACTGCCACAGCGCTATCCATCGATCAGACCGGTGGGACGCCCTCGGAAGATGCACGACTACGCGCCGAGCACCCCAACGAGCCGTATGTTACAGCCAACGGACGTATCCTGGGCGGATTGGAGCCCAGCCGAGCATTCGGAGATGCCGTGTACAAGTGGTCGATAGAGGTTCAGCAAAAGCTAAAGAAGTCATACTTCGGCCGCACACCCAGCAAGTACCTGAAGACACCTCCATACGTCACCGCCGAGCCTGTTATCACTCGCACACAGATCGACCCTGCCAATGGAGACTTCGTCGTCATGGCCACAGACGGTCTGTGGGAAATGCTCACCAACGAGGAGGTCGTTGGCCTCGTCGGACAATGGCTCGAGAAGCAATCCTCACTCGCAGGAGGCAAGGCCAACACGAGCAGCTGGCTTCCTTCCTGGTTCGCCAGCCAGAAAGCCTCCCAACTGCCCATCGAGCACCAATCTCAAGGCGCAACCGGTGGTCAGCGCGCACCTGTCCGACAAGAACAGTGGGGCATCCCGACCGGCCAAGACCAGCGATTCGTCGTCGAGGACAAGAACGCCGCCACCCATCTCGTGCGCAACGCCCTGGGCGGCCGCGACACGGAGACGCTCACGGCACTCCTCACGCTCCCGGCGCCATTCAGCCGACGCTACCGCGATGATCTGACCGTCCAGGTGATTTTCTTCGGCGACAATGCCGGCCAAGGCAATGGCAAGGTCGAGCTGAACAAAGAGGCGAGCGCCACCGTCGCGAACGGCAACAAGGGTACTGAGGGCATCCAAGCGAAGCTCTGAGCAAGAGTTCTCGGACTGGATGGAGGAGGGGGAGGAGCAGACTTGTTTGAAAGGCTGCTATTAGCCCTCGTGATTTCGGCGTTCTATCACTACCTGTTGTCGGCCGTACATTCATAGATGGCTGTACCTAGACGACTCGAGGCCGTTGTGTGTTTTGTACATTTTCTCTTCCTGTCATTATAGCTCACGGCGTCGGTTGTGTTTTCGAAGCCAAACCTATTTCTATAGGCCGGGGCATGGTCATGCTGGAACGCCAGCAACGAAGCATTGTTTTTATTGTTAGATCTCTCGACGATACAGCCATTCGAAAGCGATCATCATGTGCACATTCCTTCTCAAGCGCCGGCAACGCGAAGATCGGGGACGCGGGTGTGTGAGAAAAGGCCCGTCGGGGCATTCTCCGCGCGCGCGTGGTGATTCCTGAATGCGGTTCATATCCGTGCACTGCTTCAGTCCACTCGCTCCGCTCGTGCACCACAACTCAACGTCCACAACGGTTCAACGTCCACAGGCTCGTCGTGACCATCATCGCCATCGAGATGACGCTCTGCACGCTCGTTGCCATCAATATCCTGCATTAGACGGAGCCATACTGGCATCAAACGACGTTTGAAGCCATTAATTACCGCCTTTGAATGCCTCGAAGTCATGTCTATAACATTTAATACAAGATTCAGTCGTTTACGACGATCCTTTACCTTCTCACGAGCAAGTACTTTATCAGCCTTCTCTGCCTCTTTTTGACGTCTTTTTTGGATGACTTGACGTGCTTGTGCTGCAGTAAGGACTCCTCCATTCTGTAGATACTGGCGCTTCATCGAGCGACGCTGATTGCGTACGTTCTGGGCAACCGTCGTATGTTGAAGTTCATCTACAGCCTCAGCTCCAGCGATTGCTATGGCGTATGCGCCACGGAAGATCCTCTGAAGCTGCTGCGTCGCTATAGGCTGGTCAGCTAGAGCAGAAGCAATGAATTGGCTCTGAGTACGTGCCAGAGTCCGTACTGTACGTGGTGTTGTAATCATCGTCGTCTCTAACGTAGCCTGATCAACTGGAGTTGCTGGCCGCGCGAGTGTTGCTGCTTTCTCTCTAAGGCTTGAAAGAACAACGTTTGGATTGAATGGATAAAGGCCAGTCTTTGCAAAGCCAGCACGTATTGTATCCGGCTTCATAGTCTTCTGTCTAAAGCCCTCGAAGGCAGCGAGGAACTCTGTCTTATTGAAGTCAATACAGCCGCTGCGCGTAGCATAGTCAACTGCTTCTGAATGCCAGTGTTTGAACGGCTGAAATATGGCTACGTCAAGCGGCTGCATAAGATGCGACATGTGCGGCGGCAATACAAGAGGTATAATAGCATGTTGCTCACAGAACTCGACGAACTCGAGGGTATAGTGAGATCCATATCCGTCGAAGACAAGTAATCGCTTCACGCCACGCTGGAGTCTTCGCGACTGCTCCTCCCAATGATACAGCCACTGGAGCGTCAGAGCGTCTGTTGTATAGCCTGTGTCGCTCAAAGCAAGCATTGTAGCTGAATGGAGCTCTGTGAACCACGCGTCTTGAAGTCGTTTGCCAGGGAGGATCACCATCGGCTGGATTGTTGCGCCAGCTGCGCTAATGGCCTCAACAACCGTCACTGTCTCGCGATTGTTAGAGCTCGGCGTCCAATTACGCTGCTCCGGATGCTGCGTTAGCACGTGCTGCGTACGTGCCATACCAACACGAAAGCCAGTCTCATCCATGTTCCAAATGTCGTCTGGAGGTATGCCTTCGGTCCGGACGATCTCTTCGAAGCGAGAATACCATAATCCAATACGGCCTGGCTGCTCTGCTGCTGCACGTACTGCATCAAGTGATCGTGATGGACGCTTATACCACTCAGGGTGGCGTGAAATGAAGCGTGAGACCCACATCTTCGAGACGTCTGGCGCTGGCCCTTCGAGATTGTGGCATCTAGCTAGGATCGAATTGGCAGTCTTATGCACGTCGACAACGCGCGCAGACACACCTATCTTATCACATCGCTTTAGCCACGTTATTAAGGCCTCTTCTTGAGCGTTATCCAGCTTCCTGTTAGCTGGTTGCCTTGTAGACTTGCTTTTCAATCCACGAGCGCGTCGTTGGAGTCGCTTGTACGAAACTCTAAACTCCTTTGCTAACGTAGTCAGAGGGCCCTCAAATTCAGTCTCCTCGCGCCAGAGGAGTGCAGCATTGATACGAGCCTCTTCTTCAGCGTATTCAGCCATGTTGTGATGGATACAAAGACGCGTTCAATCTACAATCCTATTAAGTCGCATCGTGGACGTTGAACCGTTGTGGACGTTGAGTTGTGGTGCACGAGCGGAGCGAGTGGACTGAAGCAGTGCACGGATATAGACTTTCACGTCTGGCATAAAAGAGAATAAACCCTGTACCCTCCTCGTACGCCGTATATGGCCCTACCTGTCGGAAACGTCGGCGATCGGCAAGGACAGACGATACGAATGCGAGAACCATCTCTTTTGACATATGCATCAATTTAAGTTGCAGCCGTCATCATTATTTCCCGGTCGATTTCAGTGATTTTGGGCTATTTCTTTTTGGCTTCGTCTGAGTTCCGGCACCTCCGCTGTTGTTGTTCTTCCTTCCCGGTTGCGTGAAAAAGGCAACGCTTCCTACCCGAATCCCGCTCTTTCTTCTCTTCCCAACAAACCTGGAATCGCAAAAGCACACTCGGCGACATCACGGAAGAAGGAGAAGAAAAGGGAAAATTAGAAAACAAAAGGAAGCTCAAACAACAAGAGGGGAGAGAAAAAAAAAGAAGTCCGAGGAAAAGTCCAAGGAAAATCAAAAACACCCCGTTGAGAAAGTGTAATCACATGAACATAACATAATATACAGCAACGAAAAAAGAAGAGAGAGAGAGAGGATGGACGACCCCGTCTCCGAGATCGCCACGGCGATCACCCTCTGCGCCGCGGCCGCCACCCCGGACGCCCAGATCGCCGCCTTCCGCACCTACTGCCACGCGGAGACGTCGTTCCTGCACCCCTTCTGCCACGTGCCGCGGGGCCGCGGCTCCCTGGAGAAGGTCATCGAGGTCTATCAGTTCTACCGGAGCGTGATCGCCGCGACGGAGTTCGAGGTCCTCTCGACGGCCTTCGATCGCGAGGCCGGACAGGTCTTCGTCAGGTTGATCCAGAGGCCGAGGCTGAGGTGGGCGCCGGGCTGGATCCCGGTGGAGTTGCCGATGTTGATCTGTTTCCGGGTGGAGCGGGAGGAAGAGGGAGGGAAGTGGGTGATTCGGAGCATCGAGGATTTCGTGCAGCCGATGGTGAGTTTGTTTGGGCTTTTCTTTTTTTTCCGGGTTTCCACTCTGGCTAAAGGATGGTGAATCTGTCTCTCGAGACTGATCTGATGCTGACCCAATCAATTTTTGGTTCCCCTTGCAGCATCTGTTGCAGGCCACGCCGCTCGGCTGGTGGTTCGGCGTGCTCGTATACTTCTTCTTTCAGCTCGGAGGTCGCTATATGGGGTAAGTTCTTTTCTTCCCGGCACAGGCGAACTCGCCACCAGAACACTCGCGCAGAAAGCTGACCATCGAATTTTCTTTCTCCGTAGTCGATTATATAGATCGGTTGGAATCTGGAAGCCGACCAAAGGCCAACACTCCGCGTAGTAGCATGACATGGCCTCCGTCACGCCGTTCGCATGTGCCGAAAAGAGCGATTTGCGACGACGCAGAGGGTGTCCGATTGGATTTGCCATTTTCAGGACCTCAAATGGTTCAAATGGTCATTCCAATGTCATCCGAAGGATGGGAAGGCCTACTGTTCTCTTGCTTCGGAGGATCAGAGGGGGCATTCCCCTTTGGTTTTCCCATTGCCTTCGGAGGATGAGAGGGAGCAGTCTCCTTTGACATTCCCTTTGGTTTTGGAGGATGGGAAGGAGTGTTCTCTTCTAGGTTTATTGAATTTAAAGGATGAGAGTGATCGGTCTCTGCTAGTTTTGGAGGATGAGAGGGCTTAACCTTCTCTGGCTTTGGAGAATGAGCGGGCTTAATGTTCCCTGTCTTTGAAGGATGAGAGGGAGTAGAGGAGATGACAACCCCATCGGGCTTCACCAAACGAAGCCGCCTTCGAATCCCGCTGCCATTCAGCAGGCTCAGGGCGATATCCGGAATCTCAATCTCCAATCGAGAGGAGCCTCGCATGCGGATCTCGAATCCTTCGGGGTCCTCCGCGGCCTCCTTCAGCAGCCGCTTCACGTCGCCGACCAGGTACAGGCTGCCGGCGATGACGAGCTTGTGCCGGTCCGGGATGTTCTCGTCTCCGCTGGCCCGCAGCGCGCCGGCGACGTCGGCGCCCCACTCGACGATGTTGATCTGATCGCCCAGCTGCTCGCGGACCGCCGCCGCCACCTCCGCGGCGGGCGTCGGCTTGACCCACGGCATGCCGTCGACTGGCGTGGCGAACTCCACGGCGTGGACGGTGTCGGCGCCGCGGATCCGCAACGCCTTCAGGATCTCGGAGACGTCCTTGGTCGAGGAGCAGCCGAAGATCCACTGGACGGGCGGGCTATCTTTGTACTTTGGGGGCCGCTCGGCGTGGATGCCGTCCCTGCCCTGCGAACCGGGGAGGTCCCGGCCGCGCTTGACCCGGCCGCGGTCCGGGAGGGCCTCGACGGCCGCGGATAGGATCTTGGCGGACTCCAAGTTGTGGGCGCCGTCGAGGAGCACCGGTCGGTCGCTGCCGCTGATGGGCGCGAGGGAGATCATCTCCTGCCGTCCCGGCATGGTGATCTTGAGGGGCGCCATGAGCATCTCGTCGTACATGTTCCAGAGGAAGTTGTGTTCGAGGAAGCCCAGCTCGGGGCTGTCCTTGTCGGGGATGAGGTTGAGCGAGGTCAAGGCCGCCCAGACGCTGCGGAGCGCGACCGATGTGTTGCGGAAGACGTGCTGGGGCACAGGCTTCCATATCGCTCGGTACTTCATGGGGATGGCGGTGAATCGGGGGTCCTGTTTTTCGTCGAGCCAGATCGCGTTGGCGAGGTTGACGTGTATGTTCCTGCGTCCCTTCTGCGGGCTTCGGTGGCCCGCCAACTGCGGGAAGAGCGGCGTCCATGCGCCTTCTTTGGCGCCGTGTTGCGAAGTCGCCCGGGCGATGGCTGCGTTGACGGCAGGATGGGCGCCGGCGGCAGCAACGACCCACGCGTCCGGTTTGATGATGCCGGCTTTGTGGGCGGCGATTTCACCGATCTTCGACCCGAGGAACTCCGTGTGGTCGCGACCGACGTTGGTGATGGCCGCGACCAGAGGACGAGGTCGGAAGTCGCGCATGTCTCGAGACTCGATCTGCTGGCCATCCGAAAGCGTGAAGGTGTTTGGAAATGACACATCCACATCTTGGCCGATGATGTTGGTGGCGTCGTCGAGACCGCCCATGCCGGCTTCGACGACGGCGATGTCCACACGCGATTCGGTAAAGGAGGTGAAGGCGGCGGCCGTCAGCTGTTCGAATTCGCTCGCATCGATGGCGAGGTCCTTGTTCCTGGCTTGAACGAACTGCTCGATGCGCTTGAACTTGTCCTCCGCGATCGGCTGGCCGTGGATCGTGATGCCGTCCCAACGATGAAGCAGATGAGGGCTGGTGAACTGACCGACCCCGAGGCTCGGTTGACCAGTCTTCTTGCGCCAATCCGAGTCATTGTAGACGTTGAGCATGGCTGAGACGGCATTGCAGACGGAGCCCTTGCCATTGGTGCCAGCGACGTGGATGGCTTTCCAAGGAGTCGGCGTGTCGGCCATCAGCCGGGTGATGCGTTGTAAGCCTGGACGAATCATGATTCCGTTGGTGCATTGATCGATTTGATGGCGTTTAATGATTTCAAGAACGCGACATGATGATGAAGCACATTACAACCTTCTCCCGCCTCGCGTGCTTGACGGGATGGAATATGTACGGGATTATGACACTGCGAGTGTTGATTTTGATGGTCGTGTCTGTCATTCCAGGGCTGACTTTTATGAAGCCTAACCACCCGGGCACTGATTGAATACTAGTGCCGGAAGACATTGGCCGGCCGGCGCCAGTCTATTTTATTATTTTTATTGTTATTATTATTTTTATTATTATTATTCTTCTTCTTCACAGGATCACGGTCATTAGAGTCAGTATCGGACCCGACGACAGGACACATACGTCTACGACGATACGTACAATGCAGCAGTTGCCCACCCATGGCTCGATTGCAAGGAATACCTACCTCCCGGACGTGAATTGCTCCAGAGAAGAAACATTGCTGGTGGTTAATCAGCAACGGGAGAAGGGCTCCAGCCTTTGAGGGGGCAGTGCAGCATGCAGCTGTGTCAAAGCCACAACAATGAAGGCCTCAAAGCCTAGCCGTCGTGATTTTCCGGTTGCCAGCTCGCTTATCACTTCTTGCTACGCATTTCATCAGTGAGTCGTATCGATCGTGTCCACGAGTCATTATGCGTCTTCTCCATGTAAAGACTCTGAAATTCACCGAGTTCCCCGATGAGAAACCCCTGCCGAAGTACGCGATCGCGTCGCATCGATGGGGGCGTGAGGAAGCCACCTTCGAAGATGTGCAAGAGGAGCGCAATAAGAGCAGTGCCGGGTATCGGAAAGTGGAAGCATTTGCACAGTATGTGCAAATGCACGTGGCATCGGTGGACTGGCTATGGATCGATACTTGTTGCATAAACAAGAAGGATGCTGTAGAACTCTCGTACTCCATCAACTCAATGTTCAGGTGGTATCGCAATGCAGAGATCTGCATTGCGCGCTTGGCAGCTGCAACGCAGCAGAGCGACATCGGGCAGGACGAATGGTTCCATAGAGGCTGGACACTGCAAGAGTTGCTTGCGCCGCGCTTGGTTGTCTTTCTGACGAAGGACTGGCAAGTCATCGGCAACAAAGGATCGATGTTCCACACACGTGACAACATCGGGCCTGACCTTGGAGCACAGATCGCCAACATAACAGGCATACCTGAGCGCATATTGCACGACTGGGGAGCGAGTGTGAATATGGGAGTCGAGGACAAGATGCGCTGGATGGACAATAGGAAAACGACTCGAGAGGAAGACATGTCATATGCTTTGTTTGGCATAGTAGGAGTGGCTCCGGGCGCAAACTACGGAGAAGGTGCGGATAATGCTAGAAATCGAGTCCTTGCTGCAATCCGGCAGCGCGATGAGGTGGAAGGTCAACGGAAAGCACGATATCAAGAAATTACCAAATGGCTCAAGCCTTCTGATCCATGGACGAACCATGAGTCTGCGCGGAAATTGCACGAGCAGCGAACCGGAGAATGGCTGCTACGAACGAAGGAGTATCAATCGTGGAAATCTGGAGAAGATCAATGTCTGTGGCTATATGGCGGCGCTGGCTGTGGGAAGACTGTGCTTTCTTCTACTGTAATCGAGAATATGAAGATTTACTGCGAAAGAAATAGCAATATTGGCCATGCTGTCTTCTACTTCTCGTTCTCGGACGAGCGTAAACAATCGTACGAAGATCTTCTGACTTCTCTTGTCGCACAGCTTGGACACCGGGAGCCGGCCTTCTCGATTCTCCAGCAAATGTACGACAAAATCGACGGCAAACCACCCGGGCAAGGGGAGCTCGAAAAGATTCTGCATACAGCGCTAACATCGTACGAACGGGTTTTCTGCCATCTGGATGCATTAGACGAATGCCCTGAAGAAAAAGGAGCTCGACAGCGCATGCTAGAAAACATAGAGAGGCTACTACGACAAGCATCGAACATGCATTTAATTGCAACCAGCAGAGACGAGCTAGGAATTCGCGATACTATGAAGCAGCTCGGCAGCAAGTCTATTTGTTTGACTGGCGAGAAGATAGATCGTGACATCAAACAATACGTGTCAAAGCAATTGGCTCGCATACCGAAGCTTTCGCGGCTTGATGCTGCTACTAAGGAATTAGTGGAGAAGACTCTGACAGAAAAAGCAGATGGGATGTAAGTCAAGTGAATTTCGCAGCTGTTACTATGCTAATCAACGAGCGCAACGATGCAGGTTCCGGTGGGTCTTCTGTCAACTCCAAGAATTATCAAAGTCGAAGCGCACTACGCCCATGGTGGTGAAAGCTGCACTGCTCAAACTCCCTGCGACCTTGGACGAGACATATGAGCGAATGCTGCATAACATTGCTGCTGAAGACCAAGCATATGCGCTGGCACTTCTTCGATGGCTTGCATACTCGCAGACCCCCTTAAGACTAGATGAAGTAGCCGAAATCAGCACCATCGTTCCGGGCGAGGATCCTGCTGCCGACCATTTTGTGGACATTAACAATCGAGGCGGATTGGAAGATGTTTTGGACACACTCGCCGGACTCGTTGTCATAGTTGAAACTGAAGCTGGGAATGAAAATGCGGCTACTGAGAATTCGTCGCTTGGCGATATCAGCAAAGGAGACGACGATGTTAATGGCTTTTCCAGGCGACCGATCGAGAAAGACACAAAAATCAGATTGGCACATTTCTCTGTAAAGGAATACCTCGAATCAACGCGGATAAAAGGAAGCGTCGCTCATAACTTTCACCTAGACCCAGCCCGAGAACATCGGTGGATTACGCAAAGCTGCCTCATGTATCTGATGCACTACAGCACCTCTGAGCAAAGAGCATCTTCTCAGCAAGATCTTGTCGTGTTTCCTCTGTTGAAGTATGCTGCTGCAATGTGGTATCGCCATGCCTTGCTTCAACAGGCCGAAGATTATCGCTGCGAGATACAGCTGCTTGAGTCTAAGACTCATCGAGCCCACTGGCTCAAGATACACAAGCCCGATATGTCTTGGAACAGACCTTTCGACAACGATGGTTACGATGATGAGGCAAGCTCATTGTACTATGCAAGCTTCATTGGGCGAGTCGGTGTCGTGCAGCTGCTGCTAGAGGCTAGGGCCGACGTCAACGCGCAAGGCGGACGGTACGGCACCGCGCTCCAGGCCGCATCTTCCCGCGGCTACGAGAAGGTAGTACAGCTGCTCCTCGAGGCCGAGGCCGACGTTAACGCGCAAGGCGGAGGGTACGGCACCGCGCTCCAGGCCGCATCTTTACAGGGCCACGAGAAGGTAGTACAGCTGCTACTTAAGGCCGAGGCCGACGTTAACGCGCAAGGCGGACGGTATGGCACCGCGCTCCAGGCCGCATCTTTATACGGCTACGAGGCGGTAGTACAGCTGCTACTCGAGGCCGAGGCCGACGTTAACGCGCAAGGCGGAGACTACGGTACCGCGCTCCAGGCCGCATCTATATACGGCCACGAGGCGGTGGTACAGCTGCTGCTCGAGGCCAAGGCCGACGTTAACGCGCAAGGCGGAGACTACGGCACCGCGCTCCAGGCCGCATCTTCCGAGGGCTACGAGGCGGTGGTGCAGATGCTGCTGCTCGCAGGTGCAGTTGATAAGGTAGGAGAAGATTAAGACACAGGAACAATATGACGAGCTCCTTCTTTTGCTTCGATACTAGAGTTCATCGAAGCAAGCGCTGCCATGTATGCACTGCTTTCAATTGACCTCAATCACTCAGACCCACCAAGGTAATATTGTGTGACTTCGTGTGTACTGCGTCTCTGCGACGTTTTCTCGATCTAGTCCCTTCCGATAGCTGTGACCAGTCTTGCTCTGTCTGCTATACAACGGATCTCCTCTGCTTTCAATTCTCGGGTTTTTCAGCAAGATAGGTTGTCGGGTAGCATACAATTTTGTAGTCTGATGTAACGAGTTCAGAAGCTCCTAGATAACTTATGCGGTGGAACTTGCTGAAAGAGTTCTTGGAGTCGCCCGCATGCGCCGTATCAGCCACGGTATCGCCGCACAGGTAAGATGCGGAAGGGCTGCCTACATGCAGACGCAGCCAAAATTGTATTGAAAGATATGTCTCCCTCCTCATTCCTCATCCAGGGGAAATTCTATGTACAGAAGAGAAAAGGGGAAGAGCTGATGCCTCAGGCACCACACCGGATCAGGTCACCCACCGGTGACTGACATAAGCCGGTCACGGCAATACACGTGCCGCATTAGTCACAATGTTTCCGACAACTGTGGCTTACAAGCAAGCCCAGCCACATTATGTGGCTGCTGTTTCATGTCGTCTCGGGACCGGTCATAGAGACAGACGTTACTCTTCCTCCTCCTCTCCTACTCATCGCCAGAGGGTGTGAGAATTTGTCGGTTGTTGGTTGCTGGTCGCTGCTGCTGGTGCGCGCTGCTTTGCCCGCGACTTGCTCTCTCGCTCTCTCTCTCTCTCTCTCTCTCACACACACACACACACACACACACACCAGACCATCGATTCCCTCGTCGCGCGTCCTGTCGCGACCTACCTCACTCATCACCAACCATGGGCCTCCCGTAAGTTTCGCTCTACTCGCTCTGCTCGCGCGCCTCCAACAAGTCCGCCATACATCTCTATGCCACGGCCGCGGATTGGAGACCTGCAACTTCATATTACTTTCTCAAGCTGACCGGTCATCTTGTCCCATCGCATACAGAGTCTGGCGCGACCCTTCGGAACCCAGGCCATCCAGGCTCCGTAACAAGCCAGACGATCCCACAGCTGCCGCGCGATCCACCATTCGTAGAAGACCTGAATATCCAGCTCGTGCCTCCTCGCGTCATCCACCTCCACCGTATCCTTCCCGACTGGAGCGCGCCACCACGCTGCGCGATCCACGTAGATATGCCTCCCGACTTCATAATGCTGCCAATTCTGCCATCCCTCCCGTGCGTAGCCTTCTCGAGACAGTCGACAGGTTGACTCCCACCCGATCCGCCACCACCGCGCCGCCGCCCGTCCCAGCTCTTCCCTCCGAGCGCTTCGATTCGTTCCGCTCTGCGTACCCTTCAGATATCACTGCTTCGGATTTCGACTGGGAGCTCGAACTGTTCCCCACGCCGGAAGAGGATGATTCGGATACCGTAGATCTCAACAGCAGGCCACATTCTCGAGACGGACATGTTCCTCGGACGAGACTGCCGGGTGCTGCCGAACTCGCCGGCGGTGCGGAGGTCTGGGCGACAGGGGCCGACATATCCTCAAACGTGACCCGCTCTGCTCATCCGCTCAGGCATTCGTGGCGCCCTTCATCGCCTTCGATCCAAGGCCTCGGTGACCGGACTCGGAGCCCGACTCCCGACGGAGCATGGGAGCTGATGCGCACCACAATCGCGCCGGACGAGGTTCTACCCAGTGCGGAGAGCAGCTTTGCGAGCGCGGCCGCCAGTCGGTCTTTCGGGTCGAGCAGTCTCTCTCGCGCGGCCGCAAGTTTAAGCTCACGGACATCGTTCAACAGCCGGACGGGTCGCGGTGAGGACACATCCGAGGAGTTCGCCGCCCTCGCAGACGACATCTGCGCTGCCGAGAGCACGACCACCGATGCCATCGGCGAGGCCATGTTCCTCTGCGCCAGCCTGACGACCGAGGGCTACAATCGCCTGGTCGAGCTTCAGCGCGACCTATTCCGCTCTGGCCACTATCTCGATCCTCCAGGACTGGGCCTACGCCTACTCGAAGGCCTCTCCGAGGAGGCCATAGAACTATACCTTTCGCCCACCAGCGGCATCCCCACCAATCTCCGCCGATTTCTGCGGGCTCGACGATTCTACAGGTCCGTTCAGTCGCCAAGACGGTCCGCTAATGAGGAAACATCGAATCCGCGATCGCGGGCGGTCGACCCTTCGACCGGAAACCCGAACCGCAACGAAGGTATTCCCTCATCAACACCCGCGCCGGCAGACGCCTCCCAATCGCGTCCATCCCAACGCGATCGCACCACCACCAGATCCATCCCTACCACCACCTCCTCGACCGAAACTCCCCCGACCGACCCGTCCGCAACGGATCTAGGTTTCCCCACCGAAGTCGTAACCGACATCCGCGCCCTCAACACAATCTTCCTGCGCCTCGCCGCCCGCGGCGACGTCTGCGACGAGATCTGGGAGACCGTCGGCCTGCTCATGTCCACGACCGCCGGCCACCTGGCCTCTCCGCCGCAACCGCCGCAGCAAAACCCCTCCTCCTCCTCCTCATCATCATCATCTTCCCTACGGCGAGGCGGTCCCGGCGTGACCCTGCCGCGCAGTGGAGGCATGACGTCTGCTACTGCTGCGACCGCGCCTACGGGTCCTTCGCCACCGCCGCCGGAAGAGGCGGTGGAGGATTTCACCTCGATGCTCGTCGCGCTGGCGGAGTCCAACCGGGAACGCTCGAGAGCCGCGAGGGAGGGCCGGAACGGGGGCTTCGCCGTCTGAGACTCGGTGTTCGCTTCTTCTTCTTCGTCATCTTCTTCGTTCGGCGGCGAGGGGTTCGAGGACACGGCGGACCATACACACACACGTGGGAAAACTTGCGAGTTTCCATTTTCAAGGATCATGATGACTACGGGGCGCTGCGGGGCTGGTTTTCTGCTCGAGTGCCGCGCGCGCCGACGGGGGAAACAAAAGGGAAGGAGAGGGGCGGGGGAGAAAGAGAAAGGGTTTCCTACCGGTTGACGTTCTTTGTTTTTGTTTTTTGGGCTTTTTGGTACTTTCCGGGTAACCCGAAAAGGGGAAAGGGGGAGGGGGGCGTTTTCTTCTCTCAGGGCGGGGAATTTTTCTGTACGATTTATCTTTTTTTTTTCTTCTTCGAGGGGGGGTGGGTTTTTTGGTCTTTTCGTCCGTCCGTCCGTTTCGCAGAGGGAGAAATGCGGATGCGGATGCGGATGCGGCGTTTTATCACGGGGATGGGGGGAGAGGGCGGGCATGCAGACAGTACGACGGACGGGATGCCGCCGCGGAAAAAGATAGGCAGGGCGGAGCGGAGATGGGGCGGGTTTTCTTTTTTTTTTTCTTTGCTCGCCTCTGGGAAGAGGAGAAGAAGTAGAAGAAAAAGAGCGGGGAACAGAAGAGAAGAGGAAGAATATCCGCGGAGTCTGTTTTGGATTTAGAACGGTCCTCTTTCTATCCTTCCTTCCTTCCTTCCTCTCAGGAGGAGGACAGAAAAGGGGAAAAGGGAGGCAGGGAGGGCGGTAATCAACTCAGGAGAAAGGGTATCTTGTATCAATGATGAATGATGATCACGAAGACGATGATAATTGGAAAAAAAAACGCTTCGACGTGAGCTTCCCCCCCTGATTCATACTATTTTCTCGGTTCGTCTCCTCGCGTACATCTGGCGATTTGGGAAGGTGTTGACGAATATGCATTGGGAGAGGGAGAGGGAGGGGGAGAGCAGCCTGGGGTTCATCTTGGGGGAGGAGGAGTCCCGGGTGATGTCCCGTGAGAGATATGGAAAAAGGGGGAAAAAGAAGCGTCGTCCGTGGATGTCATGGTATCGTTTATTCGGCGTGCGTCCCCGCCGTCGACGGGAGAGTTCTCCCCATATCTATACGTCTGTATCTGGCGACCACCGCTGGCTGGCGTCCCCTGCTTTCACTGGCCGTTGCTGCTGCTCGTAAGGAAACACGCTTTTTTTCAGCTCTTCCTCGTGAATTGGATCCCTTTGCTACCGTCCCATCGTCCGTCTACCGGCCCCTTGGCGGCACTTGCGCCGCCGTTATCGAACACGATCGGCATGCCCTCCTGCCACGTCGTTCTCACCGGCTGCTGCTGCTGCGGGGGAAGTGCCGGCGCCGGACTCTGGATGTTCGTTACGCCGGGCGGGGCTTGTTGCACGAGGCGCTGCGGCGTGGGTGCTGGCAGTGGCTGGTTATGTGGCGGTGGTTTCGACTGCTGCGGGATGTGCGGTTGGTGGTTCTCCTTCGCCCGTCGGAGATCCCGGTGGGTGCTCTCGCGGATCTGAAGGTCCGCCATCGAGGTTTCGAGTTCCGTCTCCCGGGCCTGGCCTTCGCTGCGCCGCGAGTAGACGAACGCCCGGCATTCGTCGCGGAAACGCGTCGTCACGGCCGCCAGGTCGTTGTAGAACTTCCGGCCGTGCTCGAGATCTCGTTGGATCTGCTTGTATGTCGTGTAGGCATTTTCGAGGTTTTGCAGTGCGGTCTCGCGTGCCGAGGTGGAGGTCGATGTGTCGCTGCGCTTGACGCTCTGGAACGATGCGTTTGCTTCTGCGACACGCTGAAGGAGAGAGTCTTGCTCGCTGGCCTCGCGCTTGACGTCTGCGCGATCCGAATCATATTTCGAAAGACGTTTGTCAAAAAGGCCATCGAATTGTGACGCTTGCACAGGTTGCATTGGAAATTCACGCTCGAGCCGGGCAGCCTCAAGAAGGAGATCAGGGTTGATGTCGTCTTCTTTGGCTTTCACTTTGAGTGCTTCGATCTTCTTCCGTCTTCGAACTTCCACGCGTGAGATCTCGTTGAGCTGGGCTCGCAGTGCATTCGCCTCGCGTTCCACTCGTGCGGTCATGGTCGCCCGACGACTTGAAGGAACATAATCTTCAAGATCACGATCGCTGCCACTAAGCAAGCGAATTAGGTTGTCGCTCCCGCGCAGTTTCTTCTGCACCTTGTTGTCAAGGTCATCCGCTTGCTGGAGGTAACCTTCGATGTCTTTCACTTGGCCATACAGCTTTGGTACCACGGCATCTCCAGTTGCTCGAGTCCATTGTGTTGTCCCATACTTTCGTCGAGCCGCTTCGTCCTCATTAGCTTCAGTCTGAAGTAATTCGACCCCCTCTTGATAAGTTATGCGATTGTTCGCTTTGACTTTCTCGGTGTCTGCAATCATGGAATGGAGTCTCTGCACGCCATTGGCTTGTCGCACTTCTTCTGCATGACTCGCCAGTCCAGGAGGCAAGCCAAGTGGTTTCTCTAGTGCTTGAAGCGATCCGGGAAGGTTCAAGCTCGAAAGCACTTCGTGTATCTTGGCTGTCAATGCTTCAAGCTCCGCGATGACATTGTTCTTGACCAGCGAGTCCCGTCGATCTGCATAAATTGAAGCCGCCACGTGGACGCTGTAGGGCACCAGCTTGGTGAACAGTGGCCGGCCCAGCTCGCCATGATCGCCGAGCATATTCTGAGAGTCTGAGACCTCTTTCGGAACCTTCACGGACACCATAGATGCACGTCCTAGCTCAGGAAGCTCGTTCTTCGATGGCTCAATTTGCAGATAGATTTTATCGTTGTCAGTCTCAGCAGTCTTGAGGTAGGCCGCTGCTCGGTCTCGAAGACCAGACAGATCGCTTTGCACCTGGGAATTGATTGTTCTGACTTTAAGGCCGGAGTTTGCGCAATTGACAGCGTCCCGCAACCTCGCAACTTCCTCTCCGTACTTCTGCTTCTCGAGCGCTTCTAACGCTGCTCGATATTGTGCGGCTCCAGCAAAATGATAGTGTTTGGCATTGACGTGGTGGATCCATTCGCTCCTGATGCTCTCGCTCTTCACCGACCACTCTCCAGCTTCTCCGTATAGATCACTCGTCTTGATGGCGAGCTTGGCTACAATCGTGTCGCGCATGTTGTCCTTTAGAGCTTTAGCCCAGAAGCACTCCTGCGCTTGTGCCAGCATCAAGGCCTTGAGCGCCTCCAACGTCGCCGCATCCATCTCTTCCGGAGGGCTACTCCGCATCTCGGGGATGACTGTTGAATTCAGGTAGTCGAACACACCTGCGGCGAGGCAGAAGTTGTTTGCTGCAGTCTTGAGGCCATCGACGGTCGCGCGGTTACAGGAGACGCCCAGCTGAGAGTACATGGCGCCAAGATTGAAGAGTACATTGGCGAGCTCAAACCGAATGTTGTTCTCCGTATGCGCTCGGTTCGTGTAATATCCTATCGAGGGATACCATGTAAAGTCGGCACCGATGTCGACCGGGAACTTGCCTCCCATCCATACGAGCTGAGCGGCATAAGTCTGTAGTTTACGGACCCCACTGGTGTGGGCTTCCACCGAATTGACGGCATCTTTTCGCAATTGATCGATAGCCTCTAGATCTCTAGCGAACGTGTCTGGGTGCTGGTCGTACTTGGAGGAGATGTATTCCTTGATAGCAGAGGCCAAGTGGAGAGATTGCGTGCGACGAAAGGGGATCTGTAGGATATTGCCCGTCTGCATCTTGGAACTTTTCGACGATCGATCTGGTTGAAGCCCTTAGATTTGCTGTGTTTTTATGGCCCGCATGTTGTTGTCATATCATCCATCGAACAGATGGCGCAGGCGGTTTGAGGGTACTGTATGGAGATAATTCTTACCCGTGGACTGTTTACATCCTGTGACGTATTTGGTGTCGTGTGTGGGGCACACTCTCGCTGGAGGGGGAACGCCAGGAGTTGGCGACAGTCAGTCAGTCAATCAGTCAGCCTCATCACGTGCCAGCTCTTACCACTTCCCATCTGTGCTTATGTGCGCTGACGATACATACGAGGTATGGAGAGGGAACAGATTTGTCTACCATCTACCACTCTCACCCAGAGCGATCATAGTAACGACAGTGCCGCGGCACCAGTGAGAGACGATGGCCACCATGCTTGCTGGTTCGCAGTAGTCGGTCGTGGCCTTGACATTTCTGTCGACTTCAGGACTTTCTACTACCAGGCGCGCGGTATGCAAGCAGTCGTGGCTTGCATTGGAATCCGTGTCGCCGAGTCGGGTTGATGGCATCGGTGGAGGATCTACGATCCATCAACACACAACCTCAGAAGTGATTCACACGGAGCGTTCTGCGTCCGACCGCTCTCGCTTGTTTCCCACTCCATCGGCTGCGTCTCGTTCCCCGACGTGGACGCAGGTTTCTCCCATAAGGGCATTCAAAGACAAGGATCCTGCTGCATTCACTCCGCAAGGATATCTCATCGTCAGACGTCGAGTCCATAAACATGGCGCAGTGCCTAACACGCCGTCGCTGCATATGTCGACATCACGGGCACCCATGCGCTTGCTCCTCCGAGGTGTCGGTCATTTGATATATCCGCAGGGCAGAGGAGGTTGAGATCTGATTTGCGGCACAGTCTGGTAACCAAGCCTACCGAAGCGACCAAAGTTAAGTTGAGCACAGTTCCCTTTAACACGTAACAAACACTGCCGCCGGTACCAATGACCAATTTTCTCATTGGTTCATTTACGACTGAATTTGCGACAACATGACGGCCGTTTGGCCTGGAACCCTTCTCAATAGCCCCCCCCCCCCCATCGACATCGTGATTGATACGTGAGTGGTGTCATGACCATGGACGACCACAAACGTGTAAATGATGGATACGATACAGTGCCAGATGATACTCCTTGGAGGTTGGCATCAATAGTTGTTTCATATATGCATCAACTGTAAATGGGGCAGCATGTTCAAGTATAACGGTTGAGTACTGTAGGTTGGCGACTTCCAAGGTTATCAGCGGAAAGCTGCATCACCAAAAGGGTTCGACCAACACGTCATCCCATGTGCTCATAATAGCATCACCAATTCGCCTCCGCCAATATGTACAAAAACGATCATACTCACCTGGGCGGGTGGACAACTGCAAATTTATCATCAACACAGTCCCCATAGTCGATGTATGCGTCGAAACGCGCCAAGATGACAGACCAAGCGTACTCCCTCACCTCCCGCGTGCAGCTGAACAATGGCCTTTCCATGCCCAAGATCCACCTCGGCGTATACCTCATGTCCGGCAAAGAGGCCTCTCGAGCAGTCACGTCCGCGCTCGACGCGGGTTATCGCGCCGTGGACTCCGCACAGATGTATCACAACGAACGCGAGGTCGGCAAGTCCGTCTCGGACTACTTGTCCTCCCATTCCGGGGTCACCCGCGAGGATCTTCATTATACGACCAAGTTGGCCAGTAACAGCGACTACGAGACGGCAAGAAGGAGTATCAAGCAGAGCGTCAAGGAGTGCGGATTGGGCTACATAGATCTTTTCTTACTGCATAGTCCCCATGGTGGCAGGCAGGCCCGGCTGGACAGCTGGCGGGCGGTGGAAGATGCGATTCAGGACGGCGAGGTGAAGATCGGCGGCGTGAGCAATTACGGCGAGAAGCATGTGAGTTGGGACGGTGTGGAATGAGAAAAAGATCATGATGGAACATGACGAGGCGATGGACGATCACTGACTTTTTCTTTTCCAACTGTTCCCGAAAATAGCTTGATGAGCTCCTCTCCAGCAAACCCAGAATCAGACCGGCCGTCAATCAGATCGAGGTCCACCCCTTCAACACGCGCTCGGCTCTGACGAAGTACTGCCAAGATCACGATATCGTCGTCGAAGCATATGCCCCGCTGGCACGAGCGTTGCGCATGAAACATCCCGTCATCGCGGAGCTGAGTAAGAAGTACAGCTGCACGCCGGCGCAATTGATGGTGCGATGGAGTTTGCAGCATGGATATGTCCCGCTGCCCAAGTCTGTGAAGGAGAGTCGGATCGTTGAGAACGCGCAGGTCCAGCACTTTGAGATTGACGATGCGGATGTTCGGCGCATGGATGAGCTTGATGAGTACTTGGTCACTGGTCAGTCTCGTTTTTCGGTTCCTTTTCGATTGGATTTTGATGTGCATTGCTGTATCATTGCTGACTTGCTCTGAAAGATTGGGATCCCACGGATGCTCCTTGAGCTTTTCCACGAACATTTCGCGACAACTCTCCGCATTTTGGTCCCTAGTCTGTGGCGTCGGAGTACACTGTTGAGAACGAGAGCCAACGAGGAATTGCTGTCGATCGAAATGTGACTGTTTACCTGGATGATTATTCCATAACGGGTCTCATCAATAGTATCACCATATGTGAATTGTCTCCCATCGATCATCTCCGCTCAAAGCTCTACCATCCATATGACCATGGACGTAAGCTTCGCCGACAAGTCTCCACCGTATTACAGGCTCATCGTCTCCGCGCGGCATCGACAACAGCGGCTCTTCGCGTAAGACAACACAAGCCTGAATCCCCGCCAGGACGCCAACGGTATCACCCACCCGAGAATACTCCGGGACGAGCGACAAGCTTCCCTTCTTCGTCACTGCGATTCGTCTTCCGGCACCCACATTCGCGTGCGCCGCCAGGAAGAGGCCATTCCCGACCTCATCATCAAAGAAGGGACCCACGCCGGATTTGGTGAATGCATCACTCGCCTGTGGCGCATCGGGATGGTCGGGCCCGTTGATCAAAGCCCTCGCGAGTCGTTGTGACGCGCGGCAATGCTCGCTGTAGCTTGCATCTGCCGGGCGACGTGCGGCCGCGCGTGCTGTCGCGGGGTTGCGGTCGCCGATGAGAGTGCGCCATATCATCTCGGGGGATTCTGGGTCCTCGGATTGATGGTGCGGCATGGCGGCGAGCGCTGCTTCGGTGAAGTCGGAGAGCGCGATGGTGCTTTCCGCTAGGAATTTCGCGGCGGCCGTGACGTCCATGCCGGTCACTTGGGCTGCTTCGATGCATTTCGGGCCGAGATCCGCGATGGTGTCGAAATGCACTGCACGCACCGTCAGGATGGGAAGGCTTGGATGAAGGGTCAAGCTCGGAGGGGTGCCCGCAGAAGCATTGTATAAGATATCGGAGGCGTTTGTATTGTCTTGGTGGAGGGGAGACAGTTCCCATGGCCCACAATAATCAGGACACCAGGATGGAAGCGAGGTTGTCGTGCGTTTGAACCCAATACCCGCCCACGTGAGGGTATGCTGGGGCCGAAGGGCGAAACAATGTCTGCCCACTTCTATACAGACCTCTGTGGGCGTCTTTTCATAATCTGGAACAATACTTTGATCGCCACTCGCCCGCAGCAGGCCCAACACACCATAGACCATATCTCGTGGATCGAAGGCTTTGCAGCGGCGGGTCATCTGCATCAGGTCAGGCATTCCTACGGCCGATCCTTCTGGTCCCTGGACCAAAGACTTCATCGCCATGATGAGCGGAATTTGCACCGATCCACCTGGCGCAATGGGTCCTTTAGGCTCAACGGCGGTCTCCGTCATCACGAACATAGTGCCGACGTTCTTGCTGTACATCTCTCGGAAGAACGTCTGGAGGTACTCGAAGGTGAAATATTCACCACCGTATGAAATGATTGGCTTCGTGGAGAGCACGATCTCCTGGATGATCCACATCCGTGACCAATACGGATGCTCGAGGAAATTGAGGAATTCCTGCCAGCCAGCTTCCCTGCTCCCTATGCGGAACAGAGCCTTCCAATTTGTGTTTGGTCGGTTCAGGTGAAACGTCACCATATGCCGGTTGATGAATGAAATACACGCCGAAGCTTCTGGCGACATCCCGAGCCAGACAATAGTCTTGGAAGCGTTCTGGTAGATTTCCGCCATGAGACCGACCTGTACCGCCCTCTCAGCACGATCGCCTTGATTGATACAGACCGCGTCGATCCAAAGAGACTTGCTGTCCAGCACTGAGGCTCGCGCCCGGATGATCTCCATCACTCTCTCACTGACCTTGAGCACGTATCCGTCCTCGACGACCAGATCGTGTGAGGGAGGCAGACCGCCCCAGGTGTATGAAATGGCCTCGTAGATGGGTGATGACTGGAGCGCGACGTGCACAACTTTACAGGTGTAATCTCCAAACGGACCCTTTCGCGAGATTTCCAGCAATCTAATCTCATCAGCGCCGAGTGCTCGATAAGGATACGCCGCACCATGATGAAGTGCAAGGACGGGCTTGAAGATTTTAATCTTCTGCTTGTAGTAGAATCGATATGAGACCTCCACCAGCCGGAATATCCTAGCAGCTACGAAGACCAAAGCCTTGGCGAGATAACCGATCATCGAGAACAAGACGCGAGCCAACTTGCCACCCTCGTGGACCAGAGTGTTGAAAGGATCATCAATGTAAATCCACCAAAACAGCCCCAAGGTCGTCACGGCGCCCAGCGACGGTAACCAGCTCCAGACAGTCCGCCACAGAAGCGACCAATACCGGACCACAAGGACCGTGGTCAGATATATGACGACCTGGGAAACGTGCAACAGGAGATTGACAAAATTGTCGTCGTCGGCGCCATCGCGCGCGATCGTTTGACGTCCGGCTTGGATGGCGGCGTGCAGGCTGCGGTTCTGAAGCAGTGCCGCCGCGTGGGCGTAGAGCGATACGACGCCGGGTTGAATCACCGGGAGGACATATGCGACGAGCTTGGCCGCGAGCCAGACCCCGAATGAGATCTTGAGACCATGTAGGATCTCCCCTAGGACGAGCGCGCCGAGATGGATGATGGAGCGTGTGAACTCATCGAGTTGCGCAGCTTGAAGGACATCGGGTTGTCCCTGCTGTTTCTTTTGCTGTGAAGTCTCCTGTCCTTGCTCTGAGCCTTGTAGCTGTACATGTGGTGATGTTGACGGATCCGTCCCCGACGCCATCGAATTCCGAGGGATGTATATATAGCGTGACACGTTCCTCGCGCGTTCTACAATTGATCGTCCGTCGTCACCCAAAACGCGCTCTCAAGGGACGAAGAGGTTCTGTCCTTCCGCAGAGATGGGTAATATGCCCTTTCGGCATCGTATACAAGGACATGGTGTAAGTAGTGGGCAATGTTCCAGAACTCGCCAAGAACAGTTCCATTGTCCACCAAATCCTGCAAGCCACAAAGCTCGATTGTGGGCCGTTCAGGCGAGCTGCACGAGGTTTTCACACTGCAACGCGCCTTCCATGTACATACCCGGATGTTTCGCTGTTGCAGACGCGTTCGCCAACACCACATCCTGGCGGAATACGCACCGAACATGGAAAGCCCTACAGAACATCGCCCTTGCCAGGCCTGGAGCTTCACACTGTCCTTTCGACATATCAATGCCGAATGCCGCAGTGCAAGTCATTCTCCATCGCATCAATGATGATCCGTCGATACTGCGGTCCCAGCTCGTGTTTTCGCTCATCGCGGCGAATCCGGGGCATCAGATTGAATTCCACCATCACCAGCGACTCAGGCCGCACGTACCCTGAAGGCATATTACTCCGGCGGCACCCTCAAGACAGCAAATTCGACATTTTCAAAACCGAGTCCGTGGTCCTCTGGGATGCTGTGATTGTAGTCTAACTGGCGAGGTAGATGTGCAGGTCAGGATTTCGTCTACAAGCATGTACCGAAACCGACCTTCAACCTCTCTCAGCGCCTCGCGGCTGATGTCGCGTCATCCAAGCACCTCCGCCTGCATGTGGATTGCAACACCGAAGAGTCGATACTCATCTACACCTACTTCCGAGACACTCTGCTCGCTCTGCTCAAAAAGGATCCGGAGTTCCCACCGGATGAGCGCGTAAAGATTATGCGCGCGGTCAGCGAAGCCGTTCAGGAACTTCACTCAAATGATTGGGTGCATGCCGGTAGACCCTGCCCTTTACGCATTCCTACGGGTCCCCGAGCTAAATTGATCCAAAGACATCAAGCCCGATAACATCTTGGTCGATTGGACATGCGACAATGCGGGCAATAAGGTAGTCACCGGTGTGGCACTGGGTGATTTCGACATTGCCTGCAAACTCAAGCAAGGTGAGACTCGCATCACGCCCCATGCGGTTGGCAACGTGATGTGGCGAAGTCCCGAGGCGCAGACGGGGATGTGTTCGCGGGCATCGGACATCTATGCATTGGGTTTGGTGGTACGTTCCTTTCCTACGACCGAATGACGCCTGCCTTCTTTAACGAACCTCCGGCCTGACCTGCTTGTGTCTCAGTACGTATATGCCTTGGGCGCCGGAGATCTGCTCATACTATCCGATTTGGACAGCCTAGCGAAAGCCGGCATCCCCGCAGAGCAAGAAGTGGTCACGAGACATTTCTGCTACTTCGGCCCCGTCCCGGAGAGCCTCTACGCGCAGATCAAGGACGACGACTGGAGGGCAGCGTTCCGATCCGCGGCGCGACTGGCCGACACGCAAGCGAGCGAACAGCCCTTTTCGCGATTAGATTTTTGGGGCAAAACACTTGGCGAAGCGGCCTTGGAGATGCTCTCTGGGACGTCAAATCTAGATCCAAGAGCCCGGCTGACAATCGATCAAGTGCTCGCACTCGCTTATTGGACCGAGGATTAGCTGGTCGAAATAGGTGTCCAAATTCGTAAAACTCTCGTCAAGGGCTGGCTTGATACTACATTAGGTACAGACCTCCACTTCGAGTGCTGGTATCCCTGCGGTAGACATGGATTTCGAACATAGTGGAGAGCGAGGGCGACGACGGCTCGTGGGAAGGGCGAAATTCACAACTCGGACGTGTGCAAATAGATCCCTTCCCGTGCCTGACCGAACGCCGCCGCAAAGGTGATCAACGGGGGACTAACTAACTCCCTACCACTGATAAAATACCTGTAAAAGGCTGTACATACCTCCTAGGAGTTGTCATGTTATAATACAAAATGGAAATTCATGATCATAATATAAGCGTTTATCATGCAAGGAGAAAAGGGCGAGGTGACACCCACACATTCGAAGCCTCCCAAAGGGACCCTCTTCAATTTTAACTACAGTACTACCCACAGCTGCTGCGTCCATCGACAACAAACTTCTCAAGAAATGGGCATGTAAGGGAGCTTTCAGGGCCCTCATCCTGTGATACAACAGAAACTGTGGCGAACTGTCAAAGCATCACCAAGCCGATAGAGGTCCGTATGGCCTGCGAAGGGAAGGCAGTTTCAAAGTTGGCCCTTCTCGCCGGGAGCCTTCACCGCCTCCCTCATCCAGCCTGGATGCATGATCATGAGATCCACTGCCAGAATGCGCAGCAATGAGAAACAAGGCTCTTCCTAACATGTCGAATCATGATTTGCAACCGGTGGTTGTGGCGGTCTTGATTGCCCTCCTATCGTCTCGGCACGAAGCCAAATTCGCAATCCGTCGACATGTTGGATCGCCTTTTCCGGTGAGAAGCAGTCGTCGTAAGGGAGGCTGCCGATGCGGCGAATCCTTTGCGAGAAACGCTGTTGTTGGGCGAACGTCTCATCGGCAATGTGGTCCGCTGTGGGGGCCAATTCCGCATGCCCGCGCGCTCGAGATCCTTGTCTGCTTTGGGCCGGGACACAAGACCAGCTGCCTGTGAACAGGTCTTCTCGATATCGCATAGTGATGATTCTCTCTCTCAGTCGTCCTCTCATCGTGGTTTTCCAGCCAACCATCCCGTCGTCAGACTGCCCTTCTCACCCATGACGCTCTGCCATTCCACAGACAACTGTGCGAGGATAGGTCGCGTTGTGATCTCGCTGACCGCAGGCTGCGTCTTCTCGCTCACCAGGAACATGACCTGTTCGACATCCTGTGGTTTCAGCACGACGGCCTCCTTCACATCGTCGCCGTCTTCTCCTCCATAACTCCCAATCGCCTCGCTCGTGATGCCTTCCTTCTCTTTCAGATAGACTTTCTTCATGACCACGGTCGCCTCGCCCACGTTCTCGAGTTGCGCTTCGAGGATCCATGACCGCAGCGCCCCAGGCGCATCCGAGGTCCTTTTGCTGCGCTCGGTGACTTTGGATCGCACGGCGATCAGCGGCTGCGAGACGAATTGGTAGAGTTTCCGAAACGTTCTGGTACGCGCGATGTCCGCCGCAGCACCCGTTCTGGTCGTCTCGGTATACGTGACTGTGACTGCGAGCACATGTGGTCCCTCATCTTTGAGCTCATGCCGCAGCGTCCTTTGGATCGTCGCACCGCTCTCCAACTCCTCTCCTTTCGTGTCCGAATCTCCTTCCAGAGCGAGCGTCAAGCCTTGTTGATGACTTGAAGATTGTAACGCCGCTACGATCTGCACGTCGCTCACGCTCTTTCCTGTATGACCTTGCACATCCTCTCCGTCTATGGGCGGCAACTCGTTGTTCGCGCACAGGGTGCACGCAAACATCTCTCCTACATATGCCGCACCAAAGGCAGCAGGCAGCATCAGCAACGGCGTGAGCGAGAAAGACGAGCCACCTGGACCTGCTGCGCCTCCAGCTTCCGCGGCGTCCAGAGCAGAAGGGTTGGCGAGTCCGGCTTGAGGTGAGATGTCCAGGCCATCGCCGAACGCGGTCGGTGGGAGGGGATCCTGCGTCGCGAGAGAAGGGCGCGATAGGCGCAGCACTTTGAGACTGACGGAGTGAGGACCACTGAGGGTGCCGGCGCGGCCCCGTTGTGGTTGAGACATTGTGCGTGGCGGATCTCACAGCGAGTTGGTCGTGATGGAAATCGATATGGCCATGGAGCTGTCTGCTGGATGTTCGGACTAGCAGCTCGGAAGAGCGTTTAGAAGCTCCCGGCCTTGACTTCTGGGTCCAGCCAAACAGATAGACGCGATAGTTGTACGATTCGAGGTATTCACATAATTGGCGCGTATCTGTTTGCTGATCGAACACATGATGGAGTTCTACCCTACAGGCAATCCAGGGCCAGAGCGCGCGCGTCGTGCCTACATCACCAAAGTATCAAACCAGTGACATCGGCAGAAACGAAACTTTCAGAACAGAACAATCCTGTCGATGTTCATATCTGTCAATATACTCCTTCAATCTCCCCATCAATAACTCAGAATGCCTCAATTGGATTGTAGTCAGATGTGGACGAAGTTGAGGGTGTGCTTCACCTCATCGACACGTGTGACGGTTCCCTCGGGGCGGAATCCGAGCAGGAATTCGAATCGCTGTGAAATACGCAAGGCCATCCCTCTCGGAACATCCTCCGAAATCACTCCCTTTGCTCGCATCTTTATCTTTTCATGAAATTTCAAATCTATCATCTACATTTTTCTTCTTCTTCGTGAATCTCGAATTCGAAATTCATCGTGTACGGTCCATCATCAAGTCAGCAACATCATGAGCGAAACATCGCCATCTTCTTATCCTGGCCCACAAGCGAAAAAACAAAAACAGATCGAACCATGAGCAAGCGAGGAAGCAAGAAAGAAAGAAAGAAAGAAAGAAAGGGACCATCCTCCTTCAATCCCCGCCCATCCCTCATCTAAACCTCTCTCTCTCTCCAAAGAAAACAACAGCAAGCTCAATCAACCTCAATCCTCCCCAACGCCAGCACATCATCATCGACCTCCCCTCTCCCCTCGCCCTCGCCCTCACCACCGCCGCCATCATCATCCGCATCCGCAAACGTCAAATTGGCCCCATAAGAAATACACAACTCCTCCCCGACCCGGATATCCCTCAGCGCCGTGTACACGATGACCAAGCGGCGCAGATCCCGCCTCCAGCCGACGTTCTGGTTCCGGGAGGAGTGGTTGAAGAGGGAGCCGAGGCCGAAGACGACGGCCTGCGTCGCGACCGTCTTCGTCGCGGGCGCCGGGTCGGGGCCCGTGAGGATCCCCCCGGGAGCTGCTTCCGAGGAGGAGGAGGAGAGGGGCGTGGTCGGCGGGGAGGGGTTCCCATGCCGGCTGGGGGTCTCGTGGGTGCGGGATTCCCCCGACGAGGTCGCGACGGGCCAGTTGTAGGTGTAGTGGTAGAGCACCGTCTTCTCGACGTGCGAGGCGTTCTCCGCCCGCGGCAGGACGAGGACCGGCGAGACGTCGATGGTCGTGCCCGAGGGGATGGGCGCGGTGGCGAAGACGCCGCGGCCTGTGCTCCTGGGGGATTCCGCTGGTGAGAATGCTTTCTTTTCTCTTTGCTCCTTTTTCTCTTTTTCTCGGGTTCGATCGTATCCCTTAGTTCCCGGGGACGTCGGGGGACTGACCTTTCGAGGTGTTCAGCCGGAGCTGCAGGGTTTGGAAGCGTTCCAGGACGATGGTGGAGTCGTCGCCGCCGCCGCCGTGATCTGCCATTCCGAAACGAGGAAATAAAAACCCAATCTCAAAAAAAAAAAACGAATTTCCTCCAGGAATATTTTGCTTCTCAAAACCGCCGCTTGGAAAAGTGCAGCAGGCTCGTCACCATATGTGGATCCCACATCTGTTTTATTTTTCTCCCACAGAAATGAAGTTCTTGGGAAACCCTAAGATACCCTAATGGAGCGCCACTTTTCACAATCTCCGAGCAGCCTTGTTACTGATGATGAAAAGCAGAAGTACATTCTCCAATTCCTGCCCATACTGCAGATCGATGAGACAGCCTAGCGTATGAAGTAAATAGAGGGTTTTCTTGGAATTGACCCTATAACCCGAGAACGCCTTTGCGAGAAACTTCCGTGGCAGCGCCCGTTCTCCCACCGGGTATCAACCCTCTTCCTGCGCGCCTGCCGTCCTCCCATGACACACCTCAGCGACGAATGCATTTCCTGGCTAGCGACAAACACGAGAAAGCCCTTGCCTCCGCGAATGTCCCCTCACGACTCCGCACCTCCCTCCGCCGCCGCCGCTCGCTCATCGGCCTCGTTCCGCAATTCATACGCGAGCTCGAAACATTCGGCCAGCAAAGCCGAGACGCTGCCCTGGCCCTCGGGGATTTCGTTGCCGACGGTGAACTTGCCGTCCTTGCGCATGTTGTCGATGCTGGTCAGCTTCATGCTGTAGGGGTAGAGTTCGCGGGGGCTGTCGACGCCGCCGGAGCGTTGGACCTCGACGAGGCACTTCTTCAGCGTGAGCAGCTGGTTGTAGATGGGCAGCAGCGCCTCGGACACGGGCTCCGACGAGATGATATACTGGTAGATGAAGGCGTAGGATTTCCGCAGCAGGTAGAGGAGGGTGCGCTGGGCGTGCAGGTCGGCCGGTTTGCCTTCGACGTCGACGAATTCGCCGTTGACCCGCGAGGCGTCGATGGCGTCGAGTTCGCGTTGGTAGCTGTAGAGGTCGGTCTCGCGGAGCGACCAGGCGTGGGTGAGGTTCATCTGGTCGAGGGCGTTGCGGATCTTGACGAGTTTGTCAAAGGTGTCTTGGAAGCGTTCGTCGATGTGACCTCTCCTGTGGGGGAAGTTTTATGTCAGCGAGGATTAAACATTGGTAGAGAAGTTGAGGGACGTACTTTTCCTCGACAATCTCCACCCAGAGAAGACATCGCGCTAGTAGACCGTTGACGACGGTTCGGCCGTCTTGGCCGGCTTGCATGGCGAGAGTGATGGTTGAGATTCGCTCTGCGTAGGTCTCTTCCGCAGTCTTGCCAGGATGAAGGTCCAACTCGGCATTGAGCTCTCGCTGCATCTCGAGGAGTTGTTCATGATATTCTTTGACTTCTTCTTCCGGGTACTGTTTTACTATGGTCAGCTCACCGGTCCGGATGTGACATGCATGGGTATTGATGGGTTACCTTTGACCGACAATTACAAGCAGACAACAACCGTAAGATGGAGACCAATTTGTCCCACTGGGCCATGGTCGGTTCATCCATGGTCGATAAGGCGTCGTTCAATTCTTTTAGTTGGGCCTTGCACACGTCGATGCGCGCTTGGAGTAACGTGAGCAATGCATCCGAATGTGCCTCTTTGGCTCTGTCGATTGATTTTTGCCACAGTTCGATCTGACCCGAGAGGCCCTTCAAATCTTTCGGGGAGTAATGGGCGGCTTCTTTGAGATGATCCAATATTCTCTTGACCGTGGAGACGGCGGAGTATATCGCAGGGGCTTCTGAGTTCCGTCCGATTGTGAGGAAGAAAAGGGAAATGAGCTGGAAGCAGTCGTCCAGGACAGTATCCAGTCTGTTCTGCTCGTAACGCCTGTTCTCCCGGACGCGGTTCAGTTGCTCAACCTCTTCGATCAGCTTGAAATACCACGTGACGACATCTCCGCTTTTGACATAGGTCGAACGGTCTTGCTTCATGATGGAGAGATGATCACGGATCGCGAGGACGTTTTCCAAGATCGGCTGCTCGGCCGGGTCCAGAGGCGGACTGTAAGCCGGTGTGCTCGTCATGGTCGCGGTAGTGACGCCTACGCGTGATCCGATAGGTCTAGATGTGAGGATGGGATGAGAAGTCGTGATCCGGAGGGTATTCTAAATTAAAAAAAAGGGGATGATCACGATTCTGCGGAGAAGGATGTGTGGTGGTAGTACTGGTGGTGATGGTGATGGTAATGGTAACGACAAGGACGAAGTCGGGTTGTCTTGCTGCAGCTAGATATGTCGGCTACCGGCAGTGGAAGGAGAGTAGGAGGGCAGGAGGAGGAGGAGGAGGAGCAGCGCTTGTTGATGCTGCTGTACCTAGTAGGAACCTTGGGAGCCCTTCTGTCTGTTTTGTCGAGGCGCAGATTGGGTTGCGGTTGTGGAGGAGATGGGTGCAGCTGGTGGTTCCCAGATGACGGACGCATGCATATCTGCCGTGACAGTTGACAGCCAGCTCCTAACCGTGAACCTGCGCCCGCCCGGGTGTTCGAACACACACCACACACAATTGCCGCGTGGAGACGAGACGAAACCAGCGGAAACCCCGCAATTTGATAATCAGCGGAGGGCGAGGGTTAGTCATCATCATCATCATCATTGGAGATCCCACCATCATATCTTATCACGGCTAGATCCGTTCCTGCCAAGACTTCCATTGCGCCAAGACCACACTGGCACCGAATCTCCCTCGCGCAGAGCCCTGAACTGGGAATCGTCAGCCTGTACCATCGTCACATTATCAGTCTCAAATTTCAGCCGCGAGAAGAAGTCCTTCACGACAGCAGAACGTGCTAGGCATCTCCATATTCCAACCGATTTCACCTTTCGACTTCTCGCGATCCAACATCAGTTCGAAATGTCCACCGCCGAGCTCGCCGCTTCCTACGCCGCCCTCATCCTCGCGGATGACGGTCTGGAGATCACCGTACGTCCATATATATATATCTCTCTCTATAAACACATATCCCAGGGACGACATCCTTCCGTTGTCGAGGACGGCGAGAAGAGCAGATGATCCCCCGAGGAGAGAGAGAGAGAGAGAGAGGGAAAGAGAGGACAGCACGCTGACACTCCCTCCAAACAGGCCGACAAGCTCACCTCCATCGTCACCGCCGCCAAGGTCCCCGACGTCGAGCCCATCTGGTTCACGCTCTTCGCCAAGGCCCTCGAGGGCAAGGATGTCAAGGACCTCCTGTTGAACGTCGGTTCCGGAGGCGGAGCCGCCGCTGCCCCTGCCGCTGGCGGTGCTGCTGCTGCCGGCGGTGCCACCGAGGCCGCTGCTGCCGAGGAGGAGAAGGTCGAGGGTGAGTTCCCCCACCAACCGTCACTTTCCATCTGTCGTCGAAGGACAGATCACTTCGCACGAGAACACCAGACTGACGTGCGTTTTTCTTCCGCGATCCACAGAGAAGGAGGAGTCCGACGAGGACATGGGTTTCGGTCTCTTCGACTAAACGCCTCTTTTCTTTCCCGCTCCTTTTACGCTGCTCCACGGGATACTTCTGGGGCATATGATGACCAAGAGACGAATCACGGCTACGGAACTGGAAGGAGGATGGGAAAAGGGGGAGGGATCGTGTCGCAACTCTGCTGCCCGTCGGCGTTTCCTGGCGGCTCGCGAAGTCCCGCCCGTCCTCTGCTGTCTCGCCGGCTGTCCGCCGCTAGTCGCATCAATTTAAGAGAAATTTTTCCCAAAAGAAAAGTCATTCTGCTGCTGTTCCAAAAAAAAAAAGAAAAAAAGAAAGGAAACCCTTTCTGCTTCGGAGTCGTTGTGTGTGATGCATCTCGCGTGAATTTGAGCTCGTGTGGAAAACGCCGTGATGTCTCTGTGATAACGAGTCTCGTCGGGGTAGTACAGTAGCAACCACAAACCCTTCTTCCTCCTCTTCTCCCTTCCCTTTATTCACCGAAAATAAAGCAAACAGAGAAGAAGGAGAAGAAGAAGAAGAAGAAGGAGAAAGCAGAGGAGGATCCTCCCAAAGTAAAAAAGAGTCTTACAGTCATGGAAAGGTAGGCGTCTCTATCATACACACATTCACGCACAACAGAGATTCCTCTCTTTCTTTCTGTCTTTCTTCTCATCACTCATCACTCATCTCTCTTTCGTCGTGGCGGAATGCGGGCGGTCCATCCTCCTCCTCTTCTCTCCGTCCGTCTCCTCGCCTCGCCTCTGCGCCTCACGGCTCTCTCGTCCCTGCCAGCCATCCATCCATCCATCCATCACGCGGATCTCGTCATCGAACCGGAGAAGCCACCTCTCTCACACAAACTCTCTCTCCCTCTCACACACACACACTCTCTCTCTCTTTCTCATGAAACTCCCATCGACTACCTCCGCCCAAAGCCCACGGGGGCCGGCGTCTGGGCGGGGTTCTGCGTCGCCGCCGTCGTCATCATCGAAGGGAGAGGGGGTTGCATGACGGTGTCGTTCCGGTCGTGCATGGAGAGGACCGACGAGGACGAAGAGATGGCCGACGAAGAGGAGGAGGCCGAGGGCTGGGTGTGGTGGAGGCGGCTCCTTCCGGAGATCCCTCCGCCTGCTCCTCCTCCTCCGCTCCCGATGGGCAGGGAGGAGGAAGACGGCGGAGGGGGAGGGGGTGGTGGCGGCGGACCGGAGAGGAAGTCCGGGAAGGCGTAGGTGGTGGACGAGATGGGCGTGGAGATGGTCGAGGGGTTGTTGTTGTTGTTGGGGTTGGGTTGTGAGACGGGGAGGATGGTTTGGGCGGCTTGGCCCAGGGCTGCGGCGAGGGGGGTCGCCGGGAAGAGGTTGGAGGGGTTCGGGTTGGTCGAGGTCGTTGTTGTCGTCGAGCTGGTCGTGGAGGAGGATGGAGGCATTGGCGGGAGGGGCGGTTGGGGTGGGGGTGGCGAGGAGAGCGGGTTGATGGCGTAGGGGAAGCCGTGGATGTTGGTGAGGTTGTAGGAGTGGGATTTGGGGTGGTGGCTCGTCAATGTCGATGTCGTTGATGTCGTGGGTGGAGTGGTCGAGAAGGACGACGACGGCGTGGTCGTTGAGGAGGAGGAGGGCGGTGGGAATGAGGCTGCTGTTGTCGTGGTTATTGGTGTTGAGGAGGATGATGGTGGGAGAGGATGGGTTTGGTGGTAGAGGAGTTGGTGGTGCGGTTGGATCTGATGTTGTTGTGGTTGATGATGATGATGATGATTTTGAGGGTTATGGTACATGTTTTGCGACGACGGGAGGTTCCTCAACGCCGTGCTGGAGTGATTCGTGGCGTTTTGGAAATTGTTGTTGCTGGGTTTGTAGTGAAGAGCCGTATAGGTGGGGGAGCGCTGGGTGATTCTGCTGGCTTCCCGGACCGCTTTCTGGACGGGTTTCAACTGTCGTTTCAGTTCGTGGATGTCGATGCCATTGTCAGCTAGGCGCATGACTTGTCCTGCAAAAGAGGCCCAGTCCTGTCGAGACAATGTCAATAACAACCCGGCTAAAGGGAAAACCACCCGATGATGATCATCAGAAAAGGGAAGAAGAACGGACGACGTACCGCTGTGAATTGATCACACATCTGCCACAGCTCCGGCCTCATCTGTACAGCCTCCGTCTGACTTCGTAATTGAGGAAGACGTGCGAGGATCTTCTCGGTCCGCATGATGGCGTTGCTGCACATGGCGACGGCCGTGGTGTAAATATCGACTTTGACCGTCTGCTCCATACTCTCGGCATCGCGTTTCTTGACGAGCAGATCCGTGCGGACACGAGGCAGGGTCCTGTGAGCCAATTGACAACAACTTTGCAATTGCGCAAAGACCTTTTCAACATCGTCCTCGCCATTGCCCTCGCTCACCAGACTCCGCATGGTGTTGCTCCGATGCGTTCGGGTTTGGTCGCTGATCTCCGGAGGTTCGTAACGCGGCGCGAAATGGGGAGGATGTAGCGGCGGCATAGGCACGTTCTCGTCGTTATTCGGAGGCAATGCTCGAAGGGGCGCATTCCGTGTAGACCGCACGCTTCGATTCGCAATCGGACTGACAGTCGTCGTCCTACGGGTGATGGTCGACTTCTGCGAAGTGGGCGTGTCGGCACGTTTGCGCCAGACCTGGGACACCCTCGGCGTGGCGTCCTGTCGCGATTGAGAGGTGGCGGCTGGATAGCCCAGCATTTTGCAGGCATTCAGAATCTCGAGGGTCGTGGTATGTGCAACCGTCAGGATCCAGCGCACGTGAAAGTGGTCCACCGTCAGAGTCGTCAACCGACGAGATTTCTTCACCTCTTTCACCACCGAAGCGTACAGTTTCAGGGCGGAGATGCAATTGTGGAGTAGGGTCTGCAAGAGCGCGGCGTTCGCCTTGGGATCGTCATCCATCCCTCGATCAGCTCCGACCATGAGCTTTCCCAGCTTGGCCAGAATCGCATGGGCATCCGCGAGCGACCGCTGAAGAGGAGATCGTTTCGGGGTTTGACCACGAAGCTGTCGTGCGATATCATCGATGGGCTGATGGAGGTAATTGAGCATGTACAAAGCCCGTCTGATGGCTTTGATGACATGTGGAATCTGTTGAGATTTGTCGTGAAAGCGCATCTGGCCTTGATTGGTTGCATCGTGACCATGCTGGCTGCCAAAAGAGCTGGTCAGGCTTGTCGTACTCGAGGACATGCCCAGACCGACCGAGGACAGACTGTTCGCCGTCGATGCCGTACTGGGATAGCGGGAATGATTGCCTTGACGGCTCGTGGCTTGTCGCGGACGGGTCGAATCCGGAATGGGCAGTTCGTGAACGGAGCCGAGCTGAGCGCTTCGGGGGGGCATCCATCCCTGACGTTTCCGCAAAGTCGGAAATCCGACGGCGCTTTCACTCCGGTTCGAGATGTGACCGTGTTCCGTGGGATCCGATCGTATGCCAGCAGAGACCGAACGCTGTGGGGGAAGGGTATTGGACGAAGGTTTTCGGGAGTGCGTCGGATAGTGTTTGATCGGTAGGATGTCGGCGAAGGGTGGAGAGTCATCCAAATGGCTGACGATCTCGGGTGGAAGGTCGATGCCACTCATGCTGGGCCGGACGGGGAACCGGCCATGAGTGGTGCCTCGTCGAGAAGGTTTAGGGGTTTCGACATTGCTCTCGCTGTGTGTACTGTGTCGCATTGGAGTTTTAGCCACACCGTCGACGACGGGCTGGAAATGGGCAAACCTACCTTGACTCGTCTTCCGAAACGACCCGCATCTTTTCTCGTATTGACGTCAGGCGCAAGTACTTCTTCACCTGCAAGCAAAGCTCCTTTTCCTTCTCCGTCCCCAAGGTCGCTTTGGTATCTGCCGGCAGTTGCAAAACATCCTCGGGGGGGAATTCCAAGGGATTGTCATCGAATTTAAGCTTGGCGAGATTGGTCATTTCACCCAGAGCCACAGGGAGTCTTTTGATCTGGTTCCGTTCGAGGGCCAGGAATTTGAGACTGGTCATGCGGTTGATATCCTCGGGAATGCTGACGACATCGTTCTTGCTGATGTCCAAGATTTCGAGTTTCGGGAGTCCGAGCACCTGTTCGATAGAGAGAAATGTCAATCGTGTGATCCCACATACATAGTCCATGATGCCCATGTCCCATACCACTGTCGGAAAGCGATCCAATTTGTTCCATCTGAGATTGAGGTACCGCAAGCGATCGCAACGGACCACCTCTGACGGGAGGATGCAGCTCGGGTTGTGTGAGAGGGCCAGCCTGGTTAATAGATCAAAGTCAGCCACCCTGAACGTTCCTCTCCTACGACCCATCCAATCTCGAGATCCGGTAGGCAGTCCAAAAAGTGATGGATAAAGTATTCACCTCTCCACCCGATCCTTGATCAACAGGACGACCTCGACGGGCAACGAATGGATCCCCTTGAAACTCAGATCCAAAGTGGAACCCGTCTGCGACTCATGCGGCAGCTCCGTCGCGGAGATCTGCGCCTGGCGTTCATCGTCGGCTTCCAACTCTTTCTTCACGTAGGCGATGACCTCGTCGGGGGTCATAGGCGGCGGTGCATGGTCGGGCCGGACATAGCTCGGCGAATCTGTGGTGGCCATGTGTGCATTTTCGGACGGGAGGGAGAAGAAATGATCCTTTTCGCCAGTGAGGTGGGAGGAGGAGGAGGAAGGGTGTAGTTGGAGGCCTTGCGATTGACGTCGAGGAGGAGACCCGAGGCGGATGACGGATGATGATGGCTCCGGCAATGATCGCGACTGCTGTGTGGAATATTCGCACAGGCCGGTTCAATCGGTCGGAAATCGGCGGTAGACGGCCGTTTGCAGGCCAGAGGGAAGGAGGAGAATGCCAGGCGAGAGAGGTAGTAGGGCTGGAAGAGAGACCAGCCGCGACGGTTGAATGCGGGATCGATCCCTTTGGTGAACGTGCTGGAAGATGGCACGGGAAAAGAGGAGGAGGAGGAGAGGAGAGGAGAGGGATCGCAGTCGGAGTCGGAGTAGCAGTGAGAGGAGAACACAGGTGGAAGTGTCGCGGGTGCTACAGCCAGTGTAGAAGAAAAGTACCGTGTAGGTCGGTTGGTAGGCAGGTAGGTGGTGGTTGGTGAAGTACTGTAGTGTAGCGGCAGTACCTAGGTAGGTAGGTACTAGGCAGGTTGGAAGAAAGGTAGGCGCGGGTATGAAGAGTTGGCTGATCCGGCGCAAAAACTTGTGTCAGCTGTACTATATACTATGTTGTACTGTACTGTCCTCGACTGCACTCCGTCTGTCTATGGTATGTAGGTAAGATGGTAGGTAGGGAGTAAATATATGTCTCTATATATATATATATATATATACATATACACTGTAGGCAAATACTGTTGTTTGTAGGACAATGTGCTGTATATAATATAGTGTAGGCTACACGTATAGATACTGATTGAATAGGAGGAGGAGACAGTATCACACCCAATGAGAAAAGCACCCTGCCCATCCGAGCGAGGTGCAGCAGAGGCACCCACGGATCCAATCCTCCGTACAGTTCAGTTCAATCCATACAGTCCATATATATATTATAATACTACTACTACTGGAGATGTGATGTGTATATGTATATGTGTGTGTATATATATGTGTGTGTGTGTGTAAGTAGTAGGGGTGTGTGTGTACATGTGTATGTGTGGGTGCGTGTCAGGTCTCATCAATGAAGCGGTGGCGGCGGCAGAGGGAATGTGGCAGAGGGAATGGCGGAGGCGAGGCGGAGGCGGAGGAGAACCGATGCAGGCCAGGCCAGGCAGGCAGGCAGGCAGGCAGGCCCGGCAGAGAGAGAGGAACCAGCCAGCCCGCCCGCCAGATGAAACAGCCCGATGAAACAGCCTCCCGCCCGTTTTACTACTGCCCAGGTGTACATGGTTTCCTCCTCCTCCTCCTTCTTCTCCTTCTTCTCCTTTGGAATACATACACCGCCATTGCACGTGATGGTGATCCATTTGGCTATAGCCCATGTGCACCTCCTCCCTACAAGCCCTCCCTCTCCCTCTCTCTCTCTGATTGCACCCACGGTCTATACCACCAGGGATCACCACACTAGCATATCCGCTTGGGCAATTGCTCCGTGATGAGGAAGACACCGACCGACCAGTCAGCCGGCCCCCAGACGCAGGACATTCACACATGGCATAACGCCCAATCCACCCGTGCAGAAACTAAGGCAGGCGCGTTGTCGCTAGAAGCCTCCCTCCCTCCCTATCGAAGAACGCGCAGATGCTTGGTGGGCTTGTATGACTACTGTATTACTACTGTATTACGATCACACCTGTGTATACCTAGGTATATATATATATATACACACATATATACATATTATATCACATCTTTGATGATAAATTTCTGGTGGTGAGAATACTACTGTATTAAATATTTGAAAAGAGCCTGTTCACAGTAGTAGGAGATCACCTCTCTCTCACACACACACACACTCTCTCTCTCTCTTTCTTTCTGACCTTCCTCGTCGTCCATTCGCAGGGAAGAAATAAATCCTCCTCAATCCTATGAGAAACACTGTATGAATTGTCCATTCTGCCTGCATACGTGCATACTGCATCGTGGCTTCACACGTGATGGGCGACGAGCTGGTCGCAAGCTGAAACCCTCCGTCGTCGTTCGTCTCGCCCGTTGCCCCAGCCCGTCGCTCGCCGTCTTCTTCTTCTTCTACTCCTTCTCCGCTTCCTTCTTTTACTAGGGAAACTAGTGCGGTATACATATACACCTGGGCATAGGATATTTGGAAGAGTAGATCCCGAGAGGGATATGATCGGTCATTACGGGTCAACTTCCTACGAGAGAAGGCACTCGAAGAGATCATTCCAGATAGTATACAGTACGATTAGATTCAAAGGAATTATCTGGTTTCAAATACGTAGTGGGTGAGCAATATAATAAATTTCAATACGAGGGAATTCATGGTCTCTTCATCTGATTAGACATCTCTTCCAAGTATAGAGGGAAAATATTTAGATTGCGTCTGGAATTCACATTGAAATCTCCCGAGATACACATTGCTGTAACTAAGCTGCGACCCAACGAAATCCTGATCTGGGTGACAAGCCAACCCGCAACGTCGCCGGTCGCGTCGCCAGTAGACTCGTTGATCCTCTGGCATGTGGAGAGATCGACACGTAAGATGGATCTCAATCGACGCGCGAGACCTCCTTGCAACTCGCATCCCAGCACCACCGACGACGACGACGATTACCACAGCAGCGACTTTTGCGGAGGGCGTTTTCATCGCTCGAGGAGAACCGCGACCGGTGAGTTCCGCTTCATGGTCCGGTGGAGAGGAAAAAATGTCGCTCCGCAATCCATCTGCATCTGCAGAGCACCGGAGGCCGGACGGCGTGATGAATATAATATTCCAAGGCTGTCTCCGAATGTCGGCATGAACAGTGACCGTCGGTGCTGGCATCGCCAAAGGCTTCGTCTCCGAACGCGGGAGATGGACGGCACGTACCTGAGAGCCACCGATCGCGGGAATGACCGTGACCTACATGACAGGCGTGACAAGGATATCATACTGACCGAGCGGAGTTGTGCGAGATCGAGGCTGGATTCGTCGCCGTGGTAGCAGCAGGTCCTGATGCCAGACCAGGTGAGGACGATCGTGGATGATCGGAGGTAAAATTATTTCTGGAGGCCGTGATTCAGCTTATATGGTGTCCACGCCGCATTCTTGCATCTCGTGCACAATATGTAGACAAGACATATCAAACTCGGTGTGCGTCGCGACACGTTCTGGCTTCAGGAATCGTGATGATCGAGCGTGTTGAGTTCACTGGAGTAAATATCTATGACAGCAGTTGTTGAGGTAGCGAGAAGGTTGTCTTACTACGGAGTGCGATGTTGAGCTAGATGCGAATGTGAACGAAGTAACAAAGCGAGGACGCGGGATGGTTACATATCACACGGCGACATGCGAAATACATGATGTACAAGGTTTCGCAGGAGTAGAATTCGACGCGGCTGAGCGACACTTGCTCTTACTGTACACATGAGTAGCAAGACAATAGAAATGCGTCCTCGTCCTCACACGACATACATCTCTTCCGATACTCGACCAATATCGTGATAAAGAATGTCTCCATCTCACGGCCAACAAGTCCCTGAAGACAGCGAGCCTCTCATCCCAGCTGATCTCCCACGCGAGGAACAAGACCCGTCAAGTCGTGGCGATGATCTCAAGCATGAACCTTTGACCTTCCGCAATGCCGGCAGAGTCGTTCAATCCCTCACCCTCTCCGCCGGCATCAGCGGTCTCCTCTTCGGCTATGACACCGGCGTGATATCCTCAACGCTGGTCACCATCGGGACGGATCTCTCGGGTCATGCATTGACGTCCCTCGACAAAGGTCTGATCACGGCCATCACGTCCATCCTCGCACTCTTCGCGGCGCCCTTTACGGGTTACTTTGCCGACCGATTCGGCCGCAAGGCGGTCATCTTGGTCCCTGCGATCCTCTTCGTCGTAGGCGCCGTCATACAAGCTGCGGCTGATCAAGTATGGATCATGGTCCTCGGGAGAGGTTTGATTGGCATCGCCGTCGGTGTTGCTTCTGGGGCCAGTCCACTCTACATCACCGAACTCTCGCCTGCCGAGCTTCGTGGCCGCCTCGTCACGATTCAATCCCTGTTCGTCACCGGTGGGCAAGTCATCGCATACATCACAGGCTTCGCTTTCTCGAACATCCCTCACGGCTGGAGGTTCATGGTCGGTCTAGGCGCCCTCCCGGCATCTCTCCAGTTGACCATGCTCATCTGGATGCCAGAATCACCGCGTTGGCTCTTACAGAAGGGCCACGAAGAACGTGCGCAAGAAGTTCTCACAACGACATATGCCGCCTTGCCTCCCACGGTCAAATCACGACTCGTAGACCATGTGTTGCGGAATATGAAATCAGAGGTCTTCGCCGAAGATGACCCTGCCCGTCCCACACAAAAGCCCAGCAATTTCCGCAACGCAACAAAAGAGCTTTTCACCGTCCCCGGCAACCGCCGAGCTCTCACCATCGCATGCCTCCTCCAAGGACTCCAACAACTCTCCGGCTTCGTAAGTCCAAGTCATCCCCAAACCAAGCCATTCCCAGCTGTCTCATAGTACCAACAACCCACTGACCCTCCTCCAGAACTGCCTAATGTACTTCTCCGCCACGATCTTCTCCCAGCTCAACTTCACCTCCCCGATCGCCACCTCCCTGCTGATCGCGCTGACGAATTTCGCCTTCACCCTCCTCGCCTTCCGCTCCATCGACCGCTACGGCCGCCGCGCAATCCTCCTGCACACGATCCCGCTAATGGCGCTGGGCCTCCTCCTCTGCAGCATCACCTTCCTCTTCATCCCCATCATCCCTACCACTGCTCCTCCCAACCCCATCATCTCCCCCTCCACGAGAGACGACGACGGACCCGCCGAAGATGTCCATCTCGCCCCCAAAGTCGCCCTCCTCCTCTCCCTCGCCCTCTACATAGCCTCCTACGCGACGGGGCTGGGCTGCATCCCCTGGCAGCAATCCGAGCTCTTCCCGCTGCGCGTGCGCTCCCTCGGCTCCGGCCTCGCGACGGCCACGAATTGGTCGAGCAATGCGCTCATCGGGATCACGTTCCTCCCGACGATTGAGAACTTTGGTTTCAGCGCGACGTTTGCCGCTTACGCCGCCGTCTGTCTCGTCGGTTGGACGCTGGTCTATGGGGTCTATCCCGAGACGTCGGGCTTGGAAATCGAGGCCGTCGGGACCTTGTTGGGCCAGGGGTGGGGAGTGCAGGGGAGCGTGGCCGCTTTCCGGGAGAGGAGGAGGTTAGTTCTGCAGGAGGAGGGGAGGAGGAGGAAGAGGGTGAGAGGGTGAGGGAGGGATGAGAGGGTTTTTTGTTCCTGTCCATCTGTTGTCGTCGGTTGCTGGGTCTATGGATCATGTGGACATGGTTGCTTTTTCCAGACAGATCTTAGATCCTAGATCCCTCCGAAGAAAAAATTCCCCTCCGTATGTGTTCAAGCGGTGGGATTGCTCATCTCTCATCGTATTACATGTTTCCCCCGAAATCTTCTCACTTTTATCACCTGCTCTCCAATTCCAGGGTCTTGCACGCTCACGACCGATCGACATGAGCCGCAGCAGGAGGCAGTAGACTCTAGAAACTGTGGCGGTGGTAGCTTCCCGCAAGCCTCTCTGTCGATGTTACCTCACCTCACCCTGCATGATAGGTGCTACCCGGGCATCTCATTGTCCACTGATGGTGGTACCGTAGGTGATGATTTACCCCAACATTCAGGCGGGGGGGGGAGAGCCCTGCATCTTTACGGGGCGCTCTGCTTATATTCCCTGACTTCGTAATTCCCAACGAATTTAGAGTCTCCTCGAATTTAGGCTGTTTAGAGAGCGAGAGGTCCAAGAACCTTGGGACACAGGGAAAATGACAGGGAAATCCGGAAACATCAGCGGTTGGAAAACATCGGCCTCGATTCAAGCCTTGTAAAAGGGAAAACTTTTATTCCTTGGCTCAACAGAGGCAAGAACCGCTCGTCGCCCAGAACACCCCAACAAGCTCTAGTTGCACGAGACGGTGGTGGCTGTTCTTGCTTCGAAGAACTCGAACAACAATATCAAGAAAAACCGGCAAACTTGGAACGCTTCGAGTCGACACGGAGAGTTCTAATAACTACCTACCTAGTCAGGTAGCAGAAGAAGAGAAAGAAAATATCAAGCAGCAGAATTCTAAAGAACGAATAAAATAGAAAAAGACGGCCAATTTTCGAGGTTTCTACCACCAAGAGAGAGAGATTCCACAGAAGTAGAAGAAAAAAAAATTACCCAGACCAAAGGGCCCGACCATGATCTCCCTCCTGACAACCCTCCTCAAACGCCGCCGCCGGCCTCCCCCCTACATCCTCTGCACAACCCTCATCAGCGTCGGCGGCCTCCTCTTCGGCCTGGACACAGGCTGCATCGGCCCGATCACCACCATGCCGCAATTCCAAGACTCCCTCGGCGGCGGGGACCTCAGCGCCACGGTCCACGGCCTCATCGTCTCCTCGATCCTGATCCCCGCCGCCATCGCCTCGTTCTTCGCAGGCCCGCTCGCCGACCGCCTCGGCCGGCGCAAGGGCGTGAGCATCGGGGGGGTGATCTTCGCGTTGGGCGCGGCGCTCGAGGCGGGCAGTACGGATCTGGCCATGTTGTTCGTCGGACGCGTCCTCGCGGGGGTCGGGGAGGGCCTGTTCCTCAGTCCGGTCCTCGTGTATGTGTGTGAGGTGGCGCCGCCGCGGGAGAGGGGTGTGTTGGCCAACGTCTCGCAGCTTCTGACCACCGCGGGGATCTGTGGCGGGTATTTCGTGTGTTATGGCACGGTGAGACTGTCGGGGAGTAGTTTCGGTTGGAGGGTTCCGTTTGTGCTGCAGAGCGCCATCGCGCTGGCGTATGCCGTCGCCGTGATGGCCTGCGTTCCCGAGAGTCCAAGGTGGTTGGAGATGAAGGGACGGAGGGCGGAGGCGAAGACTACGTGGGAGGTCCTGGGGGTGAGTGCTGCGGAGGCGGAGAAAGTTGATGAGCAGGCGGCGGCGGAGACGCAAGCGAGTTCTTCCACTCTACCTCCGAGTCTTGACCGGTCCGATCTCGAGGGGACCGTGGCGAAAACGAAGGCACATGCGCTCCTCCGAGTTTTCCGCAAAGATGTCCGGACACGCACTCTTCTCGGCGTCTTCATGAGCGGCTTCCAACAGCTCTCCGGAATCGACGGGGTTCTTTTCTATGCACCATTGCTCTTCGCAAGAGCTGGACTGACCAGCTCCGAAGCCTCCTTCCTGGCATCCGGAGTCAGCGGTCTCCTCATGATGGTCGTCACGGTACCCGCCTTCCTCCTTGCCGACCGCTGGGGACGACGTACCTCCACCATCGTCGGCGGATTGGTCCTGGCCGCCTGCATGCTCATCATCGGCAGCCTGTACGCATCGAACAGCGTATACGGCGATCGCGGGGCAGCACGATGGGTGGTGATTGTGCTGATTTATATTTTTGCGCTAGTCTATTGCATGACTTGGGCCGTCGGCGTGCGCGTGCATGCCTCGGAGATCCAGCCACGTCGCACCAAAGCCACGGCGACGGGACTGGCACAGACGTCCAATTGGACGATGAATTGGATCGTGGCATTCACCACGCCAATTTTCCTGGCGAAAAGCTCCTTTGGAGTGTATTTCCTCTTTGGAGGTTGTATTCTTCTTATGGTTGCGGTTTGTGCGGCCATGGTACCGGAGACGATGGGCAGGAGTTTGGAGGAGATCGATGAGGCGTTCGATCATCATCATCATCATCGTGATGGTCATGTTCACCCTCATGGCGTGCCGAGTCTTGTGGGCGATGTCGGCAGGCTTTGGACGACATGGAGTAGTGGTGGCCGGAAGAATGCACCAAGGATGGAGCAGGAGGAGATTGAGCTTTCCGTCCTTTCGTAGACTTCCAATCGGATGATGCTCGGGCATAGGTTCTTCAGATCGTAGAATCCACAATTTCAGATCTATCTTGTCTTTTTTCATGGGCCAGGCCGTCCAGAAGGCACACTGGGAAACGCATCGGGCGTCTGTAGTCTTTGGAGATTCCTCCTCGCCATCTCCGCCTCCCGTTTCTTCTGCAGACGCATCTGAAAGAACTGTTTCTGCAGTTCGAAAATCCTCGGTCCGTCAATAGTCACTTTCGACGCCGCTGTCTGTCCCGCCGCTCCTTTCTTCTTCTCCTCGAGCGCCTTCAGTTGCTCATCCTTCTCCTTTTCCTCCTCGGCCTCATCTTTCTCCTCGTTCTTCTTCTTATCCTCTCCACCCGCTGCGGCATCTTTGCCTTTTTTCTTGGCCAATTTCTTCGCGACTTTCTCCTCCCATTCTTTCTTCAGTGCGTCGATTTCCCTCTGCACAGCTTCTTCGTGCTTTTTCTTCGCCAAGTCTTCGCCGTCTTTGGGAATTGCGAATTTCGTGTCAACGAGGTGGCCGCTACATAAATGGAACCAGTCGTCTTGCTCTGGTGTGATGAGAACGGTGCTGCTCGGCTTATAGCAGATCCAACAGGCTTTCGCGCTGGACTCGGCGACTTGTCGGCGATGGTAGAGGTTTTTCGGCGCCGTCGCCATGATTGAGTTGCGTTTCTTCTTGAGGAAGGCCTGAGTGTTGAAGGTTGGTGATGTTCGAAGCCGGAAAGATGTATGAGAGTCTGCTGTTCGGGAAAGCCCATCAGCTGCATCCGCGCTGTCCCATCGGGTTCTCCGTCTGCATCAGATTGGGGCGCGCATGTCGGACGCGAGCGCGTCGCCGACGATGTCGAAATTACAGGCAGTGGCCATTTGGGTATGGAGTATTTTTATTTGACGTCTCTAAATTACCTAGGTCTTCTACATACAGTTCTGGTATTCTTCTACCGTGTTCCTTGTCCCATTGGCGGCTGTTGATGTGCACCGTCAATTGTTACTATGACCGTACATATTAACACGCAGAAACGCCGCGGAAAACATGGGCAAATCTAGACTCGGCAGGGATGACGCTGTACGCTTCGTGTGAGAGCTTCGTGACTGGGAAATTTTTGTTATCGCAGGAAATGATAAGGAAATATCCCATCCATTCTTCCAATGGTACTGTACATATATTCCTTTGGAAATTTTTGTGATCGGCCATTGACTCTTAACCACATATGAACAATCCCTCCATTCTATACCGTTAATCAAGAATCACAATGGCAGCCCAGAAAGACGCCCCGGCGGCCGGCAAGTTATGGGGAGGTAGATTCACCGGTGGGACTGATCCCATCATGGTGCAATACAACGAATCCATCTACTTCGACCGGGCCTTTTATTCTCAAGACATCCGTGGCAGCGTAGCATTCGCTCGAGCCAACCAAAAGACCGGCCTCTTGACCGAGCAAGAATTCAACGAGATCGAACGCGGGTTCAAACAAGTCCTCAAGGAATGGGAAGATGGGACCTTCACCATCCAACCCGGCGTCGATGAAGACATCCACACTGCGAACGAACGTCGGTTAGGCGAGATCATCGGCACGGCCATTGCAGGGAAATTACACACCGGCCGGAGCCGCAACGATCAAGTCGCGACCGATATGCGACTGTGGCTCCGAGACCAGCTGGAGATCCTCGAAGGCTATCTCATCGCTCTCCTCAAAGTCGTAGCGGCTCGCGCCGAAAAGGAGATTGACCATGTCATGCCCGGCTACACCCATCTCCAGCGTGCTCAACCCATCCGATGGTCTCACTGGATGCTCCTTTACGGGTCCTTTTTCGCCTCCGACCTCGAGCGTCTGCGACAAGTCCGCGCACGCATCAACAAATCTCCTCTAGGCTGCGGTGCGCTAGCCGGCAACCCCTTTGACATCGACCGTGACGCCATGGCCGCCGAGCTCGGATTCGACGGCCTCATCATGAACAGCATGGCGGGCGTCGGTGATCGCGACTTCGTTGTTGAGACCATGCAATGGGGTTCCACGCTGATGATGCACCTCTCCCGCTGGGCCGAAGACCTCATCATCTACAGCACCGGCGAATTCTCCTTTGTCAAACTCGCCGACACCTACAGCACCGGCTCCTCCCTCATGCCGCAGAAGAAAAACCCGGACTCCCTCGAACTCATCCGCGGGAAATCCGGCCGCGCCTTCGGCCACATGACGGGTCTGATGATGAGCATCAAGGGCATCCCGTCGACCTACAACAAGGACCTGCAGGAATCCGTCGAGCCGCTCCTCGACCACGTCAAGACCGTCGGCGACAGCATCCAGATTGCCACCGGCGTCCTCTCCACCCTGTCCATCTTCCCGGAGAACATGCTCCGCAGCCTCTCCCCGGACATGCTGGCCACGGACCTGGCGGATTACCTCGTCCGCAAGGGTGTGCCGTTCCGCGAGACTCACCACATCTCCGGCCGCGTCGTGGCCCTGGCGGAGAAGGAGGGCCGGCCGATGGACCAGTTGACGTTTGAGCAGTTGCGAGGAGTGGATGCCAGGTTTGAGCAGGATGTGCTTGGCGTGTTTGATTATCAGAAGAGTGTCGAGATGCGCTCGGCGAAAGGCGGCACGAGTAAGAGTGCGGTCTTGGAGCAGATTGAGGCGGTCAAGAAGATTCTGGCAGCCAACTAGCTTCGGAAAATCACGGGAGACGTGAAATGTGTGCAACGTTCGAGAGATCATGACGCGGCCGTGTATACCTACAGAAATGGTATGGCTCAGTTCGACCGCAGAATAATGCTTTCTAATTCGTGATCTTCATTTCCCTTCTCGTTCGTTCATCCTCCTACAGTGATTCTCGTGCCAGCGACCGTCTCCAGTACACTGCCGTCAATGTTCCATCCCTTGTCTTTCAGCGAAACCTCATACTTCTCCAGTAGCGCCAGGGCTTCTCGACGGCTCTGTCGGAAAGTATCAAGGACATTCTGTGACATCGAAGCCTTTTCCGCACAGGAAATTATGAGCGCCTGCCACCAAGCCACCAGCAGATCGCGTTTGCTCGCATCCTTCTTCAAGACGGCAAGCAGTCGCATTGGATACTGTTCTAGCGCAGGGTGTCCATCTGACCAGAGGACATATGGCGCGTCCGCGTAGAGGTCCATGATGGTCGATAGATGCGTCCCTGAAGTGCTCACAGCGCCCGTAGATTTATTCGCATCCGCAAGCCCATGCGCCAACCGCCCAATAGATGCACCAATCGTACAATGACCCACAATCCCACCATCCCTCCCCCTCAAAACCCCATCCCATTCGAAGATCCTCTCCTCCCTCGAGATCTGCTCCAGCGAAGGGACCCGTCCCTGCCGCAAACAATGCCAGACCAGCGCCGCCCTCTGACGATTCATCACCCTCATCCTCACCGCCCGAACCGCGCGGCGATTCGTCTCAAGATGCACAGCCAACAGCCCCACCAGGAGACTCCACGTCGCAGTCCGCGAGACCACATGCGTGACCACCACGCTCCCGACCAAGAGCCCCAACAGCGAAATGATCGTCTCCTGACTCGAATCCTTCGCGTTCAGCTCCCCCAGGTTCTCCCCGGCCCGCGCGAAATGCGCACTGAGGCTCGCCTTCGCACTGCCCGCCGCAACGCCACACAGCGCCCGCAGCACCGAACTTGTCGACAGGACCAGCACGCGAACGAAACCTCGCGGCAACGCCGGGCTGAGGCAGTCGAGGAGGAACGCGGCGTCGTTGAGCACGTCGGCCAGGAGCCGGTAGAGCTTGCACTCGGGTTCCAATGCGGTGCCCAGGCGGTGCGCGAATGCGATGGTCGCGATCCGGCCGAGGGATTCTTGGAGGATGGATAGGAGCAGTGCGGCGGTGGGCGAGGCGCTGGAGTCGCCTACGCCGACGGTGGAGAGCACTGCACGGGAGGAGAGGAGGCTTGCGATGCTGCTTGCGAAGGCCTGGAGGGAGTCCTGTTTTTTCGGTGATGAGAGAGACAATTAGTTGAAATGGGATCCATTGGAACGTAGGAGATATCGGGAGGGTGGGACACTTGCATATATTTGGTATCTAATGTGAACCTATCAGCCATGACCACTCCTCTAGAGAATCACACATCGTCTCTCTGTCGCTCTTTCTCTCCGACGCCCATCAATTCACTCACTCAAGATAATCCTCTGTGACGGTATGCGGAAATCCTACAGGCAGGAAGATATCGAGGAACTTCTGCCGTGATGATTTGGTATCATTTGGAGGCTAATGATTTATACAGAAAGCGGTGTGTCAGAATATATGATTATGCTCCAGCTCTACATGCAGAAAGGCTCTCTGGACTTCACCGAACATACAATCACGTCTACCCGTCTGGCCGGTGTGAGCTTGTCCGTCGCCGACTCGACGTATGTCGCGGTGAGATTGCCCGCGCCGTCGAACTCGCGGATCTCAAGCATAGATGAGGACGAGGTCATTGTTGCCAGCGATGACGATGTTCTCGCTGTTCACTTGTTGTTCATCGGGATTGGGATACTATCCTCCGTTGGTACCTCTGATTTATACTGGTCGTTCCAATGAAGCAGACGATAACATAAGCCGAGTCTATAGTAGGAGTAGTAGTACTGTAGCGTAGTAGTGTACGGTGGAAAGTCGGCTTAATGGGCACTTCCGTCGGCGTGAAGTCGGCTCCGACCAATAGAAAGGCAGCCTGATTGATCCGAAACCGATCGATGATCTGCTTCAAGATAAACCAATGCGACGTCACCGTTTTCTCTCTGGCCGCACGCTATCGCTTAATTGCTGTACCCGTTGGGTTGTTTACACACATGATCGTACACCGTGTGTGGGCTTGATGAGGATATATATCATAAGCTTATCGTCGTTCCGTTTCGGTCACGATCTTCCATCTAATCACCTTGTTTCTCTCTAACAAGCGCGAGCCAGGCGCATCTGAATAAGCATATTCCTCGACAGGAAGTAGTCTTCTTGGCCGCCAAGCGCATCCATCATGGATATCATCAAGACGATCGCGCAGTATCCGCCTCCGTCGCGGGAGCTGTGGACCAACCTCGTCTGGGCCTGGCAGTTCTTCCCATTGGTAAGTTCGATCTGAAAGACGTCGTCGCTTCATGAAACATTGGGGGAAGAAAGGCACTTTCTAACAATCACATCCACAGTTCGCCGCCGTCCAATGGTTCACCGATTTCTACCCACAGGGCAAGACCTCCATCAACTCCCGCTTCAACTTGCCCGGGAAATGGGGCTGGTTCCTTATGGAGATCCCAGGCTTCCTGACCGTGCTCTACTGCATGATCACGATCCCTCGCGCCGAGAACCTCGCCGGTCTCCCCATCGCCAACTGGACCATGGCCGGCGCCTTCACCATCCACTACATCTACCGCGCGATCCTCAGTCCTCTGGTCCTGAACCCTTCCATGTCTCCCATCCACCCGACCGTCTTCTTCTCCGCCATCGCCTTCCAGATCATCAACGGCCTTAGCATCGGCGGCTGGCTCGGCGGCTACGGTCCCCGGACGATCTACGACTGGAGCGGCCGCGCGTACGAGATTGAAATCGGCCTCATCATCTGGGGCTGGGGTCTGCTCCTCAACATCTTCCACGACGACGATCTCCGCGAGATCCGCCGCGCCGCGATGAAGAGGCAGCGCGAACAGGCGGCCAAGGACGGCAAACCCGTCGAGGGCGTCGAGAAGTTTTACATGATGCCCAAGAACGGTCTGTTTCACTACGTCCTGTATGCGCATTACTTCTGCGAGTGGATCGAGTGGGCCGGCTTCTGGATGGTCGGTGGTCTCCACTGTATCCCTGCGAGGACTTTCCTGCTCAATGAGATCTCGACCATGTTGCCGAGGGCTTTGGCGGGACGGAGATGGTACATTCAGAAATTCGGAAAGGATCGGGTGGGCAACCGCAAGGCGGTGATCCCGGGATTGTTGTGAAAGGGCTTGAGATGAAATTTGTTGCCGATGGGCTTTTGGAACTCGAGATTGGATGTTTGCAGATGGCCTACATCAGATTTCCTAAGGCCGAGGAGATCAAGTTGTCTCGTCTAATATTTTTTGAGGCGATTTATCTAGGAGAACGGACCACTCAGTCTGTCTGCAGTTTTTCTATCGGAAATCGACGGCTATGCAGTTTGATCTCGACCTGATCTCGTCCGGTGTCCACACGCATGCATAAATACTTTCCGTTCCTTGAGCGAAGCCTGCCCAGGTGGTGTCGCTGCTGGCATAAGAATAATGTATAATCATAACTTTATGCGTAGCTGAATAACTTTGGAAAGAAGGTCCAACCCCACACGGCGGACATTTACATACGTCAAGCTGCTCACCACCAACCACGACCCAGAGCTCCCTCTACTGTATGTAGATTGTCTGATACACAGCTGCAGTTGGTTTCTCTCCATTCTCTACGCACAAGACTATTCTCCTCTTACACTCCCTCTCCTCTCTATCACGACTCCAACACCTCGGTCCTCTTGGCGCATTGCAGACAACATCGAGCGACGAAGACATCTCCGCCTAGTTGTCCCGCTCTCACATTCGCTCACTCGGCGCATCGTCACCACTTCCACGCGAGCTTCACCGCGCGCACATTGCGCCTCTCGTTCATGTCGCAAACCCCGTCATAGATACGCTTTCCAAGATACACGCGATCCGCAAACGAAATCATGTCTTCACGACTTGTGCTTGTCGCTGGCGACTTTCACATTCCCGACCGAGCCATTGACATTCCCGCCAAAGTACGTGCCCTCTAGATCGTGGGAAGAGAAAGAGAAGGAGGAGGAGGAAAAGGATAATGCGACACGCTCTTCTCGCAAATGACAGACACGCTGACCGTCGAAAACCTCCCGACTGAACAGTTCAAAAAACTCCTCACACCCGGCAAAATCGGCCAAGTCCTCTGTTTAGGCAACCTGACCTCTCCCTCCGTCTACACCTTCCTGCGCTCGCTCGCCCCAGACCTGCAACTCGTCAAAGGCGACCTCGACCTCCCAATCCACAGCATCACCGGCAGCAATCCCGGCGCCAACAACCACTCCGCCGATCCCACCTTACCACCACCAGCAGCAGCAGCAGCCGCCGCAGCCTCGAGCTACCCAATCCCCACCGCCCTCAGCAAAGTCATCACCCACGGCAGCTTGCGAATAGGTTTCACGCACGGCGACACGATCCTGCCGCCCGGCGACCCGGACGCCCTACTCATCGCCGCGCGACAGATGGACGTGGACGTGCTGTGCTGGGGCGGCACATGTCGCTTCGAAGCGTACGAGATGGAAGGCAAATTCTTCATCAACCCGGGCTCGGCGACGGGCGCGCCCAGCTGGGCCGACGGCGAGGAGAGATTGAACGCGGATTCTGGAGCCGGTGAGGACGAGGAGGATGGGGATCCGGACCGCACGATCCCGAGTTTCGTCCTCATGGATGTGCAGGGGGAGGTATTGGTTCTGTACGTTTATCAGTTGAAGAGGGATGCGGCGGGGAATGAGAATGTCGGTGTTGAGAAGGTTTCTTTCAGGAAGAATAACGCTGCTGCTGGTGTTGCTACTGCTGCCGCGGGAGACGCGAGTAGATGATGATGAGGAGCGTGAGGAGGGGGGGGGATCACCTGCTCTCTCGTCACGGCTATGATAGATGGGTGAAAGGCATCACGGAAACCCCCAAAAACTCCACATTGATGCAGACAAAGACATGTTGGCAATGCTGCTTCATCAGCGGCGGGTGCTCTCCAAACTGAAAATGCCGCGTAGTTGGGAACATTTGCTCCCAGAGCAATCCTTCTGCCGCGCCATCATGTTCCGAGGCATGTTTCCTCAAAGAAACCTGGTTTCCTTCCTTTCTTTCGCACGCATGTCATCAGCGCACTCGAAGAAAAGAATCATTTACAAATGGAAATCATCTAAAATACCTCCTTCCAGCAGGATTAAATGTTACGCCAGTTACGACTTCACCTCTGCCAAACAGTGGACTTTCCCCCCCTCTCTCCCTCTCCCGATTTTTCCAACCTCTCTCATCATCTCGTCGCAATTCATGAATTTTTCTTTTCGCTCCAGGGGACCACCAGAGACCGCTCTGGATGATGCGAAAGAAGAAGAAAATTGTGGTCCATAGGCCTCATGCACGCCGCTCGTTTCCTGGTCCTTCTGCACAGGGAATATCCCAAGAGATATGGGGTAAGCTAGGGAGAAGGAAATTGGCCATTTGAAGAAGATGTCCCAATTTTCTTGAAACAAAGAAAGAGAATCGATGGGAAGATGAATCTAAATAGATAGGTCGAGGCCCGAGGCATGCGGCACGAGCCTTGGATATATTCTTTTGTTTTGTCTTTCCTCTCGCGGAGAATCGCGTTTCCCGCCTCCTCTCCTCCTCTCCTCGTTCGAAAATAAAAGAAAATGTGAAATACCGAAGGAGAATCCGTTCCTAGTTTGTTCAACTGTTTTTTTTTCTCCTTGCGAAAAGATGGTGGTTCTCGCACATGACGATTCCGCTGGAGAAAAGGCAGAGCACTTGAGAGTGAGTGTTGCGCTCGCGGGAAACAATGACAGGAACAGAAGGGGCGGACAACAGTTCGCTGCTGATGTGAATACCTCCTCGCCGCTGTTGAATATATAACGGGTCCTCTCAAGGAGAGAATGAATGTGGGAGAGGAAGCAAGGAGATAACGCGATAGCAGTCAATGAAAGTATCATGATTAGTGTTTTTGGTTTCGTATCTTCGTCATGAGGCAAGCAGGGAACGAGATGTGCATGTATTGTTTGGTCGATCGAGTCCAGCATCGCGATGGCAGCAGGGAGATAAACAACGGATCAATTTTCATGGTGGTAGATCGATATTTGGTGAAGAGATGATGGGGTCGGAGAAGCGATGAGAGACCAGCAGGATACGGGACATGGACCGACAGATGTTCCAGAACATGGCAGAGGAGGGTAAAGATGGGGGAAACAAGGGGCCGTACTCAACAGCCACAAGATCAACATCATGCCACTTCTTCTATACTTAGACAAAAGCCGCGATCGTCCTGCTAGGACTTCATGCCAAGGAGAGACAACATGCGTAGACAACATGCTTACATGCTTGTTATAATTAGACCAAGACGACGAGGGACGAACATGTTCACGCCTATTTCTGGAAGGCAGCTTCAGCTTCCACCGATGCGAAGAAGAAGAAGGCCCATCAGAGCGATGGTTTATTTTGGAGTAAGAATGAAATTTCGAGAGAGCGTAAATGGAATGAAAGAGAGAGAGTTGAATAAGAAGAAGAAAAAGACATTATGAGATCGACAACGAAAAACAAAGACACAAGAACGAAATGCTGCCTGTGGAAAAACCCAAAGCTCGCATCCCATCGCTTTTCCCTCTATAATTGTCCGGACGATGCCGAGTGGACCTCACTCGTCATGCCGTATGCCGTGTCATAGTCATCTAGTATCCTGCGGGCGCAGCGTAGCCGGTGGGGCCAGCGGGGACCGGGGAGACGTAGACGAAGGTGGGCTGGCCGTGGGTGGCCTCGGTGGTGGTGGGCTTGACGGCGTCAGCGGTGCTGGCGGTGGTGGGAGCGTAGGTGTAAGCCGGGGCGTTGTAGCCGGCCGGGGCGGTGTTGATGGGGGAGTGCTCCTCAGCGGTGCTGGTGGTGGGCTTGACGGCCTCGGCGGTGCTGGTGGTGGGGGCAGCAGTGGTGTAAACCGGGGGAGCAGCGGCGGAGCTGGTGGTGTAGACCGGGGGAGCAGCAGCGGAGCTGGTGGTGGGCTTCACGGCGTCAGCGGTGCTGGCGGTGGTGTAGACCGGAGCGGTGGGGTGAGCCTCCTCCTCGGTGCAGGTGGTGGTGGCAGCAGAGCTGGTGGTAGCGGTCTTGTGGGCATCAACCGGGGTGCTGCTGGTGGTGTAGACAGCAGGGGCGGTGGGGCCAGCGGGGCTGGAGACGGTCGAGGTCTTGTAGACGGGAGCGGTGGGGCCAGCAGGGGTCGAGACGGTCGAGGTCTTGTAGACGGGGACGGTGGGACCGGCGGGGCTGGAGGCAGAGCTAGCGGAGCTGACCTTGGTCACAAGAGTGGTAGGGTAACCAGCAGGTCCGGTGGGCTTGGTGTAGCCAGCGGGGCCAGTAGGAGCTGGGCCGGTGGGGTGCTCAGCTGGGCCGGTGGGAGCAGGGCCAGTGGGCTTGGTGTAGCCAGCCGGGCCAGTCGGGGCAGGGCCAGTGGGCTTGGTGTAGCCGGCCGGGCCGGTAGGAGCAGGGCCGGTGGGGTGGCCAGCAGGGCCAGTAGGAGCGGGACCAGTCGGGTAGTTAGCAGGGCCGGTGGGACCGTTGCCGGGGACAGTGACGGTGATCTTCTCAGTGACTGTGACGGTGGTCGGGACGCAAGTCTCGGGGGTCACGGGGCTGGAGGGCTTGGTGACGGTCAGGTAGGTGGTCTGAGTAGAGGTGGTCTTGGTGGTGGTGTACGAGGCCGGGGCAGTGGGCGAGTTGGGGACGGTCACGGTCGAGACGACGTAGGTGGTGCCGGTGGAGGACAGAACGGTAGTCTTGGTGACCGGGACAACGGGGCTGTCAGGGCTGGTCTGGGTGGTCTTGTAGACTGGAGGAGGGACAACCTCGGTGGTCTTGTAAACCGGGGGAGGAGCCTGGGTGGTCTTGACGGGGCTGTAGGGGCTGGAGTAGGTGGAAGCCTTGCTGACGGTGCTCTGCTTGTGCTCGGTGGTGGTCTTGTAAACTGGGGGAGGAACCACGGTGGTCTTGTAAACCGGAGGAGGAACGACGGAGGTCGCGGTCACGGGAGACTCAGGGCTGGTGTGGGTGGCAGGAGTCTCCTTGGAGACGGTGGTCTTGTGGGTCTCGACGGAGGAGGTCTTGTAGACGGGGATGGTCGGGGTCTCCTTGGTCTTGGTGATGGTGGTCTCCTTGGTCACGGGAGTCTCCTTGGAGTAGGTGCTGGCCTTGGTGACGGTGGTCGGGGTCACGGGAGACTCGGGGGTGGTGTGAGTAGCAGGAGTCTCCTTGGAGACGGTGGTCTTGTGGGTCTCGACGGAGGAGGTCTTGTAGACGGGGATGGTCGGGGTCTCCTTGGTCTTGGTGACGGTGGTCTCCTTGGTCACGGGAGTCTCCTTGGAGTAGGTGCTAACCTTGGTGACGGTGGTCTTGGTCTCGGTGGCCGGGGTGGTGGCCTTGCTGGTTGGGGTCTCCTTGGACACAGTGGTCTTGTGGGTCTCAACGGAGGTGGTCTTGTAGACGGGGATCGTCGGGGACTCCTTGGAGATGGTGGTCTCCTTCGAGACGGTGCTCTGCTTGGTGACGGTGGTCTTGGTCTCGGTGGCCGGGGTGGTGGCCTTGCTGGTCGGGGTCTCCTTGGACACGGTGGAGGCCTTGGTGGTGGTCTCGGTGCAGGTGGTCGAGGTGTGTGCAGGCGCGCTCGGGGTGGAGACGGTGGTGTAAACCGGGGGGATCGCAGCAGAGCTGGTGGTCGGCTTAACGGGGTTAGCGGTGGAGCTGGTGGTGTAGACCGGGGGGACCACGGCGGTGGTGTAGACCGGGGGGGCGGCCACCGAGGAGGTGGTAGGCTTGACGGCATCAGCGGTGGAGGTGGTCTTGGTGGTGAACGCCGGAGGAGCGTGGGTCACCGGGCTGGTGGCGGCGGTGGTGTAGACCGGAGGAGCGGCGTAGCCAGCGGGCGCGGTGTAGACCGGGGCGTGCTCGATGGAGCTGGTGGTGGGCTTCACGGCATCAGCGGTGGATGAGGTGGAGGTCCAGGTCGAGACGGCGGGCTTGCTGGAGGTGGTCTCGTGGCTCGGAGGAGCAGCGTAGCCTGGAGGGGCGTTGTAGCCGGCCGGGGCGTTGTAGGCCGGGGCACCGTATGAGCCGGGAACGGCAGCGTTGACGCCGGCCGCGATGGCGGCGACGACAGCGATCTTGGACAACATTTTGAAGGGTTGGAAAAACGCTTATTGGCAGGTTTCGAATGGAAGGGTCGACAAGTCGGCTTCTTTTGAAATGAATGAAAGGCGTGTATTTAGAAAATACACAAACGAGCGAATGTGGTAGCCGGCTCTGGTGAGCTGAGGCCAAAAAGCAAAAGAAAGAATGAGCTTGTCCGGGTAAACCTGATCGAGAGAAAAGAGAAGGAGGAAGATGAAGGACGGGTATGGCGAAGATAAAGGTTATACATGCTCACTCGGAGGAGAAGGAGGTAGGAGGGTCCGTGATGGAGGGTCACTAAGGGAATAGGGCGTTCCCGCACGACGTGATGTTGCATAGAGTGTAATGAGATTGACGGCCGGCGAGGCTGCTGTGATGAGATTAGAGTTAGTGCGCGCGCGTGTCTGTGTGTGTGTGTGTGCGTCGATGTTCGCATGGGTGTGTGCGAGTGAATGGATGGTGATGGTGATGGTGTGGGTGTAGGTGGATTGGGGGTGGACTGTAGTTGGTTGGTGTGGAGGCGTGCATAAGCAACGCGACTACTCCTGCTACAGTCTCCTACGATCACTGCGCTCGCCAGAATTGCATGAATGCTTACCACCGGCTGTTACACTCCTGGTTTGACGATGCCCGTTCATGCGTAGATGACAGACGATGATTCATCCGTGACTGTTCATCAAACAACGTTCTCTTGCCATACAATCCCGACCCCTTTTCGTGCTTGAAGAACTGTCAGACCGAAAAGGGGACATGCATGCCCGCAGGCGTAAGGACCATGCTGAAAGGGCGGCCCGGCAGGCGAACGATTCAGCAGTAGCATCGTCTATTCAGGTACGGATCTCATTAGCAACGAGGCATCACCATCTAGCACCAGGAGCAGTGAAGTGGCGGCGAACCGACGACGCGAGTGAGAAACGGTGGGGAGTGCCGCGCTGCCGTTCACCATTTTCATATCGAGTGGATCGATCCAGGGCGGGCAATTGGGGCAGGAGGTTGCGAAAGGGCAATGTGCCGAGAGCAAACCGACTTACTGGTGGAGACGGTAAGATTTCGCTCGGTGTTCGCGCGTGCGTCCGCCGCGTCCCACCCATTCGCCCCCTGAATCCAATGCCGCCCTGAAAAATTATCCGCGGGACGCGCAACCGTCGTTTGTCACCGGGCATCGTCTCTCGCGTTTTTCATCTCTCGAATAACGATGGGTTTAATGAACATACTCACACGCAAGAATTTACAGGAGACGCGACGCTCATTTGCCCAGAGGCGAAATCCATCCCTTCGCCATTCTAAGCGATATTTGCACGCCAGGTACTTGTACTACTGTACATGCGTGTGTGTGGTCGCGCGCCTCACCAAATCCAGGCCGCAGCAGACCCGCCAATTCAAGTGTAGCACTCCAGCAGACAGCTAGAATCTTGACCTAAGGGAACGATTCCGACGACGGCGTCCTTGTCGCCATTACTGCAGCAGCACGAGGCAGGAGGCGAAGCTCAATCCACGAATTGATGAATATTATTGTGATGCGACAGTGGTTTGACAGGCATCAAAGCAAGGCGGTTGAGCACCCAAAAAAAAGCATGGGACCTGTAGTGAACTGTTGCACTGCTTTGCCATGTGCGCCCGCTGGTGAACCGACATGCTTGGCTTCCCAAACCATGGATTATATTCTGCGATGACAGGTCCGAATATCTGCTTATCGCGGGTCATTATACCGAAGATGATGATGTGGACCCGTTCGCGCTCCGGACACTGCCACGATGGCTATGATTCATGATGATTCGAGAGATACAGTGAACGGGTGGTGATAGACCGATGTGATTGTAGGGGCATACACACGCTCTCGTATTCCTGCGCGGAGGTCGGAAATAGCCCAAAGGAGCAGCACAAATGGTACTGAATGAATAGAAACAGCACCGTCACAAATAAGAGCAGCACTGTGGAAACGAGCGTCATGATCATGATCCTCGATGGGAGTGTTTCACCCTGCCTGTAAATGCCAGTGATGGGCCGTCTTCCTCGTGCTGTTGGGAATACGAGGCGATGAGTGCGTACCACCAAAAGGAAGAGACGGTATGGTCGCATATCCTGTCTGCGCTGCATGATGACAGCGCCGTGCTCATGTGCGCCAGTATGACAGGTCGTGAACAGGTATCTTACGAAGGAGACCGATCGCCCATCCATTATTCCGGGAAGTCGACGTCGATGAGCAAAGGTGCATCATCACATCAACACGAGAATCAAATCTCCCGTCGCATCGCGCCAGCCCGGAAGAAGAATAACGAAAACCCACGACAACAACACACCGCAGTGGGGAGGAGAAGGAGGAGTGAAGTCGCGGTCCACTCACACCCGAGCCCAGGGGCTGGTTGGCTTCCTTGCATTGTGATGATTGATGACAAGATCTGGTGTGGATGTCAAGGAGGGTACGCAATTTTACATCGTCGCCCATTTGCACCTCCGCGTGCTTCTCCTTCCACGCTGATGCAGGAACCGATGTGTCCATCACACTTTGATTGGTCATGGAGGGCGAGCGCTAGTCCCTGGACTTTCCTCTTTCGGGTCATAGCGGCCCGGGTCGGCGTTGAACACGAACGCGCCCGGGGCCTGGTGGTACAAGAGACGAAACATCAGATGGACAATGTCACAATGGGCATTGGATGACATAGCAGTGGGATTGGGCGACGATTGTCTCCACCTGACTCCTCACGTACACGATTCAAGAGGCCTATTGGGGCAACGAGACAGTACTTCTGGTCAGGCTTCGTCCATCTCCAGCCTATGCCGGCCCATACAGGTGCACTCCATGGCGCGCCTTTCTTCCTTCGTTTCTGATATTCAGGTACGGCGCATGTCCAGGCCGCCGCTGCTGCTGTTCTCCGAAGTCGAAGGAATCGCTTTCATTTGCGCATGCATACGGCGAAGGCTGACTGACCATGCCTAGCCCAGGCTGATCCACCTCGGAGGCCGGGGTCCTGTCCTTTTTCGCTTTCGGAGTGGTCCATGGGGGTATTCGACACAAATTACACATGTCGCGTGCGCGTCTATGTGTGCTTGGCTGTCGACCTCGCGTCGCGAATCATCGTCGTCGGAAGCCCAAGTCTTCGCGAGGAGCACACAATTTGTGGGAGTCAATAATAACCCCATGTCGCCAGCACTCGAGTGTGATAAGGAACGACGAATCGGAGGTGCGATTCTTCCCTTTCAACTACACATGTCGTGTTGCGTGCAGCCGCCGCAGTTCGTCATGAGTAGCACATGATGCCATTCGCTTCTCACATCATCACCTGGGTTCGGAATATTCCTGTCCAGGTGGCCTACGATTGGTGCAAATGACACTTCGGACGCGCCTCAAGTGTTATATTCATGTATTGTCATGATCGTCATCTCTAATACGCACCATTCACATCGTTAATCGAGGCGGTCGATTATGTGCTAAGATTACTTGCCTTGCGTCATGTTGATTTCTGAGTATCTGTGGCTGTGTAAACGGATGATGGTCAGTAGAACAATCGTGATCATCTGACGGTCTCGCCAGGATCGTCATTTGTGCTACTGAGTGACCAGTGGCGTGGGTAGCGATTCCCTCAATTTCGTGTCAAAGAAATGGCGTTGCGATGATGGTTCCGAGATAATTATAGCAGCAGTAGCAACACCAAGCGAAGAACGAAGGAACCACAGTTTACTGCACTATCATCAACACAACGAGAACGACCGACATGTCCTTTCCCAATTCGCTTGATATTGACAAAATCCTGTGCATTTCCAAGTAATGATCTGCCACGCTGGCGAGGCCACACACACACACACACACACACACAGCATCTCACCTCTCTCACTCAAGGATTTCTATCTAGGCTCATAGGGTTCGGCGATTACACGTGCGTGCGTACGCCCCGAGACAATCAGAATAAGCCCGAGACTTCGAACGTCTGATGGTGTGCGTTTTGCCTAGCAGAAAGTCATTTGTATAACGGTGCCATGACCGTTGGCCGATCCTCATCCCGTTACCGCATCAGCCTCTTCTCCCTACTCCCTCTCCCTCCCTCTGTGTGATTCTCCTCGATGAACAGTTCGAGGAGCAGTGGCGAAACGCGTGTTCATTGTTTCATGATTTTTACCCTGCGACTTCTTCACAAACTTGTGTGTGCATTGCATAATAATCCATGTCTGACCGTTGAATTTCGTAATGCTTAGACCGGGTAGCATCATTGTTGAGATTAATGTCAACATTTCGCAATTCGACGATATCTACATGGAAATATTCACATCTTGCCCGACTCGTAAATAAATGGATCTCGAGCGTTGAAATTGCTTGGTTCAATCATGTCAGCAGTTGTGTAGGCTTCCATGTCTATCGGCAGAGAGTTCTCAAGCACCGCCCTTTCATTGTTCGGTAGGCATCTCCATCTAAATTCCACGGTTCGGGACGGCTCTTTATCAGAGCATCGCATCACCGTTTTCTGCCAACCAAGAATCATTCCTTTTCGTCCTTCACAGCAACGCCCCCATCTCCGGTTCCTCTATCACGATCGAGGTCAGCGATAACCGTATCGTCCCTACCAAACCAATTTTGCTCGTCGAGACTTTTTCCATTCTCATCTTGAGCGAGATTGACAGCCGATGAGGTACCAAACTTTTCGTTTCTTTGTCACGCTGTTCTGCATGAATTTCAACGCCTTCCTAATGCTTTGCGCGTACCGCACGAACGCGTGTCTCCGGGCACTTACGATCGTCATGTCGTCATAGTCGACAACGCGTGCATTTTGAACTTTGACGGAGATGGACAAAGCCTGATGTTTCACTACGTTTGTAGAAGAGGAGAAAACCATACGTGAGTGTGTTGATCGTTGCAGTTCATCGCGCGCCGTCAACATAGAGTCTCTGCACAACTCTCCTGGGCATCGCGACTTCTCTCGTCCTCGACTTTTCTTGCAGACGAGTGACCTATCTGTACAAATTGTCTTGCGAGAGGTCTTCCACTCCAAACTCTTCAGGAATTCTGACATTCATCAACATTGTGATCTGAATATTTCAATCCTGCGTTCTTAAGACCCACTTTTCGAAGTCTTCCTCAAGTGCAATGACAATGATAAAATAATATCGTGCGAAAATAGAATATCGCGCCACTCACTCTCGCTGAACAAGCAAAGCCCTGCTTGTTTGACATGCCGAATCTCTCCCACAGATTCATCGACAACCACGCTCTGCTATTCATGACAGTGGCCCTACCACCATTCGAGTCCAAAGGGGCCGGAACATCGGTCATCGCGCAATGTGCCTTGCGCGAGAATCGACTGGAATCGGAGGAGCGACAGATTCGACCCTCCTGGCCCGAGATGTTGACGAAGCGGACAAGCTGACGACCAGTCGCACCTCCTCCGATCCAGTAATCAGCTAGGTATCTTAGCGGAGCCTGCCGAACGACGGACTTGAGATGCTAGCCTGTTGATACGCGTGCTCTCCCGTCAGCAGCTGGTAATGACTGGATGGCGAGCCATCGATATCTTCCTTTGGCGAATCCCGGTCTATAGGTCGTCATTTGGACGAGCGTTGGGACTGGTGGCAATGGTGCGTCAATTCAAACATGCCACGATTGATTCCATCGATAGCCACTTTGGTGAACCCGAGATCGATGCTCCAGGGCACATTCACCGTTGCAATTTGATATCTGTGTTCCGACCATCACGTTTTATGGTCGTCGATGCATGGTGGAAGGCAGCAGCGTAACCGAAACCTACATATGCGTCAGGTTAACATGCCTCATCCGTGGAGCAGACTTGTATGAGTCAATCAAATGAAACTTAGATCAGCCGGCACATTGAAGCGTCCGGTCAGATTGCTAGAGTAGTGTGACCAGCACTTCTGCAAGACAAGATGATCTTCGCCTCCTGTTGATTAGCTCCTCCTTCGTATGAATGGAAGGACAAAGCGATCGTCTTCCTCTTTTTGTTATTCCAGACTTGACTGTGTAGAGTCTTCACAGGCGACGGGACGGGCTGTTGGACTAAAGGCCTGTAATTAACGCTCTGGAACAACTACCGACGCTGGATCAGACTCTATTGAGCTCAAGCAGCCAGCCGGTAACAAAGCATGGTTGTCATGTTTGCTGTCAATGGGTCGGGTCGTGAAAGCAAACGCTTCCGCAATGTAGCGCATGGAGCTGTAGGTTCCGTAGCTGGCATCATTGAAATCTGTACTCGTGTCGATTGCTGTACGCATCGCAAAGAGTGATCGTTGTCCGGAGACGTCACCTCGAGAGTTCTAGGGTCTAACATCGCAGTAAAGTCCATCTTGAGGATCTCACCATGTCATTGCTCCGTCAATGTCAAGCAAGCAGGAGAAGACCTGCGATGGAGATTCGGGATCGATATGTACAGGAGGAATAGGTAAAACGTTTGAAGAATTCGTGTCACTACCATTCGCCATATCTTGCCTTTCGACCGCTGTCTCTCGCCTGTTTCAAGCCCAGAGCTGAACTTCCTTTCACCTCCTGCAGCCATGGGACGCGATCCCTGCACTCTGTCAACGCCAAGGAACTATCAAATGTACGACACTGCGAAATACTTCGACCGTCATGGCAAGGTAACTCCACCTACGAAGGATCTTGCGGAGGCATTCAAGGTACCGAAGAGGCAAGCCGGCATTATCAAGCGGCAATACAAAGATAGGAGCTTCAGAGAACGAGGTCGTACAACTCAAGACCAGGCTATTCGAGAGGAAGTCCGTCGAATTGTGGACTGTCTGCAGAAAATCTCCGGCTATGAGCGACGAGGAGAGTGTGGTTAGCTTCGACTCGAACGACGCTTGGTACGAAGGCACCTGGGCAGTCTTTATCGGCTTCCTCCAGAAATGGGGAGGCATCAAAAGTTATGCATTCTTTATCATGGCCAAAAAGATTATCGCTGACAGACAATCTGTTGCGTATTCGCCCAACTAAAAGGGAGGGGGCAGCTCGTCAGGATCACGAAACCTTCGCTTTCCAAACGTGCTCCTTGATATCACCATATAGCAACCCTAACGAATACGTGTATCTACCTAGGTAGGTTTGGTTGCTCCAGGCGGCTTATCGCAGCGTGTCACGTGACTGTTGCTCGAGTGCGCCATCTCTAGCAGATCTCTTCTGTTCTGTCCAGCTGCAATTGCACTGCATTGGTGGGCAGATGGGTCAACCTCTCATGCTCGGGATGGCACTTATGCCCCAATGACACAGAATGACGATGTGTACCGGTGCCGGAGCCTCGGAAGACTTGTTCCGAACTAAACGTTACGTGGTAGTGCATCGAGGGTCAAGCAAGGCCCCATCCAAAGAATTAGGATGACATCTCATCTATATCTCCGATAACGTACACCAATAGAAATCATCAACAAGATCAAAGACTAATCCTTGAGCCGCAAACCTCGTCAAGCTGAACCTCGCGGATGCCGAAGCAACCCTAGTCGTCTTGCAGGCATGAAGCTGCATCACTTCGAGCTGCAAGAATGTACCAGACAAGTAGACTAGCAAATGCATGGAATGATGCAGGGACTCTTCTTCGCTTCCGCGATACAACTCCACTCACTCGAGATGCGGTACGGCTTCTACGGAATCTCACACTACCGCTTGTTGACGTGCTGGCAGCATCGGAAGCATAGACGAAGACGTCCAAGTCTAAACATCATGACATAAACGGACGCATACGCGAAGCTCCCTGCCGGGATCCTACCTGGGACGACCATTTTGATGACTTTCGTCCCCAACTTCCATACCTGACTTGATGCATCGGTTCGGCTGGGATGCTCAGATGCCGATGGGTGATGGCATCCGCAGTATCGTGTCGGCCAAGATCGACGGTGGCAGGGCAGATACGCGATAAAGGATGAATGCCTCCGGGTCAGTATCCAGGAAGCAGTGTTTCCTTTCAGTCTAGCAGATATTCGCATGTTTCTGTCTTGCGTCCTCCATCTCTACTTAGAACATTTCACGGCCAGCCGCTTTATCTATCTGCATTCGTCCAGTCTCCAGGCCTCAGGGAAAGATGACAAGGCCGTGACAGGTGTCCACCTCACGCGATCGTGAGTAGCAGACGCGCCACATTGCTGCAACATATAGCATTCGCAACCCTTTCAAACATGGCAGGTAGCACGAATCATCACAACTCTCCGCTTCGACAAACGCCAACCCCTCATTTCTCCCGTCCTCGACCATGCTCTCCCACACACATTCGTGTTAGCGATATCACGGTCGTTGATGGCATACCGCCATACACACAGCAGTGCTTGGAATTGGACAATCATAAGCTGTCTCGCAAAGAAAAAGTAGGAGACGATCCCCCGTGGCCAATCGAGCCGCAATTCTCGATCGACTTTGGGTTGTTGGATTCCAATCAAAGCAACGGCGAGTCATCAGCCACGTCCCTTCATCAGGTTCAGAAGCCTCGAGTCACTGTGAATACCCGCTGTACTGCGAGAACTATCGAGGGCACTCCCATCGTGACATTCATCTCAACCACGTCTATCATTGCGCCACCCACCGAGGCTTCAAGATCTTCCTCCCCTATCACCACCACTAGCCATTTCCGCCCTATTGACCAGGCTGTGTGCAACAGCGATGATCGTAGTGAAGAAATCGCATCACCAGCCCAGGATGAGTACCTTCGCGACATCGATAGCTTTCCGGCACCGGCTACATACACCGTCACAAATCACGGTCGCCCATCATTAGTCAATTGCAGGAACGGCAGCGGCAGCAGTAGCTGTGACAGCATGAACACCATTCGTCAGAGCAATGCGACTCCCACTGCTGCTTCGACATCATCCTTACAATCAACACTCCAGGATACCAGCGATGATCGCAAATCGGCGACCAGACCTCCACTCAGCGTACATTCTAGCCGCGGCCGGAGCAACAGCGATATCAGCCTGATATGCAGTGCCCAAAGCAGGGGCAAAATCTTCAACATTTCCGAACAGCCGACGCCGCCACCGAGGACAAGCAGCAAGAATCGTACTGGCATACATCCTGCATATCGCAGAGTGGAGTGGTCGGATTCTCGGGAATTCGACTCCCCTTCGCGCTTACATTTGCAACTTTCTCATCCCCATACAACACATCCGGGTCTCCAACATCGACGACATACATCCGACCTCGAAACGCAACGTCGTCGCAATCAGGAACCGCTCAGAGGCATCCTCAAGCCATCGCGGGATGCCGACGGGAATATTTACAGATCAACCGCATCAAAGTCTGAGGAGTCGGATTTGAACTTGAGCAAGACTCGAATCAACACCGGCCTCGTAGGGTCAGTGACGAACACTTCAAACTCATTGACAGAGTCCTCTCCTATATCACTAGCATCTTCGCATGATACTTACTCCTCCTTCTATTCTATTTATCGACACGGTCGTCACTCCCACTCGACATCATCAAATACCTCGACTGATACAACAGCATCATCCGCTCCGAGCACAATCGTCGAGGAAGGCGGCGAAGGCGGCGATGTCCCCACCAGCCATGCCCACAATAGCGGGACTGTCATAAGCAATGAGGACCAGCGCAACGGAGGCGACTTTGACAGAAGCGAGTTCTACGGGTTCTACGGCACGCAGCCTGGCTCCAATGATCGCTCCTCAAACGGCGGTCGTCGTGTAGTCACCATCCGTACCAGCAGCGGCGATGTTGTAGAGAGAGGGCAAATCAGGAGAAACGAAGCAAAATCCGAAGACCAGAGCCGAAGTAGCACTCGTCGTCGCAGCTTCAGCAATATGATAACTGGCCATAAAGAGCCCAAGACGCATGATTCAAGCAAGAACGACAAATCGCCTCGATCGGTCGTCACCACAGCGTCTTCGACCTCCCCGGTCGCCCCACCTCCCTCACCAACACAGTCTCCCCTACGCACACAGTCCAGAACTATCATTCACCTCGTCCCACCGGCCTCGACGCCCCCGAGTTCTCAAGCTCCCCATCTACCCCCTCTCAACCTCTCGGTCGAAAGTCCTTCACCCGTGAAGAAGATCCAGAAGAAACTTACCCAGCCACAATCCTCCTCCCAACGACAACCCAAGTCAAGTAAGAAACCCTTCATAGCCTCAACTTTCGATTACAGTACTCTCCTCACTGAAGCCGAGGCCGCACGCTTACGCAGTCGTGGCGTGAACCCGGCATTGTGGGCGGAGATGCGGGCGATGAGGAAGGGTAAAGGTAAAGGTTTCGGGGCTTTGGTCGGAAATGCCTATGTCAGCTAGAGGGAAGTGGTGATATAGTGAGAGAATGTATTTTCAGGAGAGGGGTGATCGTGGAGAAGATGGAAGGTCAGCGGGAAGGATACTTCAGATCGGGACGAGACTGTGGTGAAGGGACATCAACACATGATGAGTACACGAAATAAATAGCATCACGAAACAACACGATTCTTTTCTTTTAAAAAGGGACACGCGTCGTCTGTTCCACTTTCCTCTCCATTCTTCTTGTGGTCATGTCTCATAAGTCATTTGAAGACGACATGACGAGTCCACCAGGTGGTTTCCTCTATTTGCACCAAGCACATTTCTGGCCCTCGTTTTGATGCATTCGCTCGAAACCTCTACCGAGTTCTGTTCTACAAATAATCGCCACTGCCTTCAGTGAGTTATCCTCTGCTCGCAGAACATAAATTGCAGATGTGAAATTATGGCATCTCTCAGAGGACTTTGCTACTCGATGCTCAAGTCGCCAGTGGAGGCATGCCTAGGGTTGGTTGACATCGGTAGGGTTCGGGGTTGATGATCCCGTCAGTCGAGATCTGACTCGATGTAACCCTCGAAAGGGAGATGAACCGCAGAGCAGATAGAAACAAAAATCGATGAACGTTCGACTCTGCGCAGAATCAGAGGTCCGGGCATTACACATCAGTGCATGTACACGATCGCAATGAGTAGACTACAAGATTGAGATCACCCAACGTACTCGGCTGTCCGGCCTCGAGGGTTTAACTGCGTGCTGGATGAGCAATCCGCGAGCCAAATCTGAAATTCTTCGTACGTAATGATTCATTTCCTGGATCAAGATGGAGTACTGCTGCGTGAATTACTCCCAAGGAAACGCTGTGAAAGTGTTGCCTGTGTGTCCGAGGGCTATGCCAATGCGGGCCGCAAGGCAAGGGAGACTGTTTCCACCTCGAGGTCGGGCCGGCAAGTTTCGAGGGGATTTGTTGGTCACTAGCTTCTCTGGTGGATCATGGTTCGCAAGGAAACCTGCTCATGGTGAAAGGGCTGTGCTCGTACGGAAAGCATGGCCGTACGATTCCAAATTTGCGAGCACTCATGAGTCAATGCGTGTGCCGAGCTGGTGGGAGAGGCACAGAAGGGTCGAAACGACGGGCAGGGCGAACGTTGACGCTAGTTTGTTCAGCCACGAATTGCAATTTCCCATTTGAGGGGAAGGGTTGAGAAGCCAGGAGTGAGCGATGGCACGTGGATGGTAGGCGAGAGCAATTGTTGTCGAAGACAAGTTAATTCGCTTCCCAGTGCAGTGCGAAGTGTGAAGGGGTCGTGGGAAGAAACACATTGAAGAAGCGAAGAGTTTTATTTTGAACAATATTCGATTTTTGTTATTATCTCCCATAGTAAATAAGTTTTGGTATCATTCCTCCCATCACTCAACGCCGATGCAGGCAGTCGAGATCTTCCGAGAAAAAGATGGATCGGCAAGCCGTTCGTGAAAAAGACCTTTGGGTCGTAGGTAGAAACAAAGAACGCTCAAAAGCTAAAATGACAAATGCATGGAACAAGTTGGTCGGAACAGACCAATGTCGGGTTAGACGTAAAGGAAATGAGTGACTCTAATGCACCGTACCAGCGAAGCATCCTCATAAATGATCATGACAAAGACACTGATGGAACTCAGATGTGTTGAAACATTTAAAGGTTGACATCGGCGTTGAGGAGGGCCTTGAGGTCGAGGTCAAGGAGAGAGTCGTCCTCGTATGATCCGTAGTAGGAGCGAGCGACGTTGGCGTTGGCCTTGACGAGGGCCTTCAGGTTGAGGAGGTCCTCGACGGTGAGGCCGAGCTTGGCAAGAACGTCAAGGTCGAGAAGGTCACCGTTGGATGAGCCGTAGTAGTCGCGGGCAACGTTGGCGTTGACCTTGACGAGGGCCTTCAGGTTGAGGAGGTCCTCGACGGTGAGGCCGAGCTTGGCAAGGACGTCGGCGTCGATGAGGTCACCGTTGGATGAGCCGTAGTAGTCGCGGGCAACGTTGGCGTTGACCTTGACGAGGGCCTTCAGGTTGAGGAGGTCCTCGACGGTGAGGCCGAGCTTGGCAAGGACGTCAGCGTCAATGAGGTCGCCGTTGGAGGAGCTGTAGTAGTCACGGGCGTTGACCTTGAGGCCGAGCTTGGCGAGAACGTCAGCGTCGATGAGGCTGCCGCTGGAGTGACCGTAGTAGTCACGGGCGTTGACCTTGAGGCCGAGCTTGGCGAGGGCATCGGCGGAGATGGTGCTCTTGACGTTGGCGGAGGCCTTGACGGCGGCGCTGACGTCGGCGCTCAAGGAGGCGTGGAGGGCAAGCTTGGCCTGGGCAGAGAGGCGGGCGTTGAGGAAAGCCTTGATCTTGGCGGCCTCGCCGGTGAGGGCGGCGTTGACATCGACATCGACGTCGAGGTCGAGGCAGATGCTGATGATGTGGAGAAGGGCGATCTTGACCTCAACGCTGGCGTTGACATCGATGAGGGCGCCGTTCTTGTACTGGTAGCCGTAGGGGACAGACTCGCCGGCACCGAGGGTGATGTCAGCGTTGGCGTTGAGGGAGACGTTCAAGTCAAGGTTGGCCTTGACAACGGCAGCGAGGGCGAGCTGGACCTTGACAGCGGCATCGAGGTCGAGCTTGGCCTTGGCGGCGAGGTCAGCGGCAACCTTGGCCTTAGCAGCAAGGTCGAGGTCAGCGGAGGCGGCAACGGACAGGTCGAGGGCAGCCTTGGCCTTGACAGCGAGGTCGGCAGAGATGTTGGTCTTGGCGGCAACATCGGCGTCAGCCTTGACCTTAGCGGCGAGGTCGGCGGCGATCTTGGCCTTGAGGGCAGCGTTCAGCTCCAACTTGGCCTTGAGGCAGAGGTCGAGGGAGACGTTGAGCTTGGCGGCAAGGTCGGCGTTGGCCTTAGCACCGAGGGAGAGACCGAGGGCAACCTGGGCCTTGAGGCTGAGGTCGGCGACCAGCTTGGCCTTGACGGCGAGGTCGGCGGCAACCTTGGCCTTGGCGGCAAGGTCGACGTCAGCGGAAGCGCTGGCGGCAAGGTCAGCGGCAACCTTGGCCTGGGCATCAAGGGTAGCAGCAAGCTTGGCGTAGACGGAGACATCGGCGTCAACGTTGGCCTTGATGGAGAGGTCGAGGTCGAGGAGGGCATCGAGGTTCAAGCCGAGCTTGGCGATGAGGGAAAGGTTGAGCTTGAGGAGAGCGTCAACGTCGAGGCCGAGCTGAACAGCGATCTTGGCGTTCAGGTCGAGGAGGGCCGCGAGGGAGGCGCCGGCCTTGAGGGCGAGGTCAGCGGAGATGTCGAGGAGAGCATCCAGGGAGACCTCGAGGTCGGCCTTGAGCTTGGCATCGAGGTCGAGGAGAGCCTTGACGGTGAGGCCGAGGTCGGCGAGGACCTCAGCACCGAGGTGGAGGACGCTGTCGACAACGGCACCGAGGGTGAGGCCGAGGTTCGCGACGAGGCCGCCCTTGATGAGGCCGCCGGACTTGGAGCCGTAGCCGTATGATGGGTTGCCGTAGTTGCCACGAACGTTGACCTTGGCGTTGGCCTTCAACAGGGCGTTGATTTTGAGGAGGTCCTTGTTGGAGTAGGCAGCGTCACGGGCGTTGACCTTGAGGCCAGCCTTGAGGAGAGCAGTGAGCTTGAGGAGGTCCTCGTCGGAGTAGCTCTCGTAGCTGCGGGCGTTGAGCTTGAGGGCGGCAGCGACCTTGGCCGCGGCGTCAACGCTGAGGGTGTCCTTGTGCTTGTAGTCCGCAACGGGGGCGGCGACGGCAACAGCCGCAAGCATTGCAATGGCAGAGACACGCATCTTGACTTTCTTTATGGGTTGGCTTGTGGGTAGAAGGGGAGATTAGAAGTGAAGGTAGTAGTAGAAGATGAAGAATATAAGATGTTGCCTGAGAACCCGAAAGTAAGAATGAGCGAAGAGCTTGTATGCGAGGATGAGTAGAAAAGAATGTTCTTGGAGAGCGAAGATGTGAACTCTTATAATCTTTTGAATCGTGAGGAGCGCCTTGTCGGAAGATCCCTGTTCAGAGTCCGAGTAACGCTCGAAGTCCAGGTCATGGAGGTAGAATGTGATAGCATGGATTTACACTTTCCTTCAAGCCCAAACGGGTAGTCTTTTGGTTAGTAGCGCAAAGCTTAAAGAGCGTACTGCATTTTGCAGCTTGCGCCAAATCTCCATGGCCAAGGTGGCCATCCCTGACCACTCGCGCTCTCCTCGTAACGGCCGTCATCGTGGCTGTCAGGTCATCTTCTTGTGAGTGCACGTCGGGGCAATTGGTACATCCAGGCCGTGTCCACACACACGCACACACACACACACACACATCTCCATCTCTCTCCCTCATTCTACAATTAGACGGTGTTTCGACGAAGATTCTTCTCTGGCGAGCACCGACGCCGAGCCGCGGCACCGATTCCCAGTTCCAGCGATGGTAGCGGTCTTGTTATTAGGAATCCCGCCCATGCTGTCACCAACATGACGGGCAGTACATGTTCTCTGGCAGGGACGATTCCACAGGAGAGTTCCCTCTAAGCAGCTCCTCGCCTGATCTTGTCCGCAGACCGCAGTGGGTCTTCATCCATTTCCGGGCAGGTCTTGTCCGATCTCGTGAATACGGGAAATTATGGATGGCTCATCGAGTGATGTTAGCCATGGTGATGGTGGTGGTGGCAGACATTTCCGAAAACCCACATGGCTACAGTATGGGCGAATGTCAGGTGTGGTGGGTCGTAGTGACTGCGGGTTCGTGGCTTGCCCGGGAGGCGCACACGATTGAGCAGCACGCTTTGCCTCATGGAGCAGACCGAAAATTGTCCAGCCGAAGTGTTGCGACGGCCCCCTGCGGCAGAGGAAATTGTCCACACCATAGTAACCACACCACAGTAACCACACTCATACACAAACACTGCTGGCGACTCTCTCCCTCTCGCACGCACACACACACACGCATACACATACACTGTCACTCCAATGCACGAGTTTAGTACGGTATCAATTATAATTATCACGGCGAGAAGGAGCCCCTAACCCCAGATTGGGCCGAAAATTATCAATTTCTCTGTCTCCGCACCGCCGATCAGGTGCCTTCACCTTCATGTCTCCTCCAATGTCGCGGTGAACGGTGTGTCCAGAATATACTCCTTACCATGATGGAGACGAAGATTCGTTAGACTGTGCATTGCTCATGTGTACAGCTGATCTCGTCGCCCCAACGAAGCCAATGGGGCCTTTCGCGCAGGGAGATTGACCGCAGATTCGACTAATATCAACCATTGCCTCCCAGACCTGTGTAGATCCTGTCCTAGCTCAGGAGCGTAGGCGCACCGACCTTGAGCAAGTCACGCCCCCTCTCCGAGTGACAACGCACGTAGAGCACTGCCAAGCAGGTAAGTATCGTGTACCGCATCAATGAATCCTCGCCCGGCCTCTCCACCGTGAGGATGGCACGGATGGGTAGTGAAAGTACCGAACATATTGCGCATCGATCAGCGCGATACGCCACCACATCAGTGTCGATCAGGCGGTAGATGTCGGCTGCCTAGCAGTGCATACTCAACAACAACCTCATCACGAGCATGAAAGTATGCGATACATGCCCGCAATCGCCCGAGTCGCCAGTATTGGATAGGTCGAGCACCTGCGATTGTATTCGCTCTCCTGCAACCTGTGGCAGTAGCTTGATCATCGCTTTTCGGCAGCATGGCCTCTTCCGCGGATGGCATCGCGCCTCGAGGATCCACTTCAATAGACCGCAGCAGTGTTGTCTCACGCGTATGACTCCCATATTGCACCCTGACGTATGAGCATTTATCAACATCATCATTATCACTCAAATCGGCGTCATTTCGATCAATGTATTGGAGGCGTTCTATAGTCGAATTGAACAGACTGCTCCGGCCGCCTCCTTCACACAAAACCGGCTGCGGCGTCTGCAGGCCTGTGCAAGGCGCTGGGTGGTCGGACATTGCTGTGCTCATGGCGTCGACCACACATCCAGCCCACAGGACGGAAACGCTGCCACGCCCGCCGTTGTGGGGAAACAGTGGCATTTGGTGGCTCAATTATGTGATTTCCTCTGTTCAACTTTTGCCGTGTTGGCAGGCAGAACACAGGTACTGAACAGCATGATCAGCCTGCTAGGACGAAGCCTTCCACAGCCTCATCCGACATACGAAGACATGTAGATATCGCCATCGGCACATCGCTGTCGGTCGTGGCACGCGAGGCGCGATTTGACAACCACGGGCGTATCGCCCCCATCGTAAGTGGATGTATCCCTATACTGTAGTCCGGAATCATTCATGATGTAGTTTGTGGCGAAGACACATCCAACAACACTCTCAGCACGGAGGTGGCCATGCAATCGGAAGCACTACCCAATGCACTCCGCACAGGCATGTCGACGCACGAACAATTGTTAGTGAGAGTCGAGACCTGCACAATCACAAGGAAATGACCAGGGAGCGAATGGCCGTCCTTTGCATGCCCCTGCCTGTCACGCTTGTCACGGACGACAAAGGATCCATCCGCCAGCAGATGCTGTGAAGAGCCCATGTGGTCGTCGTGTAAACAAACAAGAGAGGCATGCTATTTTTCGTCCCATTGCCGCAGGCACGCCGGTGCTTCAAGATGAGAAATGATGAATAATAGTCCCCCAGCAAGGACCGATCGAGCCGATGCATCAATAGTAAATTGGCTAGGAGTCCTCGGATCATCCTGGTGTTTCCTCCTAGCTGAAACCAACCCGGATGGGAAAACGCTTGGTCCCCTCTAAGCCAAATGAGCATGGCAACTGCACACGCTTTCGTCAGTGCTCATCACTGCCCACTTCGGCCCCTGGGCTGGATCTTGCTGTGCTCCGACGCAGAGACGCAACGAAGCAACACCCTGCGGACCACAGGAAATGATTGCCATTTCACATGTCTTAATTTAGCTACCGCCTGTGAGATTTGCAGTCTCATCAGAAAATATCTGCTACACATAGAAATATCGAGATCCCGGGAATCCGGGACCAGCTGCCTGCCCGTTGATCCGGGGGTCGAGTTCTCGCTGGAATTTCGCTTCGTCACCACGCGCCGTTTCCTTCAGATGCACTGTCATGGGTATAATGCGTCGTCCTCACAACGCTCAGGGAAATGCCCGTGAGATCACCTCTCTCTCTCTCTCGGCCGCATTCTCACCCGGGCGTTTAAACACAGGCACGGAGCGTTGTCTGCGGGGTATCAATCATTGGCCAGATCATTCTCTGTGCGACGCACGCCCTCAGTGCCCTACGGATGTCGGGCATTCGTCGGTCACAGCACTCATGCAGCATGACCAGCACATGCCTCACCAGCGACGCAGGAGCAAAGGTCAAAGGAATCGTTAGCTCGGATCGAAATCTGACATGCCTCAATCTCAACGCGGAAGGCTGGCGTGCCTGAGAGGATACTGTGGAACACGAGCTCGTCGAAGTCAATACTGCAGCAGCGTGAGAGACTCCGGCAGCAGTAGTCGGATGACGGTGGAATAATGGAGAAACAGCCCAGATGCGCAGGAGACGTACAAGTGGTAGCGACTACTGCGCACGCGGGTATGCAAGGTCCGCAGATCCATAGCGCCGAACATGCAGGACACCACCTGCAATCAGTTAAGGGACGAGGGGCCAAAAAGAGGGGAGAAGGTGGTGAGAGCAGAATTACCCGCACGTGAGAAGGCAGACCGGCACCACTTTTTCTCATCTCCCTAGGGCTGATGTTCCCGTACATGCGATGGACCCACTGGGAAGTACACATTCCGAGGTCCCCAGATTTGAGGCTTGCATGGTCTGCGGGATTAAGGCTTGGCGTGGTTATCGGTGGCACCACCTCATCATTCCCCCATCCTTTCCCAGCCCATCGGGCAGTCCTGTTCTTGCACACGGCGATGTCTTTTGCACTATCACAGTTAATTCTTTGGCGCCTGCAAACATGACGGTTGTCTGAGATGTGCGGGGATGATGGTGGAAATTGTACAGCGCTTTTGAAATTTCGTTCAAGACTTTTAGGTTTCCAGCCTCCATTGTGGTAGCCAAGGCGACGAGATACGATAATCAAAGGAACAGCAGACCTCATGTTCGCTCGCCGAAAATGTGCTGCGTATCGAAGGTACAGCGACCAGCTCGCTGCATGGAAGAATCCTTCTCAGAAAGACACATGAATGTTGGGCATGCGGAGTTGTGCTGGCAAGTGTGACGCCCGAGGATCGACAGTGAGATCCGCCGTTTCGAAGATTTGATTTCCTCCGGAAGAGGCGTCGCCCGTTGCCTGGAACGCAGCAGGACACAGCGCAGCGATCATGACCGCCATCGCGATTGTTACGTACATACAGCATAGTCTTGTTGATCATGGCGAGGCCGATGCCGAATATGGAGCCTGCCCTCAACGGAGCCTGCCGTTGAAGCAAGTGCAAGAGAAAGGCGGCGGGAGGCGCGCAGATCACAGCGATTGTGGCTCTTTCGGTTGTCGCCGAGCGTGCCGGGAATCAGCCTGTTGAGTTCGGCTTTTTATTGCGCAGTAGGTACTGCACCGCGCCCTTGGCAAGATATGTGATCGTCACGAAGCACCCTTCGCTCTCCCGCCACCAATATTCGACTGCTTGTGAAAAGACAATAAATTTGGACATACATACGACAATGGAATATAATCCTTGCAGCAGTCAATGAGCTCAATGCACACACATGCGAACAGCACTGTGGAACTTCTGCAGCGGGAACGTTTGATGTTTCCGCGCTGCGTGTTCTCACCGACACTCTTCGCTCGTGGCAAATCCATCGTAGCATCGTATACTGAAGACACTGCAGGTACTCAACGTTGCGAATTGCATTTGACACCTTGTATAACCCTCTGTGGCTGGCTGAAGATCGGATGAGACCCTGCTTTTTGTGAGGAGTGACAATTCCCTTCCAAATGGTCGTGTGAGCGCAACAATGTCCCAATTCTTCATGCTTAGTGCTTTTCAATAAAATCCTCCTCATGCATGTTGGATGTTTACGCCACTCAGAGTAGTCAATCAGATCCGTTTCGTCCACGTGAGTACAAAATATCTCCGAGTTGAAGACTAGACTCGCAGGATTCTGGGCAGAAGTGGCTGGGATCGTGAGGCTTCTCGGCGAATTCGGACTTTTGTCATATTCCAATTCTAGGGAAGCGCTCACTGCCTAGAGGCAAAGTCGCAGAGAGCGGCGCCGTATATTCCACACGCCAGGGCGAGCCTTGCGTGGGCGGTTAAAACTCTGCATTGCTTGCGATTATAAGGATGACGCCACTTCGCGACAAGTTGTGCTCTTTTCGTACCTGATCGGCGACCGCTAGCATCCTCCGCATTGCGGGGGACCACGAGCCAGCGGCGCAGCGGTCAAGTCCGTATCAAGCTATACTGCTCCAGTCGACTGCATCATGCAGGATTCTATCCTAGTTTGCTTCGCCAAGACATTTTTCGGATCCTACCAGAGTGCCGTCCGACTCTGCTACGGGCGGAAGTCTCGCAACAACACGCATACTCCAGCATTCTCACTCCAGCATTCTCACGATGCTTTTTCGTCTAGCCTTCTTTCAACGAGATAGTCTTTATTGAGCACGTTCCTTTAGAACTCCAGACCTACGGATGGCAATGGTACGACAATGTACCTCGGGGCAATCTTTGCGTCAAGGACAGAGGCAAGCCGCGCGCGAAAAAGAGGAGTAACAAGTCACACGGGCAATGTACTGCCATACAACGACGTGACCATGATGTCCTCGCAGGTTGAGAGGAGGCGGCGGCGGCGGTGGCGAGAATGTTGCTTGTACAGTACAGTGCTGGGTCGCATCTGCAAACTTGAAAACGTATACAGCACATGTAAGGAAAGCTTCGGGGGCAAAGCCCTCTTGAGGCTCGGACAAGCATTGGCAGCAGTATCAAAACAAACGCTTGCGGCATATACAGTGTCGTGGCGGCGAGCGTTACGGCACATGGATCATATCGATAGCATCTGCATCACAGCCAAGCAGATCGACCGACCAGCTGCGCTGCTGTAAACAGTATTTTCGGGTCTTTCTTGTGTCGATGAAGGACAACGACCACGGCATCGCTGACATGAAAATGGAGCCTGTAACGATAATGGATGTTGCGACCTGCCCGCGCTGGAATCCAGAGCATAGTATGAAAAAGCCATGACCTTGGTGACATGCAAGTCCTTGCTTTCGCGCTGCTTCGCCAAGCATGATCTTGCAAGCGTGCTATTGTCGATGATGATCTGGCTCCTGCCGTCAATGGCCCGCCGCTGTCCGAGGCTTGGCCGGAAGCATCTTTTCAAGGGTCGTTCTGGGCAATATCGTGAATGTCGTCAATGCCGTCGTCAATGTCTCGTCATCTCGAAAGTATGTTCGAATCCCCGTCGCCATATTTCCCGAAAACGACAGACACTGTGCAAAGGAGGCGCGAGACCTCCAGCTTGCATGCAGGTGCAGGTGGCTATCAGCTTTGTCATCAGACATCACCTGATGTCAAAACAATGCCAAATTTTAGCCGAGGTTAAGACATGTCCAATGGTGCAAATCACGTGATATACGGTTCGTGCAGTGAGCGAACTCTGTCCGTCCGCCTTCCTCGCCCCGAGCCCTGGAGGACAGCACCTCCTGGATTCTGCCCGGTCCCGCTGTATTGGATGCTTTTGCGTGCATTCTTCGGCCGCAGTTCGATCAAGGCGGGCCCGTTGAAGCAGTAGTAGCAGGCGCAAGAGCATTTACCTGTTGCTGCTCCACAGTACCCTAGGTGTCTCTCTGCAAGCTGGACTGCTTTCATGTGTCCCTGCAACAGCTGCTGCCATCCGCACCACAGAATCTGAGGAGCTTATTCTGGCTTCTACTGTACAAGGACCAAAACGCGCATTGAAAGGCTGCTCCGGCTCCCTCGCGGTCGATGACGTAAGGAGATGGTGGTCCAGCGGCCTCATCCACTTCTCTTCGTCGATCTTAGTCAGGATCTCCGTGCAAGCGATCCCAACACTCGAAGATTAGTAAGGGCGGCAGCGCAGCGAGATGCCAGACGCCGGCAAAGAGAACGTGTGTCGGCAGCGACATCAGGTACGCCGGGCCACCTCCCCTGTCACTTCCTGAAGTCCTCGTCCCCTCCCATCTCTTCTCCCGGACATCAAGTATTATCACCGTACGGCATGCGTAGGATACGACATAGATGAAGGTTATCGTCGAATTCGCTGTGTTGTCGACCTGCTCATAATTGTTCAGGTGTTACGTCATCTGTTTTGCCAGAACGTCTACGACTGCACGAGCCCAAGCCGAACACCACGGGTGCACCCGCAACGCCTCATGCGCCGCAACTGCCACAACATCGTGACGACCTCTGTGATGAGGACGACGTCGACAGACATGGAGACCTCGTATTGTCTGCTGGCCAATATGGAGGCAATCGCAACAAGCATGCCACCGATGCTTCTTCACGCCGTGCACTTCAACTGCATCACAGACAAGCCCTCGTCAAGGCGGGACGTGTCCATCGCAGTCCGTCAACATGGGGACTCGAGACAAACGATCCATTCACGTCGCCGGCACAACTGGAACGGATGTTCAGGATGTGTATGACTCAGCTGCAATGGCTACGGCCTCACATCGACATGACGGCCTCTCATGGCATTATTAGCAAAGCATTCTACACGGTGCCGAATGTAATGATCCTATCAGGGATCTGTCTTTGTGCCGTGGGCTACCTTGACTCGATGGGCATGCAATCCGATAATGCCATGCGCAATGATCTGCTCTTCAAGGGTCGTGTCCTGAGCGAAGTTCGGAAGCGACTAGATCGGAGTGACAGGTTCCTTGATGACACCACAATCGAGGCAATCTGCACTCTGATCAGCTTCGAGGTAAGGAGGTTGCGTTACATGTCACCGCTATGAGCAATCCTGACCACTATCCCTGTAGCTCACACGACTCAGCCGCACTGCTACTCTTCATCTGCGTGGTTTGCAGACCCTCGTGGCGATGAAGGGCGGTGTGAGCGGGTTGAAACTACTGGGATTGGACATCATGTTGGAAGGGTAAGCACGACCTGCGTCGGTTCTGTCGCGATCCTTGCTGACACTACCTCGCAGCTTGGATCTGGTACATGCTGTGCTCTTCGACGAGGTGCTTCTGCATATCGATGCTACTGCGTTCGAAGACTACGGTCCGGCGCATGAGGCTGCGATACGTACCGGGACCTTGTTCACACCCTTAGCAGCATTGTTCGTTGACGAACTGACGGCGCTTCAAGATGATGCACCGCCTGAGGAGCTGCCTGACATGCGGGGCTTCTTTGCCGTCCTCTACAGTGCAACAGCATGCTTGGCAAGTCTTCAACCGAACGGTTCCACTGACGCCCAGCTCGCCCGGCAATTTACCGACAGCCTTGAATCCTTTACGCAACCGAACAATCAACTGGTCGGCGACGGAGATGACAGCGGGAATTCATTAGCCACCGCCTTTGGTCTGGCATTTCGCGTATTCCATGATCTGGTAGTGAACCGCCGCTTATTAATGCATGAGGACAATGCAAAATATTCGAGCCAGCTTCGTTCAGCCATCATATCCATGATGCATCAGGCTATCTGGAAGAAGGTAGCCTTCCTCCGCACGTGGATGTGAGTCTCATGTTCATCATTCCGAGACATTTTGACATGGTTCTGACAGTAGTGGGGTGCAGCATTGCGATCGGCATGGCAGCAAGTAGCGATCCTAGCGTGAAAAGCTGGTTCGGTTCGTCAATGGTCCAGTCGAACTACTTTTTCGGGGTTTCAAAATGGACCACCATCAAAAGTATGTACCGTCCCAAGTCTTTCGGAAGACAGCCCTACGTAGGGCGACATTGAACCAGAGCACTTACCTATGATACAGCTGTGGTGCTTACATTCCTCAAACTCCGATCAACCCTGGAGCGTGCCATTCTAGATCCGCAGCAAACGACCAAGAGGATCTCATCGCCTTATTTTTCCTCGAAATTTGCGGCCTTGCCACACGCAATAGCCACTATCCAACCCTGGTCTGTCGCAAGCGAACATATCTCCGCTGCTTCCCGGCTGCAGGAGATAGACGAGGACGAGGACGAGGATGTCTCCGATAGCTCAGAGAGCCGACCGTCCACCCTTGCAAGTACAACGTCTCCGTCGCCTTCGCCACCGAACATGTCCTATCCTCTGAAGCGGGTTCTGCTTGACCATGAGATGCGTGCCCTGGACGGGAATTTCCACAAGGTCATGTTCGAAGGGGATTTCTGGTTCACGGATCAAGATGATCCCGTTTCTACTACTGCCAGCGATGCGAGCACATCCAGCTTCCCCGCGTCACCTCCGATGTGAATGCTCCGCTTGCACCACTAATCCGTCTATTCTTTCTCTGTATCTTTCATGCCTTTGATACCTCGTTTTGCGAATGATTGAAATACACACAGCTGTCAATTTTGATATCAATTGTTTTGATCAATTGTGTTTATCTCGTATTTCTACCTACAGCACACACTGCTGCAATTTATGTATATGACATGGCTTTCTTCCACTCGCCCATATTGAAATCACGCGTCTCGACAAGACGCCACGATGCGCTAAATGTAAATGCCGTCAAATATATTGCATCACCACACACAGCCGCTGCCGTTTATCAATTCATAGCAATATGACCGATATTGCACTGCGGGAATCTTCTTATCGATCATACTCAGGCGCTCGATCATAATCTTCGTCATCGCCACGACCAAGACCATGCGATCCCTCGCATTCCCGCATGCACTTATGCACCACAATACAAGTCGTATATTCGTTACCCCGGCACAGATCCCTGCTCATCACGCAGGAATAATGCATTCTATACAAATTGTACAGCCCGCTCATTCCATCTACCTCTCGGCCGTTGGGCACGCGCGCGCGCATACTGCACATCGCATGGGCTGACCACCGATCGGCAAGAAGACAAGGGTGGTGGTGCCCGTCCGAGGAATCCGAGCAGCGAAATCCTTCGTCCGGGAAATCTCCGTGGGAATTCGGACGCTCATCACGCATGCACATACTGGATGTATTCATCACATACACACCCGACGGATGGAGCGACAAACGACGCACAGTACCGTCCTGCTCGGCGCGCTCGCCGTAGGGAAAAACAACTAAACGGCCGTCGGCAGCCCTACGACCCTGTTGGTTAACGGTCAAAAAGAAAAACCCACACCCCTGCCTACCTGCCTGCCTGCCTGCCTCCCTGTGTGTGTGTGTGCTGTTCGGTCCCCTGCACGTCGTCGCCCTATCCATAGTTTCTGCCTTGCTCGAGCCCTCTCGAGCTTCGCTGCCGGGGGAAAGGCGATGGGGACTGCAACGGGGCGGGCGGGTGAAACCAAAGCTTCTCCCCTGTGCGCGCGCGCGAAGCGTTTTCTTCCTGACGGAGAGGAGGATTGGGAGTTTTCCACCTTGATGATGATCGTTCTGCGATTTTTCCCTTGGTTCAAAGGACCTTTCTCACGAGACGTTGATGTGAACGGAAGGGGATTGCTGTCGCATGGAGCCCGAGTCCTGCGCACACGCCTGCCCTTGTCCACCTTGTCGCTTCGCTGTGACATTCGACGTGGGAACTGTGTACTGTCGCACGTGAACACACGAATTGTAATTATATTACTTTTTGTCTCACATGCGACACAGCAGGGGACCTGTCAATCAATCCATCAGTCAGTCAACCAGACAACCACAACCAGCACCAGCCATTATCCATCATGATCGTCGTGACATCAGATAATCTCTACGATCAATCACACTGTGTGTGAGTGTGTGCAGTACAGTCTACAACACCTGCACGTAACAAAAACTAATCACAGTGATATACCCGCCATAACCACCGCTCCAGCCCAATGGTGAGCAGAAGTAGGGTAGAGTGTACCGAGAGACCCCATCCCCTCGGGGTGGTGGTCTGTGATAGAGAGAGAGCGGCACGAGCGGGGGGAGAATTGATCTCGGCGAGCCCAGGAAAGTTTCCCTTCCATTCAAGCCATGCCATGCCATGCCTATCGCAGCAGCCCGGGGGAGCAACGGGAAATTGCCTTCCCCCCAAATTGAGCTGACCCCATCCATGCAGGTGATTAATCATACAGAGTTTCGGACTAGCGAGACTTGCCGACGGGGCCGTGAAATTGCAAGACAGAGGAACAAGGGCTGGCTCGCTAGCCGGGCTGGGCTGCGGGCGCGACGAAATCCCGGACTACGGTAGGAAGGAAGGGAGAGAAGAGAAGAGGCGAACTTGTGTTTTGGTTTCATTTCTCTTACTTTTTTGGGGTGGATTGAGATTGCGACAATCTGAGTAATCTATGGACGGTGTGTGTGTGTGGAGAGAGAGAGAGACACCTTTGCGCTTCTCTGAAGACCTCTCTCTCTCTCTCGAGCGGAGTCCTGTGAAATGACATTAAAGTTTCGCTTGTGTTTTATTAGTCTTTCGTAATCATTCTCTCGGATTGACTTTTGGGTCCCCGTCCGGGGTAATAATGATGATGAGGAGGAGGATGGTGAGAGTATCCAACGTGCTGGGAAAACGCTCGTCGCAGTCGCTCTCGTGTCCGTGTGGAGTTTAGTACATAGGAGGACGGTGATTTCGGTGTGCGTGCGGATGCGGTGGTCCATTCCATGTTCATGTCCGCGGTGTGGACTCGGAGTATGAAGGTCCCTGTAGTTGTGATTCCGGACGGCGTTCATATGATCGGGCTCAATGGCTCATCTGTCGATTTCCGGCGTGTGGGCTGAGATGACTGACTTCGATCATGGATTGTTGGTCGTTCGTCCGTGACCTCCTCCTTTCCTCCCATCGAGCCTCTCATCGAGCCTCAATCGGCGCGCGAGGCGCAGATCCGGTTCTTCGTAGGGGAACGACGGGTTTCCTGGTGATTGTGGCATGGCGTGGGAGGTATTCTCGGACGTCCGATCCGTGGGTTCCGGATGCGGCGCATTTTTGGCGTGTAACGAGCGAAAGCCGGACGGAAGGGGGTGTTCGTGTGAGCGTCCGACCAACCGGTCCGGTCGAAGAGGAATGTTTCAGATCTTGCTTGGGTGCTTTGCGGCGGCGGTGGGAAGAAAGTCCCTTTTGGCGCGAGGCAGAAACTGGTGCCGGGTCGTGAGTTGTCGGACTGCGTTGAGGCCAGCGTCGAATGTCCGCACGAGGTCGTGTAGCCATGTCATCCCAAATCTTGGATCCCGAAACGGGTTCGAACCACATGAAATCCCCATGGGACGTTGCCGGTCGTGTCCAGCGAAGCTCGCCCCTCAACGTAGAAGGCCGTCGACGTAGCCACCACGTGTAAGCCGCAGAGACACATCCGCGTCAAAGGTCATTGCAGAGAGCTGCGGTTGAGACGGCACCGGGTTCCCGTTCGCAACGTTGATCGTCGACGTCGGAATGTCCGAGTTGTGTGAGATCTAGGTGGATGGCCACGAGAGGAAACCACGTGTTCATCCGTCTTCTCGTTCGACTCGGCATCCTGGTGGTTGTCCCGATGTGAAAACGGGGGCGATATGTGAAGCCGATGGAGGAGGGCCAAGGTGATGACGCCACAAGGCATCATGAAACCCCTCCGGTACTGTCAACGACGATGCGGTCCATCGCAAAACGTCGAAAAAAAAGTTCCAGGTATGATAGTGGTATAGCCCCAGAGGAGGACATACCACGTACAGCTGTCAGCAGCCATGAATGGGCGTGCACAAAGTTTCCTGGGGCAAAAAGAATTCAATCCTCGTCATCGTCGTCGACCAAGATAGCACTTGTTCACCATGACCCGTTGCAGATGTCTGCAGCGACATGTGGGATGTCTGGACCTGTACTGTACTGGAAGAGCGATGACCTCCCGCTGAGAGGATGGAGATAGTCCTGAGGTGGTCGGTAGACGTCGCCTTTTGCTGGATGATGGTGTTTCATCCGCCATGTGACTGACGCGCGCGCGTGTGTGGGATGTAGGCAGCGCTTGCCCGAATGGTATGGATAGTTGTTGTTGTTCCTGGTCGCGAGATTCTCCAGCTGCTGCATACAGCTGAGGAAAGTGGAACCGTTGTCGATGAGGGTAGGCGCTCTCGCTCTCAACGTCGAGGTCGTTTCGTCCTGGTGGGGTTCGATCTGGTTGGTTTGCTCCTGGTCGAGGTCGTAGGTTCCTGTGGGTTTGAGGTCGTCTTTGTTGTGTCTTTTCGTTTCCGTTTGCTCCCGGCGGCGGCAGGATCGTCCTTGAAAGAGTCCTCCGGTAACGACTCCGGAGGAGCAGTCACTCCGGCGTCGTCCTGACCGGTCCCGTCGTCCTCAACAGCCTCCTCCGGATCACCGCCGTTGCCTAGGACATACGCCACCTTCTCGCACTGCACGGCCGATACCCTCCCATCCTTCCCTGCCCCTTCCTTCCCGAGACCATCCTCACCACCACCCGCCAACCTGCTCCTCATCCTCCCGACCGCCTCCACAACCTCCAGGTACTCCGCAACCGAGTACTTGATCTTCCTCCTCCAGTCCACGCCGCCCATGTCCTCCTCGGCGGTCGCCCAGCAGAAGACTTCATCGGAGAAGAACGGCGCCTCGTCGGGCTCGCCGACCGATAAGATCAACGACGCCGTCGCGGGTCCCACGCCGCGCAGCTCGGAGAGTTTCTTCACGCTGGCCTTGACATCCGGCCAGAGCGCCAGCCCCTCGCGGGTGGTCCGCTCCACGGCCTCGGGGGCGTTCTGGGCGATCAGAGCGCGTAGGCTGGGCCGGAAGGTTCCATGGGTGAGCTTCCAGTCCATGAGTGTGACCAGCTCCGGCTTGGTCAGGTAGGGGGGTGATCCCTGCGGAGGGACCTCGGCCGTCGTCGTCCTCGTTGAAGATGTCTTCTTATCCGAGACATCATCATCGTCGTCGTCATCCTTCGTCAAGGAGGGAGACAAAGATGAAGGTAGCCCTCCCCGTCGAGCCGCGATGGCGGACGGGATGAGCGTGTATCGCGCATGGTCGAGTTCCGTCAGGTCCAGGGGTGAAGATTTCTTTTTGGTCTGTGCTACGCGGTCGCGCACGCGATCATACAGTCGCAGGTGCCGCTCGAATGTGGGGGGCGAGATGCTTGATATAAATATCGCCGACGAGGGAGGAGGAGGAGGAGGAGAAGGTCGCGACCGTTGTCGCTGTGACAGCATTGCCACCTGCTTGCACTCTGCGCACAAAACCCCCCCTGGCCGAAATGTCGCGGAGCGAAAATGAGCTGATCTCCTACGAGATTCTTTCGAGATTACTGCTGCTGAATTCTTCGTTTGGTGTGGGTGGTGATCTCAGCCTTGTGTGCGCGACTCCCCTGATCGGTGATGGCTCCCTCGGCGGGGAGGTGCATACGAAGCGAGGCGGCGACGTTGGAGAAAAAAAAAGTCGTTGATTGCGTGATTGTGCGTGATGGGCCTCTCCGCTCGCACGCCAGGCCGGACGCGGTCAGGGGAGGTAATTACAGCGAATATACTTCTTCTTCTTCTTCAACCCGTATGTGTATGGGAAATTGACGGGGAGTTCAAGATCGACTGGATGATGAAGATCTCCTTGGCGGACAGGCATGGACTCACTGAACAAGTACGTGGTCTTGGATTCGGCTTGGTGTTGGAACAAGGTGAGATGCGGTTTTGGCATGGAATTCGAGGGTCAGGAATGAATTATTACCCGATGGGGAAATTGTGTAGGCGAGGGTTTCCAATGCGGTCAATCATCCTGGCGCGTTCGCCATATGCGACCAATGAGCGATGTGGTTTGACGGCATGATCTACAGACCGATTCCCTCGAAGCACGACGGCCAAGACAGACTATTTGGTTACGTGACTGGTGATGACCTCGATCGGGGTTGTTTTTTTTTTGATCCTCGCGTGTTGTGGATTGGCTGTATGTAGTACTCAACCTTGGCACGTTGTGGACATGGGATTTATTGTTAGGGGAGTGTCGACGATGACGTGTTGGTCGACTCCCCTATCGCTCAACCGAGATGTATCGTTAGCAATGAAGACTATAGATCGATCCATTCGCATAGCCAGGAATGATCCAGTTCATCGACATCACCCCAAACCATCCGCAGAACGTCGTCAATACATATAACGTAATCTATCACCGAGCGGGCCAAATCACCGAACGGGCCATTTTGTCTTGGTATTGTAAACAACATCTTTCCTGTTTATTGTATTAACAACGAGACATGTTATCAGATAATCAAGAAGGTAGAATCGATCTTGCTATCAATGCGTATAGATCTGGTCATTTTCGGAGCCAACGGAGCGCAGCTGCTGCTTTCAATATCAAT